AACTTTTTAGGGTTCCGGACCAAAAAGGCTTAAAGGATCCCTTATAGTGCAACTTTGTTGGTTCACCTGTCCGTTTGTCACAGCACTATGTCTCAGCAACTACTAGTGCTATCAATTTGAAATTTGGAATAGTTTTACATATCATTGGCTTTCATGTATAGCAATTGAAATAATTGAAAAACTATTTTTATTTTCTTTGCTATTAGATCTAAAAGAGGTCTTCAAAATTTCAAAATTCGCATGTGGGGTGTTGTATGAAAGGCAACATTTTAAAAAGTAGTTTTATTTATTTTTATGTCAGAAGTTCGTGAAGTGAAGAATTTGAATCAATTTCAGCTTATAATTATACGAAAATATTACAGGAAATATAGACGTGTTTTTTTTTTATATAGCATTATTTTAGAGAAATTTTTAAAAAAATCTAAAAAAACAAACAGTTATGCGAAGAACTGGATTCTTAACCACAATAATATTGCTTAAAATAAGATATAACGAATGGTAGTATTAATAATAACAATTATTAGGTATTTATTTTGTACGAGAAATACAATAAGGATATTTTTATAAATAAATAGGAACCCTTGGTGGGTAAGGAAATTCTCGTTTCTATCGACATAACCTCAAAATAAAGACAGTGATTCGAATTCTTTCTCTACTACTCTCACCAGAGGGAAACTGTACAAAAGTCGATTGTTTGGGTACCTCTATCCCATTCGTGTTTCAACCGTGAAGCAGTTGTGTTTGCATGGCTGTGTTTCGGTTTGAAGAGTGGGATATGGCAGTGAATTTACTGGGTACAGAGGAATAACACCTGAGTCCTCAGGAATGGCAACGCATGGGGGGTATCATGGGCGAAACCGTATACTCTGTTATGTACATGGTATTGCTCATGTCTTTCGGTTAAATTATGGTTATTTTATAATCTATGAAATTACTTAGAATTTAAAATATAATAAAAAGATGCTATGTCTCTATAATATTTTAATATTTAATAAATTTTGATCAATTATTAATGAGTTATTAGTTTCGTCAGTTAGCAAAATAAATAGAAAGTTCTAATGATTGATATAACGGAATGTCTTTGGACGTAGTCGCGAAGGGGATGGGCGCGCGATGCGGGGGGTAAGACAGATACTTTCCGACCACAGAATACACCCAGAAGTGAAGTTTTTTTGATGCGTTGACAAATGTGTAAGGGTTGCCACAAAAAAATTAAATAAATTAAAAAACATATATATTTTTAGTATAACCTACCCTAACTTATATTTTTGTTATATATATATTCTATATACATACTCACATTGAAATACAAAGACTTTTAATAGCTTTTTGTATAAAATCCACTAATAATTATAGCTTGACCTACCACAGCATAATTGTGTTTATACTCAATCACACAGTATTCACAGCAATAGGTTTGTTATTCAAACATACTTAAATAGATAAGCGGATTTGAATGAAAATTGTTTAACTTAACAAAATACACAAGACACTTTTATACCAAATCACGTGAGCAAAGGTGCGGAAAATAACTAGTTATTTTTCGCGTCTTTGTTCGCCTTCTTATAATACACAATATTCTTATAGGCAATTAAAGAGAGTAAAAGAATTATTACACTTCAAAAACATGCACTTAAAAAAAAAAAAAAAAAAAAACAATTATAAAACCTTGATAATGCGGTTTTCACATCGCTTCAACTCCCGATGATTGCGAATTTGATCACCGCACAAAATAAATATGTATTTGTATTGATATTTCTATGGATATTTATAAAAAAATTGGATAAGCCAATTTAGGTCTATTTTAGGCCAAATTAAGATCAGGCATCTCCGCCTATGTTATCGGTACGGAGGTGAGACGGGGATGGGAAGGGGGCGAGACGATGACGAGACGGGAGCGAGACGGGATCGAGACGGGAGCGAGACGGGATCGAGACGGGAGCAAGACGGCAGCGTATAGGCGTATCGAGAACGTATATCTAATTTTAAGTTAGAACTTCAGTGTCACTACAGTGAAACCGCATTTAAAATGTTTTTATGCAATTTAGAATGACAAATAAGCTAACGGCTCACCTGACGGAAAGTGGTAATTGTCGCCTATAAACATGAACAGTACCATAGTCATAACAGAGCATACTGTGTGGCCCATGATATCATGCGTTGCTACCTTAAAGACTAAGGCTGTGAACCTTGTAATTTCACTCTATAAACCGAACCACAGCTATGAAACGCAACTGCTTCACGACAGAAACATTTTGTGGACAGAGGTAGCCAAGTAGACGAAATTGACGTTACTTTTACGCAGACGAAGTCGCGGGTAAAAACTACCCACTTCTATTCGCTTTCCTTTAACTAAAGGTTATCCGTAAGAGATTGCCCTAGCCGCCGCCTTTTATACCTTTATGTACAAGGTATCTCAAAAGAAAGTTCACATTTAAAAAATCGATAAAAAATTAAACAAGGAGGTTATTAAAAAAATGTTTATTACATATTAAAAAAAACACTTTTAGGGAATTTATTTCTTGAAAATAATGTCCAAGTGTACACCGTTGCGTTCACGGCATTCATTAAATCGAGCTCTGAAATTTTCATTGACGGCTCGGTATGTATTGTCCGTGATGGCTGCCATTTCGTGAGGGATATTTCCTTTTAATTGTGCCAAGGAACTCGGTTTGTTGGCATAAACTTTAGATTTGACGTAATCCCACAGGAAAAAATCCATAGGGGTTAAATCGGGACTTCGTGGAGGCCAATTTATGTCACCTCTCCTGGATATCAATTTGCCAGGAAAAATTTCACGAACTCATGGTAAAGACCTGTTGGACGTGTGTGAAGTTGCTCCGTCCTGCTGGAACCATGTTCTTGGACCAGGAAAGTTTTGCAGTTCAGGCACGAAGAAGTTATCTAACATCTCCACATAACGTTTCGAGTTCACTGTAACTGTTTTCATCTTAAAAAAAGTAAGGGCCGAACTCACGCTGACATTGCAGCCCATGCGGTCTCTTTAGGGGAATGTAGGAGATTCTGATGTTTGTGTTTTGGATTAGTTACACTTCAGTATTGTTTTGTTTTTTTACATGTTTATTGAGATGGAAACTAGCCTCATGAATTATCGTTTTTGTAAAATTCGCGTACGCACAATGTACGGTCCGCTCTCGAGAAACGCTCCATAGCGACTAAATTCCCAGAAGCTAGGCTACCGAATGACATACTCCCCGCGCCCTTCAGAATAGTTGCGTTCACGCAATAACCAAAACAAATGTCACCTTTCTTTTGAGACATCCTGTATATATTTTAATCGGTATTTAGTGCTAGTTCATGTATTTCACTTGAATTGTTTATATTTAAGTTTCTGGTGCAATAAAGAGTTCACCATCTTCATATCCTTATTCCAATTATTATTTGGGGTCGGCGTTATATGTTTTTTTTTTCATATTACAAAAAAATTTGGCTTGTAGTTTTATGACCGGCCGCTTGACGCATATTCATCTGTCTACCTCACTGCATGTTTGTTCTGGTAATACGTAAAAACCGAATTGAACACGATTTGAACAGTTGTTCCCGAAGGTCGAATTAAAAATCTGGTGTATGTATGTTTTGTATTTTAATACGTTATTTATAAGTAATGCGTCACGGTACGTTTTGTGTATGTAGGTAAAGAAAAATTATTTATTTTGAAAATCCATGAATTTACGGACAGTTGTCTGTAAATTCATCGATAGTCTCTTATTATAAAAATTGAGATCTATAAAAAACCGACTTAGATTTTGAAAAAAACTAGTTATTTTGATTTCAAAAATAAATTATTAAACCATTTTTGTTAAAATTTTTATAGGACCAATCTGTAAGAATATCTTTTCAGACATTAAAAGAATTTTCCAAATCGTGTCACAACTGAGTTTTGAGGTAATGAACATAAAAAAAAATACAATCGAACTCAGAACCTCCTTCTTTTAAAATTGTTTTGAAATCATAGATTAAGAACAGCACCCTTGCGGTTTGATAATAAAATATTTTTAAAATCACCGGTTTAGTCTATGGATTGGTACATCAGTTTAGTGGTACTCAGCTTTCTGAAGGCATAGATTAGATGCCCATATAATTCCCCATAGCATCATCTTACCAGCCATTAACTGTCCACTGCTGGACATTGGCCTTCCCCGTAAAGGTGGTTTTGCCAGTAGTTATTACACTTGGCAGACGGATTGGCAACTACAGTTAGGCTTTGGTGATGCTTTAAGAATTCGGTTCCCTTAGTCGCCTTTTACAGTCACGGGAAAGGAAAGGGTGGCTCTTTCTATGTCGGGACCACGTGGCGACAATTTTCCATATACACGGAAAATAATAGATAAAGCCATAATCTCACTACTATTATAAAAACGAAAGTATGTGTGAATGTATGGATGGTTTTCTTTTACCGGTGATAATGGAATGGTAATCCCACCTTCGTTATCGGTATACGCTAGCAAGGCACCAGTGAGGAATGATACGTGGGGATGAAAGCAAGTCAGTTAAATAAAAGATTTTAAATTATTTTAATTAAATTAAAGGTTGTTTGAAAGAGATTGTTCTAGCGTTAAGACCGCCTTTTGTACCTTTATGTATATATTTCAATGTGTATTTACGTTACTGAATTTCTATTGAATCATTCATTTGTTATTGTACATTTTTGTTTTTGGTGCAATAAAGTGTTAAATAAATAAATAAATTTTCTTCAACTTAGAAAGCTTTATTATCAAAAAAATATATAGGCTATAATATTATTTTTGAAAACTTTATCTACCCGTGCAAAGTCGGGTTGGATCGCTAGTGTATTGCAATCTTATAAGAATTACAAAAGCCATACTCGTGTTACCATGTAAATCTTTGCATACGGCTCTTTTACCTTAAACCAAGTAATACTAACGAATGACAGACAATTAATTAAATCGCAAATTAAACAAAGTAACATTTATGTATATAAACAGCTGGCAATGCTTCACATGTGTTACAGTAATAAATGGAAATTCACGAACTATGGGTGCTCACAAAAGTATATATCTAATTTTATTGCTAAATAATTACATATATTTCTTTGTAAATGGTGATGCGTTTCACAATAATGGTAAGTTCTAGTCGGTTTTTTGTTTTTTTTTTATTGTTAAGGAGGCAAACGAGCGGACAGTCCACCTGATGGACAGTGGCTACCGTCGCCCGTGTACACTTGCAACGTGAGAGGAGTCGCTTGTGCGTTGCCGGACTTTTAAATGTTTGTAGACATATTTTTTGAAGGTGTACAGTTCATTAATTATTTATTATTTAAAATCTAAATTCGTGAGTTGGTAAACTTTTAATTTGGTAATGGACTTCTATTTTTTCTTACCAATAAAAAAGTACATGGAAGATATTAAAAAAAAAGTAGGAGATTGTAATAAGCACTAAAAGTTAAATTAATAGTTTTTAATTTTGTGAATCTATCTGTTTGTCTGTTCCGGCATCACGTAAAAATTACTGCACCAACTGCACAGTTCAAACCGATTTCAATAAATCGGTTTTCAATGATGTGTTCCTGGAGGTTTAACTTAAAAACTGGTGTGTTTTATTTTGATACGCAATCCGGAAATGATTTTTGTTTTTTTTTTATTTCTGACATATGCGCGAAGAAAGTAGCGGGTAAAAAGTTAGCATTTAATAAATAAATTAACTTAATAATGGAGTATTAAATTCAACTGACGACGTCAGTTCGAAATGTAAGGCACAGATAAATTAAGAGTATTTTTAGACTGTGATGACACCATAACAGTGGAGATAATGGAATGGGTATGTGGAACTTGCAAATTTTTGTCTTATTATTTTTTTCGTATGTTTAAGTACCTATCCTGTATATACTCATATGATACTTACGAAATTTCTGACATAATATTTTGGCGTACGGCTAAAGACTTCGGTACAGGCTGTTAATAAATGGAAATTAGGTGGACGGATGTTTGTTACTCTTTTACTTAAAAATTACTGAACGGATTGGAGTAAAATTTGGTACACTGATAGGTTATGTCCTAACTTAGCACAAAGGAAACTTCATGTACTAATTCACGCGGGATACAGCTATTATAAAATAAATAAATCACATAGATAATCAATGAGATGTTTAGTAGACACAAAAAGTAGAAAAATTTGAATTTAGAACACGGAATCGTGTATAGATTTTGCTTTCGCATATACGTATGTAGAATTTTGCTCTGAAAAGCAAGCATACGATGTCCGGTTTTGCCAATAAATGAAAGAAAGATAGACAGAAATGGAGAGATTGGGAGGGAGATAGAGAGAGGTCTACGCCTGAAGGTGAATTCGATGAGGGCTGCTATAGTTTTTTGTCCCACGCCCACATACGGGCGTCCTCAGAGAATACGCTGTGACTCCAATGGATTATGCGTTGCCATTCTTAAAATTACGTGCTACACTAAGCTACTATACTACTATTATTTAATTATTTATTAAAACTTTCTTGCACAGTGATATTCTATTTACATTTGGCAGACTTATCTCCGTATTATGTCTCAATTTCGCGTAATTTTATTTCCATATTCCATCCTTCAATCTGAAACACAATTATATAAGTAATAGCATGCAAGCACAGCTGTTTCGTGGCAAAGACTCGACACGTAATGTTTTTTTACAGACAATTACATTATCTATTTAAATGTATGAATGAATAAATGGTTATAATAGGCGACGGTTTACACTTTCCATCAGGTAGGCCGTCAGCTTGTTTGCCATTCTAAGTTGTATAAAAAAAAATTACACTCCACAAAAGGTAGTAAGAACTAACAGCTTAAGATGCACTCAAATATTTAAGACCGTTTTTGTGAGAGATTGGTGCAATAGGTTTTGAAAAGTCCTGCGTTACAAGTCCTCAGTTTCCCATTTTTTTTTACCCGTCGCCTATAGACATGAGCAGTACCATGAACATAACAGAGTATACTGTTTCGCCCATGATACCCCCATGCGTTGCCATTCCTTAGGACTCATGTGTTACATCTCCGTATTCACTGCCATTCACTTATTAGGTTGCCTCCAATTTCAAAATTTTAAACTTTTTGAATTCGGATGTTATTCCTCTGTACCCTGTAAATTCACTACTATATCCCACCCTTCAAACCGAAACACAGTCATGCAAACACAACTGCTTCACGGTAGAAACACGAATGGGACAGAGATGCACAAGCAAATGACTTTTGTACAGTCTCTCTCTGGCATCATCATCGTCTACATGGACTACATAAATATAAGGCAACCAATTAATATTACAATACACAGATAACAATAAAAATGTGTAACCGTTTTACTTACCCAGAGGGAGACTTTGTACAAAAGTCAATTACCTCTGTCCCATTCGTGTTTTTACCGCGAAGCAGTTGTGTTTGCATGGCTGTGTTTCGGTTTGAAGGGTGGAATATAGCAGTGAATTTACAGGGTACAGAGGAATAACACCCGAATTCAAATTATATATATATATATATATATATATATATATATATATATATATATATATATATATATATATATATATATATATATATATATATATATATATATATATATATATATATATATAGTTATAGCATTAATTTACAGATTACAGAGGAATACCATCTGAATCCTCAGGAATGGCAACGCATGGAGGATATCATGGACGAAACAGAATACTCTGTCATGTCCATGGTACTGCTCATGTCTATAGGCAACGGTTACCACTTTCCATCAGGTGGGCCGTCAGCTTGTTTGACATACTAAGTTGTATAAAAAAAACCTGTTTTTCAAGTAATAAAAACTTCTTTGTAACAAAAAGTAATTAAACCACCTAATAGGTAATAGATTTGTAAAAATAAAAAAAAACTATTCTTTATTAAGCACGAAAAGGATGTAATATAGTATATTAAAACAGAACGTAAAATTAGAAAAGGCGGCCTTATCGCTAAATAATTGGCCAAAAGTAGAACTCACGAAATACTTATTTAAGTTGTTTTTAATGGATGACAATGCAATGGTATTTTTATTTACATTATCGGTATTCGCTGGCGGGGCATCAGTGAGACATGACGGCGAGGATGAAAGCAGGTCAGTTAGCCCATTGTGACGAAGACCAACAACAATTAATCACGATGGTTTCCAGGAAAACCGTGTAGAGGTCGACCGTATAGGGTATATTGTATTGTAAATATACATACACACATATATATCTGTCACGCCTGTCTCCCATTAGGGTAGGCAGAAGCAATGGAACGCCAAATGCTTCGATTCAAAAAAACCTCTTTCGCTTGTATTGTAAATGTATGTATGTATATATATATCCTTTATATATTCTTTATTACACTTGAACAAAAGATACAGTGTTTAGTTTAACAACTTGTTAGCAAGGGAGGTCTTATCTCTAAAAGAGATCTCTTCCAGCTGCAGTACAGTTAGAGAGGAAATAATTAATTGGCGGGTAATCTAGTGCACGGAAGGTACAGGTAAAAATAATCTAAATAAAACAAACATACACAAATTGTAAATAAATAACTAAAATGTATGTATGTATGTGACTGTGCTGTCAAACTATTTCTTTTTTACGATATTTATGATGGTAAATAAGCTGCGGCTGCTGACGGTAACTGGTAACCGTTGCTTATAGACATAAATAGCACTATGGACAATACAGAAGGAATGCCTTGTAATATTAATGCTATATTCCACACTTCAAACTGAAACAGCTGTCCGAAGAGAGCTGATTTATGGTACAACTGCTTTATGGTATGGATGAAGCTGAAATATCCATGTATAGACAACTTTGAAGAAAATTTTTACTTTGCCACTTTATATAGGGAACTCTGTGTAAAACGTTTTTCAATAATTATCAATTTCGACTATATAGATTCTGCGATAATAAGATAAATGTTAAATTGCTCTTTAACTGCTTATAATACAGTGGGTTAATTAACGTAACTCGTTCCTTAAAACTCCTTAAAAATTCCATTAAATAAAATTTCGAAATTTGCAACTCAATTTTCAACTCAACTCATACTAAAATCAGTCCAGTAAATGGAGTATTACGTTAAGTTCGTCGTAAATCCTACTATAATAGTCCAAAGAAACGAAATTTTAACATTTTTTAATACTATGTATTATGAAATTTTAATATTAAATTTTTGTCTTGTTAGGTCCCGAAATTTTGGATTTTTTTCATGGGAGGCCCTCTGGTACTAGTATCCATTAATAGAAAAATATTCTAGAATTTTTTTGAGTCTCCATAAAAATTCTTGGAAAAAAATATGTCAAAAAAAAAATTAAAAAAAAGTTCTCGAAAAGCAGAACAACCTGTATGTGTATCAAAGTTACACAGTACAAGGTATGTACACATATTATAATAACAACATGTATTTATGTGATGCCATAAATACAGCTTGTTCTTTTATTTCAAGACTTTTAATTTATTTTTTATGTATATTTTAGATTTTTTTTTCTAGGAAACTAAATTTTTTTTTAAGTCTTATTATTTATTACTAACACTAGTTTTAAAGAATGGGTTACGTTAATTAATATATTGAATATAAGATATATCTCGCGTAACGTATTTATAATTAATTTCCCGAGGAGGCGTGGTCTCTTAAAAAGCATATATGTACAGTTAGGCACGTCTTTATTCTTCATTAGCATCTTGGCCACCCCAAGATCCTAATCAGACAAAACTGGGCGATCAAGGCTTCCCTTTCCCCCCTTAAATACGCCTATAACTTTTACCCGCGTGAATCAAAGTATCAAAAGTTAAGTTAGGAATCGAGTGTAATTTAAACGTGTACCAAAAATTTGTATGTGTACATATTGTTAAACTTTATAATCTGTATCATTCTTTAAAGAGAACAATAAAGAGTTTTCATTTATTCATTCAAACTTCATTGAAATTTGTTGCGCCATTTAAGTATAACTGAGTAACAAACATCGAAATATTTTTACAAATCATCATATTTATAATATTAGTTCATTACGACTTTAAAATGACCTGGTGATTGTACAGATAAAGCATGTAGAGCGCGGAGGGCGAACGATTCTGTGGTGTGCGTGTGCACTGCGGACTATTGCGATGAAATCACAAGAGAGGTCCCGCAGACTGGACAGTACTTCGCATACACATCGTCACAGGTACGTGCTTTTACGTATATACTTTTTATTAATCTTTCTTTATCGTGCTGAATTCCAGTTGTATTCATCAGGATGAGCTAACTGACTTGCTTTTTCATTCTCATCTGTCATCTCTCACTGTTACCCTTCCATTACCATTCATTAAAAAAAAATCCCTAGTATTGCACGTGTCCACACAGGCTACAGTAACCGTTTACCATCCGACGAGCTGTATGCTTGTTTGCCATCTTTGTGGTATAAAAAAATATGTAACAAAATTGTAATTGGACTATGTCTGTATATGGAAGATAATATGAGGGGTCACAATAAATCCAACAGAGGCCAAAAAGATTTTTTTCTAATTTTATCTGTCTGACTTTATGTTTAAGTTTTTTAAGGGGAAAAATGTTGGGACACTTGATACGACACGACGAACTTATGAACATTATAATAGAAGCTAAGATAGAAGGAAGGAGGGGAAAAGGGAGACCGAGACATAGTAACATCAGGCAGATCAAGGAAGGAACTGGTGTTGAGTCGTACCAAGAGGGGAAGAGACTCGCTGAAAATCGTAGTGAGTGGCAAGAGCTCCACCGACAAGAGCGCAGCTCTTAAATAGGATAGAGATAGAGACTTTATGTTCATTCCGAAATCTCGCAAAAGCTATTGCACCAAAATGGATACAGTTTTCACAGTTGTATCACTGAAGGTAACTCCAAAATCTGGTTGGTGGATGTTTCATCTTGAGACATTTTTATGAATAAGAGGGTTAATTTGTAACCATTAGAAGGTAAAATTAGTAGAGACATGAATTATAAAATTATAATTTCCAGGGTGGACTTAGATTCTCGAAAAGCACAGGTTCGTTGCAGAATTCCAATTCGGGTACGTACCTACCTAAATAATTATTTTACGTATTTTTTTAAATTAATGATAGATAACGAAGAATCTTGCTGTGTGATCTCGGTATAAAATAGGTATAATAATAATTACATTCTTGTGGGTATCATAAGAGGAAAATTAATGGTCCAGGGATAGGCAGCAGCCATTTTGATCTCATTAAAAAAAAGTTAAAAAATTAGTAGTGACAGCTTCTCTTATTCATAAAAAACAAAACCAAAACCTTCTACAAGTCTATTTTAACCACTACACTGTTTTGTCACTTTCATTCAAATTGAGAATATAGCACAAAAGAAAGAGATAAAACAGTTTAATAGCTAAAATAAGTTTGTGACACATTGTATGTCTTTATGAATAAGAGGGTACGTCTGATTGTTGATGTCTGTTGATTTGTTACCACTTTATAGAGTAAATATTAAAGAGTAAAGGATGAAACTAGAACGTTTTAATATAACTTTTTAATTACAGATAACAGAACAGATACGATATTAGTCCTGGACCCCACCATACAATATCAAAGCATACAAGGATTTGGTGGAGGAGTTACAGACACTGTCGGAATAAACTGGGTCGCGCTGAAAAATGAAACTTTGCAGCATTATCTTATAAAGTAATAATTCATCTCTTTTAATTATACTAGGGACCCGCCCTGGTTTTCACGGGTGCAACGCAGCACAATTTGGGTGCCGAACGTTAACACTAGGCTCCGAGTAGCGACTTGTTCATTTATGCCTGAAGATGCCTCGTTTAGACGTAAAACACGTGTCGGGAAATGTGCGTGAACAAAATGGCAGTGCGAGATAGTTGGCTAATATGGAAGGTTGTGGAATTTCTAATAGTAATAGTGGTGGTCAATCTTCGAGTGCTGGCAGTTGCACACAAATCAATGGTAGCGGATTAAATAAATTGGGGTAGCCATTTGCCACTTGTCTAGGAGGACTGTTTTATCTGTAATCGTATTTGCAGGTCCAATTAACTGAAATTGTAAAACGCGCAGAGGAGTTTTTATTCTACTGAATTAGGTATTATTTTGTGGAAGTCCATTAAAATTATTTTGTTTAATTCAATACATATTAAATAATTATTTAAATGTTGACAGTCGAACTTATAGTTATGATATTGGAATAATGCTAATCAACTAATCAGAGGATTTCCTCTCGGAAATGCTCAGGCTGCGGAATGAGCTCCCTGCCGAGCTTTTTCCTAGAGACTACAGTATGGGGTTCTACAAAAAGAGTGTATTAAGGTTTATTCAGGATCGGCAAAATGCACGTGACACCCTTGATGTTGGGGGCGTCTATAGGCTACAGGACCGTTTACTATCAGACGGGCTTGTAGTACCTTCGTAGTAAGTACACGCACTTAAAATATTTTTTTTTAAGTGCTTGTATTCGTAATGAGTATTTATAATAGTAATTTGTCTTGTAGTCCCAGCAGAGAATGGGCCAACTTTTCTTTTTCCGTAGATGTCGTAAGAGGCGACTAAGGCAACTTAATGGTTAAGGTATGGACAGCGGTGTTCCTCTTAAAATATCAATAAAAGCCTGACTGCGTATGCCAACTCGCCTACCAAGCGTCGTAACTACTGGCAAACCCCTCTTATGGAGTAAACCCATGTTCAGCAGTAGACAGTTAATGACTGATATGATGATGAGGGGGGAGGGGAGGGATTGTTAGTAATGGTAGGTTAGTCCCCATTGCTATTAATATATCTCATCAGGTCGATCTCCACGCAGTTCCCCCTGGAAACCATAGTGACAAATTTATTGTTGAATTCGTCATGATGGCCTAACTGACCTGCCTTCTTATCCTCACCTATCATCTCTTACTAGTGCCCCGCTAGTGTAAACCTATAACGCAGGCGGGGTTACCATTCTATTATCATCCATAAAAAAAAGATATGATGATTACGATAGTTTGGATTCGTAATAACTCCCTTGTACCACGTTCTGTTTGCAGTTCATATTTTGGAGCTACCGGTATAGAATACAACATAATACGTACGCCAATTGGTGGCAGCGATTTTTCTATTCGTCCGTACACATTGCAAGACTATCCTGAAAATGACGCGTCACTCAGCAATTTCTCACTAGCCTACGAAGATTACAATTATAAGGTAATGTACTCCTTCTAATTTTACCAGAGGTAGACTTTGTACAAAAGTCGTTTGCTTGGGCATCTTTGTCCCATTCGTGTTTCTACCGTGAATCAGTTGTGTTTGCATGGCTGTATTTCGGTGGGATATGGCAGTAAACTTACAGGGTACAGAGGAATAACACCTGATCCTGTTTTAAGAGGGACGCTAGTTCAATAGTATTTCGTTAAATATGAAATAATGGCAAATTAAGTAAAAATATATTTTCAGATACCCGTAATAAAGGCGAGTATAGCTTTGGCGACCGCTCCAGTCCAAATCATAGCTTCGTGCTGGTCACCGCCAACCTGGATGAAGCACGTGCACAACATAACCGGAACTAGCCAACTCAGGGATAAATTTTCTCAGACCTATGCTGATTATCATTTGAAGTTAGTATGCTTTGTGATTGAGTAATGATCTTATTATAATCCTGAAGGTGGTTAGTTTAGTGGGCTATAATTAGTCCAATAAACTTAGCCTGTTCCAGAATTTCACACGAAAAGAGTCATCTTCTACTGCAAAGTCCACCACCCGCGCCCACACCAGGTTCGATTAACTTACCGTCTATACCGGGTCCCATATCTAAGATTGGGTTCCATTGGGGTCCGATGGGGTTCATTAAATAGGTCATCACCCGTTTTGATATTGTCCACGCCGGGTTCACCGGGTCCGATATCTATATATTGGATTGCTAATGACAAAATGTGAATTTAGTTTAATAAAATTAATTAAAATACTAAAATTAATTCTGAATTTGGTGTAAGTGCATACTATAGTTTCCTGGGTCGTCTATACATGGAAACCCTGGGGCCAGATCCCAGGGTTCGTCTCAAAGTATGTCGTGAGGTTTTAGTGAGAAAAAATTATACGCATCCCTTTTGCTTTTCCCTCAGCAGTTGGGCCGGATTTTGGAAAATTTTTTCACTTAAAAAACCGGTGGACACTATAGTTATGTCTTCCGGTAGTTTACATTGGGAGTCCAGAGATCCAACTATGCGTCTCTAGTTATGTCGTGTGGCTTTAGTGGGTTTTACCAATACATTGCTTCTGTCCTCCCTCCGGTAGTTGGGACGGTCTTTTAAAGATTTAGTCACGATAAAAGAAAGGTGCATTCTATGTACAGTTACTTAGAACAACTATCAAAAAATAGATTTTACTATAGCCATAATATAAGTAGTCGCAAGTTAAACAAATAAATATGTAATGCACTTTTATGAATATTAATATATATTAATTATAGGCGCTAAAAATATCAATACGAAGACAAACCTTATTGTTTTTACTTTGTACATATTTTTGGTGTCAGCCAATTTGATGTACAAGCTCTGATTCGAGAGTTTGTTCATCGCCATTGACAACTCGCAGAAGATGGATGAGATAAGCTGGTCCGCTGGTCCACTGTATGCTACAGACATTTCAGTTTTTCTAATTTTAATTTTAGATTCCTGGAAAGTTATGCGCGAGAGAATTTAACAATATGGGCATTAACAACCACGAACGAGCCGCTCAGTGGGATCATGTCATTGGGCAAAGCTAACAGACTTGGTTGGACTACACAGAAGATGGTACATTCACATAGTGTTTCTTTTAAACATACATCATATAGGTATTATATAGGTGAATAGAAATCAATGGCATTCTCATAATGTTTTCACAATGAAAGGTGAGCCTAAAGATTACAATACTTTTGAGCTTCTCATGGTAAGTAGAGAGTTAAACGAGCCATATTAAAATGGTAAGAAGATTTTTTAAGTAGGTCATTTTACAATCCATATGGTAAGGGGGGGGGGGGTGTAATAAGTATCAATATCTTTACATTCTAGTTAAAATATCTATACATATATTAGCTCAAAAATAAACATATTTGATATTGGTTATCCAATATATAATATCGAAAAGAAGAACTTGCTCGTAATGTTTATATGTAGGTATACGATTGGTATGGGCGATATCGTAATAGTGGTTATGAATGTGTAGAAGAACTCAATATATAGATATCGGATATTACGAGTACTTATCTCTGCTATACGGATTCTTTATATTTGAGAAAAATGTCCAATTTGGAAAATGCATAACACCTTAGTCCTCAGAAATGGCAACACATAATGGGTATCGGGAGGGACACAATATACTCTATTATATCAATGTTACTGCTCATGTCTATAGGCGATGGTTACCACTTTCCATCAGGTGGACCGTTAGTTTGTTTGCTATTCTATTTGCCAAGTTACATATAAAAAAAGTATCATTGATAGAACAGAATACATATCTATATGAAATTTGTGTGTGTGGGACATCCGTTTTCATCAAAATTCATATCGTATATACAAAATGTGGCTTATATTTTGTTAAAACATACACATAGGGATTCATCTGTCGTCCATTTTCTTCATATTTTTCCATGCCGTTTACGTGCATCGACTCGCTGCAACACTTCATGGCGTTACTTCGTGGGGGATCGTTCAATATTGTGTTTGATTTTTCTTGCGTAAGCTATGTGACCAGACCGTTGTCCATTTAATTAAAAATTTTGTTATTTTAGTTCTAAATATATTTATGTTTCGGATTTTACCGCGCAGTGAAATCACCCTCCAAGCCTTTACAAAACGCCCCCATTTTTTCTAGGTCTCTTACCGCCCCCCTTTAGGCCTGCAGCGCATACAAGGGAGCGTTATCACCCACTTTGGGAAAGTCTGTCATAGAGTATAGATCATATTTTTTGCAAAATTTCAGGGTCGGTGGATAGCCAATAACTTCGGCCCGACGATAAGAAACTCATCTTTTAGCAATATAAAAATAATTGCTGGGGATGATCAGCGCTTTAGTCTGATTTTGTGGTATAATATCGTAAGTATGAAATTAAAAACATAAACGTAACTAAACAAATGTAAAAAGTTGTGCAAGTCTTGGTCAACAAAGTGTACCGACAGTTTTTTTTTGGTTTATACTAGGTTCCGTGATAGATTTTAAGTTATAAATAATTAACGCATGATTATTATGATCTGTATATTTCAGTCCACTGTTGGATATGACCGTATTATCTCTTTAATAATGTTTCAATATTTTGATTTTATATTGCACTATATTTAGGTGATTCAAGAGGTCCCAGAAGCTGACAAGTACATAGATGGTTTAGCGGTGCATTTTTACTTCGACGAACTGTCTCCACCCGAGATACTTACCAAAGCAACAGAGGATCATCCTGATAAGTTCATCCTCGCCACGGAGGCTAGTAATGGTACCGTCAAATTTATTACTACATACTTTCATATGACCGCCAAAAGTAGGAGGATTAATTTTTGGATGTTTTATGAAAGTCGAATTCTTGGTGTAATGACATGTAAATTTTAAAGATTTATCCCTTCAATAAATCGAATCTAATCGAATTATTGAAGGGATGTTGGCAGCACATTCAATTTATTTTTAAATACACAAAACATGTGCAGTCGCCTGGCTTTAGACCAGCCTCGCCAAATCAATGAAATTACAAAATGCTAACTTAGAATGATGTTAAAAAATGTTAATCGTATACTTTATAGAAGTGATTAATATAGTGTAATATATTATTAATATAACAGTATACTCTGTTATGTCCATGGTACTGCTCATGTCTATAGGTAACGGTTACCACTTTTCATCAGGTGGGTCGTCAGCTTGTTTGACATTCTAAATTGTATAAAAAGAAACTGTATGTTGCTAGAGATGGAACTGCTAAATTCCATTCCTCTCCCAATACAGTAGAAAATATATTTTTTTAAATAGCAACAAGCTGACAGCCCACCTGATGGAAAATAGGAACCGTTATTGTCTATAGATGTGAATAGCGTACATACATACATTACATAATATACAGTGTTACCTAAGATGTTTCTCAAATGTGGCCATACCACTGAGTCCACCCAGAAGGAAATTTGTTTTGATGTGTAAACTAATGTGTAAGGGTTGCCACAAGAGAGTTAAATAAATAAAAAAAAAAATACATTCATGATAATTCAATTAGTGTTCTGTGACCCTACAGTCTTGTTATAAATATAAAATTTTGTTGTTTCCAGGCGTAGGTCCAACGATACCGGCCGTCGTTTTAGGGTCATGGGATCGAGCACAGAAGTATATTAAGGATATTATAGAGGTATTAATTTTTTCCATTTATCAATTTATCATAAGTTTCCCCCTTGGGGGATTTTGCTAGTAGTTGTTACGCTTGAATTGTTAAACGCAGTTTGATGATGCAGGCTTTGATGATGTTTAAAGAAGGACGCTGCTGATATATTTATGACTAATCCTTGTGAAAGTAACAGGAATATTGTAAAGTGCGTACCACCTCCGTCGAAAATATCCTATGAAGAACCTGTATTAGTATTTCTGTTTTTTACTGAAAAGAACCCGCAAGAATTTTTGTTTATTTATTATATTATTAACAGTTTATTAACTTAACAGTTTGTGACCATAATTAGCATCGAGTTCAATTTATATGTATTGTTCAATGTAGAATAAACAAGTAAATATGACACCAGAGAAGCAGTACTGTATACTGGATCGTCCATCATACTCGTGAACGGTCACAAGTATGATGGATGAACCAGCAATTATTGCACTTAACCATACATTAGTTGTGTGATAATTATAATTACACATTGTTAAGTGATTGACAAAAAGAAACTTGACTTTAATTACAACAAAACCAGTTGTTATAATTTAAAATGTAAACTACTGAATCGATTTTTAATAAAATTTCTATGGAACTAATCTGTAAGCACGACGTACGTACGTTGTGGCCTTGCACGTACGCGCACGACGCTTAACGAACGTACTCGTGTCTCGCCCCACTGTGCTGGTGCGCGCGCGTAAACAACACATGCGCGCGCGCACATTGTCACAGCAGCAGTACTGGCACGCCGTGCATCCTTTTAGATAAAAAAAAAAAAATTCCAATCGGTTTACAACTGACGGAGTAATGAGGCAAAAACCAAAAAAAATAATACAACCGAAATAAGACCCTGTTTCTTTTTGAAGTGGGTTGAAAATTATCAATTTGAGTCAGGTGCTAGATGTATGGCATTTATTACAAAATGAAATACTCAAAAGTTTAATTTATCCTTTCAGGATCTCAACTATAATGTAGTAGGCTGGGTTGATTGGAATATAGCTTTGGATGAGCAGGGTGGTCCAACGTATATAAATAACTGCATTGATTCTCCTATCATCGTGAACGCACAGAGGGGAGAGTTTGTCAAACAGCCCATGTTCTACGCTCTGGGGCATTTCTCCAAGTTCTTACCGCGTGGCTCGAGGAGGATAAATGTTAGCGCCACTTATCCTGACTCCACTCCCCTGGATAACGTCGCTTTTCTTACACCGAGGAACACTATTGTTGTCGTAGTGTATAATGAGTTAGTATGCTTACATTTTTATGTATTACCAGATTTTTTCCGCTACTTCGCATGCATGTTTTAAGATAAGTCGCGAACGTAATGAAATAGACCCTTTTGATGACTCCTAGGCCCTCACCAATACTGTATTTATCCAAGGCTCACAATTAAATTCATTGAGGGTAGGTTGCGGTAGAAAAATGAGTAAATGCGATGTTCTTAGAATGGATGATGTTTCATAATGAAAGATGAATTTATTCAAGATGTTTACAGGTACAAACTCTATTATTTGAGACGATATAAAGCAAAATATACAAATAAGATTTTTAAATGAGTAAGTTCGGTGCATACGTGATAAGCGCATGAGATGTCACAACGAAGTTAGACGCGCTGCCAAAACGCTGCGGTCACAGACGGCCGCTATCTTCATGCAATTTTATTTAGGGTGTTGCCGCATTATTCATAGGCGGAGCGAATAATATATTATTATAATATATTTGTGAATATTTTCCGCTACAATCTCAAGAAAAAACGTAAATTAGATTTTAAGTTAGATCTTCTGGAATTTGGTGCAGTCGTTTTTGCATGACGTCGGAACAAACATATTGCATCATGGGGTGGGCACCATACAATTCTGGCTTGTGCGCAGATCATCCAGCCTACCCTTAAATATAGGGATATATCTCACCGTCCAAACCGTAACAGTTATTTAAACACAGGTAATTACTTGCAGCCGTAATTGGAGTGGGACAGAGATACCAAATCAAATAATATTTGTATAAAGTCTTCTTCTGGTAAAAATAATAATTATAAATGTTCACAGAGTCGACCAAACTAGGGCAGTGAGAATTCGTCTGGGCAACCAGGAAGCGTTCCTGTCCATCGAACCTCAATCGATTGCCACCGTGGAGTTTCCTTACTCTCAGGCTTCCTAGATAATCGGAACTTTTCCGATTATTCAAATATTTGTTTCTTAGCAAATCAAGATAGTAAAAATATTAGTAAAGTTTAATTTTCAATCAACTTCAATATGAAGGTAGTTCTCAAGTCGGTTGTTTTCCTCGTAACTGCGTTAGTTATAAACCGATTTGGAAAATTATTTTTTCATGTAAATGTAATTTCCTTACAGATATATTGTATAACATATTCTATTAATAAAATATTTTATTGTAATAAATAATGGAATTTGGAGATTTTTTCATTTCTATATTCCTTTATAGGCTAAACGTAACGTGTACTTAGTACATGTAAAATTTAAACTTTGAAGTTTGTGAGATTGCCTTAGAATTACCTTAGAAGTACCTTAGAATTTTGATGATCGACGAGACATTTGCTGACAAAATTAAAGAGATTTGACTTAAAAAAAAATATATATATTTTAATGAACTTAGAGGTTTTATCAAATATATCAGCTAATTGCCATTTAGTTGGCCTATACTCGCAATATCGTCATGTGGTCTCGGCTTAGTAAGCTACTCCTACCTTTCTAGTGGGTATCGTAAGAGGTGACTAAGGGAATTTAATGGTCGATGGATGGGCAGCAGCGTCCCTCTTAAAACATCACGGAAAGGCTAACCGTGCTTGTCAAGCATGGCAACCCGTCTACTAACTGTGGCAACTACTAGCAAAACCCCCAATAGTGGACAGTTAATGGCTGAAACAATACGATATAAGTTTTTTTTTGTACAACTTAGAATGGCAAACAAATTGACGGCCCACCTGATGGAAAGTGGTAACCGTTGCCTGTAGACATGAGCAGTAGTACCATGGACATAACAGAGTATACTGTTTCGCCCATGATACCCCCCAAGCGTTGTCATTTCTGAGTACTCAGGTGTTATTCCTCTGTACCCAGTAAATTCACGCCATATCCTACCCTATAAACCGAAACACAGCCATGCAAACATAGCTGCTTATCGGTTGAAACACGAATGGGACAGAGATACCCAAGCAATCGACTTTTGTACAAAGTCTCCCTCTGGTAGTGACATGTTGCTCCCATTTTTCTCTATGAGAATGGTATTACGTTAACGCGCCAGTCAAGCGTGACAACTACTAGCAAAACCGCTCCAATGATAAAAAAAGAAGAAAACGACCCTCAGTCCCCGGCGGCTCTGCTATTCCTGACAAAAGTATCGGTCATGGTAAAGGATGAGCAGGGGTGCTAAGAATCTCTAGCAGAGATTCCGCGACCAACCAAAACGCAACAGGTAAATCTAAAGATGAACATGGGCAAGACTGACATCATATTTAACGTCCATGTCACATCTACACCGGTTACGATTGACAACACTACGCTCTAAGTTGTCCGAATAGATAAGTTCAACTTCGACCGAGAGGTCAACCGATGAATCCAACTCGGCTGGGCAACGTTCGGAAAATTACGCCACATCTTTTCATCAAAAATACGTCAAGGTTTAATGACGAAAGTTTTTAACCAGTGCGTGTTGCCAGTGTTGACTTATGGTACCGAAACATCGTCTTACACGATTGCTCGTATGCAAAAGCTTTAAATTACTTAGCGGACAAGGGAGAGGGTTATGCTCGGAGATTTTTGCGTGATAGAATTCGAAACAAGGATATCTGTAAAAGAACCAAAGTAACCAATATAGCCCGAAAGATAAGCAAGCTGAAGTGACAATATGCTGGTCATCTAGTTCGAAGAACCGACAACCGATGATAAAGGAAGGTTTTTGAGTGGCGACCGCATACGGTTAAACGCAGTGTAGGACAACCCCCTATTTGATGTAGTGACGACCACAAATGCATTGCAGGCAGTCAGCTGATGCAGGTGGCTCAGGACCGTTCCTTATGGCAGTCTATGGGAGAGGCCTATGTTCAGCAGTTGACGGATAATGGCTGAAATGATGATGATGATGATGATGATGATAAGAATTTATTTCCTAAAACACAAAGTACTTGTTTATAAGTATTATTATAAATACGTAGTAAATTTTTCCACCACGGTTAATCAATATTTTAAAACTAAAATAATATTTTTCGTTTATTTTATATTCGTATTTCTTTTGTTTGATATATGAGTACAAGTGGAAGCCAATGTAAAAAATATATAGCATAAGTTCCGTATCGAATCTGCATATTCGTGTTTGTTCATAAATATTTAAACATCATAAATTATGAATCTTTAATAATTGAGAAGCTTTGTAATTACTTACGGGGGTTATTCTATGATACTATTCTTTAAACCGTCAAGGTTTCAATTTGGCAAAACTTGGTCTAATTTAACCCCTCTAAGACACAAGCTTTCACCGCTAAAAAGAAAAGACCATTTGCTATGGCCCCACAGTTCCAGGACATGTTTCTTAACATCTCTAAAAGCATTGGGATCCTTGGTGTCGACATCTCTAGTGACGTACAGTTCCGTGGCTATCTCGAAGATAAGGTGAAGCTGGCATCTAAAAAATTCGATGTGCTTAATAGAGCGAAGCATTACTTCACGCCGGATCAGCGATTAATGCTCTACAAATCGCAAATTCGGCCCTACATGGAGTATTGCTGTTACTTATGGGCGGGAGCACCTAAATACCAGCTTGAACCCTTCGACTCAGTGCAACGAGTTATGAGAATTGTCGATGAACCTAGGCTTGCAAGCGGTATCGAACCCTTAAGTCTTAGGAGAGATTTTGTCTCGCTCTGTGTGTTTTACCGCTTGTACAAAGGATTGTGCTCAGAGGAATTATTCAATATGATGCCTACGGCCACTTTCTATCATCGTACAGCTCGCCATCGACAGGAAGTTCACCCTCATATACTTTTTTTTTGTCGAGGGGAAATACTCATGCAGACCCGCATACCTCGGGGGAGATATGTGGGTACTGCTGGACTCTTACTGGCTAAAAGCCCCCGGTGATCCTTTTTAGTGCTTTCTTCAAGACGTGGGTGTGCGCGAGCAATTGTCCCGTCCCGAACGTATTAATCCGCCACACAAGGCGGACCCCTTCACTAGGTGACTTGTAGGTTCCCTGCCGAGGTTTTACCCAAGCAAACGACTTTTGTACAAAGTCTTTTGCTTGCTTAACGCGATGACAAATTTTTGCAGGTAAACAGTACCTACATATCCGATTTTTATTGCCTCGTCGTTATCACGACATAGTGCAATCCACGTTTATATATCAGCAATAAAAATCAGGTATGTAGGTATTATATTATTTACCTGCAAACATTTTTCATCGCGTTAAGTCCAGGTAATGTATTTAAAATACGAAGACGCATAGTTTAGCAGGTCGACATCCACGCGCTTCTCTCTGTTAACCATCCAGGTGAATTCGTTACAGATGATCCAACTGAGCTGACTTGTCCTCACCACGGTATCGAATTATGAATTTCGTTCGACATTATAGGTGAAAAATTATCTAAGATGTGATTATTTCAAGAACATTTTACGCTTTCAAAGTGTGGGCAAAATAGCCTCATATGAATTTTCTTTAGTCAACGTATTATATATGTATACATGTATATATGTATTGTCTACTTCATTACTTGTTTTGATTTTAAAGACTTGGTAAGTTAGAATTATATAATTTTTTTAAGGTAATTTTATTGGAGAGAGCATATTATAATTTGCACTCAGTTTCTTAAGTTACATTTAATAAAGATCGTTGTTTAGAGGCAGATTGTTTTTAACAAAGTCATACAGGGTGGCCCATAAGTCCTTAGTAATGAAAAAAATTAATTAAAACAAAACTAATTACACTATGAATAATATTTTTATTTGTAAATATAGCTAGAAAAACGGGAATTATAATACTTTTTGTAAATAACGTCGTCCAAATATAATCCGTTACAGTCACGGCACTCTTGTAAACGCCTTCTGAAATTGTCGATGACTGCGCGGCACGTCACTGCTGAAATGCTTGCCATTTCTCTGCGGATGTTTTCTTTTAGGTCATTAATTGACCGCGGGTTAGAGTCGTACACTTTAGCCTTAAGGTAGCCCCACAAAAAAAAAATCCATTGGAGTCAGATCCGGGCTACGTGGTGGTCAGGAAATGTCTTCTCTCTTAGAGATAACTTTGTTTGGAAAAAGTTGACGGATAACGGGCATAGCAGTATTGGAGGTGTGGGAAGTTGCTCCATCCTGTTGAAACCATGTTCGGGCATTAAAGCCTGGAAAGTTTTGCAATTTTTGTGTGAAAAACTCCTCGATCATGGCCACATATCGCTCCGAAGTAACAGTAACAGCACGCCCTCTGCCGTCCTCAAAAAAGTAAGGCCCTATGATGCCATGGGCTGACATAGCGGCCCAAACTGTAACTTTAGGGCTATGTAAGGGCTTCTGGTGCTTAAGTTTTGGATTAATCGGGCTCCAATAGCGGCAATTTTGTTTACTAACATGACCGTTAATGTGGAAGTGTGCCTCATCAGAGAACATTATGTTATTGAACGAAGTAAACCGATTAAACATTTCATTAGCATAATTCACTCTCTGAATAGCATCAGTTTCTTTTAATTCTTGCACCAACTGAATTTTGTAAGGGTGCATAAGTAAATCTTTCTTCAAAATCCGTTGTAACGATGTCCTGGATACGTTTAATGCACTGGAACGCTTACGAGTTGACTGTGTAGGATCTTCACGAATAGATTGTGCCACTGTGTCGATGTTTTGTTCCGTACGTGATGTCCTTGGGCGACCCAACCGCGGTTTATCTAACGTCGAACCGGTCTTCTCGAACTCAGCAACCCAATTCTTAATCGTTTGGAGAGCTGGGGTGTCATCAAAGTTGTGTAAACCTTTGTGTTCTCGAAATTTACGCCTCGCAACGGTTGCCGAATTGTTGTTTTGATAAAACTCGCGCACACAAAACGCACGGTCCGTTCCGGTGAAACGCTCCATCGCGACTAAATTCCCAGAAACCGAAGTTACTGCCCCCGCTTCCCCTGCACCGCTCACGCGCGCCGTTTTCGTTTAATTCAAATTTTACTTTTCTAAGGACTTTTGGGCCACCTGTATAACACAATAAATAATTACGTCAAGTATCAGGCTCGAAGAAATTTTCTGGTTAGTATTATTAAAATAAATTAATGTTAGCTTTTTATTTCAGCAGCTGTTTATACATTCATAATATTATATGCTAGTAGATCGGTATATATATAAATCAGAAGTATAAATCTAGCATTTTTATTGTTACTTTAAACGCGAAAAATGCTGGTTTCTTACGTTTATGTAAAAATCTTATTTTTGTTATTAGTGATCTTCTACGTGGAGTCGTATCATAATGGTGAGATTATATTTTTTTTATAAAATTTGGATAAGAAATATTTTAAATTTTTAACCATACAGTAGATCTAAGATGATGGTATAAAACTAAGATTATAAATTGTAGTACGTCCTATGAAGTCTATGGTATAATAATATAAATCAAGTTGTTCCGAGAGATAGCTGTAGGGTTGTCAGCCGGCATGTTGGTTTTTAAAATAATCGATGAAATGAGCTAATGTGGCACACAATGAGTATATTTATCGTACAGAACAGTTCCTGTCATCCCAACGGCTACAGTCGACAAATGCCTCTTAGTGTAGCCATCTTATTAGGATATTTTTTTATTTTCATCTGACAACCCTAAGTTGCGGCTAACTGAGAGCAGGCAACTCGGATGCGTTATTATATATTTTTGCTTATTTTTAACTTACTAGATCTAATCATCAGAGGGAGACTTTGTACAAAAGTCGTTTACTTGGGCACCTCTGTCCCATTTGTGTTTCTACCGTGAAGCAGTTGTGTTTGCATGGCTGTGTTTTATTTTGAAGGGTATGGTAGTGAATTTACAGGGTATAGAGGAATAACATTTGAGTCCTCAGGAATGGTGACGTGTGCGGGATATCATGGGCGAAACAGTATAATCTGTTATGTCCATGGTACTGCTCATGTCTATAGGCGACGGTTACCACTTTTCATCAGGTGGGCCGTCAGCTTGTTTGCCATTCTATGTTGCATAAAAAATACTTTTATACCTGCAGAATTCAGGGACGGGATCATAGACTATTATTAAGAAAGTCACATCGCTATAAATATCGTTATATCCTCCAATCGCGTAATATTCTACCAATTCCCCTGACTGAATACAAACTTCTTTAATGGAACCTAGAATCCGGGCGGAAATTAGAAAACGGATGTCTGTGGTTACAATTCGTAAAATATCGTACATTTCTAGACACGAGTCATGTTTGTACTTTGAAAAAGAACAACGATTTGAATCGTACGTGACAATACACATTAGATAGAATATTAGTAGGTTTCATATTACTTCGTCCGTTTCCACTTGTGCTAACATAGTTACTATTCAGATCAGCCAATTTCTTTAACAGATCGTTACACCTCTCATTCCAGAATACTTACAGCAATTTTGTTTTCAGACAGAAAATGTGCGGCGAGGTCGTTCTTTAACAGGTCAGTGGTGTGTGTGTGTAACGCGACGTATTGTGATGATGTAACACGGGAGGAGGTCGCCTGTGGCCAGTACATCTGGTATACATCGTCAGAAGTAAGTTTCTGAAAATAAAAAGATAAATATCCTATAAAGTATAGAATTACAGGAATAGTTGAAGAATTTTCAATAAGTATGGTGCAGTATGAAAGGCGGTCTTTATGCCAAACAATCTTTAGGTACAAGGAATTAAAGAATGAATAGGTAGGCGGCATGTTAAGCTAAACATATGTAAATAAGTACAATTATATATATATATCGCCGTGTAGTCCCGATATAGAATAGGCCATCCCTTCCTTTCCCGTGGGTGTCGTATGAGACGGTTAAAGGAATCTAATGCTCGAGAGATAGGTTGCCAATCCGCCTGCCAAACGGCAACTGCGAGCAAAATCCCCTATGGGGAGGCTAATTTAATAATAATACTGTTTTCGTGGCTCTCGTCGTCCGTTGAACTTTAAGAACGTAGGCCTGCGCGACACTTGAAGAAAACACATGACTCCGCTAGTCGCGTCTTTTATTCAAATAAAAGTACTTTAAAAAATTTTCAAATTAAGTGTATTCATTTTGATATATGTCATGTAGATCGTCAGCTGGTTTGCTAAATTAAAAAAAAGATGAAAAAGGTTTCTATATTCGGTATACATTCTGCGTCTATGTTGGTGTACAAATGTTTAACAATATAACAAATTTACATATATATTTCACAATATATATTTTTTAATTAGTTATGTAACAGTAAACAGAATTTAAATGCTTGTACAACAGCTGTACAAATTAATAAATTATTTTAACAAACTATGAGAATGTATTAATTAGTGTATAACAGCAAAAAGCACCAATTGCATCTTTAGTAGGTATAGGTTGTCAAGTATATTTGTTTTCTTAGTGATATATTCATTACTAGAATAAAAATTATTACATAACAACCAATTCTTGAGTTTACATTAAACTGTTTAATGTATGGGTCTGTATGAGTGAGTATGTATGACTTGTTACTTCTCTAATGTTAATGTTAATGGAAATGTAATGCCTGAGCTATCGGTTTACATTGGCGAGATGCCAGTGAGTCTGTCAAAGAGCAATCATTATCATTTCAGCCCTTGGCCAAAGACCAATAAAATTGTTATACTTATTTGTTTAATTGTGTATACGAATCTTTAAAAATATTAGAATTTTTTTTATACAACTTAGAATGACAAACAAGCTGACGGCCCGCCTGATGGAAAGTGATAACCGTCGCCTACAGACATGAGCAGTACCATGGACATAACAGAGTATTCTGATTTGCCCATGATACCTCCCATACTTTGCCATTTCTGAGGACTCAGGTGTTATTCCTCCGTACCCAGTAAATTCACGCCATATCCCACCCTTCAAACCGAAATACAGCTATGCAAACACAACTGCTTTACGGTTAAAACACGAATATAAAGACACTAAGAACACAATTTAAGAGCACACTGTACAAATGGCTTTTGGACAAGTGTTATTACTCAATTAAGGACTTGTTGGACTAGAAAATAATTCCATTTTATAAGCACATACATAATATTTTTATAATAGTATTTAAAAAAATCCATAAATATTAAAATTTTGCATGCCATTGTTTTAGCAAACTGCTCACACCTGTTCATAACATATTATTACTACTGTCTGTATACCGTGTTTTTCAGCAAATAAATTATATTATTATTCTTAATAAATGATTGAATTTCTCGATTTGTTACTAATTTCATTATTTGGTTACTTTTTCATTTAAATTCATTGACACAGACTTTAATTATTTGTGTAAGTTTTAATGAATTAAATTATAATAATAAATAATAAAAAAAACTTATACATATGAATCAATATTTAAACTGTCACTGATTGTTCTAGGCTGGACTGCGATTTGACAAATTTACTTCTAGACTTGAAAACTTTATACCTTCAGGTTTGTATAAAATAAAATGAATACATATATAACCATCATGCCAACCCTATCCACTGCTGAACATGTCTTCTCTATAGACTGCCTTGAAGAACGATCCATAGCCATCTGTATCCATTGAATCCCCGTAATGCAATTGAGGTCGTCATCCCATTTAGTGGGAGGATTGCGTTTGCTTGTTCGGGGTTGCCACTAAAGAACCTTTTTTCCCATTGGTCCTCGTTTCTTCGAGCTATACCACCAGCCTATTGCCGCGTTCGCTTGCTTATTCTTCGGGCTATGTCGGACACTTTAATTTTTTGCGGATATCCTCATTTCGGATTCTATAGCTCGTTGACTCTTTTAAAGCTTTCATATAGGGGTAACCATGTAAGAACATATTTGGTTCTGTAGGTTGTCACTGGTAACACGACCATAGATTTTATAAACAGAGTGTCTACATAGAAGTGCTTCGAGAAAAACAGATAAAATTTTTCATACAATTTTGCGTGATATATAATTATGAGTGCTTCTTTTATAACTTCTATATTAAATTTGTCTTATAATGCTACATTTTTTTAATGCGTAACCACTCATTTTACAATAATACATCAAGATATATTTTATGCGTAAGTATATAAAACAGCGATCAGTATTTAAAGCGAGTTAGCAAATTTGACAATTAGCTGACAAAAATTTGACCCGTTTTTGAGACTCGATGCTCTATTTATATAATCTAAGAGTCAGACGTATTAATTCAATCCGATTATAAACATCTAATTTATTATGTCCATAGGAAAAAAACTAATAAACATATTTACTTGTTTACTTGTCTGCTTGTATGCTTGTCTGCTTGTCTGCTTGTCTGCTTGTATGCTTGTCTGCTTGTCTGCTTGTCTGCTTGTCAGCTTGTCTGCTTGTCAGCTTGTCTGCTTGTCTGCTTGTCTGCTTGTCTGCTTGTCTGCTTGTCTGCTTGTCTGCTTGTCTGCTTGTCTGCTTGTCTGCTTGTCTGCTTGTCTGCTTGTCTGCTTGTCTGCTTGTCTGCTTGTCTGCTTGTCTGCTTGTCTGCTTGTCTGCTTGTCTGCTTGTCAGCTTGTCTGCTTGTCTGCTTGTCTGCTTGTCTGCTTGTCAGCTTGTCTGCTTGTCAGCTTGTCTGCTTGTCTGCTTGTCTGCTTGTCTGCTTGTCTGCTTGTCTGCTTGTCTGCTTGTCTGCTTGTCTGCTTGTCTTGTCTGCTTGTCTGCTTGTCTGCTTGTCTGCTTGTCTGCTTGTCTGCTTGTCTGCTTGTCTGCTTGTCTGCTTGTCTGCTTGTCAGCTTGTCTGCTTGTCTGCTTGTCTGCTTGTCTGCTTGTCTGCTTGTCTGCTTGTCTGCTTGTCTGCTTGTCTGCTTGTCTGCTTGTCTGCTTGTCTGCTTGTCTGCTTGTCTGCTTGTCTGCTTGTCTGCTTGTCTGCTTGTCTGCTTGTCTGCTTGTCTGCTTGTCTGCTTGTCTGCTTGTCTGCTTGTCTGCTTGTCTGCTTGTCTGCTTGTCTGCTTGTCTGCTTGTCTGCTTGTCTGCTTGTCTGCTTGTCTGCTTGTCTGCTTGTCTGCTTGTCTGCTTGTCTGCTTGTCTGCTTGTCTGCTTGTCTGCTTGTCTGCTTGTCTGCTTGTCTGCTTGTCTGCTTGTCTGCTTGTCTGCTTGTCTGCTTGTCTGCTTGTCTGCTTGTCTGCTTGTCTGCTTGTCTGCTTGTCTGCTTGTCTGCTTGTCTGCTTGTCTGCTTGTCTGCTTGTCTGCTTGTCTGCTTGTCTGCTTGTCTGCTTGTCTGCTTGTCTGCTTGTCTGCTTGTCTGCTTGTCTGCTTGTCTGCTTGTCTGCTTGTCTGCTTGTCTTCTTGTCCGCTTGTCTGCTTGTCTGCTTGTCTGCTTGTTTACTTATTAATTATTATTAAGACCTCCATATTATTTATTTTAATCGCCGTGTAGTCTCGGCATAGAATGGGCCACCCCTTCCTTTCTCGTGGGTGTTATAAGAGGCAACTAAGGGAGGACGAGGGATGGGCAGCAGTGTCCCTCTTAAAACACTCTCAAAGGCCTAATTGCGGTTGTCAACCTGCCTGCCAAGCATGACGACTACTGGTAAAACTCCCCTTAAGAGGATGGCTTATGTCCAGCAATGGACCGTTAACGCCTGAAATAATAATAAAAAAAATTCTTAAATATCTCCCGTGTATAAATATTGTCTAGTAGCCGTGTAAGCCCCGGCATAGAAAAGGCCACCTCTTCCTTTCCCGTGGGTGTCGTAAGAGGCGACTAAGAGAGTGTATGGTGGAGGAATGGGCAGCAGCGTCCCTCTTAAAACATCACCAAAGGTCTAACTGCGGTTGCCAATCCGCCTGCCAAGCATGGTAACTATTGGCAAAATCCCCCTTATGGGAGAGGCTATGTTAATAGCTGACACAACATAGATATTGTAACAAGTACTAGACTAGTAAAAGACTAGTAACAATTTCATTAAATAAGATTAAAGTGTCATTCAATTATATTTCAGCCCAGTCTTCTTACACTACGTTAGACTTGAATGTCAATACGAAGTATCAGACGGTGGAAGGTTTCGGCGGAGCCGTCAGCGATGCGGTTGGAATCAACTGGCAGAATCTGACTGATCCACAACTTAAACAGAATCTTATTGAGTATGTTTAGTATAGTTTTTATAATTTTAATTTAAACAGTTATTTATTATAGCATCGTCATATCAGCTGTTAATTATTTTCCACTGCTGAATACATGTCTCCCCTTGGGGGTTTGTCGTTTGCCATGCTTGACAAATAAGTTGGCAAATGCAGTTAGGCTTTGATGATATTTTAAAAGGGCCGTTGTTACCAATCCCTCAGGTATACTTCGTCCGTCATACTTATGAAGGGGTGAGACAGCTATCATTGCATATATATAGATAATGCATTTGATAGAAACGGAGATGAAACATTAACGACAGAGACAGCTTGATTGTTTCCAAGAAATTATTATACTGATCAAAGTAATTATTTGTTTGAAAAGCAAAGGGGCAAGAGATCGAGCGATTTAAAGTGGGAGGGGGTGATAGTTTCTAATGAGAATGTTAGTAAGTTCTTATTGCTAGTAACATGCCACGTCGTCCTCCTGAAAACCTTCTTGGTTAAATCCTTGTAAATTCACCAACTGATCTGAGTTTATCCTTATCGTTTCATCCTCCATTAGAATCCCGCCATTGTACATCATTAGCATGGAAGGGTGGACTATTCCATCGTCATCCATACAAAAAAGACCTCTAGTCTCTTAAAAAATCGTTTAGTGTCTATTTCGCACATGTATCTAGAAACAATTATACTTTTTTAAGAAAGCAATAGCTGAGTTACTCGCACATTATTCTCAGCTGAAGTTAAAGGATCATAAAAAAAATTTAAGTTCAAAATGCTTTAATAAATTTAAGTAACTTAATTATTTGAATAAAAATTATTTCTTCCTTTCTTTCAATCATTGAATACTATGTCAATTCTCAGTACATACTTCGGTGATAAGGGTCTGCAGTACAGCATGTTGCGAGTACCAATAGCTGCCAGCGACTTTTCCACCCATGTGTATGCATACAATGAGTATCCAGAGAACGATTACGAACTCAGTAACTACAGCCTCAGCTACGAAGATTATCAGTACAAGGTTTGGTTTGGCCAATGTCTTTATGTTCGGATTCTCCGAGTCCAAAGTCCAAAATTATATTCATAACTACAACGATAGTACTGATTAACGCATATTCCAGAAGTTACATTAAGAATTTCTTGGATGTTCAATTCAAACGTAATTTTGATTGTAGCTACTTTAATTTATGATATTGGTTTCGGCATAGAATAGGTCACTCCTTTGATTCCCGTGGATGTCGTAAGTAAGTGAGTAAGGGAAATTAGGGAATTGGGTAGCAGCGTCTCACTTAACTGTCCGCTGCGGAATAAAGGCCTCCCCCGTAAAAAGGATGGATGAAAAAGGTTTGCAAGTAGTTGCCATGGTAGGCAGGTCAATTGGCAGCTGTAGTTAAGCTTTGTTGATGTTGAAAAGAGAGGTTGCTGCCCAACCCTCGACTTTTAAGTTGCGTTGGTCACCTCTTACGACATCTATTGGTGGATTATTAGTCCATCAATAATTTGTCAGAATTCAGGTTACTGTTTTTCAACCGACTTTAAAAAGAAAGAAATTCTTAATTCGGTTGTTTTCATACATTTGTTATCTTATAATTCCGTTAGTTCTAAACCGATTTGCAAAATTCTTTTTTTTTTTTATCTTAAAGGGTATGCTTAAAGATTGGTTCCTAAGAATTATATCAAAATCGATTCAGTAGTTCAGTTTGAAAATCAAAATAGATGGTATTGCCACAACTGAAGTTGGATTTTTTATGGAATACAGTCTTTAAGTAACTATAGAGTAATTTATGATAATGCAAATCTACTTGCATTATCATAAATTATGTAATGAATTTAAGTCTATTATTTATGCTCATCACCTTCATAGATTCCATTCATAAAAGCTGCATTGGCTGTGGCCAAAACACCTATCCATATCATAGCGACCGTGTGGTCACCTCCTAAATGGATGAAAAATAGCCACGAGTATACGGGCGTTAGTCGCCTCAAGAAAGAGTTTTTCCAAACTTATGCAGATTATTATAAAAAGTAAGTTACTATATACCCGTATACATATTTTTTACTATATACGTTTGTTCCGACTTAGAATGGCAAGCAAGCTCACGGCCAACCTGATGGAAAATGGTAACCGTCGCATATAGACATGAGCAGTAACATGGACATAACAGAGTGTACTGTTTCGCTCATGATACTCCCCATGCGTTACCATTCCTGAGGACTCAGGTGTTATTGTACCCAGTAAATTCACGCCATATCTCACCCTTCAAACCGAAACACAGCCATGCAAATACAACTGCTGCGCAGTAGAAACACGAATGCGACAGAGGCGGCCAAGTAAACGACTTTTGTACATAGTTTCCCTCTGGTATTACCTAAGTCTAACAGGCTCAAATTTTGAACATAGGTTTATTAATAATGTAAACATCCGCTAAGAAATGTTATTTGGAAATTTTAATTATACTAAGCCAGCAAAGCCGCAGACAATATTCAACATTAATTAATACTTTTTTTAAATTCTTCTTTGAAGATTTCTATTTTCAACCGACTTCAAACAGAAGGAGGTTCTCAATTCGACTGTATCAATTTTTTGCTTGTTACCTGATAACCCCGTCAGTTTTAAATCGATTTGAAAAATTACTTCTTCATCTGAAAGAATATACCATACTTATATATTGGTCCTATAGAAAATTTATCAAAATCTGTCCAATTGTTTAGTTTATAAATCGAAACAACTGGTTTAGCCATAATTGAAATGATTAGGTTCGTGGTACACTATCTTTAATATGTATAATTGGATTTCATTAATTATAAATTTAATCATCATCATCTTTCTATCCTTATCCCAATTATTATTTGGAGTCGACGTAATGTTTTCCTCTTCCATTTTTCTCCATTCCCAGTCATTTCCGCATTCTCCTTCTAAAACTAATGTTTGCATTTAAAGATTTATTGAGAAGTACTCGGAGGAAGGCATCCCTATTTGGGGGATTACTACAACAAACGAGCCTTTAGAGGGCATTCTGCTTATTGTACCGTTTAACAGTTTGGGTTGGACTAGCCTATCAATGGTAAGTTTTATTCAATCCTCTCACACTTTACTATCTTAAAAAGCGATTAATATTTCTCGGCGTAGTGCAGTGTCATGATTTGCGTAGTTCAAATAGTCTTTGTCTAAAAACCCCTTCACATACTTCCGTATACTACATCAAATCCTTCTCCATTCAAGCTGTGTGCCTTTGAAACTCACTGATATTCTCAATATGTAGTACTCAATCCTTAACTTCGTTTAAAGGGCAAGGCAAATCACATTTTATTTCCTTGTGTGTGCTATGTATATATTTATATGTCAATATATATTTTTATGTTTCTAGAGTAATAAAGAGTTAAATAAATAAGTTTTCAGTTCTCAATATAGCTACATAATTTTACAACAATATGTGAGTGTTTTAAAAACACTATCGGGACTTAACACGATGAAAAAATTGCAGGTTAATGGTACCTACATACGAGTACTTGCTTCTTTATTGCCGACGTCGCGTTAAGTGCCGATAGTGTATTTAAAATATGAGTAAACAACATGACAGTTTAAAATTAACTAAAATATAAATATTTATAGACTGTATAGTCATTGTTGTTCTTTTAGGGTACATGGATAAAAGAAAATCTGGGTCCTACAATAAAGAATTGGAGACCGGACATAAAAATTCTTGCGGGTGATGATCAACGACCGATTATAACATTTTGGTTTGAAATTGTGAGTACAGGTAAATCAGGATAGAAGAATAAGGTGTTTATTCAAATATCACACATTTGCTAATATACTCGTATATCTATGGTATAGTATGGAAGTACTGATGCTCCTTTCCACTTTGGGTTCACTGGTAGAGAACTTTTGCAGAGTTTGGCCTTTGCATTAATCTGTTTAACAAAATATAAATAACAAAAATAAATAAAGGAAAGGTAAATATAAAAAAAAAATATTTTTGTTAATGTTTGTTTGTAAAAAAAATGTTTAAAAAAACACTTTATTTACTTTTTTTGGGTTGCCATTATGGTAAGAAGATTAATTTGCCTGAACACTACGTTAATATGTTCAGCTTTTTCTAGGTGTACCGCGGGGAGATTCCTTTCTTACTTCCTCAGACTTTGTTAGACAGATTGAGCACCTGTTCCCTAGAGACTTGCAGTGGCCAATCTGGAAATCCCATAATAGACTACGAGTCCATGTTGGCCTCTGCAGGTAACACTTAATAAATGGTGTATTATCTCTCAAGAGACCTGCGATTGTAGAGTGAAACCAAACACCATGTCTCACCTCCTGTCCTGTCCTTTGTGTCTTTAATTCTGCATGAAGGAACACCTGAACAAAGCGACTGACAATGCTATGGAATGTTGCTGAGTTTTGGTCCAAATAGGTTGTCTATTGACTCGAAAGGAGAAGAAGTTTGAAAAGTGGGTCATAACAGTGAAATTACAGGATTTAGAGACGTAATATCTTACTTCTCAGCATTAAGAGCATCATACATATTCATGGTTTATATCTGTAAGCAATAATTACCTCTTTTCATATCCACTATATGAAAAGTGGTAATTATCGCTTGCAGACATGTTCGCCATGTTTGCCATGTTTGCCATTCTGTGTCTTATAAAAAAAAAATCTTTCTACATGATCCATCTAAATGATAATCTTATAAAATAAAAGATAGCGAAGGTCATGCCGGAGGTGCTGCAGTATATTGATGGCATCGCAGTACATGGTTATCTAGACAAATTGGTACCACCTGATATCTTGAAAAGAACTCAAGAATTATTCAAAAATCAATTCATTATAGCTACGGAATACTGTGAAGGTTAGTACAATATAATTGTGTATGTCTACGACTATCTACAAAATAAAAATATCTTATATTCATAAATAAAATATAGGCTTACGTTTATTTATTTATTTTTTATTTATTTATAAATTACTTACCACACTTACAGTATTCCAAAACGTGTAGTGAGCCATAGGTTTATTTTACAAACTTAAAAATTTTGAACAACATTTTTAAAATATATCTATTTTGTCATTAAATATATCAATATCTGGCTGCTGAGCAATCAGAGAATTGAGCAGAGAAATAGCCTGATAAGTGGGAGCAAACTGAGCAGTACAGCTGCGAACCGGCGATGCCGATAGTAGTACGCAATCGCATGCAGCGTTGAGGTGCGTACAAAGAACAACGGCTAAGAGTTGCAGGATTGTTTATTCCGCCGTTGACCTTTGTTTAGTTATACAGTTTAGTTTGTTGAGTTTATATAACTAGTAGTGGTTTTTCAGCGACGACCGCGAACGATCTCCCAAATATGCCACACCTCTCGTCTCCTTACAATGTCAGACTAGAGTCAAGCTCAACAGGGTCTTCTTTCCCCGCTGATTCTCCCAAACCCATTCTCTATATATATGCGCTATCGGTATACATTGATGAAGCACCAGTGAAGAGTGATAGGTGAGGATGGAAGCAGGTAAGTTGATCCATTGTTGCGAATTCACCAGAAATGAAACACGATGGTTTCCAGGGGGTAGCACGTGGAGGTTGACTTGAGAGAGTATTTTGCTAGTAATGGGGTATATTGATCCCGTCGCTAACAATACTGTCTCCCTCGTATAGCCATGTTTGGTAACTATATGTCGTATTATTGCAATGTGGATGGAATTCATTCTTCCTTCCTATGTATCCTTTCACACCTATATTCTTGGAATCTTCAAGACACTTGTGAAAAAATCAGGTAACGAGGCGAGTAGCAAGGGAGGTAGCAGTGAAAAAAGGGGATATAGGTTATAGGACATGAATGGATTGATGCACTGACCTTGCTTTAGTAAAATATACATTTTAAAATCTATAAAAACATTATGACGACCTTCGTGGTGTAATGGTCAGAGAAGGGGCATTACTGTGTATAATGATATCCCGTGTTCGATTTTCGTTCAGGTCAAGTTAGAAAACGAACTTTTAGAAATGGGATCAAGTCTGCATATGTGCGTACATGTGTGCTGCGTGTGTGCGTGAGCGTGTGCGTGTATGGGTAATTATATTATTGTCTTATTTTTTATTTATATATAATGCTTTATTATTAAACAGGTAAACATAAAAAATACTGTTTTTAGGATTACTGCCAACGGATAAGTTGAAAGTGGACTTAGGATCATGGGAGAGGGCTGTATCCTATACTCAAAATATTCTGGAAGTAAGTATAATTTTAGCAATATGTTAATACATTAATTGAACAAATTTTTGTCTTCCATGTAATGAACTTGTATTAGAATAAAAATATACCTCATCATAAAATAATGATGACGTGAGTAGTGTATCAATAGGGTGATACAGTGTGTAACATACCACAGGCCCTCGGCCTGAAGCATGTTATAAAAAAATAAAAATACAATATCGAGGCTTTTTTCATTTCGATAAATTTACCACGAAGCTCAGATGATATAGTTATGACACCGATGATGTTTCAATCGATTAAAATTGATAAGTAGATTTTTTATTATTTCACCGTTAACTGTCCATTGCTGGACATTGGCCTTTCCTACAAGGGGGGTGTTGCCAATAGTTGCTACGTTTGGCAGCAAGTTGGCAATTGCAGATAGATTTTGGTGATGTTTTAAGAAGGATGCTGCTGTTATTCCTTGATCATTAAATTCTCTTACTTGCCTCTTACAACACTCATGGGACAGAAAGGGGTGGTATATTCTATGCCGGGCTCACATAGTAATAAGGAAGTAGATACTTGTAGTGTATGAAAAATACTTAAAATAATAGCGGGAAAGTACAAGAGATTCCTTATTATATTTCTTATATATAATTTTATTTATAGTTTGATTTTATTAGCTGTCATGTTTTACCAGATTACACAAAGAAAGGCACTTTACTTTGGACAAAAGTTGATTATCTCTGCCACACTTGTGTTTCTGCTATGTAAAGTGTGTTTGCATAGCTGTGATTTGGTTTATAAAGTGGGATATGGGATGTGGCAAATAAGTTACAGGGCAAAGAGGCATATCGCTGTAGTCTGTAGGACTGGCAATAAATGAAGAGTACCATGGTATTCACACACGTTTATCACAGAATATTTTATGTATATATGGTGCTGTTCATGTCTATAGATGATGGTTTTTTTAATAGTTGATAAAGGAATGGTAACCCCACCTGCGCTATTGGGTTACGCAGGCGGGGCTCCAGATGATAGGCGAGAATGAAAAGGCAGGTCAGTTAGCCTATCGTGACAAATTGCACTAGAATTAACCACGATGGTTTCCAGGGGAAACCGCGTGGAGGTCGACCTGATAGGGTGTATTGCTAGCAATGAGTCCATTAGACCCCATTACTAACAATCCCTTTCTCCTCATAGGTGGTGCTTACCACTTTAAATCTGACAGGGGAAAAATGTTAATGACAGTTATGATAGTATCTACATCTGATATCCACCTCTGAAATATGACAGTCTCTACTCATATGATACTCATTTAAGACACTAGAGATTTGAGCAATTTTTTTTTATAGGACCTCAACTATAATTTAACTGGGTGGATTGATTGGAACTTATGTCTCAACGCCCAAGGTGGTCCCAACTGGGTGAAAAACTACGTAGATTCACCAGTAATAGTATTCCCAGAGAGAGGAGAATTTGTGAAGCAGCCGATGTTCTACGCCATGGGACATTTCTCCAAATTTATCCCAAGGGGTTCAAGAAGGATACAAGTGAGGGAACTCAGCTTTACGACTATTGATAACGTGGCATTCTTAACTCCACAAAATACTGTAGTTGTCGTCCTATATAATGAGTAAGTATTTTAAAATTATTTAGAGGTTTATGGACTAGATTTTACCTGCGACATCGTCTGCGTAACGGGAAATGTTCAGTGAAAACAATAAAGATTATATCCATCCCCATCCCTTATAGTACGTATATACTAAATTTAACAATGATTGGTTAAGACGTTAAGGCGTTATAAGATAACAAATAAACAAAAAAACTAACATTTACGAGTATAATATTAGTAAGAATTGTATGTGAGGATACGTGGGATGTGTTTGTAATGATTTTTGTCATCGCAACGCTCGCCATCAACAGAGAATTTATCTGTACACGCTGGTACCTAAATGGTCACGTATAGTGCGGTTTCATAGAAGTTTTTTCTCGCAAACGCTCAGGCTATAGAATGAGCTCCCTGCCAAGGTTTTTCCTAGAGACTACAGTATGGGGTACTTAAAAAAGGGTATATTAAGGTTTCTTCAGGGTCAGCAACGCGCACGTGACACCCCTCGTGTTGCAGGCGTCCATAGACTACAGTGACCGTTTACCATCAAACAGACCAAAAATTATTTACATAATAATTAAGATTATGTTACAAGAAAACTTGTGTTTTCCAAGAAAAAAAGTGTTTCCTTAATCTATCCCATGTAGTTATTCCTCGGTCTTACCCTTCCTCTTTTGCTCTATATTTTTCCTTCTACTATGCTCTTTTAAAAATCGTCAAGTCGTATAAGGTGGCCCAGCATTTTGCCTCTTCTATTCTCTATTGTATTTATTAATGTTCGTTTCTCATTCACCCTTTTCAAGACTTCCCCAATCGTTACCTTTTCTGTCCAGCTTATCCTTTCCATTCTTCTAATATACATAAAAATATAAATGTATCAAAATTTAATACTAGCTTTTTTGTTACAGCAAAAATGAAAGCAGAATAGTAAACTTGATATTGGACGGCAAACAGGCGTCCGTGTTGACAGAAGCAAACTCTATCACTACCGTGGAAATTTCAAATGGATGTGACTCTTTATAGTGCAATAAATGCCTAATAAACAAACTTTCCCATATCAATACAAAACTATTTTATTTATTTATTACTTATCTATCCATTTAATAAAATATTTATTAATTTGATGCAGATTATGCTTCACAAAAAAATACCGAATACAATGATGATTATAATAACTATGGTGACGGGGGGAAGGGATTATTAGTAATGGAGACTGAGAATCCCATTGCTAGCAATATACCCAACCAGGTTGACCTCCTCGCGTTTCCCCCTGGAAACTATCATGGTTAATTCCTGATGAATTTATCATGGTGGGCTAACTGGCCTGTTTTCGTTCTCATCTATTACCCTTCACTGGTGCTCTGCCAGCGTATCCCATTAGCACAGGCGGGGTTACCATACCATTTTCACCCATAAAAAAAAATATGGTGACGAATTCATAATCGAATAACTACAATGAATTCCAGGGGGATGATGAATTCGTTAGAAGTTAGTGGGATCATAATGTATCGATAACTATATATAACTATACTAGTGGTATCATATCAGCCGTTTACTGTCCACTGTTGAACATAGGCCTCCCACAAAAGGGTTATATAAGTTTATCCCTTTTGTGGGAGGCCTATGTTATAAGTTATAAGTTAATAATATAAGTAGTATTATATAGACATGGCTTATATCGATACCGCTTCGGTATCTATATATTGGGTTCCTCTGGAATGACGGATAAAGTGTCACCCATTTCGATATCGTCCATATCAGTCAGATACCTTTGTTTAATTTGATCAAGTGCTTCATTTCAACATTATATGCAGGATAACTGATATCTAATATATTGATACTGGGCTAATACATAAGTATATATAGATATTACTATATATTACTCATCCCTAGTACGGTATTTACTATCAAATAATAATGATTATTGTACTGTTTGTATGAACAATGTTATCAGGATGTGCAGACATGACTAATAAACTAAAAAAATCGAGTAAAAGAACAAACTACGAAATAATAATATCAACTTTTTATGTTAATAGGTATGTTGATCATAATAATATAAACAATGATAGTATTGATGTGAAAGGTTAAGTTCCATTTTGTAATGAATCCAATTGGACAATGTATTTTTTTTTATTTATAAAGGTATACATAACAGGTTACAATCAATAACATTATAAATATTTATAGAAAGACAATAGTATGAACTAGATTGAGACCCAGACAGGTGTACATACAGCATGGTTAAAGCAATTTGCAATGTTAAATTATAAATTATATATAGAAAGGATATGAATGTGGCAAATAACAATGAACAAGTATATGCAAATGCAAAAATATGTCAAAGAGACTTGACGACTGTATGTAAAATGTTTTTGAAGGCATTCGGACGCGAGTTGAAGATATCAATTTGAGGACATTAAGCGGATATTTCATTAAAAGTATGACACATATGGATGAGCGGGTTATATAATACGACGTATTATTCTTATAAACCCAAAGTGCAAATGTTTTAGAACTTCGTGTTACAATTCTCATATTCAAGGTCATATTATTATTAACTAGCTATCTTCCTTGGGTTTGCCCGCGTGAATCAAAATCTAAAGTATCATATATGCTAAGTTAGAATATAACTAACAAATCTGACCCCATATGGAGTATTGTTTTCACTTGTGGACTTGGATACCAGCGTAGTAATTTTGATTTGATCCAAAGGCGTGTTATGCAAGTTGTCAACGATTAAAAATTAACAGGCGGTATCGAGTCTCCTAATTTAAGGCAAGACTTTGTTTCTCTTGGTATCTTTTGCCGCCTATATAACGGATTCTGTTCTGAAGAACTCTTGAATATGATGTCTACAACCACTTTTCATTACTGCATCGCTCGTCATTGGCAGAGAATCCATCCTGACATCTTACAATCAGAATGGTCACGCACATTGCGGTTTCAGAGGAGCTTCCTCCCGCGAACGCCCAGGTTATAGAATAAACTTCCTGCTAAGGCTTTATTTAGAGACTACAGCATGGGGTTCTTCAAAAAGAGAGTGTTAAGGTTGTTTAAGGGTCGAAAATGCGCGTGTGATATCCTTGATCGTTCATAGATTATGGTAACCCCGTTACTATTAGACAGGCCGTATGCTTGTTTGTTACTAAGTAGTATAAAAAAATAACTGTATATCAAATTTCACTCAAATCCTGTCAATAGTTTTTGAGATGAGTTTTTTTAACTGACTTGTATCCATGAGATGAGTCATGAAACTGGTATGGTAATGATAGAGGGTTTTGGTAACTTATTTTCTCGTCCTACCCTGTAAAGAATTCAACGCGATAATAGATAATTTTGACTACTGTTCAGACTAATTTGCTAATAGGTAGTTTATACTATCTTTACTAATATTACAAATGTGAAAGAGAGTTTGTTTGTTACCTCATAGCGCCGTATCGGCTGAACCAATCACTATGGAAATAGATGCACGTACGATAAAAGATGGAGAAGAATATAAGCTACATTTTATCCTGGTTGGTGAACATATTCCGGTAATGCAGATGATGATGAATGTTCATTTAAATTTTGCTATAATTATCGTCCGAATGATAAGCTAACGAGTTGGGAACACACCGTGTAGGAAATGTCTGAGACAGTAAATGATCCCAGTCGTCGACTCGCCGCTATGCCGAGTGTTTGTGAACTTTACACTGGATCACAATGTCGTTATTCAATTACGTAGTTATATTTATACTGATATCGCTGTGGATAAACGGTATATACTCTGGTAAGAGAATGTTTTCATAGTTATATTTAACGTTTATTTATGCATGGTTTTTTAATAGATGAAGATGGCATAGTGCATTCGCTATTGCTGACGGTATACAATGAAGGGACACCGGTGAGGGATGAAATAATCTGGAGGGAGCCAGATCAGATAGCCCATCTGACGTATTTAGAAGTAATGAACTACAATTGTTTCTAGAATGGACTGCGGGCGGTCGACTTAATAGTGTCGGGGGGAAGGGATTGTTAATAATGGGGAGGTTAGTCCCCATTGCTATCAATATACCCTATCAGGTGGACCTCCACGCGGTCCCCTCTGGCAACTATCGTGACTAATTTAGCTTTGAATTCGTCGAATGGGCTAATTGACCTACTTTTTCATCCTTATAAATCTTCTTTCGTTGGTGTCCCGTGAGTGTATACCGATATCGCAGGCGGGGTAACAATTCCATTATCATCCATTACAAAAAAATTGGGGTATGTTGCCAGCGATGGAGACTAGCGTCCCTTTTACCAGCGATCTCTCCTCTTTCCTCCTCTTCAGCATTAAACACCAACTTACGGATATACCTAAATGTAGGAGTTTGCCCAAACTGTAGTTTTTTCACATATCTTTGTAACGCTGTGTGACATATTTCTAGTTCACGTGCTACTGGTTTTAATTTTTCGACCGTCTTTTATAACAGCATCAGCGGCTTTTTGAAGTAATTTCTGGGAGGTATTACCCCTTTTTGTCTTCCTTTTTTAGACTATTATCCTAAAAACAATATAAATAGAAATTAGAATTAAATGTGCTTAGTGACACAGTTCGAATTATTAATGAGAAGGTCCTGCTTAGGGTTAAGGAAAAGAGACAAATTATACGAAATATTGAGGACAGAAGGGGGAAAATGTTGGGACACTTGATACGACACGACGAACTTATGAACATTATAATAGAAGGTAAGATAAAAAGAAGGAGGGGAAGAGGGAGTCCGAGACGTAGTTACATCAGACAGATCAAGGAAGGAGTTGGTGTCGTGTCCTATCAAGAGGTGAAGAGACTCGCAGAAAATCGTAAGTGGCAGGAGCTCCATCGACAAGAGTGCAGCTATTAAATAGGATAGATAGATAGTGGCACAGTATATCCTGCGACTCGTGCATAATGATACCGCTGAGGTCTATTTATTATGTTGATAATGTAATTTCTTTTCACCTAAATTTTACAGAAAATCCATGCGCAGCCCGCCAGATAAAGGGACAGTCGATAGTGTGTGTATGCAATTCCACTTATTGCGATGAAATCGTAAGAAGTATACCTAGAGAAGGTACTTATATCGCGTATACATCATCTGAGGTAAGATTCTTCGACTTTAATTACTACTAAAGATTAATTGAGAGGAAATGCTGAACATTAAGTTCGTCTTATACATTTATTTATTTATTCTTTATTGTACACAAAAAATACAAACATACAATATATATGAAATAAAGATGTACAACAGGCGAGCTTAATTCTGTAAGAGTTCTCTTCCAGCAAACCCTGAGTGGAAAGGAGCATTAATTACCAGCGGGCAGTGTGCGTACAATAATAGGAGGAGACATTATAGATGTTTCTATTAAGAAATAATAAATACGTTAACATACGAGTATATATAAAGTGACTCATATAATTAAAATCAAAATACATACATATCTGTATACAATAATACATATACACATATACATAAACATAAAATATCTCTTTACATACATTCATATTTGTTTACTATAAAATATATACAAAAAAATTAAGTTTTTTGGTAATCTTACTTTTTCGATAATTTTGATAGTTTTTTATGCAATTTAAATGTAATAGCAAATAAGATGATAACCCATCTTGAATTCAAGATAGAAGAAGAAGACGAAGAAACAAAAAGACTATTTATATCTGTATAAACAGATGTTGGGTGGAATGGATACAATGGAGCGCTTTACATTTGATAAGCGCCAAAAGCATTAGAGTACAGTTGTTTGACGTGCAATAAAAAAAGAAACTCAAAATAATAACTACCCTTAAGTGCGTGGAAGATATTTAAGAAAAAATAATATAAGGGGTTTTTAACAAGACCAATAGGGTCGGCAACGCGCGTGTAATATCTCTGGTATTGGGGGGAAAGGGATTGTTAACAATGGAGTTTGACATTTCCATTGCTAACAATATGCCCTATTAGGTCGACCTTCACGTGGTTCCCCCTGGAAACCATCGTGAACAATTCTTGTTGAGTTCGTCACGATGGGCTAACTGACCTACTTTATCCTCACCTATCATCCTTCACTGGTGTCCCGCCGGTGTACGTAGGTCACACTATAAGTTTTGCGTAACTTAAAAAAACAACATGTTATAACCAAAATATTATGTTTATTGCTTTTCAAAATACTCTTCTTTACATTTTAAACATTTTTTCATGCGATCGAACCATTTTTTAAAACAGGAGGACCACAGATCTGAAGGCATGTTTTCTACGTGCTGATTGAACACTATCACTGCTTCTTCGGAGTTGGTAAAAGTGAAACCTCTCATCAAATCTTTAATTTTGGGGAAAAAACAGAAATCACAGGGTGCTAGGTCGGAGCTATATGCAGGATGGGTGACGAGTTGTACTTTTTCGGAAGCTAAAAATGACTTTGTTTTGTTGGCCGTGTGTGAAGAAACATTGTCATGATGTAGGAGGATGCGGCTTTTTGGTCGTTTTTCGCTTACCTTTTCTAATACACTGGGTAAACAAATAATAGAATACCACTCGGCATTAACACTCTTTTGATCTTCAAGTGGAATTGTACAGATGGGACCCGTAGCTGAGAAAAAAAACGCGATAATTTTTTTACCAATGTTTCTCGCCTGCTTGACTTTTGTTGGCCTGTTCTCATTTTCAAACACCCATACACAAGACTGCTGTTTTTTTTCGGGTTCAAAATAGTAAATCCACGTTTCGTCTCTTGTGACAATGTCATAAACAGCATTAGAATGTCCGTGGTCGTACTTTAATAGCATCTGTAAGCACCATTCCACTCGAGCCCGCTTCTGCTCCGCTGTCAGTTCATGAGGGATCCAAAGACAACAAAGTTTCCGAACTCTCAATTCTTCGTGTAAAATTTTCTGAATTTGACTCATACCAATCCCCAATAGTTCTCGAATTGCCTCATAGATAATCTGCGGGTTTTCTTCAATTAGCCGCTTAACAGTAGCCACATTATTTTCGTTGACGGCAGTTGAAGGCCGCCCTTCACGAAATTCGTCATGTAAAGAAACTCGACCTCTCTCAAATTCAGCATACCATCTCCTCACGGTGCTCAAACAAAGTGCTTCTCTCTCAAAAGCATTTTGAAGACGAGCAGCACAGTCTTGCAGAGAGAGAGAGAACTTTTAAAATCATAAAAAATCATCTCTCTAAAATCTTTTCGACTTAATTCCATTTTCGTTGCGTACGTAGAACTTTGATGTGTGATAAAAAACAATTGACAAATGATTTCCCGCCAATTGTTGTTTTTTATTACTAAGAAGGTTGCAACGTTTCAAAAAATATAGCATTCAAAATTCAAATAGTTCCAATTAGCTAGAAGTGCAAAACTTTTAGTGTGCCCCATGTATACCAGTAGCGCGGGTGGGGTACCACTCCATTATCACACATAAAAAAAATACCTCTGGTATTGCAGATGTTCATAGGCTACGGTAACCACTTACCATCAGGTGGGACGTATGCTTGTTTGCCACCTCAGTGGTATAAAAAAAGACCAATAGTGACAAAAAAATTTAGTGATGTCTGTCTGTCTATATATTTGTTCCACGCTAAAACTACTGCACTAAATTGGATACGGTTTTCACAGTAGTGTTTCTGAGGGTCTAACTTAGAATCTGGTATATCTAGAAAATTGATTTTTTTTATTGAGTTTCCTACTTCTGAAATCAACGCATAAGAAGAAGCAGGAAAAAGCTAGTATTAAATTTGACGGTAATATTATAATATATAGTCACTTTTGTATATGTCAACACTAAATTTTTTTTTTATTTTATATACAGAAATCTTTACCGTACGTACTTATTTCAGGCTGGTGCTAGATTCAGGAAAACAACTGGATTATTAGGGCCTAATGAAGATAGCTTATTAAGCCACAATGAAAGTAAGTATAATATAAATAAACATTATTGTTAAATGCATAGTTAAATGCATATGCAGTTATGACAGGTGAGTATAAAGTCGGGTGAGTAGTACATCCTGCTTATTCGCCATAAATATCTCAATGCATCCTCTATTGCAGTAATCTATGACATTAATGGAACTATTAATTAGTAGGAATAAGTGTTCACCCATTACTAATAATTCTTTTCTATTAATAAATGGTTTGTTTTGAGTTTTTCTCCTCATGCATTTTAAAGTAATGGCACTTGAGAATCGATCTATTGTATATCCACTGTACTTTTACAGAGATATGATGCGGTGACGATCAATCGTCACATGATGATGATGATTAAATAATTGTATTTATATTTTCTTCCAGGCGTAAGGATAACCACATTAACAGTGAATACTGGGAAGGTTTTTCAACGAATAGAAGGTTTTGGCGGTGCGGTCACTGACGCTGCTGCGATCAATTGGAAAAACTTGACCGATCCTCGGCTGAGACAGAACCTCATTAAGTATTATTTAGTTTGTGAAAATTATATTTATTTAGATAATTTAATTACAATTAGATTTGAATCGAGACGACATCATAATCTTGAAAAAAGGGTATATTCCTCCGGTGGTGCGGATGCTCACGGGCAACGATAATAACTTACCATCATATATATATATATATATATATATATATATATATATATTAAGTGGTACGCGTGAAATATTGTTGTAAAAGTAAGAATGAGTATACATCGGTGGTATTCGCTGACGAGGCGTTAGTAAAGGAGCATTTTTATGCTTACATACTCGTATTCTCTCTTCCACTGTTACCTCAGTTGATGCAATAAGAATGAACTCCGATGGTTTCCAATGAAGGATAATCTGACCTGAAAGCAATAACCGTCGCTTTAGAAGGAGAAGGGATTGTTAGTAACGGGAATTAGCAAATCCAGTGTCTTATTCGCGCTTATTCAAACTAATGTGATTGATTTATTGTTGAATTCGTTGCAATGGGTTAATTAAGCTGTTTCATCCTCACTGGTGCTCCGCTACTGTATATCATAAGCACAGGCGGGATTAGCATTCCATTATCATCCTTTTAAAAACCATCGCCTATAGATAAGAACCATGGACATAACAGAATGTACTGTGCCATCCATGGTTCTCCTCATATGTTGCTATTCCTGTGTATTATGGTGTATTTATCGCCTTTATAATGCTATATAATAATCACTGTATATAATTTCACTGTAGTTATGAATATTTATGTATGTATATTTATTTATGTATATATGTAATATTTATGTTACAGATCGTATTTCGGCACTTCTGGTATTGAGTACAACATGGTGAGGGTGCCTATAGGTGGTTGTGACTTTTCCACACATCCATACGCTTATAATGACGTTCCCGAGTATGACGCGAACCTCACGCATTTCAATTTAACTAGTGAAGATTATGAATACAAGGTAAGGTAGTATTCTTGAATCTGATAAAGTTCAATTTATAAATTATAGGAATATTTATATATAAACGGGCGCGTATTGCAGGCGTTCATAGGTTATGGTAACCGTTTACCATTAGGTGGGCCGTATGCTTGTTGGCACCTCAGTAGCATAAAAAATATAGTAATTGTCACACAATTACACTAACAGCTCCTAAGGCTGGGATGCCCTATATTATGTAAAATCATGCAATGAATATCTGTGGACACAATCCAGAACATCCAGACCTGTGTTAATTACAAAAAAAAAAAAATTTTAAATTGGCCTGACCGAGACTCGAATCTAGGATCACGTTACGCAAAACAATGTGCCTACTGTGTTACGGAAACCGTAAAAATATGTTTTTTTGTGCAACTTAGAATGGCAAACAAGCTGACGGCCCACTTGATGGAAAGTAATAACCGTTGCCTATAGACATGAGCAGTACCATGAACATAACAGAGTATACTTTTTCGCCCATGATATCCCCCATGCGTTGCGTTTCTGAGGACTCAGGTATCATTATTCCTCTGTACTCAGTAAATTCACTACCATATCTCACCCTTTAAACCAAAACACAGAGCTGCAAACACAACTGCTTCAAGGTAGAAACACGAATGGGACAGAGGTGCCCAAGTAGGGAGACTTTGTACAAATGACTTTTGTACAAAGTCTCCCTAAATGTGTATTGACTTAGTACACATATATTAAAGATAGATTTTCATTTAGATTCCGATGCTGAAAGCTATAAAACAAGAATCACGTGCTCCTATCTACGTTTTAGGGACCACATGGTCCCCACCGGGATGGATGAAGACGAATCATGCACTAGTAGGACCAAGTCACCTGCTACCACAATATTATCAAACATATGCTGATTATCATTTGAAGTGAGTTTCACACCAGTACAAACCACATTTATTTTTAAATATAAGATTGTAAATCATGGATGCTGAGAGGGAAAGGATGTTTAGTCTCCATTGTTATTAGTACATTTTTTCAGATCGACCTTAAAAGCAGTTCCTCTGGAAACCATTTATTTATTTATTTATACTTTTACATACTTTAAAATATGTCTACAGGACGGACTTAATACCTAATGGCATTCTCTACCAGTCAACCGTTACGCTTAACAGAGAAAGTAAATGACGGTGCATTGGTTAATAACATTTTTAACCATCATAGTTAATTTTTACTTTATGCTAGTATATGGTATTTCACTTAAATTTTCTAATAGTATATTTTTATGTTTGTGGTGCAATAAAGAGTTAAATAATTAAATATTAACGTAGATGACATTTAATTATTATTTTATGAAAAAGAAAACTGTGGATGTTTGCAATGTAAAAAAAATTATGGACATTTACGTAAAAAATGTTTCCAACTTTGGAAGGAATGTTTCCAACATAAAGACCATTTCTTATTGTATGAAGATCATATTAATAATTTCACTACCTATCTAATCCTTTGAATTAAACCACCGCATGCAAGCAAACTGCTTTTATCTGCCATTTATACTTATAAATTAAATAAAAAAAAAATTAATACAAATTCAATATAATTTACTTATCTTATTTTTTTTTAGAAATTGTGATTTACATGAACATTATTTAATAGTTTTATTTGATGTATATTCTTAAAATTATGTAATTTTTAGGTTCGTACAAAAGTACACAGAAGCTGGCATTCCTATTTGGGGGATCACTACTACAAACGAGCCGGTCAATGGCGACTTTCTTATTGTAAAATTCAATTCTCTCGGTTGGACCGCGAAGAATATGGTAACATTTTAAAAGTTCAGATGAATCAATAGAATGAAAGCTGAAATGAATGAAAGAAAGAACGCAAGCATGCATGAAAAGAAAAAAATAACCATGGTAACCTATTTGGGCATTTTATGATCTTTCAACCCATGTTTCTATAAGAAGAATGTTCACATCCACTGGTAAACACTTCCATAAAAAGATGTTGATTATTTAGATTTCAACTTGTCTATTATTATTATTATTTCAGCCGTTAGCTGTCCACTGCTGGACGTACGCTTTCCCCATAAAGGGAGTTTTGCCAGTAGTTGCCACGCTTGCAGACGGTTTAGCAACCGCAGTTAGGCTTTTAGAGATGTTTTAAGAGGGGCGCTGCTGCCCATCCCTCGCCCTTCTTTAGTCGCTTTTACGACACCCACGGGAAAGGGAAGGGTAGCCTATTCTATACCGGAGCACACACGGCGAATTTTACCTTTTATTAAACATAAAATATTTTAAAACATGAAAGTTCTTTCTAATAACGACATTATTGTATTAGCCATCAACTATCTACTATTGAACATAGCCTCCTCCATAAAGGAGTTTGCCTGTAGTTGCCACGCTTAGCAGACATGTTGGCAACAGCAGTTTGGCTTTTGATGATGTTTTAAGAGGGATGCTGCTGCCCATCCCTCCATTATAAGCTCCCTTAGTGGCCTCTTACGACACCTATGGGAAAGGAATGGGTGGCCTATTCTATGCCGGGACCTACATGGCTAAATTTATTACGACTTATTACGTCACAGTATAAATTATATAATTGTAAATACATCTAGAGTAACAAATTGTGTTGAACCTTAGTCGATATAATAATTGTGTATTCTCTTTTAGGGCAAATGGATAGCAGAGTATTTGGGACCAACTATTCAAAATTCTACATTCAGAGGTCTGAAAATATTGGCAGTAGACGATCAAAGGATAACTATACCATATTTTTACAGTTTGGTAATATTTAACGTCTTTTAGATTTATGATCTCAAATATGTTGCAGGGAGTAAGTTGATACTGACATAGATATTGGTATCCACTTATTTTCTGTCACTTGGAACCGTTCCTTAGTACAGCTTATGATGTAAGTTATATTGACCAACACATAAAGCATTAAACAGTTAAATAATGGACTACGGAGCGTCGTAAATAATGTCATAAATATAGTACAATATAAAAGGCACACCATCATGAATGATTTCCCGTTATCATTGGTCTTTATTTTGATAAAAGCGCTCTCTCTGGAATAGTATAGTAGAATACTGATTCTTTTAAATCAATTTTTTTATACGACTTAGAATGACATACAAGCTGACGGCTCACCTGATGAAAGTGGTAACCGTCGCCTATTATTATTAGTAGATGTTATATGACCTTCCGTATTAGTTGTCAATCTCCGACCATTATTCAGTCTACGCACATATAGTGATACGTGTTTCAACTTGAAAACGAGCCATCATCGTCGTATGGTCTTTTGCAAAATAATACCTAAATCACTAAAATATTATTTTATTTGACAAGTAATATTATTTTGTTTCAGATGATAAAAGAACACCCACAAGCCTTGCAGTACATAGATGGTATCGCAGTACACTTTTACTATGACATGCTATCTCCTCCGGAATTGTTTTCATTGATTGCAAAACATTATCCAGACAAATTTATTATATCTTCCGAAGCATGTGTAGGTATGTAGTATTTAGAAAAAGAAATAATTAAAAAATTGCTTTTATTAATTACAATACCAGTTTCGGCATAGGATAGGCCACCCCTTCCTTTCTTGTGGGTGTAGTAAGAGGCGACTAAAGGAACTTAATGGTAGAGGGATCGGCAGCAACGTCCCTCTCAAAATGTTTCTAAAAGCCTAACTGCGATCGCCAACCCGTCTGCCAAACATACCAACTACTGGCAAAACTACCCATATTATGAAGATAATGTAAATAATAACATGATTGACGTCATAATATTACGTCCTCACCGTCAGATGCCTATTAAATTCAGGAGATATAATATTTCTATAGAGATAATTAAAAGAGAAAAATATAATAAATTTAAGAAGTGTAAAATAAGGAAATCTTGAAACAAAACTCCAAACAAATTCAGATGTCACGGCTAATATTCTGTTTTTATGAGAAATGATTCGGGCTTCTGTAGCCCGGATCATTGATAGTGCTCTGAGCACTACAGAGTGAGAAGTCTTTTCAATCCAAGTACCAGATAAATGAAAATGGTCGTGACTCATAGTGTGATGTTGTAGCGTTGTATAATAAACAGGGAACCGAAAGGACCTGTCCGATCATCGAAATTGCAACAAAACACAATCAGAATAAACTATATAAAGAGACCAGGTTTTTTCAGATCCGAAGTTCCTTTAGACCCGAAGTTTTTTCAAATATTAAGTTTCAAATTATGTTTTTTCGAAAATAACATGTACGTTTGAAGTTTATTATCGTATATTAATAATGCGGTAAATATCCTAGGAAAGCACTAAAATTATTTAATAATTCGTAAATTCCTTTACAGGTAACTATCCGTGGGACATCCAGAAAGTGATATTAGGATCTTGGCAAAGAGCTTATACTTACATCCATGATATCTTTCAAGTAAGACCAATATATTATATTATATATATTATATTAACAAAATGGGAGTCGGAAATCGATAACTAATATGAAAGATTGTGAAATTTCTGTGTAGTAATAGTGGTGGTCAATCTTCGGGTGTTAGCAGTCACACATATACGGATAGTAGCGGAATTAAATAAAACATTTCTAATCAAACAACCAAATTATTCTGTGTTAATCACACCAACAATTATCTGATTAATATCTTAAAAAAAGATAAGGTGTCATAAGTCCAACAGATCCATCATAAAAGACAGACATGCCGTTAGTAAGATATTATATAAAGTACCCTATATATTAAGTTGAGATATAATTAATCCGTGTACAAAATTTTATTTAAATATGTGCAGTAATTTTTGCATTAAAGAGTAACAAACAACCATCCACACACCACACATTTTCACGTTTGTGATAACAGTTCACGGACGCAGAGGCTATGAAATGAGCTGTTGAGATTTTTCCAAGATACTACAATATGGGATTCTTTAAAAAGGTATAAAGAGGTTTCTTTAACGTCGGCAACATGCGTGTAATACCCCTAGTATTGCGGACGTTCATATGCTACGGTAATCTTGTTTACCACTTTAGTGATATAAAAAAATAGTACGATTTCAACATAATATTTTTTCCAGGATCTCAATTACAACTTAGTTAGCTGGTTGGATTGGAATTTGTGCTTAAACAAGGAAGGTGGACCGAATTGGGCTGGCAACATGGTCGACTCTCCTATCATAGTAGACACGGAGAACGGAGAATTTCTGAAGCAGCCAATGTTCTACGCGATGGGCCATTTCTCGAAGTTTGTACCGAGAGGGTCGAGAAGAGTCGAGGTTATGGAATCGAAACCGTTTTATTATCGGTCGCTACTTCATGTAGCGTTTCTTACTCCAAATAATACTGTGACTACTATTGTTTATAACAAGTAAGTTGGCTTTAAAAAATTTTCACCATCTTGAACAAATGCGCGTTACCAAAATAGTTCTATACTACTAGATATGCAGAAGCATTAAGTTGCTAAACGAACCATAGCTCTTAATTTCCTTCAAGCTTTATGGTTTCTTTATGGTATGACCAGTGTGGAATACTTACTTTACTATACCTGTGTATACGCTGACGTTGCACCAGTAAGTAGTAATAGATGTACATGAAGGTAAGACAGTTTTTTTAAGAAACTTAAAATGGCAAAGAAGCTAACAGACCAACCTGATGCAAAATGGTAACCGTCGTCTATAGACATGAACAGTATCATGAACTGTATCGCTTATGATACTTTTCCTAAAGGTTAAGGTGTTACGATTAAGTCAGTTGGCCCAATGTGACGAATTTACTAGGAAATAACCACGATACTTTTCAGGGAAGACTGTGTGTAGATTGATCAAAGAGTCTATATTGTTAGCAGTGAGAATTAACATTTACTGACAATCTTTTCTTTCAATTAGGGATTATAGTCGTAAGCATATATAATGATACCTGCTGCTGATTTTCACTACCGTACAGCTACAAACTTTTTTTTTTATACAATTTAGAATGGCAAGCAAGCTGACGGTCCACCTGAAGGAAAGCGGTAACCGTCGCCTATAGACATGAGCAGTACCATGGACATAACAGAGACACAACTGAACACAGACATAACTGTTTCGCCCATGATACCCCCCATGCGTTGCCATTCCTGAGGACTCAGGTGTTATTTCTCTGTACCCAGTAAATTCACGCTATATCCCACCCTTCAAACCGAAACACAGCCATGCAAACACAACTGCTTCACGGTTGAAACACGAATAGGACAGAGGTACCCAAGCAATCGACTTTTGTACAAAGTCTCCCTCTGGTAAACTAAAGTTCCATCCCAACCATCTGGTTAAGTAGTGGTCTTCCACCATACGTTTTTCAAGATACTTTTTTCCACACACAATCACACTTTGGAATTAACTTCAAGCAACAGAATTTGCAAACCGATACGATATCGTAACATTCAAGAAAAGGCATATTCCTTTTTTAAAGGCCGGCAGCACATCTGCGTTGATGTTGTGGGTGCTAATGGGCGGCAGTAGTCACTTACCATCAGATGAGCCGCATGTTTGTTTGCTCTCTGTTATATTTATTTTTTGTTTCAGAGACTGCTTCAATAGAACAGTTAAAGTGAAGGTGGGCAACTATCAAGAGGTACTACTGAGTTTGGAAGCAAAATCTATTACTACGATAGAGATTCCTGTTTGATAATTTTAATACATAACTTACTCGTATATAGAATTGGATGATTCAGTTGCGTAAATATATATGACCACTTAGTTCCTTATAGATTAAGATTATTATTAAAGTTTTTCTTTTTTATTGCTTTTATTATTAAAATCCGTAAGAATCTCTGTATTCTTTATTTGTCAAAATAAAATTCGGCTGCTGACTTCTGTAGGTATATCGCTTTTTGACGAAATTTTATAACGGCTGACTGAGAGCTATCACCCCAGGTGTATTGTATTACATTTTCGCTCATATTTTTGTAAAGCAAGTTTCATTAAAAAGCCATATAGCTTTAACCTTTGTCTAACTTCCAAGCTGTGATGTCTTAGGCTATAAGAAATTGGGCAAGCTTCAAGTGTGCTTGTTTCGGAAATTATGAAGGAACTAGCTGACTCGGTAAATATCACCTATGCGCCATCTATGAAATGTATTCAAAGTGGCAATTCTCATACAAAATACGATGCCTCCTATTTCCCTATTGTCCTCTCTCTCTGCCCTTTATTTCTTTTTTTTTTCATCCCCTAACAGTGTGTAGAGGCATTTGGACAAACACTATATAGCTTTTTTTAATATATCGAAACCTGTAAATATAAAAACTTGATAAAACATACTTATTAAATAAGAACATCGTTAAGATTAAGCAATTTTTTTGTAAAATTTTAATGGTAATATTCAAAATATATAAGTAGAAGGTAAAGGAATGGTAACCCCATCGGCGTGGGGGGAAAGGGATGGTTAGTTATGAGGTCTAATAGCCCCGTTGTTAGCAATTGACCCTATCAGGTCGACCTCCACGCAGTTCCCCCTGGAAACCATCATGGTTAATTCTTTACGAATTCATCATGATGGGCCAACTGACCTGCATTCAATCTCACCTATCATATCCACTGGTGCCCCGTCGGTGTATACCGATAGTGCGGGTGGGGTTACTATTTCATTTACATCTATTAAAAAAAAACCCCATCGGTGTTAACAGTATACACAGGCGGGGCACCAGAGAGGGATGACAGGTGAGAATGAAAAGGCAGATCAGTTAGCCTATCATGATGAATACTCCAGATGTATTCATTACGTTCAGCACGTTGGTTACCAGGGGGGTACGTGAAGGTAGACCTGAGAGGGTATATTGCTAGCAATGGGAGTATTAATCCCCATTACTAACAATTCCTTCCTATCTAGATATTTTGATTACCTGATTATTCTTTTATTTGCATAAAGGCATATTTAGCTCTAATATTTAGATCAAGAACAATTACCAGAGGGAGACTTTGTACAAAAGTCGTTTGCTTGGGCACCTCTGTCCCATTCGTGATTCTACCGTGAAGCAGTTTTGTGCATGGCTGTGTTTCGGTTTGATGGGTGGGTTTGGAATTTACAGGGTACAGAGGAATAATACCTGAATCCTCAGGAATGGCAACGCATAGGAGGTATCATAGTCAAAACAGTATACTCTATTATGTCCATGGTACTGTTCATGTCTATAGGCGACGGTTACCACTTTCCATCAGATGGGCCCTCAGCTTGTTTACCATTCTCAGTTGCATAAAAGAAAACAATGCCCTAATACGGAAGATATGGGACCACTGAATAGCAGTTTCACGTTCAATGATGTTAAAATAAGCACAAGCATAGATGACAATTGAGCGTTAATACTTTATCTATTTAATTTGGTTAAGTTAAATTAAGTTTTCACTTTGGTTAATTGATTAGAATTATTTTGTTTGATTTCACTAACATTTGTATGCGTGCAACTAGCGTGTAATTCACAAAAAGATATACAATTCTACTGTGTAATAAACGAATTTTCTCGTGTTAGTTATATACCATATAACTGTTATCTATTCTATTTATACTTCTATACTATTATTATAAAGTGGTAAATTTAGATATTCGAAGTAATTCCCAATACTACCGATTTTGGAAATTCTTTCACTGTTAGAAAGGTATATTGTCCCTGAGTGCTATATATATATATATATATATATATATATATATATATATATATATATATATATATATATATATATATATATATACACCAAAATATATAATATATTATATATTTGCAACAATGCTATTAGAAACGAGACTGAGTCAATTGGGTAAAAGTTAATTGAAAATATTAATGAAAATATTAAATTATTTTATTTACCGATTAAATTTTATTCCTTTTGTGGTAAAATTTGGAACACACTTAGCCCAGATATCTAAGAAATTTGAATCCGATCGTTGGCGTATTTAAGACTAGCCCTTTACAAAAGGTGTATATGTACTCTCAGACATACATCCTACGATGGGCGCCAGATAGTTCTGGGGTGGGTACGGACAACCCTCCCCTCCCTATCAATTATTTTGATTAAAAACTAAACTACTGAACTGACATACTGTACGGAATAATCTGTATGTATATCCCACAAAAAAAAAAAACAAAAAAAAATCCAAATCGGTTTGCAACTAATGGAGTTATGAGGTAACAAACATAACGAAAATACAATCGAATAGAAAACCTACTTTTTGGCCGAAAATGCAGAATTAGGTAAAGAAAAAGTATATATTTATACCCTTAGTAAAATATTTAACTAGTTAAGAAAAACATTTCTTAATTTAGCGACGCAGTATCAAAGCTAATAATAGCGCGCACATATATTTCTATGTGGTTCTATCTAATTGCCAATCTATTTTTATTTAAACATTTCTGTACTATTTAAATAGTACGTAGTGAAATAAATTACTTATATTTTCTTAATATATATTATTTTGTTTTTTTTTCCTGATAGGTGAAAACGGTATGGTAACCCCGCCCGCGCTAACGGGATACGCTGGCGGAGCACCAGTGAAGGGTGATAGATGAGAATGAAAACAGGCCAGTTAGCCCATCATGATGAATTCATCAGGAATTAACCATGATAGTTTTCAGGGAGAACCGCGAGGAGGTCGACCTGGTTGGGTATATTACTAGCAATGGGATCTTCAGCCTCCATTACTAACAATCCCTTTCCCCCCTATATTATTTTGTTAGCGATGTCGTAACGACCTAGACATATTTAAAAGGGTCTGGTTTGAAATGGCGCTGAAAAGGAAGTTTTGGAAGGACAGGGTAAAGACCTTGGCCCGCAGTACGACCTCATAGGTTAAAAATAGAATAGAATATATAATTAATTCTAAGTGTAAACCTGTTTTATTTTAATCATTATTACAATTATTCAACGTGGTGACGAAGTGTGTTGTAAAAGGTGACTAAGAGGACATTATACAATACACTACCGTGGGGGGAAGGGATTATTTGTAATGGGATCTAACAGCTCCATTGCTAGCAATGTACCCTATCAAGTCGACCTCCACGCAGTTCCCCCTGGAAACCATCATGGTTATTTCTTATGGAATTCTTCACGATAGGCTAACTGACCTGCTTCCATCATTGTCAATCATCCCACACTGGTACACCGCCAGTGTATACCGATAGCGCAGGCGGGGTTACCATTCCATTTACAACCATTAAAAAAAATAGACTACCGTAAAATGTGAAAAACCTGTATAATGTACAATTATACAAGTTTTTCACATATACAATAGGACTTAACGAAAGTATGACCTGACAAACGAATTATTGACCTGTTTATAAGGCAATACATAAAAATTTTATAGACACAAAACAATTCTATATTACAAGACAATTTACCTTTATATTTATGTGTGTGCAAGTGATTATTTGCTCTGTGCGTATACCTAATTTCATAGAGATTGTTTCTTTTTTTATACAACTTAGAATGGCAAACAAGCTGACGGCCCAACTGATGGAAAGTGGTAACCGTCGCCTATAGGCATGAGCAGTACCATGGACATAACAGAGTATACTGTTTCGCCCATGATACCCCCCATGCGTTGCCATTCCTGAGGACTCAGGTGTTATTCCTCTGTACCCAGTAAATTCACTGCCATATCCCATCCTACAAACCGAAACACAGCCATGCAAACACAACTGCTTCACGGTTGAAACACGAATGGGTTGAATTGTTAATACACCAATAGGTAACAAAGAAAGAAACTTTAAAATTTTATAATACTGACTTTTACATATAAGTTCGTCCATATATGACCAGGGCATGTCGAATGACCAAGATAAATAACCGTCTCCTTTCTTCTCCATCCCATATACATGTATATTAAATTTTGGTTAGTTAAATGGTAAGCAATTGATTAAGACGTTAAAGCATTAAAAAGTAGCCGTGTAGTCCCGGTGTCCCGATATAGAATGGGCCGCCCCTTCCTTACTCGTGGGCGTCGTAAGAGGCGACTAAAGGAACTTAATAGTTGAGGGACCGGCAACAACGTCCCTCTTAAAATATCACCAAAAGTCTCATTACGGTTACCAACCTACTCGCCAAGCGTGGCAACTACTGGCAAAACTCTTCTATGGAGAGGACTATGTTCAGCAGAGGATAATGAACGATTGATATAAATTAAGAAAAATAAATAAATTAAGAATTTAGTACCAAATAAACCCAGTTTACCATTTATGTTAATATATTTCAGTAAGGAAATAAGAATTAGTATGCTGCTGAAATTAGATTAAAAGATGTAACTACCTATTTACTTTACATGAGTTTGAATTTAAAACAATTTGAATTACGAATTTTGGTTAATTGTTTTTTGTATGCCCTTCATACATAAATACCTAATTAAATATATTTCACAGGTTTCTACCCTCAAGCAGCTGCTCTTGTTTGGTTTGGTTTTAAGAGAAAGGGATAATGAAATTACATAGTTAAAGTTCACTAAATGAATGGAGATGTCGGTAGGGGCCGCCCTAGACGGACGTATGTCGACCAAATAGGCGGCGTGCTGAAGAAGGGCCAAATTAAAAGTACCCGTAACCGACGAGCGTGTATGACAAGATTGATGAATGTGGAAGAAGCGAAAGAGGTTTGTTTGAATCGAAGCATTTGGCGTTCCATTGTTTCTGCCTACCCTAATGGGAGACAGGCGTGACAGATATGTATGTATGTAAGTTCACTAAACTAAATCTTCTTAATTTGTTTATTTTTCTAGTTAGCATACTTATTACTTTAGATACCAACAATTTTATAACTGTATTTTATGTATTATGTAAGTGAGTATGTACTCGTATTTAAATATTTTTATGTATTTATGTAGGTGTTTTATCCATTGTCTGTTCACTGCTGAACATAGATCTCCCCCATAGACTACCATAAGGAACGGTACTGAGCCATCCACCAGGAATTTAAATTTATATATATATTTAATAGTAAAAATAGTATATATATATACATATGAATAAATATTATATGTGATATTGGCACCTATATATTATATAAGTAATCTACATTTACATATTTTAATATACATTTACTTTACACGAAACATATTCCATTAAAGGACACACTTCTGCTGTATTAAATCGCAGCTCAAGTTTGTAACAGCATATATACACAAGTGTACGCCAGAATATAAGTAAGAAAATAATTGAAACAAATGAAATATATAAAAAAAAGAACACGGGCGGCGGTAGTCACTTACCATCAGTTGAGCCGCATGCTCGTTTGTCCGCTGTGTTGTAAAAAAGAAAAAAATGTTACTCCCCCTGCCGACATCTGTTGGGTCCATTTTTATATGTTATATAGGATAATAATAAGTTACATTTTCAATCATCAACCATCACCATCTTTAACCGTTGCAAAATCAACTGATTTTGCAACATATATATAATTATATTGATTGAAAAAATAAACTACTAAATCGATTTTAAGAAATGTTTATGAGAAAAATTTGAAATTATATATTTTTAGATATAAAAAATAATTTTACAAATCAGTTAATAAACAATAAAATTCTGAGATAACAAACGTAAAAAAAAATACAATTAAATTGAGAATCTTATTCTTTTTTGAAGTCACTTGAATAGTACAATTAGAAACAAAACCTGTCTTGCAAGTTTTTTTTTTATGTGTGAAAATGGAATGGTAACCGATAGCGCAGACGGGGCACCAGTGAGTGATGATAGATGAAGATGAAGGCAGGTCAGTCGGCTCATCCTTAAGAATTCGACAAGAGTTAACCACGATGGATGCCAGAGGAAACCGCATGAAGGTCAAAACAAAACGCACCTCTCGTACTAGCATTTCTTTTGTTTGGATATATCCACATATTAGTGTTACTGGCAATAATTAAGCAGACAGACTTTGCTAGATTTATAATTAATAATAAAATTGATGTAATAGAAAAAAAAAGTATCGAAATCGGCCTCAGATTTCATTGTAGAAATAGAACATAGGGCTCGAGAATGCGTATAACTAGAACTGACAAATTAGTAAGGTATTAAAAGTACCAAAGTGTAGGTTTGATTCACATAAAAGAAATGCATACTGTATAACTATTAAAGTTTACAACCATCTACCAAATTACATTAAAGAGTTAACAGTTAAAACACTGTTTAAATATAAACTCAAGAATTGGCTGTTACGTAAAAGTTTTTATTCCAGTAATAAAAATATCACTAAGAAAACAAATGTACTGGACGACTTAAAAATAAGTTACGTTACTTACCTACTAAAGATGCAATTGGTGCTTTTTGCTGTTATACACTAATTAATACATTCTCATAGTTCATTAAATTTAATTTATTAATTTGTACAGCTGTTGTACAAGCATTTAATTTCTGTTTACTTTTATATAACTAACTAGCTTTCGCCCGCGGCTACGCCCGCGTGGATCTTAGTTATCGCAATGTGCAATTTTTGGAAATAACTCGATAGATTTATTTGGATAAGGATTAATACTGGAGTATGAAAATACCACCCAGACGGCGACCAGCGTGGTTATTCTTAATTTTAGAAAGAAAAAGGATTATTGTGACCTAACCGTAATAGTTAGACATATGCTATCGCGAACTTATTTGTAGATCTCATGGAGTACTTTAAAAACGTAGATTATTGTTTTTCATTATAAGCAACTATATAGTCAGTGTGCGCAAGATAAGCGAATTTTATACAATTTTTCTTCCGACTTGTTCGACATAAATGGTCAAAGGATGTAGCTATCGATTAGTGAAAGAATTTTTGAAATCGGTATAGTAGTTTCGGAGCTTATTCGTTGCAAACAAAAACACAAATGTTTCCTCTTTATGATATTAGTGTAGATTATAGCGATCCGCCCCGGCTTCGCACGGGTGCAATGCTAAGCGCAAAAAATGTGTTAATTTACGACATCACATTAGAAACGTCTAAAATTATCAGTGTTTCTCTGTTATATTATGTATAGTGGACCCGCCCTCGCTTCGCTTCGGGTACCATTTTTACCCCCGTAGGAGTTACTTTTCATAACACCTATGTCCTAAAAGTTAAAACTTACCTACCTATACCATGCTGGTGTGGTGAGAATTTTGAAGTTTTATTTAATACGCCTCGCGCGCTAGACCTCTAAAATTATCAGTGTTTCTCTATAATATTATGCATGTATTATATACATAAACTTTCCTCTTGAGTCACTCTATCTGATGAAAAAAACCGCATGAAAATCGGTTGCGTAATTTTAAAGATTTAAGCATCTGAGCCGCGCGGGTGTCTTACTCATAGATCTAAACTCTGCTCCGCACGCGCACTCCGCCTTGGTGACGCTCACTTCACAACGGGCCGTGCATTGCTTGGGTACCTCTGTCCCATTCGTGTTTCTACCATGAAGCAGTTGTATTTGCATGGCTGTGTTTCGGTTTGAAGGGTGGGATATGGTGTGAATTTACTGGGTACAGAGGAATAACACCCGAGTCCTCAGGAATGGCAACGCATGGGGGATAACATGGGCGAAACAGTATACTCTGTTATGTCCATGGTACTGCTCATGTCTATAGGCGACGGTTACCAATTTCCATCAAGTGGGCCGTCAGATTGTTTGCCATTCTATGGTATGTTGCATAAAAACAAATCAGAGAGATATACAAATTTGTAAAAAATACTATTTTAATATTTAATGATCTTATATAGACATTTTACCCTCTAATGTCTTTGTAACAGACATTATCTAGTTACAATTTTATTATATGTTATAGAATGAAAGTGACGCATGCGCTTAATTAATTAACAATACCTGCCGATGATAAGTATGTACATATAAATGGTCGACTGTACATTCAAAATTTAGTTATTATGAAACCTTTGTTCAATTAGTAACCAACTATATATTAATAGGAATTACTAAAAATGACTTTCTTCTTTAAAATAATTATCTTCACAACTCCTTTGTTGTTAGTTTTGTGGGCAGATGGTGTTTATTCTGGTAAAGAGACAAATTTTGTTTTTTTTTTTTGCACATTATACATAATAATAATACCTTTATGTGTATATTTCAATCTGTATTTATGTTACTGTATTTCACTTAAATTATTCACTTGTCATTGTATATTTTTAATTATAGTGCAATAAAGAGGTAAATAAATAAATAAATAATTTTTTACAGTAAAAATGGGATCGTAAGAGGATGCTCCAAATCATTCAAAAGTAACTTGAAGCTAGAATTCCTAAAGTGTAAAGGTTTTTTTTAATGTGTGAAAATGGAATGGTAACCCCATCTACCCTCTCTACGCTGGCGGGGCACCAGTGATAGATGAAGGATAGAAGAAGATGGAAAAAGTGATAGGTGAGGATGAAGGCAGGTTAGTTAGCCCTTCGTGAAGAATTCGACAAGAATTAACCACAATGATTTCCAGGGGGAACTGCATGGAGGTCGACCTGTTAGGGTATATTGCTAGCAATTATCGAATCACAACTATGGTTACCATTCGAGCAAAAACGGATAGCGACTCTTTACGGGTTTTTTAATGTAATGGTAACTCCGCTTGCGCTATCCGTATTCTATGGCGGAGTACTAGCGAAGGATGATAGGCGAGGATGAAGTCAAAGAGAAAATTTAGCCGGATTCAAGTAGGTCTTTGTTCCTTAGGGGAAAAATGACACCTCAAGTCCTTTAACTACATCAATACTGTCACGAGTTTAACATCAATTTTGTATTGTTGATTCGATTTCTGTTTTGCACTACTGCAGTCCACTCCCTACTTCCTATACTACTATTAGAGGGTTAGAAATCAACCAGATAGCAACAATCTTCTTCCCCCTTTCTCCCGTATGTTAAAGTGACAACGTTAAAAATATTAATACTGGGTCGTTAGAAAATGTAGGTGGCATAGAACCATAAAGTATAATAGTAATTAGATGGGTTAAAGTGATAACACATTCTGTTTAGCATGTAATATTTTTAAATCAAAATATACTATAAGCACTCCAAGTACTGTTTCAAGTCTGGTGCTGTTGGTTGTTGGTATTTTTCGTATGTAGGTTTCTACAAGGTGATTCTCGTTTGTATGTCACTATATTTAGAATTTCAATAATGGTCCACAGATAAAAAATGTGCAGCTCGGAAGATAGAAGACCGATCCGTAGTCTGCGTATGTAATGTGACTTATTGCGACGAGATTACGAGGGAGAGACCTGCTGATGGTTCATACATAGCTTACACTACGTCGAAGGTAAGGTCATACACATAATTTTACCAGAGAGAGACTTTGGACAAAAGTCGTTTGCTTGAGTACCTCTGTTCTATTCGTGTTTCTACCGTGAAGCAGTTATGTTTGTTGCTTGACTGTGTTTCGGTTTGAAGGATGGGTTTTTTTTTATTGGGTGATAATGGTATGGTAACCCCGTCTGTGCTTTCGGTATACACTGGCTGGGTACCAGTGGTAGATGACTGATGAGGAAGAAAGTAGGTCAGTTAGCCCATGATGAATTAAACTAGAATTAGCCACGATGGTTTTCAGGAGGAACCACATGGAGGTCGACCTGACAGGGTATATTGCTAGTAATGGGGCTATTTGACCCCATTACTAACAATCCTTTTCTTCCCTGAAGGGTGGGTTATGGCAGTGAATTTACAGGGTACAAAGGTATTATATTACTTTAGTCCTCAGGAATAACAACGTCAGCTGCCATTACTGAGGAGTAAGGTGTTATGCCTCTGACCCTGTAAATTCACTGACATATCCCACCCTTCAAACTGCAATACAGCCATGCAAACAAAACTGCTTCAAGGTTGAAATACGAATGGGACCTAGTACCTAAGCAAACGACTTTTATCCAAAGTCTTCCTCTGGTAGGGGTACTGATTGTATATATATATATATATATATATATATATATATATATATATATATATATATATATATATATATATATATATATATATGAAGTTTGCCATCACTGTATTGATGCTATATTCATCATCTCAATCAGTATACATTTAATTTTAAAACCGAAACACAGTCATTTAATAACAGCTGCCTGTCGACAAATATACAAAAAGAACAGAAGTAACTATGCAGAATGTTTTGTACAATTATATAGCTTGTATTATTCAATGCAAAATCAATACATGGTATTATTTTTCATAGTTTTATCTTTAATATGTTTATATAGTATTATCTGTATTTTCCTTTTAAATACAATGTTTGTATGAATTGCATACTTTGCTACAAACATAAATTACTCAAGCTGTACACATACGAGTATGTCATGTAATTCGATTGTAACTTAGCTACATCACAAATATAACTACTATTTAAATTTTATCGCTATGATCTCTTTTATGTGTTTAATAAATAAAAAAAATATGCTAAGGTTCAGCTCAGTGTGTATTAAAAATATGTATTTTTTTAACAGGCAGGCTCCAGATTTCTGAAAAGTTCCGGCGAATTAGAAACCTGTGACAGTGATGGTAAATATAGCAAATTATGTATGTGCTGCATCTGAAAATCATAAGTAAAAACTTCATTGATCGATAGTTTCGTAAATATAGGGTATAATTTCATACGGATTGCATAAATAGAATATGCTTTTTATATAGTTTCATACAAAAAAATTTCTCTCAATTTCGTTAAATTTGCACCAAACGACGGAAATACCCTATATTCTTTTTGAAACTGTGTAGTTTAAACCAATATGTAATTGATGCAATAATGATATTTTCAGATCTATTCACAACGGTACTCACCTTGGACCCGGATACAAAATATCAGACCATAGAAGGTTTCGGCGGAGCACTGACCGACTCTGCTGCTATCAACTGGAAAAATTTAAGCGATCCACAATTGATGCAGTATCTTATAGAGTACATGACCACTTTTATAAAAACTTTCATTTTTTCATTCACATTAAGATACAACTTAGAATGGCAAACAAGCTGACGGCCCACCTGATGGAAAGTGGTAACTGTCGCCTATAGACATGAGCAGTACCATGGACATAACAAAGTATACTGTTTCACCCATTAACCCCTCTCCCATATGTTGCCATTCCTGAGGAGTCAGGTGTTTTCTGTACCCTGTAAATCCACTGCCATAATTCACCCATGAAATCGAAACACAGCCATGCAAACATAACTGCTTCACGGTAGAAACACGAGTGGGGTAAAGGTGCCCAAGCAAACGACTTTTGTACAGAGTCTCCCTCTGGTATATACTAATTATTTTTCTTCCACAGTTCATACTTCAGCAGTTCTGGCCTCGAGTACAATGTAGTGCGAGTGCCTATTGGTGGAACAGACTTCTCGACGCACGGTTACGCATACAACGAAGAACCGGTTAACGACGCTGAACTGACTCATTTCAATCTTACTTCTGAAGATTATGACTTAAAGGTTACTTTGAGTTTTGGTATTTTTCTAACCTATACCTATTGGGGGGAAAGGGATTGTTAGTAATGGAGACTGAGAATCCCATTGCTAGCAATATACCCAACCAGGTCGTACGGTCGCGGTTCTCCCTGGAAACTATCATGGTTAATTCTTGATGAATTCATCATGATGGGCTATCTGGCCTGTTTTCATTCTCATCTATCACCCTTCACTGGTGCTCCGCCAGCATATCCCGTTAGTGCAGGCGGAGTTACCATACCATTTTCAACCATAAAAAAAACCTGTACTTATTACTGAACAAAGATTTCTATACATAGGTTGCGGGACAGCACCAACGACATCCTAAATATGATTGCAAGCAGGTTGGACTGCTCTTATATTGGTCACTGTTGTGGTATGTCAAATGCTTCAGCGGTGACCAAATTTGTTTATTATTTCTTTTTCTTTTATTTATTTATTTTATTGTAAGATTTATCAAAGGCAGACTTTGTACTGAAAGTCGTTTGCTTGGATTTCTTGAAATATCACATTAAACAACATAGTTGAGTACACAATTATGTAGTATTGTAGTATTTTTTATTATATTAAGAGGGAAAACATAAAACTGAAAATTATTCTTGGTAACTATTTATTTATTATGTGTGTGAGCATTGCGTCTGAGCATCTTTCGCTAGATTAGCAAAACATTATATATTTTGCCTTGCCACGATCGCCTGGACTATCGACTGGTTGGTTACCTATATCTTTCAAACAGAAACATAACAACGTAGGCACAGTTGATTCACAGCTTAGACACATGTGGGATATATTTTAAAATGACATGGAACTGAGTGAAAACAAATAAAATGAGAGTGCCTTTAGCCAGTGGCTAATATATTGGCTTAGATTATATAGATAGAGCATCGAGCCTCAAAAACGGGTCAACTTTTAGAGGCGATTTTCCACCGCGCGTTTTTCAAGCCGATTTCTTCCACGCACAACCACTCTTTGGAATCAACTTCCAGCAACAGTATTTCCGAACCGATACGACATCATAACCTTTAAGAAAAGAGCATATTCCTTTTTAAAAGGCCGGCAGCACACCTGCAATGCCTTTGGTGTTATGGGTGATCATGGGCGACAGTAGTCACTTACCATCATGTGAGCTGCATGCTCATTTGCCCTGTGTTATAAAAAAAACTTTTTGTACTAATTGCCAAATTAGCGGACTCGTTTTTTTATCAGTATTCTATAAGATATAATAATAAAGAGTATCTATCTATCTATCTATCTATATATTTACGCATAATATTTTATCTTGAAGTATTATTTAATAAATAAAATGAGTGTCTACGCATTATATGCATATGCAGAATTTGTAAGACAAAATAAATATAGAAGTTGTAAAGGAGACACTCATAAGCTATCTATCACGCAAAATGTTATGTATGAAAAACTTGACCCGTTTTTCTCGAAGCATTTCTATGAAGACATTGTATTTATTTATTTATTTAACTCTTTATTGCACCATAAATAAAAATATACAATGACAAGTGAATACAGTAACATAAATACAGATTGAAATATACACATAAAGGTACAAAAGGCGGTTATTGCAAGGGCAATCTCTTACAGACAACCTTTGGTTAAAGGAGAACAGATAGAAAAGGGCAGGTGGCGCAAGAGTGAATTAATAATTTTTCGTGCATAAAATACAAAAACGTGTATCTATATAATCTAAGCATATTGACAAGTAAATATATTTTATTAATATTTCAGATCCCCATGTTGAAAGAAATACTGAAAGCGTCAACTGCATCCATACATGTACTGGCAACGACATGGTCTCCACCGCCTTGGATGAAGTCAAACAACGCATTTGTAGGCCAAAGTTATCTATTGCCACAGTATTACAGAACATATGCCTTGTATTATCTGAAGTAAGTTTTTGTAGCACCTATATATACTGTAAATATAAAATTAATTATTTTTTTTATGCAACTTAGAATGGCAAACATGCTGACGGCCCATCTGATGGAAAGGGGTAACCGTCGTCTATATGTAGACACGAGCAGTACCATGGACATAACAGAGTACACTGTTTCGCCCATGATACACCCCATGCGTTGCCATTCCTGAGCACTCAGGTGTTATTCCTCTGTATTCTGAAAATTCATTGCCATATTTCACCCTTCAAACCAAAACACAGCCATGCATGTGTGGGACAGAGGTAACCAAGTAAACGACTTTTGTATAAAGTCTGGTAATGTAATTTGATAATATAAATAATCAAACCATAAAGTAGCATCTATGTCATTATATTTAATTTTCAATCAACTTGAAAAATAAGGAGGTTCCCAATTCGATTTAATTTTGTAATATGTTTGTTACCTCAGTCAGTTGTAAACCGATTTGGAAAACTATTTTTTTATCTGAATGGTTATAATTACAGAATGGTCTCATAGGAATTTTATCAAAATCGGCTCAGCAGTTTAGTTTTTAAGTCAAAATAACTGGTTTTTCCACAACTGAAGTCGATTTTAGTGGGGCACAATCTTTAATTATAAATAATTAATAAAATTAATTGTTTTTGGGAGGTTTAACAGTAACTAACAGTCAATAGAGAAGAAGGATTTTCGAGTGCCCACCTAATGACCTTGAATTTCGGAAGAAGGTGGAGAAACGACTTTTATACTACTTTGGTGGCAAACAGACATTCAGCCCTTGATGGTAAACGAAGTTATCGTAGCCTATGGACGCCTGTTACCCTAGGGATGTCACGCGCGCGTTGCCAACACTTAAGAAACCTCAATACGCCCTTTTTGAACAACCCCATGCTGAAGTCTCTAAAATTACAGAGAATTAAGGAGAGATGCAGGTTTATTTATTTATTTATAACTAGCTGAGCCCGTGAACTTCGTACCGCCTAAGAGTCGATTCTTTAGTTTTTTTAATGCTTATTCTGCTATTCAAGACGCATTTAAAAGTCAACAATTACATTATGTCAAAAAATAACACACTCAATTGTTTTCTCTTCCCAGAACCTCTCTACTAACACTTGAACTTTATGGTATGGCATTAAAGTTCAAATTGACTTTGGGATTATAGGATATTTGTATGGGAGTATAGAAGTGTTGTTTGTAGACTTTAACAGGCAATTTTTAAAATTTTTCTCTACGTAAAAATCAATCTCGTACTTCAAGGTATATATTTAAAAAAAGAATTAGCGAAATCGGTTCGGTTGTTCTCGAGATTTGCGTTTAGCAACACATTCAGCGATTAATTTTTTTATTATAGATGTAACCGTTTAAGCCAGTGATTCTCAACCACTGTGCCACGGCACTTTTGCGTGCCGCCAAATTTTAAAAGTGTGCCGCCAAATTTTGCAAATATTTAAAATTTTTGTCATAAACTATTTATGCAGTGTGTTGTAGTAAGTAAATAATTTTTATCTTTTTCTTTGTGTGCCGCCAAATTTTGAAATCGTTAAATATGTGCCGCAATAAAAAAAAAGGTTGAGAATCACTGGTTTAGGCTATCAATGTCATACGTCCACTCCCGAGACATACCTGTCAACATACAACCGCGTAAATAAAAAATATTTTCAAGGACTAATTTTTTCAGATTTATTGAAATGTACACAAAACTTGGTGTTCCAATTTGGGGTATTACTACAACTAATGAGCCTATTAATGGTGTAACAGGCAGTGGCCAAGTTAATTCACTTGGATGGCTCGCTGCAGACATGGTAAGATTTACTTTATTTCAAACTTTCGTGTTGTTTGCACATATTTTAAATACGCAAGTTTATTGATCTTGCTGTATGATATATACGACAACTAGATAGAGGGAGTCTTTGTACAAAAGTCGATTGCTTGGGTACCTCTGTCCCATTCGTGTTTCTACCGTGAAGCAGTTGTATTTGCATGGCTGTGTTTCGGTTGGGATATGGCGTGAATTTACAGGGTACAGAGGAATAACATCTGAGTCCTTAGGAATGGCAACGCATGGGGGGTATCATGGGCGAAACTGTCATGTCCATGGTACTGCTCATGTCTATAGGCGACGGTTACCGCTTTCCATCAGGTGGGCCGTCAGCTTGTTTGCCATTCTAAGTTGTATAAAAAAAAATACAAGATATTAACCTCATTTTTTACTACAATGCAGTCGATTTTTTTTATAGATGACAATAGAGTGGTAACTTTGTCTGCGCTTACGGTATACGCTGGCGGGTCACCAGTGAGAGATGATAGGTGACAATGAAAAGGCAGGTCAATTAGCACATCGTGATGATTACACCTGGAATTCAGCACGACGGTTTCCATGGAGACCACGTGGAGGTCGACCTGATAGGATATATTGCTAGCAATACCCGAATTACTAACAAACCCTTCCTCCTCATGCAGTCGAGTATGGACATTTAGCTTGTGTGCCATTGTCGAGTTTAAAAAAAAACAAATTACTATATAGATAACTTGAAGATATTTTCCAAAGACAATGTATCAGATTTTATTAACTGGAGATCCTATTATTTACATGCGAACGAAACTGGAATTAATTGATTATATCTATATCATAGACTAGATGAGACTTGGAAAGTCTTTAATAATTTTTTATTGCAGGGAAAGTGGATAGTGGAAGATTTGGGACCACTGATTAGGAATTCCACGTTCAAAGATATAAAAATATTGTGTGTGGATGATCAACGCCCTTTATTACTATATTTTTTTAATGCAGTAAGTAAATTTAGACTGAATTCTATTATGCGCTGACCTAGTTCTTTGGTATAAAAAAATCATGCTTATAATAATATTATAATAATAATAAATAATCCTTTATTAAGGTTACCAGGACCCTCCTTTTATATTTTAAAAATTATTACATATATAATTATAATTGATATGCAACGCAACACAACGGGTCATGTAGAAAAAATCCAGCCTACTTGCTAAAATGGCCAGAACGCAGTTGGGTTTGGCCCGCACTCTGCAGAGCAGTGACGCAGATCGTTTACGAATAATGGTGAAGAAACAATACACATGCATTTCCGCAAACATTCCCAATGCACTGCAGAATCGAGGCAGTCCCAACAACACCCGGATCGCATTAATTTTTTTTTAATTATGTACAATTCGTGGTAGTCACAAATTCAATCTCTAATAATATAAACCAGTGATTCTCAACCTTTTTCTTTTGTTGCGGCCCTTATTTAACGATTTCAAAATTTGGCGGCACACAAAGAAAAAGATAAAAATTATTTACTTACTACAACACACTGCATAATTAGTTTATGACAAAAATTTTAAATATTTGCAAAATTTGGCGGCACAGAAAAGTGCCGCGGCACAGTGGTTGAGAATCACTGATATAGACTTATAACTCATTTATATTGGTACCTATAGTGTACATTATTGTCTATGATTTTGTTAAAGTTTTTTTTTTTTATTTTGTGAACCTTAGATGGTGAAAGAACATCCAGAGTCCCTGAAGTACATAGATGGAGTTGCGGTGCATTTTTATTTGGATGCCTTGGTTGGTCCCGAAGTGTTCACTGTTATTACAAACAATTATCCTGACAAGTTCATTATGGCCACAGAAGGATGTGCAGGTGAGATGATAACGTCTGACTGTACATTATCTTCATCATCATTCTGTCAGCCTTTAACTGTTCACTGCTGAACATAAGTCTCTTCCTTTAGGGGGTTGTAGTTGTTGCCACGCTTGTCAGGAGGGTTGGCAACCGCAGTTAAATTTAGAGTTGGTCTAAGTGGAACGTTGCTACCCATACCTCACCCTCCCTTAGTCGCCTCTTACGACACCCACGGGAAAGGAAGGGGTGGCCTATTCTATGCCGGGACTATACGGCTCATCTTAATAAATACACACTCAACTGTACCTTTATAAATAGTAAATAGGTTATGATGTTACACACATAACAACAAATACAAGTTATGTATGTTGAGTAAATTTATTTTTATATTAATTTTACTCCCGCCAAAAATCAGCGCTGTAGCTGCGCGCGCGATATCTTTCTCAATATGCGAATACAAATTGTGCAAGCCGCTTAGATGAACGATTGCTCTCCACTGCGCCTAAATTAATAGATACGTCTCAAATTTATTTAAAATTGATTTGAGGAAGTACAATGTTTTTTTTATGCTGCCCCTGACGATGACGTGTTCGTGCTTTTGTAAAATTTGAAACAATTTTAAATACTTTTTAAACAAGATTAGGTTTTTTAAATTCTATGAATCTAAATTACTATTTGTGTTGTGATTTCTCCTTCTGTGACTTTTACATTGTTATCTAGATCGTATTTTTTCTTTTAGGAGCGGTACTTTCGTTTGGTAAAAGAGTCCAGCTTGGTTCCTGGGAGCGAGCAACGGAATACATAAAGGATATTTTAGAGGCAAGTTTTTGATATCATCACTAAAGTCAAACACTGTGGAACTAAAAAATTAATTATTTTGCATTCTACGTTATTCGATAGTAAATTAAAAAGCGTAACATTTGGCCAGTCAATAATAAGGGTTTGAACTTTAAAAGCAATCAATTTTGAAGTATCAGATCATATCAGCCTTTATCTGTCCACTGCTGAACATAAGCCTCTCCTTTGGTTTTACCAGTAGTTGCCACGCTTGACAAGCGGATTAGCAACCGCAGTTAGGCTTCTTTCAAATAGTCGTTAAAGTCCGAGGGAGGTGCTTATGAAGAGAAAAATTGTAAATATTGTCCGGATAAAATGTAAATATCCCAATTTTCTGTTTTCCATACAAACTGTTCCTAGTTGCTAATCCTTAACGGGTTTTCATATCGTCAGAAATGTAGTATGTACAGGTACTTTTTGAGATGGAGAAGAACATATGTTACTGTTTATTTAGATCAATCTTGTCACTTGTCACTAGCGACATAATGGTTCCATACTGTTCTGATAGATTGATTATTATTATAATTTAATTGCTTTCTATTTGTATATAATTTTTTTTTCGTTTGTTTTGTTTTGGTTTCTTTTGTTCTTGTTCTGTGCGCTACTGTGTGGGCCGCATGCTTCTCCGATTAAATTATTTCTTTCTTTCTTTCAATCAATATATTCCGATCATGCATACGAAAATGCGGGTAGAAGCTAGTTACGAACTTGTTCTTTTTCAGGATCTCAATTACAACTTAGTCGGTTGGATAGATTGGAATTTGGACTTAGACGAATATGGAGGTCCATCTTATACAAATGGTAACGTAGATTCCCCAATTATTGTATTGCCAGATAGTGGTGAATTTATAAAGCAACCGACATTCTACGTTATGGGACATTTCTCCAAGTTCTTACCAAGAGGATCAAAGAGAATCGCTGTCGAAGAGAGCATACCGCTGTCGTCCAAATCAATTGAGAATGTTGCTTTTGTAACTCCTGACAGTACGACAGTTGTTGTGCTTTATAACAGGTATATATTGTTTCTTGTTTGAGAAGTTATCAATATGAATTACTAGCTGTCCCACAAGTTTTAGTTGCGGTGAAAACTATCGCATATTTTTATTTAGAATACGGTCTATTTTATTTAAACCCTTCCAACCATTACATCTCGATTAATCATCATTATCATATCAGTTATTATCTGTTCTCTAGCAAATATAGGCCCTATAGACATACCATAAGGAGCATGATCGTGATTAATTAACCAAAAACTTGTATTATTACTAAGGCTGCACAAAGACTTCTCCATGGCGATCTGTATTTCGTCTCGTGTTTCTGTATTACTACTAGTGTTTCTGAATTAAAGAGTAGGGTAAGGCAATAAAAGATAATGTGACAGTCACAGAGGACTTAAATCCTCAGGAGTAGTAATAATAGAAGGAACTATGAATATCTCAGTGTACGTATATCTTACATCCATGATGCTGTTTATGTCTATAAAGGCTTGTTAGTGCTTTCATTAGGTAAATTACTAGCTTACAGTGAATAAATTATTTTAGGAAAAATCTAGTCATAATTATTTTGTTATTCAGTATTCTTGTTACCAAATTCTCTGTTACCATTTTATTGTTACAGTGAATCCAGAGAGAGAGAGGTCAAAGTGAAGTTAAAAGATCAACAAGCTACGTTAACTTTGGAACCTGAATCAATGTCTACCATTGAAATTAATGCATAAGTGGAAGTAATTAAGAAGGATAGTACAAATAAGAGGTTTTATTGTTTTTATTAATAAGTAAAAAGTTTACTCTGAGGTTTAAATTAGTAAATGTGTTAAGGTCCTGTGATAAAGCGGGTTACTATCCACTACATAATATATATATATATATATATATATATATATATATATATATATATATATATATATATATATAAATATTGATATTTGTATACAATTTTCTACAACTATGAATAAAGAATATAATTATTAATTATGTAATCTCCTATTTATTTATTATTAAATCATAATTTTAAACACTACATGTATATATTCATTGTTAAATATAACCTAAACTTTTCCTTTGTAAATAACAAATAATGAAACTGAACTTTGAACCAAAAAAACTACAAATTTAAGCTCAGAATAATATTAAACAAGGCTATTTCAAACAAAAAGATATAATTTTTCAGAATTTCCAATAGAAGTTATAATCTAACGGTTTTAAGTTTCCCATCATCAAAAAACTGCTGCTAATATCATGGATACCAAAAAAGGTGGCTAAAGATAACGATGTGCAATTTGAACATACAATTTTAGTAATTGCTTCAAATGGCTTTAACAGTTCCAGATTTTTCCAAATGCTTTCCACCCTTCAGTGCACAAATTTTCGAAATATATAGATGTTATAAGTATAGCCTGTTTTTGTTCTAAAAAATAATACTTTATGTAGTATGATTAACTCCATCTAGTTGATACATTTTGCACAAACTGGTGATTTGGTAGGCTAAGTTCTTGTCGCAAATCGCGAAGTTTTGACTGGCCTGCACTAGAATGACGAATGTGTAAATATTTTGCATGTATATGCTATATTTTACAAGTAATTGTGCAGTGCAAAACAAAACATGTGCTAGAGGACTATCCAAAACAATATAAAATATTACAATAACAGTTATAAAAGTATATCATAAATTAATATCAAATTATAATTATTTAGCAAATATTTATATGAGTAAATATTAATTTAAAGCCCAACATTCATGGTCAGTTACCCAATTAAACCACTAGGTTTACAACCTATGGTTCAGAAATAGAACAATGTGTTTATATTTTAAATATTGACAATGTAATGAGATTTATCTTTCAAAAATATTAGTATTATAAAATTGTTTAAACATAATTCGTAAAACAAAATATTAAAACAAACGTTTTAAGTGTTTTAAAAAGAAGTAAGTTATTAATTATAATTTAAATGTTGTCGCGTTTAAAGTAGTTTTTTTCAATCGGCTTCAAAAAGAAGGTTTTCTATTCGTTTGTATTTTTTTTATGTTTGTTACCTTATAACTCCGTCAGTTCTAAACCGATATCGATTTTTTTATCTTTAGTGTCATAGAAATTTTATCAAAATCAGTTCAGTTTTTTCATAATTGAAGTAGATTTTTTGTGAGTCACGATTTTTAATTATAATAATAATAATAATTTTTATTTCAGACTTTTTGGTCCATTAAATATTTATTAGTAACAATATTCTTAAAAACTAATGTTAGTAAATTTACATACACAATAAATACACACACATACACACATACAATATATTTTGTCCATTGGAAATTGCGCAGCAGTGAATTTCTAAACAAAGGGGACCTTTTTCGCATGCATTTGTTAATTTGAATTTAAACATACATGTCTTCAAGTTTATCAAATCAATCTTGAATAAAAATTTATAGATTTTCTTCCTTCGCTTCCAAACCAATTTAATCTCTACAGAATAGAGTGACAGCCTAAAATGATAATACTGTGATCCTGGTCGGTCTTGGTCAACCATTGTGGATATACAAGTATATATACGTATATTCGTAGGTATATGGACGGGAAGCTATCAATAGAGATGGTACTTCGTCTTGTTTCATGGTTGACACTTTATGTTATGACCGTTAGTGGTGACCACACGTCAAATAAATCCGTAAACACAATAAATAAACTTAAATTTGGATATTAACTAAGTCTAAAAAAATATATAGACAGGAAAGATCCTGATTTAGAACTTTTGTGTCAAATTAAATCAAAAGTGGGCGATATATTTTATTTATAATAATTCCATTAAAATAACGAATTCTATTCCTTAAAACTAATGTTAGTATTTATTAATAGGCTCTTAGATTTTTTCCGAGAAAAAAGTTTAGATTACCATAAAGTAAAAACATAAATTAAAATCCCCAATTGGCCACTCCTTCCTTTCCTGTGAGTGTCTTAAGAGGTGACTAAGGGAACTTAATGGTCGAGAGATGAGCAGTAACATCTCTTGTAAAACATAACCAAAGCATAACTGCGATTGTCAAGCGGGGCAACTACTGGCAAAACGTCTTATGGAGGAGATTCATGTTCAGCATTGGATAGCTAACGACTGATACGATACGATATATATCTTGTACTCTGTAGTACCGTTGGTACAGTTGAAACATAACTATGAAAACCGCATCCAATCTGGTACAGTAGTTTTTGGGTGATGTCGGAACAAACAAAACAAAAACAAACAGAACAGGTAGACAAAATTTCTAAAAACTATAGTTTTACCATCTATTGACCTTATTAAGACTCTTCATATATAATTTTTCTTAAATATTTCCCATGTACAAACGTCGTTTAGTAAAAATTTTATCATTGTAGTTAAGAGATTCTGTGTGAATCACCTTAGCAAATCTTTCACTACCTGATATGTGATAGATGATAGTGGATGATGGATTAAGTGGAAAATTCTAAAGGTTTTCCTATAAATCCCCCATTCTCTCTCAAAGGCACTAACTAGGGTGACAGGATTAAAAGGGATTGTACTAAGAATCCCATAGCAATATATCCAAGTAGGTCGACCTCGCGGTTCCCCCTGGAAACTATCATGGTTCTCCTAATGGATTCATCAACTGGCCTGTTTATATTTTCATCAATCACCCTTCACTGGTACCCCGCCAGTGTATATATATCATTAGCACAGGCGGGGTTAGTATTCCATTTTCACACAAAAAAAAAAAAACTAGGGTAACATAGATACACTAGCAGTGTTTGAACTTATTTAAAGTATAGAACTTCCTAGAAATTGTCACAATGGTTACAAATTGAAGCATTACTCACCTTGTCAGTCTTTGTAGTTGTCCTACAATAATACTAAGGCTTCATGACTCACGCCGTAGTAAATCTGGTTACGATTGCCCGACTGGTTCTCCGATGAGCCTTCAAAAGTACGAATGTAAAATCTTTATACAGTGTGTCAATATTATTTGCATTTTATTCTGTTATGAATAATGATTACTCATACGACCTATATGAGTATCTTACTTTTACTAATACTCTACTAATTAGTAATTATTTTACTAAACCAGGTACTATCTATCTTGCGGTAGTCCATTTTATTTGTTATTTAATTAAAGTTATTTGTTTAATTCCGCATCAATTAGTATACGAGTGAGTGCCAACACTCGAAGATTGACCAACACTATTACTACCAGAATTCCAAAGTCTTCCATACCATATCATATCAGCCGATTATCGTCTACTGCTGACCATAGGCCTCCCTTATGAGGGGGGAGGGGAATTGCCAGTAGTTGCCACGCTTGGTAGGCGGGTTGGCAACTGTAAATAGGCCTTATAGATGTTTTGAGAGGCTTTTTACGTTGTTGCCCATTCTCAGGAATGTTTTCCTCGAATTTATTAAGTCAGGAATAGCCCTTAGTCACCTGTTATGTCCATTACGACACCACGGGACACCACGAGAAAGGAAGGGATGGCCCTTTCTATGCTGGGACCACATGGCGTTAGATATAATCACGGTGTACCGTATCGTACCGTGATATTATTTGTTTATTCTAGAAATCGGTGCGAATACCAGAGGGAGACTTTGTACAAAAGTCGATTGCTCTGTCCATTCGTGTTTCTACCGTGAAGCAGTTGTGTTTGCATGGATGTGTTTCGGTTTAAAGGGTGGGATATGGCATGAATTTACAGGGTACAGAGGAATAACATCTGAGTCCTCAGGAATGAGTTCTCTGAACATTTTTCTACTTCATTATATATATATATTATACTTTTATTATATATATATATATATATATATATATATATATATATATATTTTTTTTTTTTTTGATTTTGACGATTTTGAGATTGAAGAAGATTATTAGAATGTTTCTTTTATTATTTTTCCCGCACACAATTTTTATTTCTTTTATTTATTAGGTAGGTAATTAACAGAAATTGAACACACTGTATGAACAGTAGACGCGTTCAGAGTTCATCGAGTAAGATAAACTCGGAAACATAGTGTATTTTGTTCACTTACTCATAATGTTTTACTTACATTAGATTCGTTTTAAATTACATGATTCACCACTAATTGTTTTTATAATAAATAATTGGTCATATACTATATTAGATTGATAGATAATTTATTTACATTACTTACTTACAGCACACAAATTACAACATAGATACACAAAAAAAAATTTAAAGTTTCTTTAATTTTCTTAGTCTATAAAAGACATAAATTTTGTTTCATTATCATATCAGCCTTGTCCACTCCTGAAAATAAGGCTCCCCTTTGAGGGTTTTGCCAGTAGTTGCCACGCTTAGCAGGCAAATTGGTAACTGTTAAAATTGGTAACAGTTAGGCTTTAGAGATATTTTAAAAGGGATGCTCTTGCCCGTCTCTCGCCCTCGCCCTACTAGAGTAATAAAATCTGTTTGTTATTTTTCTAAAATAAATTAAATATCATATTCAATAGTAACTGTATCTCGCGGCTCAACCCGCGTGAACCTGGACATAAGGTATCAAATTTTAGTCAAATCTGTTCAGTAGTGTTTACGTAAAAGAGCAACAAACATCCATTAATCCACCGTTACAAGCTTTCGCATTTATAATATAAATAGAATAGCAAGAGTTTGAAATAAAGTATCAAGCATGACTGTAGACAAAAGTGGATTGACTAACGACATTTTTATAATTTGGGTAAATCTTTTCGCTAATTTTGTTACATAAAGTTTCTCATTACTTCAAGAAGCCAATATATACTTGCATATTCGATCGGTATCCATATTTTTTCTATATGGTGATAATGGAATGGTAACCCCACCCGCACTATTAGTATACACTGGCGGGGCACCAGTGAGGGATGATAGGTGAGGATGAAAAGACAGGTTAGTTAGCCCATCGTGATGAATTCAATAAGAATTGTTTACGATGTTTCCAGGGGGAACCACGTGGAGGTCTACCTAATAGGGCATATTTCTACCAATGGAACTGGTAGTCCGCATTACAGTCCCTCCCCCCCCCCCCTCCCTCGGTATCCATAATACCCATACCTAATGTATTGTACATTACTTGTTTCTGTATTTGTTAGAAACACGATTCGCAGCATTTTTATATGAAGTGTCTGGGATGCGTGTGCACGACGCACACATTTAGTTTCTTTTTTAATTTTATTAAAAAGATGTTTTGTTTGTAATTTGAAGTCTGTGTCAGTTTAGTGTTTGTTTCGTTCGCTTTTTTACGCCGTTGCTTTGTATATTTTTTATATTATTTTTATATTATATTATCTTTCTAAAAACACCGTGTTTATTTATTTTATACAACTTAGAATGGCAAACAAGCTGACGGCCCACCTGATGGAAAGTGGTAACCGTCGCCTATAGACATGAGCAGTACCGTGGACATAACAGAGTATACTGTTTCGCCCATGATACCCCCCATGCGTTGCCATACCGTGTTTTCATACCAGTATACAGTTCTTTCGTCCACAATGCGGTAGAAATAAAATACCTAAACACTGATTGAAAGTATCTTCCTCTTTTGTTAGAAAAATGTATGAAATATGAGTGATGTCAGCGGGTCACGGGAATCGCCCATAGATCGGAAATACATGATTACAACATTGATTATCCACAATAGCCCTTTATGGTGTACAGACAAAAAATATTTCTATAGGTATGGTTAGTTATGCCGCCGTCAGTTTTATCTGTGACATTTGGGATTACTTTCGTTGTTTATTTTTAAATTAAGTACAGAGGACAGAAATGTATTTAAATATTTACTCAAAAAAAGAAAAATCGGAGAAATTATTATTTTAATTGATTACTTAAAAGATGATAGTTGACAAATAATTTTTATATAAAAATTATTGTAAGTTTTGTTTTAAATATTTGCACGCTTGATTTAAGTAGATTTTGTAAGGTACTTTTAATTATAAGATGTAATGTATGCTCTATATATATATATATATATATATATATATATATATATATATATATATATATATATATATATATATATATATATATATATATATATATATATATATATATATATACTACTTAGAATGGCAAACAAGCTGACGACCCACCTGATGGAAAGTGGTAACCGTCGCCTATAGACATGAGCAGTACCATGGACATAACAGAGTATACTGTTTCGCCCATGATACCCCCCATTGCCATGCCCATTCCCAGTAAATTTACGCCATATCCCATCCTTCAAACCGAAACACAGCCATGCAAACACAACTGCTTCACGGTTGAAACATGAATGGGACAGAGGTACCCAAGCAATCGACTTTTCTACAAAGTCTCCCTCTGGTATATTATATAGCAGGACATGGAGATACAATTTAACTGATGTAATACCTTAATTTGACATGATCCACATGATCCACAATAAAGACATTTGTATTTGTAATGTTTTATGCTCAAAATCATAGCAAATATTATTATAAACAAGTATTATATAAGTAGGTATATGTAACTATTTTATATTTATATCTATCAATCAATATTCCTTTTGGTAGTCAATGGTTAAGTATTCACAGACATTGTACAATCTGCACCTATGTTCCATAGTGAACTATGTCTGAAATAGTGGTGATAAGTTTGACCAAAAATCAAAATATAGTTCTGTCTTATGGTACGTATAAAATGTTATTTATTCAATTAAGTACTAGTTCTTTTCCGTTATTACTTTCCAGTGATATATTTTTATTAATTTGTATAAAAAATAGTATAGTTTATTGGATGATAATGGAATGGTAACTCCGCGTTATCGGTAGGAATACGCTGGCGGGCCACCAGAAAGAGAGGATAGATGAGGGTGAAAGTAGGTTAAAGTTGTCCCATTATAACGAATTCCATAAGAATTAACCAAGATAGTTTCCAAGGGGAAACGCGTGGAGGTCGGCCTGATAGGGTATATTGCTAGCAATAGAGCTATTAGATCTCCATTACTAACAATCCCTTTCCTCCCAATAAAAAGAATTTATTTCCTTTCCTATTTCAAATACGTTTTACTTATAATGTATATAAATGTCAACATATTATATTGGGATATATGTTTTGTCATTTCTTCGTAGAATCGCTAATAAATAAAATATAAAAAGTCAAATTTCTATAATGAATAAAACAGTTTTTCGTAAACATTTCTAAGAAAACACACATTCGCGGTTTTGATACACCCTAGCAGCGGTTTATATGAATGGTTGGTAATGGTCGCCGAGAAGTGAATTGAACTGACCAGTCTGCAAGTTGACGTCGGAGAGGAAACACGTCTCGTTCTAATTTTAAAAATGTTTACTTTATCTGTGTTTGTTTTGCTGGCGATATGTGGGAGAGCTCTCTCGCATACATACCATTTAGGAGCATGTCCTGTCGTCGAGCCTATGCCAGGATTTGAAATGAATAAGGTACATTTTTTTTTAATTTGTTTACGTATTTTAAAATTACAATGAATGCGTATCAGTATTAACTTAAATGACCTATAGATAATCTTTCTGGACGGTTTTCACGCTTACAATATAAACAATAATTTATTGTTTTGATGAGCAGGAAATGTTGATAACTAAATTACTGTTAATGAGTAGGAAATTTTAAAAGTAAACTACACTTTGTTATCGATTAAATTTAACTGTATAATAATGTCTGTTTAAACTTTGTATTTTTAAATAGTAGAGCCTTAAAATTTTAAGTCAACTTTGAAGTAACTTCACTCGTTTGGAACTGTCCTATCTCACAGACAGATAGGACACAGAAAAACTGTTTAAACATCATAATATTTAATGTTAAAAAAGCATATTTAAACGTTTAGGATATGTTCGAAAGTAAACACACAGACAAAGGTATTAAAACTATAAGTAACACACTATTTTGTTCTAACCGCATTGAAATCGACTGTTGCATATAAGAGCTGCAATGTCACAGATAAAATAGGACTGAAACCATTTTTATTCACTAAAACTTTATAATTTTTGTTTTTTAAAGTTTTCAAATTACTTCAAAAAGAAAGAGGGCCTCGATTCGATTGTATTTTTTTTATATTTGTTTCCTCATAACTCAGTCAGTTGTAAACTGATTTGGAACATTATTTTATATCTGAAAGATATGCTTATTGGTTGGTCTAAAGAGATTTTATCAAAGTTGAATTAATAATTTAGTTTTTAAATCAAAATAATTAGTTTTGACACATTTTTTTTTTGGGAAACATAACCTTTAATTATATTATTCTACCCTCTAAATCGGAATCCAAGTTCATTTATCGTATATTGGTAGGTACCCTGTCATTTTAATATGGATAAAGTAGGCGAGTTACCATTCGATCCCATACCATAAAAACAGTATAAGCTCTGCTTATTTTGGACTAGACGGTGTTGTTACATCCAGGATGGGTTTTTTTAATAGATGCTAATGGTAACCCCGTCCGCGCTAACGGTATACGCTGGAGTGTCACCAAGCAAGGATGCTAGGTGAGAATGAAAAGGCAGCCCATCGTGATGAATACACGTGGAATTCAACATGATGGTTTCCAGGGGGACTACGTAGAGATTGACCTGATAGTATACATTGCTAGCAAAGAGACTGGTAGTCCGCATTACTAATAATCCCTTCCCCTCTTGCGGGGTGGATTAGAGTTATTTATTTTAGTCTATAGTTTAGTTTATAACTCATCTGGAATTAAGCACGATGGTTTCTAGGTGAACTGCGAGGCAGTAGCGTAACTATACTATTTGGGGCCTGTAGCAAATTCTTTTGATGAGACCCTATCAGTAAAAAAAAAATACTATTCAAGTAAAATAAAATACTCAAGTACAATGTAAAAAAAAGTATATATGTATATTTCTGAGCTCGCGTCCTCTTGAGCCGGGGCCCTTTTAGGTCGAGGGCCCGTGGCGTTTTGCCAGCCCTGCCACCCTATTGTTACGCCACTGCTGCGAGGTCTACGTGACAGAGTACACTGCTTGCATTGGGGCTGTTAGTCCCAATGGGCTAACTGGCCTGCCTTTTCATCCTCACCAATCATCTCTCACTGGTGCCTCGCTAGTGTTTACCAATAGCGCAGGCGGGGTAACCATTCCATTATCATCCATCAAAAAAATAAAAGTTCCCATTACTAATAATCACTTTTTTCCTTGTAAACATGTAAAATTTTATCTTGATTAGACATTATGCTCGATTTAAAGTTATGCTTTCTTTTAATCTTTTTCTGCAAACAAAAGTTTTAATAATCATTCGTAGATTTTGAAATAAAATAAATTAAGTATATAAAGATAATTATCTATATGAAGTCATAGGTCATATCCAGTCTTATCATATGTTTATCATTTAATAAGACTATAAATAACGATTATGTACGAAGAATTGTTTCTGCGAAGTAAATATGTATTACATATAAGGGGGCAGGGTATAGTATAGATAGAGCTAGGTACATAGTCAACCTTCAAGAAAAGAGCATATTCCTTTTTAAAAGGTTGGCAGCGCTCTTGCAATTCCTTCAGAATTGCGGGTATTTACTATTAACAAGCGGCAATAGTCACATACCACCAAATACGCACACTCGTTGCCCCTTTGTACAATATAAAAAAAAAAAGTTTATAAAAAAAATGAAACCAAATATCACGTATAGGCATTTCATCACATTTAAAATGGATGAAGTTATGAAAATTGTTATATTAAATAAGATGGTAGTTGTTTGCTGTTTTGCGCGGATGTGTATACAAATATTCATTGTTAGATTTATTTTAAATTATTTCGAAGATACATTTTCAGTGCGTTTTTATCTACCATTATTCTTTTATTCTATTCTAATAAAAGCTTTTTGCCCGCTATTTCATACTTGTGGATTTAAAAAGTAGGGAAATCAATTAAATTTACTATTTCTAGATGGCGTTAGTAACAGGTTATGGAATATGGAAGTCGACTAGTTAACACTAGGCTCACATCACAGGCGAAACACATGTCGCAAAACGTGCGTGAACTGAATAGTGGTCGGAGATTAATAACTAATATGGAAGGTCGTAGAACTTCTGGTAATAATAAAAGTAGTCAATCTTCGAGTGTTGGTATATATACATAAAGTAGCGGAACTAAACAAAATAATTCTAATCGACTAACCAGTAAAATAACAAAAAAACTAGTCCTTTCCTCGACAGGTCGATATTACCGCTGCTCTCCCTGGAAATTATCGTAGTTAATTACTACTGAATTCACCACGATGGTCTTAGGGGGGAAAGGGATTATTAGTAATGGAGACTGAGAATCCCATTGCTAGCAATATACCCAACCAGGTCTACCTCCTCGCGGTTCCCCCTGGAAACTATCATGGTTAATTCCTGATGAATTCATCATGATGGGCTAACTGGCCTGTTTTCATTCTCATCGATCACCCTTCACTGGTGCTCCGCCAGCGTATCCCGTTAGCGCAGGCGGGGTTACCATATCATTTTCACTCATCAAAAAAAAACCTGACTTCATTCTCATTATTTCAATCTCCACTGGCATTGTATATTGTGAACATTGGCGGGTGCACCAGTTCATTATCATCTATTAAAACAAAAAGTATTATATTATATTATCTGTAGGAATGTAAAATTTAAATTTAAGAAAGTCAAAGATATTTAACTCTTTCGAAGTTACGAGTACTGAATGTATATACCAACAGATCGCATTATACTGTAATTAAAAACTCTATTGTTTTTTTTAATGGGTGAAAGTAAAATGGTATCCTCGCCTGTGCTATCGATATACGCTGGCGGGGCACCAGTGATAGGTGACAGGTGAGGATAAAGGCAAGTCAGTTAACCCATCGTGAATAATTCAACAAGAATTAACCACGATGGTTTCCAGGAGGAACCACGTGGAGGTCGATCTGATAGGGTATATTGCTAACAATGAGGCGGTTAGAATCCGTTACTAACAATCCCTTTTCCCCCAAGACCTCTATTCGTCCACCGTTAGGTGATCTTATATCTAGTTTGAACAAACAAAGGATTCATAAAGGCGCTAATGAGAGGAAATTGACCCCGGTCAGACATGACAATGACGCATCACACGACACCACATCGACACTCACAGAACCGGTTTTAATATGATCACTTTCTAAATACAAAGAACAGAAAGGAGGTGATAAAATTTCTTAGCCATTAGATAACAAAACGACTGTCTTAATGACTCTGTTATCAGTTCAACGGACACATCTAGACGCATAACGTCCCGGATTGTCATGTAATCGTTCGGGACATGATAAGACTATCACTGGAATGCTATAAGTACTGGTGCATTTTAACTCGAGGCTTTTCAAAGAATACATGTTTTTAAACAACACTAATCACCTGCCTCTCAAGCTGGGATACTTTATGTTATGAGGAACCAGATAACGGGATTTCTTTTTAATACGATAATGGAATAGTAACTCCGCCTGCGCTATCGGTATACACTGACGGGACACTAGTGAAAATGAAAAGGCAGGTCAGTTGTCCCATCGCGCCGAATTCAACAATAAATTAGTCAGGATGGTGGAACCGTGGTTATGCTTATATATATATATATATATGCTTATATATATATATATATATATATATATATATATATATATATATATATATATATATATATATATATATATATATATATATAATATATATATATCCCTTCTCCCCGATTTGAGGACCCAACCCAGCGCACTAAACCTAACCCAAATAGGGAGGGGGGGGGGGGGAAGGATTTGTTATTAATGCGGAATACTAGTCCCATTGTTAGTAATATACTCTGTCAGGTCACTTTCCACGTGGATCTCATCGTGCTGAATTCCAGGTGTAATCGTCACGTTGGATTAACTGACCTGCCTTTTCATTCTCACCTATCATCCCTCACTAGTGCCCCATCAGTGTATTCCGTTAGCGCAGGCGGGTTACTATAACATTATCATCCGCTATAGACGCGTCATTCGTAAAACTTAAAATCTATTAGAATTATTGTAGTGATTGTTACTTTTTTTTTTAAATAGAAAATTAGTACAATAGAAAAAGACAAAACACTTCAGTAGATGAAGTAGGTTTATAAAAATATTGACGTTTTAAACCGACTTAAAAAGGAGGTTCTCAGTTTAGTTGTATTTTTTTATGTTTGTTACACTTCAGAACTCCGCCAGTTATAAACCGATTTGTAAAATTCTATTTCATCTGTAACGATATACTTTGGTTTCTAAAGAAATTTTATCGAAATCAATTCAGTAGGTAATTTAGATTTTAAGTTAAAATTAAGTAGTTTAAAAATTAAATACAAAGATCTTTATTGTAAACCTAAGAGTTTGCTATTATTGTAATAAGTTTTTTTTTGTGGGACACAATCTTATTAAGAATATAAAATACATCGATTAATAGAAAGTAGATACATAAATTCTTCATTATAGTTGCTTATTCACAGTGTCTGAAATAGTTAACAATAATGTCATTATTATTCGAATTATATCTGGTGTCTTTTTGTTCAAATAAATGGTTCGGATCAATCTTGTGTGTGTGAGAGTACAGCAACAAGTGTTTGTGTACTCTCACACACATATATATATTATATATAAGAAATAAATTCATAAGTTCGCATTAAAATATCCTCTATTATTATATTATCTTTTTTGTTAGTCGATCATTCACGGGCAGGGCACCAGTGAAGGGTGATAGGTGAGAATGAAAACATGTCAGTTAGCCCATCGTGATAAATTAAACAGTTATTATCCACGATGCTTTCCAGGAGGTTGACCTGATAGGATACATTGCTAGCAATTGGGCTGTTAAACAGCATTCCTAATAATCCTTTCCCCTCCTTTTTCAGATGTTAGGAGTATGGTACGTCATCCAGAAAACATCGACAGCGTCCAATTGTATCACATACAACTTCACGAAGACCGACGAGCCGGGGAAATATGAACTAGAGCAAATATCGCAGCATTTTATTCTGGGCCTCACGCCTTTGAAACATGACTACAGGTAAGTGTAAATTAAGAAGAAAAAAAAAGAAGATGTACTAAAAGACTATATTTTTTTTTTATACTATGGTGGCAAACAAGTTTACATCCCGTCTGATAGTCTATGGACGCCTGTAATACCAGGGATGTCGCAAGCCCTTTGCCGATCTTTAAGACACCTTAAAACCCTCTTCGAAAATTATATCGTTATATATCTTTAAAGCTTCTAATAATATAGATTTTACCTATGCCAGCCTTTAATATGTTTTTTAAATTACCCATATTATATTGTAAGGGGAAAACTGAATAGCAAACAAACTATTCCAAGTTTTTATGATAAAACCTGTTATGTGAAATTCAAACATGAGCATGTAGTGTTCATTCTCATAAAACAATGTAAGATAAGACCAACTAAACAATATAAATGTATAAATTGCATTACATACATTCGACATTTCTATTTAATTTTGTTTGTAGGTACACGGGAATATTGACAGTTCCGGACCCTTCGATTCCCGGCAGAATGAAAGTGCGGTTCCCTCTTAGTGAGTATTTTTTATTTTTGTTGAAAAAGCAATCCACACATTTTTTAATAATGACAACTTTCTTAGTCTATGTTTGATGTGTATAGAGTGATGTTCTCTGGTCAGTGTCTGGTAATTGTAAGAAAATAATAATAATAATTCTTTATTTGGAACAAAAACATTAGTTACAATATTATTGAAAAACGATGATATCCGCAGAAGCATAAAACTGTGTCGCGAATATCAACAATCAAAAAAAGAAATATGTCGCCTCCAATACATTTTATAACTTAAAAATATTAATAAATATATAAATAGGAATACGAGTCGTGTGTTTAAATACAACAATAATTACTCTGCTAAATTACTTCAACATAATAATAAAAAAAAAAAAAAACAGATAATGAACTATATTTTTCTAGCGATTATTAAACTTATTTCTTGGAGTTTTATCCTCCTTTGAGATTGTACATAGACATAGTACCTAGGTATCACGTACTATGGGAATTATAGAAAATTGTCCACGCGACTATCTTACGCAGTTATATTAAGATTTGAAGTGTCATCATCATCATCATATCAGCCGTCATCTATCCATTGCTGAACATAGACCTTTCTCTCATACTCGTAGATTGCTGATGATTCCTTACAATACATTTGAGGAGTGTGTTATTAAAATTATTTGATACATTGACTCGAGCTAATAATAATTTAATTTGCTATGATTTTGGGTATAAAACATTATTATATTATAAAGACGTATACTTGTTTGATACCTTCGTGGTATAAAAAAATAAATAAAAAAAAGATGAGAAACGCGCGAATTCCCAATTCAAATATTATCAACAGTTACCACTTTCAACTTGCTTTCAATTGTTTTTTTAAATAAAAAGGATATGAAATAAGTTTAAAAGTCGTCATTAAAAAACTCACAAATTTTTTGTGAAACCATCAGGTGTGGCTGGCTCAGCGAGTTATACAGTGATGGCTACCGATTACACAACATACGCGGCCATATTCACGTGTCAGAAGCTTGCGTTTGCGCATAGACGGTCTGCCACCATACTGTCCAGGTCTAAGGAACTTGACAGGATGTATGTTGATAAAGTAAGTAGAAGGTATATTTATCTAACTTTACATTGCGGAAAAGGGGAAAGGATTATTAGTAATACGGACTGTCAGTCCCATTGCTAGCAATATACTCTGTCAGGTCGACCTTCACATGGTCCTCCCTGGAAACTATTGAGCTGAAGCCTAGGTGTATTCATCTGGATGGGCTAACTGACCTGCCTTTTCATTCTCACTTATCATCCCTCACTGGTGTCCCGCCAGCGTATACCGTTTGACGGGGTTACCAATACATTATTATCCATTAAAATATAATATTCTATAACGATAAGAAATTGTGTTCAACAAAAAAGTGACTTCAATTGTGTATTTTGATATTTTGTTAAAAGTTATTTTAATTTTAAAATTAAATAATTTTTAATATTCAAAAAATTAAAAATAACCAAAAATATTCAAAAAATTACATAATAAAAAAATATTAAAATCGGTTCAATAACCGAGTTTAATATTTTTTTATGGGACCTATTTATAAGTAAATCTTTTTAGTTAAAAAATAATTGATAACTGACTAAGAGGTAACAAACATAAAAGTAAATATAACCGTATTGATAACTTACTTTTTGAAGTCGTTGAAAATAAATAATTGTTTACAATTACTCCATCATCAGAGATTCATAGGGATCCTGAATCAGGGATTCATGACATAAATTCATGTATCATGACCATTCCTAAATACCTATTATTACCTATTTTTTTAAACATACTATTTCTTTGGCAGATGCGTTCAAAGTTGTCTTCCTTCGGGGTGGACCCATATGATCTGTCCATCATTTCCCAGAGCGAATGTCCAAAACACGTCAACGGAACAACTGAGGGTGTAAATATTAACATAGATCCAGAGACGTTCTCGTCACACAACATTGGGGAGGCGGTGAGGAAAACCGGTGGAGCCATTGGTAAATATTTTGTTTTTCTTTCCCAAGCCACTTCGAACACATTTAAGATCCTCGTTCCACCTAACGGAAGGGTCTCTTTCCCACATTATTACATGATAGATTTCAATATTGATAAAATTAGAAAATCTTTAAATTAAAGATAATTATTAAAATTTGTTATTTGCAAAAGATATTCAGAGATATAAAAAAATGAAGTCCAATTGAAGATCTTAATTAAATTCTGTTGTTAAAACGCGTTAAATACGTGTGTTTGCATTTGCGAAAATTTTTACACCAAGGAAACATTGCTATAATGTTTATTTTAGGCGTTTTGGTACATTACCGTTCGTCTAGATGAATACACCGTATTTAAGACAATATTGATAAAAAATGTTAATGTACTAAAATTATAACTAAGCAGAGTTGGTACTTTAGGTGCTGAAAGACATATCTATACACATTCCGGTTCGAATCGAACCCTCTACCACTGGAAGTAAGTGTGTTAAACTGCTACGTCATGAAAGTTGTCAAATTGTACCATACTACACACTCCAAGATAATGTTTAATTTATATTTGTATATGTAATTTAAAAAATTACAGCTGACGGCGTAGAATACGTGGTAGAAGCTGGCAAAAAGGTATACCACAAGGTAGCTAATAGCAAAGAAGACCTTACAGAAGCGCCCTCTGGTGAAATAAGCCGGAATTTAGAAACGGACGCAGAATGGCTGCCTTAAATTAATAGATATACATTAATGTAAAAACTCATAGACAATCTACCTATCTAGGTATATTTAATAATAATCATACAGCTTTTTAAATATATTCTTCATGGCAGTACTAACGACTTGCCAATAGATATTAAAAAAAAAAAAAATATAGACCTAAGAACAAGGAATTTCAATTCCGAAATTTTTGTTATAGACTGAATCTAAATTAATAGAGATAATGAACAGCTTTCAATTCCTGTTTCAGTAATGACAAAGTCTGTAATTCCTGTCAAGTTTCAAAAATAATCAAATTATTTTCAATTTTATTGTTAAAGTAAATAAAGTACATATTATATTTTATAAGAATAATAAGTACTGGATTGATTTTTTTGACAAAAATACAAGTAGTTCAAAGATTATTTTTTACAATAACATTTTCAATATTTCTGAAAAAAAGTTTTTGAAATCGAATCGAAATATTAATTATAGAACCTAAGCATAGAACATTATGCAAATAAATCTAAATATCTATTTTGCTACTACTTACTTCTATATTTCAATATTTTGCCCTTAAAATTTCCACTCTTTTTACTGTCAAATATAATAGAAATCCTCGGAACGGTGAGGTCGCTCCGTGAGGCCTGTGAAGAACCCAGGAAGCTTCTGCGCTTCTGGGTGGAGCTAGGTTGGCTGTACTATCCACGACTCACACGCACAACGGCCCAAATGAGAGGCTAAGCGCGGAAAACAGAGTCTTTCTCACATTCACATACTGTCAAATATCAAAATTAGGTCAATGAAAATCTTATTGCAAAATTAACAATATAATTTGCTATTATATTTTCAACAATAACTCAGAAATATAGAAATTTTTGAAAAATTCAGACGTTGCTATGCTTTGGTGCAAACCCTCGTAATAAAGCTTGTCAATGAACAGGTCTATTAGAAAGTTCCCTTTTTTTACTACAATACCTTAGCTTACTATATAGTTTAATTGCCATTAAAGATTAAATTAAGCCAAATATTAATACTCAGGAAACTCAAATGTTTTTTTTTTTCATTATATCAAAAGGCTCTCAAGTATTTTCAAAGTTACTCTTAGATTAGAAAATTATAATAAGCAATGCAAGACAATATTGTAAATAAGTTAATAGAAATAAATATATTCTACCAGTTACTGTTGTTTTTCTTTCAACCGACTTCAAAGAAGGAGGTTCTCAATTCGATTATATTTTTTGTTTGTTACCTCCTAACTCCGTCAATTGTAAATCGATTTGGAAGATTCTTTTTACAACTGAAAGTTTACAGATTGATCCTACAGAAATTTTATCAAAATCTGTTTAGTAGTTTAGTTTTTAAATCAAAATAATATTAGGTATCATATGTTGTTATTAAATCACTGTTTTTTATTACCTATTCATTCTTCATTTGGTATTTATTTATACCTGTATACAAATTTTTTTTATATCCATCCAGCCCCTTAGATCAGATTTTAATCACCACAGCTACATATATAATAAATACAGCTAATTATATAATAAATATGAAGTTTGTAAGGATAGATAAACGTCTGTTACTTTTCCACGCAAAAACTAATGGACGATTTAAATGAAATTTGATACTTGGGTAGGTGCTAAGTTAGCACATTGTTAGAAATATGTCGACGCGGTTCTCCCTGGTAACCATCGTGGTTAAGTCTTGTGGAATTCGTCATGACGGGCTCACTACATTCTCACCTATATGTAATCTCTCACTGGTACCATACCAGCGTATACCGATAGTGCAGGTTTCATTCTCGTCCATTAACAAATTGTAGATAGTGTATATTATGCATTCGTTTTTATGCGGACATAACCGCGAGATACAGCTATTTTTACATATTTCTGAATGAAAATTTAAAAAAGGACATTTTGGCTAGTGCCAATTTCTGCGTATCTTTCGGTCGCGTAATTTCGGTGATCGAAAATAGTAATCACATAATAAGATTTAAACTTCGGAATTTCAATATAAAAAACTGAGACCTTTAAAAGCAAAATGTTTATGTACAAATTGTTCATATCATCGTATCATTCACAAATATTATAAATTGTTTTTGAAGTTTGTAATAAAGATAAAGTGTAAAGCTATTGCAAAATCGATGGAAAAAAAAGTCAAAAAGAAATTAAGATACTGATAACTTGACCAAACCACGAATAAAAATACAACCAATTGATTTTTGTCTCGTTTATTTCAAACCAGCAAGCTTTAAAATAATTTAATAAAAATAATTTTTGTACAACAAAAATACAGTTAGCGTACACTTTTTGTCACAAAATAATTTGTATTATGTTAAACTATTTAAGATGCCCTCATTGGATTTGGAGATTTAGCATTATATTATACATTATTATACATAAAATATTTGTAACAGAATAATGGAGTAAATCTGGCGACATAATTGATGGTGAGATACTGACCTTTCTAATAATCTAATGGAACCCTAAAACAGGCGTAATTTTTGCAAAAATTTGCAAATCAAATTTCAAATCTGCATTTTCGAGATTCCTCGAATATAATTATTTTACAATTGCACAAGCAACAGATTGTTACAAGGTGAAATGTGGAATTCTTTTAAATGGTAGAAGAGTTATGACTTTAATAGTATTTATTGTTTGTGCCGTGTACATGTAATGATGCTTCCACTGTAAATGTTGGAGTTTACACACACATTTATATATCGATGCGAAAAAAATAAAATTTCTATGTGATATTTTACTTCAGCTTCCTTAATCATTCTATGATAGTTGAGTAAATGATTCAGTTTCAAAGTGTCAAACACAAAAGGTAATTTTGGTGCCGTGACCAGGATTGTAGTGTATAAAAAGCGATGCGTCTGTCGCCGAATTTACATAACGATTCTGATTTATACATTAAATAATTATTGATACAATATAAAATATGCATTTGTATAAATCGTATCTTGTAGTCGGAATCGATCTTTACAATATGTGAAAACTTGGTCTTTTCACCCCTGTGAATTCGCCTTCAGTTTAAATACCGTACATTTGGAGCACCAGGAATGGTATTTATTGAAAGCCATTCATACAAGCAACTAAAATTTTACTACATTACTAAAATCAATTTATAAAAAAAAAAACAGGATTAGTTCCAGCAAATTATTTTGTATAACACATTTCAGTTTTAAATTCGTTTAATGCTGATACTAGAAGTAACGCAAGACTCAATAGCATATTTCATTTTGCTACAAAAAATACCTTAGTCCGAATTTATTAAATATTTTAAAATAACAGTTTTTCTTCGCAACGAATATAATAATGACCCCTGTATACTGTTTGTGTGTGGCCAGCATACAGGTAGACTCGTGGAGTTGTGGGAAGAGTACTCAAGGTGTGCAGCGATCAAGGAACCGGGGGTAGAGACAGACGTCACGGATGTGCGGCCGCGCCAGTAACCAGCACAGGAAGCGTTCGAGGCCGAGGCCGTACCCGCCGTGTGGTACGGAGCCGAACTTTCGCTGATCCGTGTACCAGTAGTACGGGGAGGAGTCGATGCCCTCGCGTTTGTAGCCTGCCGAAATTATATAAATGTAAATATATTGTGACTTTAAAGTTATAGAAAATACAAAAATAAAAACTAAAAACAAATAAAAATACTCTACGTCTGGCTTCTTTTTTGTTTATTTGGTATTTCAGAAAATCCATTTTTATTAATCCATTTTCGAATTCATTCAACCGTTTACGCATGAATGAATAAGAAAAAAACCAAACGCCTTTATTTATTGTAAGAATTGTCACTAAACAAAAATAGAAAAGATTCACCTAAATCCGAGCATTATTAGTCCATATAACATACTTAATAGACGGACAAACTTCTAATTTTCATACAAAATACCAAACAATGTGAGCATTGTTATGCAAAATGTAAATGAAGTAATGCAAACTCCAAGGCACCTGCTGACATTTGGTCAACGAGGTGCCTAAGTATTTGCATTATTTAGTATTTAACAAAATTAATTACACATTCACATAATTTATTTGATTTCTGATGACCTTTGTAGTAATGCACTATTAATTCATATGGGCCTTGGACACATCGAAACTTATTAATATTATAACTGCAAAAGTTTGTAAGGAAAGATGGATGGCTGTTTCTTTTTTATGCAATTTAGAATGGCAAACAAGCTGACGGCCCACCTGATAATCGTCGCCTATAAACATGAACAGTACCATGGACATAACAGAGTATACTGTTTCGCCCATGATACCCCTATGCGTTACCATTCCTGTGAACTAAGGTGTTATTACTACTCCCATCCCTCCATCCCTCCATCACTCTGTAAACCACCATAATTAATTCCAGGCGAATTAGCTATGGATTAGTCACGATTAATTTTTATTTCTTGAAAAAAAAAATGACGAAGCTACGGATAATTTTATTTAAGTAATTTATTTACATGCTTTTGTACTTTAAAAAAGCTAGTCTAATTACATTATAAATGTGAAAGTTTGTACATAAGATAATGTTCGTTACTTCATCACTCTTAAATGGCCAAATGGAATTGGTTAATTCAAACCATGTGGTAAACGGGTAACTCATATTCTTATTTATTGATGTACATGTACATAAGCAAAATAATGGGTTAAAGCTAGTAAAAAATAAAGCGAACTCACCCTCCATAAGTTCCTCGTAGTCCCATATCCTCATGGAGCCGCCGACGATCTCTCCTACGCCCGGCATCAGTACATCCACAGATTCTGTGAGGCGACGGTCGTCCGCACACCGCGACATGTAGAAAGATTTGATCTCCAATGGAAATTTGCATAGTAGGATCGGTTCACCTATAGCGTCAGTCATTTTGCGCTCCGGCATCTCTGGTATGTCCTGAAATATTGGTGTTGGTACGTTTACAATTAAATATTACATCATAGACTAGTGGGGAAAGAGATTGTTAGTAATTAAGTCTAACTGTCTCATTTTGCTAGCAATATACGAGTACCCGGACCCTATCATGTCGACCTCCACGCGGTTTCTCCTAGAAATTCAAATTCGAAATTTATTGTGACTTGAAAATAAAAGTGTGAATTTTGTAACTATTCAAATTACTATTTATTATTAGTTCACGGCCAGGGTAGTTTAGTTTTTGTTAACTATGTTTCGAGTGGGGGGAAAGGGATTGTTAGTAATGGAGACTAAGAATCCCATTGCTAGCAATATACCCAACCAGGTCGACCTCCTCGCGGTTCCCCCTGAAAACTATCATGATTAATTCCAGATGAATTCATCACGATGGGCTAACTGGCCTGTTTTCATCCTCATTTATCACCATTCACTGGTGCCTCGTCAGCGTATCCCGTTAGCGCAGGCGAGGTTACCATTCCATTTTCATTCAACAAAAAAAAAAAAATCTATGTTTCGAGTCGGAGGAAACAGCATAGCTATGGCCACCTGCCGTATATATAATAATGTTCACCTCTCCGAATTCGTAGAACGAGCCGTCTTCTTTAGTGATGTTGTTGGCCCGCAAGTACTCTATCGCCTCGCTGTACGCCATGCGTCTGAATGGCCTCTTCGGCCTCTGAAATACCATCACAAATCAATAATCGAGTAATCTAATAATAAAACTGCATGTCTCTTACATGCATTTGAGCAGAGTCGTGTTGTTATTAAAGTTTTTATTTAATATTACGAAGGTGGGCAAACAAACATTATAGTCCGTCTGATGGTAAACGTGTATATATATAAATTGGCACGCCATTTAGAAGCGGTTTATTTCATTGGTTTTTCTACTTCTGAAATCCGCGCGTACGAAGCAGCAGGCAAAGAGCTAGTAGTAAATAATCAGACAATTCATTTGACAATAAAATTAATATCAAACTATTAAACCTATTTTGATAAAATTTCCAGGAGACCAATCTGCAAGTATATTGTTTCAGGTAAAAAAAAAGAATTCTCTTGAAGAATTGATTTACAACTGACGGAGTTATGTAACTAACAAACATTAAAAAGAAATACAATCGAATTGAGGACCTCCCTTTTTTGAAGTCAGTTAAAAACAGAATGACTATCAAATGTTACACGACACTTTTGGCAATTCTTGTCTTTGCATTTGTCAATTTTTTGTCTCTAAAAAATTTTTGTGGAGTGGAATTTAAATATTAAATTAGTAAGCATTATAGAAAACATGTACATTTAACTCAAACTCGTAGCTTTTTTTACGTTATTTCACATAGGAATACAAATTAGGAAAAAAAGAAAACATTTATTAATCATTTTATATAGCATGTACTTATGTGAATACCTAATGGGACTTCCGCTTAACATGTGATTACAGCCTCTTAAATGAATAGTTTTTAAGACTCTAGATTTATAATTTATACTATCAAGTATACACTTTCAGTGAGCAATATAAGAGGACTTACGCAATAAACCCTGACAAGCAAAATACACTATACTTTTCTATTCATTCTACGAAATAAAAAAAAATACTAAAAAATCTTTCCATATTTAAAACTGACCTTGAAATCGGGGTTCAGTTCGTGCACAAGGTGTGCGGCGTCTGATTCTAACACTCGGTCTACCACGTCCACCACCAAGTCCTCTAGACGGTCGAGTAACTCGTCGAACGTGATGAATGGGCATTCAGCTTCAACGTGGCTGTATCTGTAATGTTAAATTATACATGATTTCATTAGACACTGGGACAGATTGGGGGCGCCATTACTCTTAAATTTAAAAATTTCTCTAAATTACTGTTTTATAGGTAATTACATTATATTCTAAAATTACAATTAATTTGATTTATATAGTCGTTATAATGAAAATTTCATATATTTTAAATTAATACCATTTAAAGGCTACATAAACATAACCATCTAATTAACAAAGCCAACTTTAACCAATATTTATTTATTTATTAATACATAGGTAACAATGGATGGTAAGTAAAACAATATAAGTCCTCTATGATCAACCCCATCTATCGAGGTATACAAATTTACAATTATATAAGAAAAAAAAATATATAAAAAGAAAAATCAGCAATGTCACATTTATAGTAAAAAAAATATAATTATGGAAATTGAATAGTATGTTCTGTTTACTAGGTATTCATAGAGTTTAGTTTTATATTTTTTTTTATGTCATCTATGTCTGTGAGGGATTTAGGTAATTTATTATATATTCTAGGTGCCATCCCTAAGACACTTTTAATGAATAATGTCGTTCTATGTTGTTTTGAAATGATTTTGTGGTGCTTTCTATTATTTTTTAATTTATTATATTTATTTAAATTATTTTTAAAAAATAAAGCCTGCTCAAATGGAATGAGCTCCCTGCCGAGGTTTTCCCAAGAGACTACATAGCATGGGGTTCTTCAAAAGGGGGGTAAAGAGGTTTCTTCAGGGTCGGCAACGCGCGCGTAATACGTCTGGTATTGTAGGCGTTCATAGGCTACGCTTCCCATCAGGTGGGCCGTATGCTTGTTTGCTACCTCAGTGGTATAAAAAAAAATTATATAATGCACGTAATAACAATTATATAACTCAGTATTTTAAAATTCATATATAATTTCAGAATAATTTTGCATCCTATTAATGTTATAAATACGAAAATTTGAAAAGAGATGGATGTTTGTACTTATATTGGATAGGTTCTATCCGAATTTAGCACATACGATTACTTTATGTACTTATTAATTATACGGGCAAAATCACGGGAAACAGCTAGTTTTGTAATATTAATAAGGATATTTTTTTTTATATACAACTTAGAATGGCAAACAAGCTGACGGCCCACCTGATGGAAAGTGGTAACCGTCGCCTATAGACATGAGCAGTACCATGGACATAACAGAGTATACTGTTTCGCCCATGATACCCACCATGCGTTGCCATTCCTGAGGACTCAGGTGTTATTCCTCTGTACCCAATAAATTCACGCCATATCCCACCCTTCAAATCGAAACACAGCCATGCAAACACAACTGCTTCACGGTTTAAACACGAATGGGATAAAGGTACCCAAGCAATCGACTTTTGTACAAAGTCTCCCTGTGGTAAATACATAAAGTACATACTCGGCCAGATGTCGCCTGGTGCGCGATTGCTCGGCGCGGTAGGACTGCGCGATGCAGTACACGTCGCCCAGCGTCGGCAGGCACGTCTCCAGGTACAGCTGCGAGCTCTGCGTCAGGTATGCTGGCTCGCTGCGACACAAATTAATCTTTTTTTTTTACAATACTTATAATTACAAACAAACTGATGGCCCGTCTAATGAAAAATAGAAGTTATTATATATACAAACAATAAGTTACTTGACTAAGTTTTGAAAATCGTCTCAGACTATTTAGTGGTGTTTACAAATCTCTCTAAAAGCGGTTATTTTTAATTCACATAATTTCTTCAAAAAATAGTAAATAAAAAAAAATACAATTTAAATAGGCCGCCATACCATAACGCAACCTTTGAGCAATATGGCGTTAATGACGTCATATGGAAGTAAACAATCATCGAGTGTCACACACAAGTTTGATAAGTTTATTTTTGTTAAGTTTTACTGTTTACCAAGGAAGAAAATATACAAATGGTGTGTTATGCAGGCGTGCACATATACTACTATAATAATACGCAAAAAGTGGTTGCAAATTGCTTATTGAAAAATCTTAACTATAGTGAATGATTAAAGTGTTTTCTTTTGTAAAGATGATTTAATACATAAATATATTTCTATTTATGTAAATTTACAAATATTCCATTTTAAAGTTAATAATTCGATTTTATAAAGATCTTAATTATCAATTTAGAAGTCAATGTTGTCATTCAAATGCCCTGTATGATTTTACAGTCGAATATAAAATTAGTAATTACCAATTATTTGAATAATGAAATAATTCGGATTCGCGCACAGCTAGCAAGAACGTATAGTAATATCAATAACAGACATGTTATTTATTTCCATCTTACGTCATCATAGCATAGCATCAGCAGATATAACCTACTAAAGAACATTTTGTCATAAGCTCTTAATCTATTTATTGTCCAGATATTGTCATTGTTAATAATTATTAAGTATTATAATAGTACATGTTGTGTTTACCTGTAAAAGACTTATTTATTAATTATTCTATATTATTTTTATCTATTTTTTTATTATTCGACTATAAAATCATTTAGGGCATTTGAATGTAAGCACAGTGGCATCAGACAGAAACATCAATGAAACTAACGTACTCATGTAGACATCTTTTATGTAGCGTTCCTTTGGTTAAAAAGTCTTATGCAAAATGTAACTTGCCTAGATAAAGATTTTGCGGTTACTGGCTCTTTACTTGTTTCTCCAAAAAATATATTGAATTATTTGTAATCAAATCCACAAATAGAAGTCAAAAACTTCAAAAAAAAAATTAGAAATACCGCCATGGGGGCTTAAGATGTTTCAAAGAAATTGTTATTGCATGGCTATTAAAAATATACAATAAATTATCAGATAATATTAAAACACACAGTTTAAAACAAAACTATTTGACTATCTAATTAATAATTGTTTCTATTCTGTAAAAGACTTTTTAAATAATTGTAATTTATGAATTAAGCTTAACATTGTAAAAAATTAAACATGACTTATATATAATAAATGTAATTTTTTTTTATACAACTTAGAATGGCAAACAAGCTGACGGCCCACCTGATGGAAAGTGGTAACCGTCGCCTATAGACATGAGTAGTACCATGGACATAACACAGTATACTGTTTCGCCCATGATACCCCCCATGCGTTGCCATTCCTGAGGACTCAGGTGTTATTCCTCCGTACCCAGAAAATTCACGTCATATCCCACCCTTCAAACCGAAACACAGCCATGCAAACACAACTGCTTCACGGTAGAAACACAAATGGGACAGAGGTACCCAAGCAATCGACTTTTGTACAAAGTCTCCCTCTGGTAATTTAAAGTAATCAATTTTATTAATATTATATATTAATATTATGACTGTATTATTTTAGTAATTGTAGAAAAATATTTAAACATTTATGTAACGGTAAATATTGCTGAACAATTGTAATTAATTTTAAGATCTGCTACTGGCAAATATCAATATGCAGTAAATAAAAATTCATTCGTTCATTCAATCTAATTTATGTCTCGCCTTGTCATTGTATAGACAACTCTAACGTGAACACACTTCAAACACACAAAGTTGCGATCCATACCCGAAGAAGCTGAACTTGAAGAGGGTGCTGCCGCCCTCGCACTGGGTCTGCACGAGCGTGGGCGGCGTGACCTCGGTGTAGCGGCGGGAGGCGAAGTGCTCGCGGAAGGCCCGCGTCACGGCCGCGCGAGCCCGCAGCACTTTCGACGTATTCTCGCCACGGATCATTATGTGCCTACAACATATTTTTTCTTTAATCACTAAATTATTACATGAAACAGATGTTCTAAGTGTACGCAAGGCATGCAAATTTCTATAAACAATTAAAATAAAAAAAAAAAAAAAAATAAAATGAAAACTGTATCCAGTTTGGTATAGTAATTTTTGAGTGATTCGTATATTTATTTATTATTCACTTGAAACATGAAATACATGGTGTTAAAAAGAGCATAAGTACATGTTGATATTGAAATAAACATACAAACAGATAGAAAAAAATTCTAAAAAAAAAATTGTTTGACATCTATTGGTTTTCTTAAGACATGAGGGATATCAATTTTCATTGAATATGTCCCATGTCATCATCACATTTTTTAATTACAGTTTCTATTATATTAGTGAGATATATAAGATATTGGGATATCCCAATATCTTTTTCTTACTTAAAAGACTTACACAAAAAATATATATAGACACAGATATTTTTATGAAATTCCTTATGTATGTACATATTATATAAATCTTGAATAAACATTATTTTATAAAATGTTTTATTACAATACTAAATTTTATGCAAATACGTCTAGTTGTTTATGCAAAACACAGAGATTAAATGACACTTAATTTTTCATAAATCAAAAATATTGGCATGACGTTATAGCTCACGTTATAAAATAAAAAATACCTGTTGTCCAACTGTACATCGGGCAAAGCTTCCTCGTTCAGTATGGCATCAGCGCCACCTGGCGGCGCGAGACCGACCAACTCCCAATAGTCTGCAGTCAACTCATGACCACCTGGTGCCTGTATACACACATCAACAAGAAGATGTAGGATAGATAATATTAAATATACAGGCATAATGCACAAATATTAGACTGGTAAACTTGCTGCTACCTTCATTTATTGAGATTTATTAAAAAAAAAAACAATTACACAAAAATAACTAAATTTTATGTACTCAAATTCAAATAATGCAAATTATTGGAGCCAATACTGAAATGCCATTTTTATAACCTATCTTTAAAATTTCTATTTCTAATCGCAACGAAATCTTAATTCTAAGGATCAATATGAACTAGATTTCTAATCGATTTATTTATTTATATATTAAGAATTAGGTTTAGAAAAATGGCGTCTTAGAATCGGCTTCATTTACAATAGAGTTTATATAGTTTAATATCTATGGTAAACGTAAAAGAATTAGATTCCACTGACACCTTTCCCTTTTATTATTATTTAATTTCAATATATTATAGCTTTAAGTAAATCTGTTGTATGGAAACTTAAATATATCCTTTCTTTTTTTAATTTTATGTGCTATTTATATAATAATCTGTTTAGCACTACTACTGCCCACTCACTACTTCCTATGCCACTGTGTTAGATTGACTAGAAGAAATCTCTTTTAGAGATAAGTTTGCCTTTGTTAACATTGTTATTAACTTATTGTTGTTACTGTATGTTTTAGTGCAATAAAGAATATATATATACAGCAAAAAAATAATTAATTTCATGAAAAGATTGTCTACTGGTCTCCATTAGTAATACATCATCATCATTAAATTAGCCCTTAACTGCCCACTGCTGAACATAGTCCTCCATAATGGGGGATTTGCCAGTAGTTGCCACGCTTGGCGGGCGGGTTGGCAACCGCAGTTAGGCTTTTGGTGATGTTTTAAGAGGGGTATTGCTACCCCTTTCTCAACCATTAAGTTCCCTCAGTTACCTTTTACAACACCCGAAGGAAAGCCCATTCTTTTTTAATTTACTGTTATTATTATCATTTATTTTTGTAAATTTAAAAATTATAATGTAAATATTGACTTATCATTTTATGACAAAAAATGTTAGATTGGTTTATAAAGAAATATGAATACTCACCGTCTTCCCTTCAGGCACAGCCTCCAATTTCCCATATAAGATAACCGACGATTCCGTAGACAGCACTAGTGCGTTGTAAGTCTGGCATAGTAACCCGTGGAGTACGCACTGCAGGTAACCAGTACCATCGCGCAGCGTCAAGAAAGCGAGCGCTTTGCCTTGCCTTCTGAGACGATGTACCCAGCCACGGACGCAAATACGCTGACCTCGGTAGTCGCCAGCTGAAAATATTATATTTTTCTTTTATAAATAAAAAAAAAGGCCCTATCTGATGGAAAGGGGTAACTGCAATCGATAAGAAAGGCACTATGGATATCTCAGAATGTACTATAACATTTACAGTACCTTTTTTTTATACAACTTAGAATGGCAAACAAGCTGACGGCCCACCTGATGGAAAGTGGTAACCGTCGCCTATAGACATGAGCAGTACCATGGACATAACAGAGTGTACTGTTTCGCCCATGATACCCTTCATGCGTTGCCATTCCTGAGGACTCAGGTGTTATTCCTCTGTACCCAGTAAATTCACGCCATATCCCATCCTTCAAACCGAAACACAGTCATGCAAACACAACTGCTTCAAGGTAGAAACACGAAGGGGATAGAGGTACCCAAGCAATCGACTTTTGTACAGTCTCCCTCTGGTATAAACGAAATAATAAATTCCACAATAAAAACAGGCCTCAATTGTCTCAATTCTGTCTGTCTCAAATGACAAAAACAGTAATTTTGATTTAAAACTAAACTGCTGAATCGATTTTAATAAAATTTCTATGGACTAACGTGTAAGTATATCTTTTCGGATAAAAAAAAAGATTTCCTAAATCGGTTCACAACAAATACAGTGGACGCTCTATATAAGCAACCTCTCTATAAGCAATATTCTTTATATTTTATTTATTCTACTCAGCTTAGTTATTAAATGAAATAAGTAATAGTACATTACTGCAGCGGCCAGCAACTGAGGCATTGATGGACGAACGTGCAAATGTGGGCCGAGGCACACATACGTGAGTCCATCAATGACTAGTTGTGGCCAAGGCTTGTATAGTACTTTTCTAAAGTATTTTTATACTTCTTTTCCCCTATAAGCAATTTTCCGCAATATGAATTTTTTTTATTAAAATTGGTTCAAATGAGTTGCTTACATAGTGTTCACTGTATAAAAAAATTAAAAACCTCCTTTTTGAAGTTGGATGAAAAATATAGTAAATTTTCAAATTTTTAGATGCCTGGATGGATATTTCTTACTCTTTCATGTAAAAACTACTAAAGTTTGTAACTAAACTACAAAAGTGTAAGTTTACACGTAGGATATTTTATGTACAGATCCACGCCGACGAAGCCGTGAAATTTAGCTAGTATAGAATGCATTAGATTAAATCTTCAACTAGTTACCCCAAAATTTTTAAAGTATGTAAGTACAATAAAAATTTATAAAAGTAATTTTCTCTTTACTATAATCCTAGCTTTTTGCCTGCTACTTCAAATACGTAAATCAAACATCACTTCTATATATGGAATATTAAACTAAAACACACTGCTATTTATATTAGATCTTTAGGAAAACAACTGTAAAAACTGCATCCGTTTTTATGCAGTAGTTTTTTTGTGATACCAGAAAAAAAAACATAAACAAAATTCATAAAAAAAAATATTGTTTTAGCTTCTACTGTTCTTAACCCTTAAATACCTGAAGTTTCAAATTTGATACCGGGGTTATAAATCGCATTGGGCGCCTACAATCGATTTTATTGTAATATTTGGCTGTTTACATGTTAACAAATTTTTTTTTCAATATAAATATATGGTTTTTTTTTTTTTACTATTTTTCCCCATTAGTAAACACAGTAAAGGGTACACTTATATATTTTTTAATTTGATTTAAAAAATCAGGCTTTTAAGGGTTAAGGTCTTCCATATATTTTTTTCCTAAATATCTCCTATGTAAAAACACTCTCTATTTAAAATTTAATTACATTAGTTATATTACATTCCTTATGTCAGTCTAGAGGGAGATATATGTACAGCAGTGGACAGATAATGACTGAAATGATTAATTATGAATGAGTTAATTATGAATAATTTCCTTCCTAATAGACCAATGTCCAGACATTGGATGTTAATGGATTGTTAAAACGTAATGGCGGTGAATAATAATGTAACGTTCTCATTACGTATTTTCCAAGTAGAAGGCACTTATTGAAAACAAAAGCAACTTTAATATGGTTTCTCCATTATTTCCTTTTATTTACTCAGATGTTATTGGTCAAATATTTAATATACAATTACGTATATGTTATGTATACACAAAGGTATCACACAGTTGTAATAAAAATTATAATTTATTTTTCCTCTATTCAATAATGCACTGCCTACTCATTTCTCGGTTTGACCAATGGTTCACTGGTAGAGAACACCATTCGCTATTAAATCCGTTACATGTACATAGAATTTTACTGTGCATTAGATTGATATTGATCGCCTATAAATATGGAAACTACCAAATACATTGTGACACTCATGATAAACTTTTTACTATTTATTTATTTAGTAAATTTTTCAGGGCATGTGTACAAGACAGACATAATGCTAAAAGCATTCTTTCTCAGCCATCTTTAGGACAGTGTTAAAATACTTAAATGTGGTAGTAATTGATGTACATACTTATATATATTAAAATTGCCATTCTCAAAGACTAAGGTGTTATTATAATAATAATTTTTATTTCGGACTTTTTTGGTCCATTAAATATTTATTAGTAACAATATTCTTAAAACTAATGTTAGTAAATTTACATACACAATACACACACACACACACACACACACACATATAATATTTTTTTTTACAACACAGGGGGGGCAAACGAGCATGCGGCTCACCTGATGGTAAGTGACTACCGCAATAATATGCAGATAATCACTGCTGCACAATTCCATTGGAAATTGCGCAGCAGCGACTAACGTACACACAGTCCAGCCTGCTTACTATCATACTTGCTTTTATAAAACCAATTTAATAAATCTTGATATTGATATGTTACTGAGGTATCTATATCTAATTCAAATATTTAACAATAACACTGCTGATGCATTTAAAGAAAATAATATACAATACAATAGACAAGAATGTTCATATTTACAATCTTATCTTCTAAAGTTCTAAGTAAATATTTGATGCAATAATTTCATAATTTATTTCAATATCAAATATATCATTGATATTAAATATAACACTTTATGTTTATGTAGATAGTGGTAGTCAGTATTTTATAGAAATAAAATTATCTATAATATCAACTTTACTATAATCATATCACACATATATTGCTGCACACAACCATTTTATATATTTTGTTTTATAGTAATAGGTGGCCAAGTCCTTAGTAGCAAAACTATTATTCATATATATATATATATATATATATATATATATATATATATATATATATATATATATATATATATATATATATATATATATATATATATATATATATATATATATATATATATATATATATATATATATATATATATATATATACATATATATATATACATATATATATACATATATATATATATATATATACATATATATATATATATATATATATATATATATATATAGAGTATAACATGTTGGGGGGAAAGGGATTGTTAGTAATGGAGACTTAGAATCCCATTGCTAGCAATATACCCAACCAGTTCGACCTCCACGCGGTTCTCCCTAGAAACTATCATGGTTAATTCCTGATGAATTCATCATGATGGGCTAACTGGCCTGTTTTCATTGTCATCTATCACCCTTCACTGGTGCTCTGCCAGTGTATCCCATTAGCACAGGCGGGGTTACTATACCATTTTCACCCATAAAAAAAACCTATACACTTTCCAAATTAATAATTTTAACATGAAAAAGTAATAAATACTCTTCCATACACTCACAAAACTCAATTTCAATTTAAATATTGTCTGCCTGTCCACTGCTAAACATAAGTCATAAGTGTGAGGTTTTGTCATATAGTTGGCATACAAGCATGCTAACTATATGACAAAGGGACCAGAGGGAGACTTTGTACAAAACTCGAAGTACTTGGGTATGTCTGTCCCATTTGTGTTACAACTGTGAAGCAGTTGTGATTGTATGGCTGTGTTACGGTTTGAAGGGTGGGATATGGCGTGAATTTACTGGGTACAGAGGAATAACACCTTAGTCCTCAGGAATGGCAATGGTATCATGGGCATAACAGTATACTCTGTTATATCCATGGTACTGCTCATGTCTATAGGTGACGGTTATCACTTTCCATCAGGTAGACCATCAGCTTGTTTGCCATTCTAATTTGTATAAAAAAAAATGCTTTGGCAGGTGGATTAGCAACTGCAGTAAGGCTTTGGATATGTTTTATGGTGTTTCACATCACATGGAAATGAAGGTGAAAGATGAAGAATGTTGCTGGGACTACACAGCATATGGCTTAAACCTATGTTATAACACAATTTCCATGCAGTAATAAGATGATGCAATATATAAGCATATTGGTAACTTTTTTCATTATTTAAATATGGATTGTCCGTAACAAAAGTACAGAGAAATAAATGAGCTAAGGAACAACTTACCCTCTGCTATTTTCACAGTCTTTGCTTTAGGTAGATTTGGATCTACTTGGATCACTATTTTCTTAGCTTCCTCAAGGTTCTGCAGTCTTTTTTCATTGCTCTCCTCCTCTGCTTTGGCTTTATCAGCCGCTTTGTGGGTTTCCCTCACCCATATTTTCTGTATCTTTTTCAGCTGCGATTTTGCCGCGGGTTCATATACTTTGCCTTCTTCTTTGGCGTCTACAAAGATTTTAGGGAATGGCTCCTTGCCTGCGTGACGCATAGCCTGAAGGATAGTCTTGAACGGTTTCTCTGATGTTCCATTGCCAGTACTGTCGTTTCCGTTCTTCTCGGACGTGTAAATCTCATCCTCTGTAAAAAAAACAGATTAATTGCATACGTGTAAACAGGGTTATAATGTAAAAATTAAATAGTTTAACTTACGTATTGTCAATTTTTCAATATCTGCCATCGTAAAGGCAAAGTGCTTTCAGTTTATGACAATTTTAAAGAAATTTATAAGATTTTTCTCTTTTTATCTGCATTTACCGCAATATGAACAATATGCACATGTACACTTGGAATATGATGACAGACGGTGCGAAGATTTGGCGAGATGACAGATCTGAACTGACTCACCTCATGACATTGACAATTTAATTAACCTATGTAGAGCTAAGTAGAGCCCATGAAGTTATTTCATGGTACAGCCTAAGAACAAGAATACACCTTGTATGGTTGATAAAATTTCGAAATCTTTGAGCTGATTAGCCCAAACAGATACAAACATTCTTGTTCTTAGGGGCTGATATCACTTCAGTGTTGCAAGTAGCAAAATATTTCTGCAGAAAATTTGATAATTCAATATATAATATCATCATATCATTATCAGCTTTTAACTATCCACTGCTGAACATAAGCCTCCCCTTTGGGGGGTTTTGTCAGTAGTTGCCACGCTTAGCTGGCGGATTTTGCATTGTATTTAAATATGGGGCAGCATATCAACTTCAATACGATTTACAGCATTCATGCAAATCGGCAAGAATGTACAGATTTACATTATACAGGGTGGAAGGGACAGGTTGGTCAAAACAAAAATAGCTGATTCAGATGAATGGTCTGAGTCAGATGGTAGATTTTTCCCACAGAAATGCACTACTACCATATACATTAAGCATTCGTATATAGACGTCGCGGAATGCATTTGAAATTTACGATTCACACAAAGCGCGATACCTGCAACCTATAATATGCGCTCAATGGCGTTTCTTCGTAGGTAATTTTCATACGCTTGTGGCGTTGACCGCTGATTCCGTGCGTTGCGGTAGGATTTCCATACGTATATTATATTGCTATTTTTGGTATTTCATAGTATTTCACTATAAAGTAGTATTATTTATTTATATTATGACATATTATTATAGATTACATGACTGTAAATAAAAAATCAGGAAAATATTTGAATTTTTTGGAAAAAATTTCCACTGGTTTGTTTCAAATATAAGTCTGAATTCCCTGTTTCAGTTTTTGCCAACCTGTCCCTTACATCCTGTATAACACTTCCATACAAATATAATTATATTTGTCGTCACGTCGGTCCCGGCATAGACTATACTACCCCATCCTTTCCCGTGGGTGTAGTAAGAGACAATTAACTATTGCCAATCCACCTGCCAAGCGTGGCAACTACTGGCAAAACCCCCTAAAGGGGAGGCTTATGTTGAGCAGTGGACAGTTAAAAGCTGATATGATGATGATGATTATTATTATTATATTATGTAATAGTACACTTGTTTACGAGTTTTGTGTTACCTATAAATAATTTTTCTTTTTCTTTATGTCGTTTCTTTTTTTTTCAATATTTTCCTAGAATCTCGGAATTGAATACACTCCAATAAATTTGGATAAGATATTATAACAGTAATTATGAACGTGTTCTTATTCCGATGGGTTGTTTAAAAAAGTAAATGACTAATTAAAAGTCAATTAATTATGTCCTTAGTATTATAAACAATTGATAGACTAATAGCGCAATATTAAGTAATAATGACAATAAATGGTAGGTACGTAAGTTTTTAATTTTTTAGCAGTACAAGATATTACACACATACAGTCATTATATTAATTTTTTTTTGTTGGTTGAAAATGGATTGGTAACCCCGCCTGTGCTAACGGGATACGCTGGCGGAGTACCAGTGAAGGGTGATCGATGAGAATGAAAACAGGCCAGTTAGCCTATCCTGATGAATTCATCATGAAGAATTAACCATGACAGTTTCCAGGGGGAACCGCGTGGAGGTTGACCTGATTAGGTATATTGTTAGCAATGGTATTTTTAGTCTCCATTACTAACAATCCCTTTCCGCCACAGACATATGTAGTTAATATATTAAATTATTTCAATATAAAACTTAGGTTTCCACATAAACAGTAATCGTAATAATATATATATATATATATATATATATATATATATATATATATATATATATGTAATGCTTGTAATATATATGTATGTATATTTTATTATTTATTTATTTGACAAAAAACACAAGATACAATGGGCCCCACACTAGACGAACCTGTATCGTATAATCTTTGTCGGGCGTATCGGCACCCGACAAAGATTAACAAATCACAATGTGTTAATATAAAAAGGAATATAAAATTGAAATAGTGAAAAAATTAATAGTGAATTAGTTTATGTAATTGTATGCCCGATGTGTGGGTGGGCCGTGTATATTTCTTATTATATAAGACTTTTTTTTATGCAACTTAGAATGGCAAACAAGCTGACGGCCCACCTGATGTAAAGTGGTAACCGTCGCCTATAGACATGAGCAGTACCATGGACATAACAGAGTATAATCTATGCTATTCTATTCTGTTCTGTTCTATTCTATATATTTTTTTTTAATTAATAATAAAACTTAATACGCATAATACGTAGACAGACGAAGAAATGGAAATTATTAAAAATCTTTTTTTAACAATCTTTCAGTTCCTTTGTTTGCCTATGTTATTAATATTACAATTTGTTTATGTAATTTTGGCAGGAAAGATAATGCAATTAAAAAAAAAATAGAAGTAACGCTAGTGAATAGTGCAATTAAGTGAAGTGAACAAATCCTAGATTCCTTTTTTGTGTTATTTTTTTTTAATGAAATTTAAATGTAATCGTAACTCCGCCTGCGTTATTGGTATATGCTGGTGGGATACCAGTAAGAAAAAATTTGGTGTGGATGAAAGCATGTCATCATGACAAATTCATCAAGAATTAACTATGACGATTCTAGGGGGAACCGTGTGGAGGTCGATATGACGATGTGATATATTGTTAGTAATGGGCCGCTAGTCCCCATTACTGACTATCTTTATCCCGTTCTATTGTTGTTAGTTGTAATGAGACCGTAGGTGATAACCAGGTATCTACTTATCCTTACACCATAGTTTTTATAGGGTAGGCAGAGAGAGAGTTAAGTGTCAATGCTCTCTATCTTTACGTATTCATTAATTTATATCAGTCGTTAACTGTCCACGGGTGAATATAGGCCTCCCCCATAAGAGGGGTTTTCGCCAGTAATTGCCATGGTTGGCTGTCAGGTTGGCAAACACAGTTAGTTTTATGGTGATGTTTAAAAAAAGACGTTGCTGCCTACCCCCGTTGCACCCCTAGACAATTAAATTCCCTTAGTCGCCTCTTATGACACCCACGAGAAAAAAAAAATGGCTCATTCTATGCCGGGATTACGCGGTAATCTTTAAATATATTGCTTTCTACTTTTCTCTTCTACATTCAAACCGGTTCCAGGAGTTACAGGAAACTCTTGACTGCTCCCTCAAATAACAAACATAATACGTCATGACCTTGTTCAGAGTCGATATTTTTTTATATTAAATACGTAATTTATGCTAGTGTATTCCTACATTACCTATTTGAAATTTAAAAATGGCTTGAAATTGACATTGTATTTATGTACATACGTATATAGCTTGAGGGATATTCCGTGGAACCGCTATTTCTGTGGTAGTGGCGGACCGGACTGTTGTTCTTCGAATATTACATTTTTTTTTTAAACAATTCTTATATAATATCTTTACTCTATTTTCTTACTTCGAAGGTAAATATACTACTTTAGTTGATCGACTTTTGTTTATTCTATGTTTTGTTTATAATTATTAAAAGAAAAAACTAAATTTATTTGTGTATTACATAAGTTTTCTACGGACCGAAGATCAATCTTCGAATATCAATTTTTTTATACGATTCCTAAATAATATAAATATTCTATTCTCTTATTTCGAAGGTAAATATAATACTTCAATTTATCGGCTTTTGTTTATTCTATCTTTTGTTTAAAATTAATTTAAAAAATTACTAAATTTATTTGCAGTTTGCATAAGTTTTCTATTCTGAAAAGCTGATAATAAGTACTTACGTATAAGTAAATATTTATATAGGTATTGGTAAATATCTGGGTTTCTACTAATTTATTTTCTTCAATATGTGTTAAATGTAATTGAAGTAAAGAAATATATTTGTGGCGTAAATTTTACCTGTTAAATGCTTCTGTTGATTACTCATCAAGGAGAATTATCCTGCAGAAAAACAGCTATTTTAATAGTGACTAAACGAATATGGAACCAATACTGCAGTACCTTATCGATTTAAAAAAAAAATATTAAAATTGTGATAACATATAAAATTACGAATTCATAACCCGAGTTCTGTCTTCGAAATATGAACTTTAGCGAGAGTCTTACAGTAGTATCTACTTTATGGTATTTTTTATGTTAATTCATTGCCACAAATTATTCTCAATATTTTAATATTTTACTTTACATAGTTCTTTCTGGAAACCATCGTAGTTAATACTTGTGGCATTCGTCACGATGGGTTAAATGAGTTGCCTCGCCAACGTAAACCGATAGCGTTAACAGGGTTACTATTTCATCATTATCCATTAAAAAAGAAAAACAGCAGCATCTATTAATTTTTTTTTTCAGAACGAAGATGGTGCCTACACCTCAGGAACCCTCGCTGATTCAATCGGAGAAAGTGGCTCCGTTATCAGATGGCGATCGAATCGTTATTTCTGGCATGTCCGGAGCTTATCCCTCCGCGCATAACATCAAGGAGTTCTCCGATATACTCTACAATAAGGTATGAGTATCATTTGTTTTATACAGCTTAGAATGGCAAACAAGCTGATGGAAAGTGGTAACCGTCGCCTATAGACATGAGCAGTACCATGGACATAACAGTGTATACTCCCTCTGGTAAAATGTGAATATTTTTTTCGCAACTGGAAACGAGCCCACACCTTATCGGATGGAAAGAGGAATTTACTAGAAGAAGACTTTGCTTGGACGCTTCTGTCCTTGCAGGGCTGCGCTTGCGTGGCTGTAACTATTTTCATTTGAAAGGCGAAATGTAGCAATGAAATTATAGAGTACGGAGATGTAAGACCATTGTCTACGGAAATGGCAACTCATGAAGGGAGTTTACAATGGGCAGCATAGTTCTACTATTCTATTCTGTCATTCATATCTGTGCAATGGCTTTTTTTATGAGAGAAAATGGAATAGTAACCCTGCCTGCGCTAACGGGATACGCTGGCGGAGCACCAGTGAAGGGTGATAGATGAGAATGAAAACAGGCCAGTTAGCCCATCATGATGAATTCATCAGGAATTAACCATGATAGTTTTCAGGGGGAACCGCGAGGAGGTCGACCTGGTTGGGTATATTGCTAGCAATGGGATTCTCAGTCTTCATCAGTAACAATCCCTTTCCCCTCTTTGTGCGATGATTACCACTTAATAAGTGGACTATCAGCTTGTTTGCCATTCTAAGTTGCATAACAAAATATATTCATAGATATTGTAGCATTGTGACGTCCATAAGACCGGTAGTATAGTAATTCACATTTTTTTTAAATAATATTTTAAATTCTTCCCATCAGATAAATCCGATATCCAATAAAAATATGCGATGGGCATACAATCACCCAGAAGTCGCTCATCATACCGGCAAGATTCCTCATCTGGAACGTTTCGATGCCCAGTTCTTCAAAGTACATTTTCGGCTTGCGTGCAACATGGATGTGATGAGTAGAAACATGCTGGAACAAGCGTATCAGGCCATTTTTGATGCTGGTAAGTTAATAGCAATTGTATGGAGCTCGTAACGTGGGTTAGCAACGAGGGAGCCAGTGTTTATGATTTTTTTTTTAATTTCTGTCGGTACATGCTGGTGGGACATCAGTTGGATGATGGGGGAAGATAAAAGTAGGTCAAGTTAGACTATCATGACAAATTTCATCAAGAATTAAGCACGATGGTTTCCAGGGAACCACGTAGAGGCCGACCTGATAGGGTATACTGATAACAGTGAAAAATTCGGCTCCGTTACTGAAATGCTAACAATCCCTTTCCTCCCAGTGTTTATAGTAATACTTTTATACTATTGATTTAGCTGGTAAGCTACTAATGTGGGAGAAAAGGCGAGAATGATGTCAAATTTGTTAGCTCATCATGACCAATTCACCAGGATTTAACCACGACGATCTCTAGGAGTGTAGCGTAAAGTCGATTTGTTTTATAATATAACCTACTCGTATATTAATTTACCATTTATTTTCGATTAGTCCCATATACATTCCTTAAATACCATATCCAAATCGGTTTAGTAATTTAGTTCTAAATCAAAGTAATTGATTTAGCCACGACGAAAGTGGATTTTTCGTGGAACTCAATCGTATAATGATAGACGATCGCAAGACGAATGAAGCAATTGTGTCGGTTTGAAGGATGGGATATAGCAGAGAAATTGCAGGGTACAGAGGAATAACACATGAGTCCTCAGAAATGCCAACGCATGGGGGGTATCATGGGCGAAACAGTATACTCTGTTATGTCCATGGTACTGGTCATGTCTGTAGGTCGCCTACCACTTTCCATCAGGTGGACCGTCAACTTGTTTGCTACTCTAAGTTGCTTAAAAAAGACGTGTAGAATTACTTATTAAATTACTAATAAATATGTACTAATTAATGTACAAAGGTTATCGTAATTTCTGATTGTTTATGCATGTATACTAATCTGCACATAATTACGTAAAACACTACCCATTTTTAATTCGTTTTTAATTACCATTGTCCTTATGATAATGAATTTTTTTACAATATAAGTAAACCCCACTGGGCATCCTGTTTAATATTTTATAAATGCAAAAGTTTATAACAATGGATGGATGTTTGTTACATTTCATGCAAAAACTACTGGAAGGATTTGAATGAAATTTCATACACAAAGTAGGTTATATTCTAACTTAGTACAGAGGAAGCTTAATTTACTAATTCACGCGAGTGAAACCGCGGTATACAACTAGTCCTATTAATTCTATAAATATAAAAGTTTGTGAGGATGAATGGATGGATTTTTCTTACTCTTTCACGGAGAAAATTTGAATGGATTTGAGTTAACCTTTGTAGACTGGTACGGCATACCTAACTTAGCACGCAGGACACTTTATCTACCTACTGATTTACGCGAGCTAAACTGCGAGATACAGCTAGTCTTTAATAAAATATACTACTCGTACTTTACAAGCTCTTTTAAATCGTTATTTTTAACGTTTCTACTGCAGGATTTAAAATGTTGTACCCTATTAAAAAGTTACGGTATGATCCCGGTAAAGAATAGACTACCCCTTCCTTTCCCGTGGGTGTCGTAAGAGGCGACTAAGAGAGAGCGAAGGATGGACAGCATCGTCCCTCTTAAAAACATGTCTAAAGTCTAACTGCGGTTCACAATCCGCCTGCCAGCGTGACAACTACTGGAAAAAACCCCTAAGAGGGATGCTTATGTTTATGTAGCTGCGGACAGTTGAATGAATGAATTAATTTGAAATTGTATAAATAAACAACAATTTGCAGCGATTAGATATTTTTTATAGGTGTGAGCCCCAAACATCTCTCTGGAAGAAAGGTTGCAGTGTACGTTGGCTCCTGTTTTTCGGAAACTGAAAAATCTTCCTTTTACGTTGCCAAAGCAAGATCTGGATTTGGTATCGCTGGGTATGAACGTATTTTAAATTTATTTTTACTGAATTTAATATCGTCCTTATTCTCTATACTCGAGCCAAGAATCAATACTTTTTTTAATGTGGGTAAATGCGTCATGCAAACCCACACGCTCCGGGGGAAGCATATAGGTACTGCCGGATTCCTACTGGCTAAAACTACCACGGTCTCCCTCGTCGGGCCATGTACTGGAGGTCCCTGGCTCATGCCGGTCATAGCCCTTTATCAATGCTTTCTAACCAACGTAGCTTGGTATTTTTCGGCTTTTATATATTTTTTTATAACAGATTGTTGCGTTTTCATTCAGATGCAACAAGAGTATGTTTGCAAACCGCATCTCGTACTGGCTTAACGCCAAGGGCCCTTCGTTAGCAGTGGACGACGCTTGCTGCAGCTCTACGGCAGCTTTAGAACAAGCATTCCTCGCTATGACTAGAGGAGATTGCGAGGCGGCTATTGTGGGAGGTGCTCATTTGTGTCTTCATCCTCAGTCTTCCATCCATTACGGAAGGTAATAAATTATATTAATCGTTAATAATATAAGTAAAAAATACAATCCGGCTCGAAGGACTATTTTGTCATTTCATGTACAACAGGTTGTAATAATAAAACTTAGTAATAATGGGGACACACTTTTCTCTGTTTAGTTAAATTTTTTATTCGCATTGCATTTAGATAGTATTTCGAGTGAATTAGGTAGCAATTTTGGAAAATATTATGTATGGGCAATAAGTTATATTAATAAAAAATTTTCATGGTCTTTTTCAGAATAATGACTTTATCAATGGACGGCAAAACAAGATCTTTTGATAAACACGCGTGTGGCTGTTCAAAATCAGAGGCCGTTAATGTTTTATTCCTTCAAAGAGCAAAGGATGCGTTGAGGTAATATTTTTTTTATATATATAATTTAGAATGGCAAACAAGGTGAGGGCTCACCTGATGGAAAGTGGTAACGTCGCCTATAGACATGAACAGTATCATGAACATAACAGCGTATACTTTTTCGCCGAGAATACACCCTATGCGTTGCCATTACTGAAGACTAAGGTGTACCTTATAATTTCACTGTCATATATCCCTCAAACTGAAACTCAAGAATTTATCTACAAAGCCTCCTCCCTCAGTCTGGTAAAGTACGTTCTTAAGATTAAAGATTGAACAGAGGAATAACGCTTGAGTCCTCAGGAATGGGACTCAGAACGGGGTATCCCCCGCATGCGTTGCCATGATAATGGGCGAAACAGTATACTCTGTTATATCTATGGTACTGCTCATGCCTATAAGCGACGGTTACCACTTTCCATCAGGTGGGCCGACAGCTTGTTTGCCATTCTAAGTTGCATAAAAAAATGTGGTCATTATAGTTCACTTGTAACACCAATATCCTGTATATTTCAGGGTTTATGGAGAACTATTATATGTTAAAAATGAATACCTCGGTTTACTCGAGGGTGTATCGGGCCCGAAGTATGGTTTCTTCCGTGATACAACTCTCGCCTCTAACTTTATGAAGACTGTCTGTAAGGAAGCAAATATACGGCCCACTGATATCGAATATGTGGAAGCTCATGGATCAGGTATGAATTTGATTTTTAAATAGTTATAAGTACCTAATAGGAATATTGATAATACTTATTCAGTAAATAAGTTTGTTTTTCAAAAACTTGTTGTTGTCTTTGCTTCGAACCGCAGAGTCTTCGGAATTTTGAGGATACTGTGCTTCTGCTAAAGATATTCTCATTTTGGATTCTATTTTTTAAAGCCTAACTCTCTCAACAGTATCTGAAGCTACTTGAAGTTACTATTGATATACCAATAAATAAATGTATAACCATTAATTTTGTAGCTGTCCTGGAAGCCGATAAGGCTGAGCTGGATGCTATAGACGAGGCTTACTGCAAGGGCAGGAAGGACCCGTTGTTAGTTGGCAGTGTTATGTCCAACATAGGATACTGTGAGGCTGCTACCGGGATATCAGCAATCACAAAGGTGAGTATTATATTATTTTTATACAGAATAATGTCGCATGGTCCCTGACATAGAATGGGATATCCCTTTCTTTCCAGTGGGTATCGTAAGAGGCGACTAAGAGAACTTAATTGTCGAGAGATGGGCAGCAGAGTCCCTCTTAAAACGTCAATAAAGTCTAAAATCTAACGTGATTGCCAAACTGCTAAGCGTGGTAATTGCTGGCAAAACTCCGAATAAGAAGGAGGCCTATATTTAGCAGTGGACAGTTAACTCACTAGCTCACTTGATGGAATATGGTATTTTCTTGAAGGCTTCAATATTATATCGGTTCCGCAAAACTGTTGTTGGGAGTTGATTGCATGTTGGCTGCATAGCGTGGTTTTCCGAAGAAGTCTGGGAAATTTAAAATGTTGCCAATGACAGTGAATATTTTTGCTAAGGAACTTGTATCGAAGAACGATCAGAAATTATATATAATTTGCATTGCTCCCATACTAACACATGGACATTTTTCTGTTAATTTCCAATTGTAGAATAGTCCCATTTAACATAATTCGAAAATCTAAAAATACTGTATGACACAAAACAACTAGCACATCAAAAGTAATCAAAGTTTTCTGAACTGGTAAATTCTCATCTATCATTTACAGCTAAGGAATCCTTCTAGCGTTTACGCCATATAATTTTATTTTATACAACTAAGATAACCTGATGGAAAGTGGTAACCGTCGCCTATAGATATGAGCAGTACTATGAACATAACAGAGTGTAGTTTAGTGTTTAGTATAGTGACAAAAATGGAGTTATATTTCCATTTTCATTAGTTAAAAAATCTACTTTAATATTTTATTATTTATTTGTATTTATAGGTTTTATTAGGATACCATACAGGAAAGTTGGCAGCCAATCTCCACTACGAGACCCCGCGGGATGATGTAGACGCGATCAGGGAAGGACGCATACGTATCGTGTCTGAACATCAACCTTTTAACAGAGGCTACGTCGCCGTCAACGGCATCTCAGTCACTGGAGTGAATGCGCATCTCATACTTCATGGACGATACAAGCCCAAGGTAACTAAATGACAATTATTTGAAAAATGATAAAATTAAAGGGATTGAACGATGTATTTAAATTACTTTAATGCCTTTTTTGTTATGCCTTTTAGGCGACTTGGACTGTGTGACTTGATTTTTTTACACTGTACGGGATATAAAACAGCCTTTACCTGTCTATATCCCATATTTATCAAATTTCACAGTAATTGGTTAAGGCATTAAGAGGTAACAAATAAACAAACTCATTTTCACATTTATTAGTAAAATTTTATGAGTGTACAAACATGAGCAGACCAGTCGCCACAAATAGTCGAGTATGATGGATGAGCCGCCCATCTTGTAAAATTATATGAAATATTAATATTTAAGGATTTGAACCGGTACAAGTCTAACATACCGCACTTGGTGACGATATCAGCGCGCCAGGATACCGGCGTGCGTCTCATCATGGATGAGTTGAAGTCGCGGCCCGTCGACCCTGAGCAACTGGCTCTCTTGCACAACATACATCGGACCAAGATCTCGGGACATTTGGGAAGAGGATACATCATTCTTGGTAACATTTCACAGAACCATTATACAAATACATTTGAAGGAGCCATTAGTGGATATCAGTCAAAATAAGAGAATAAGAGAATGATATTAACCTTTGAAACAATTTGACTATTTTATGAAAAGTGCCATTTAAAAGAATCCTATTTATATTACTCCTTAATTACTTTCATTTTAAGGACTTATGCTCCCGTACCCAGTAATGTTATTGTCATATCCAATCCTTCAGACCGAAATATAGCTATGTAAGTATAGACATTTGGTGGTAGAAATACAATGGTACCTATGCAGATGGTGTTTGGGCTTTTATTTTTTCTTTATTTTAATAGTTACTCTCAACTATAACCCAAACCTCAGTAGAGGACCGATAATGGCTAATATGATGGTGACGATATTGATTATTATAGACACAAATGAAGAGAACAAGACAGTCACACGGGTGGAAAAGGCGGAGTACTTCGACGATGCGAACCGACCACTCTGGTTCGTGTACAGCGGGATGGGCTCCCAGTGGGCCGGCATGGGCACGCAACTCATGCGCATACCGATATTCGCAGCGGCCATAGAACGGTGAGTTGGTACTATTCTAATAATTATGACAACCAAGTGCCAAAGGCATCGTTCTGTACTCTTACTGCATAAAACATAATTTAGATCGGGAAGATATGTAAATAAAACGCCATGTTGGAATTTTATCATCTCATTTTTTTTATTTGTCATTATAATTTTAATAAGCAATGCAAAAAGGTTTTATGTCGTGAACACTTACGTCTCTCGTTTCATCCACTTTGTTTATACAAATTGCATCTGCATCATGAGTTAAGGGATTTATCCCTTAAACGGCACAAGACCCATGTGATCAATACAGTCTAGGCTTCATCCAGTTCCTGATTTTGTCTAATTAGCCCAAACCAATGCAGCACGAAATTTTCTTATTTTACGCTGCTGCTTTTTCAAACCAACTTAGTGTACTGTATTGCGAATTACACACAAATGCGATTTACAGTGTTTGCTTGCAATTGATAGGATTTACTCTCTTGTTGATTTAATATTAATTTTGTCACGACAGAAGCAACTGGATTTTAAATTATGGTAAAAAATTATCATCTTACACTAACGTAATCAAATCTTGCTCTTACTGGTGACTTTGTCCGCGTGACTGGAATGTTTTTTGACTGGGATAAAATGTCTTTCTCCATTTATACTAAATTTCATAGTTATTGGTTAAGCCGTTAAATTGAATGCGGTTTTTGTTCCTGAATTCCTGTTGTGTTCCTGAAGGTCTAACTTAAAATCTGGTGTTTGTTTTATCTTGATACGATATCTAGAACTTGTCTATTTTATTTAAAATTTCTACTTCTGAAATGCACATATACGATATGCGCAAAAAAAGTAACATAAAGATAAAATTAGACACATTTCTGTCTACTGGTTATCTATTTAGGCTTTGTTTAGTTTAAGATTAGATTTTTTTATATGTATAATATAAATTAATTTAATGTCTTCCTTTACAGTTGCCACCGAGCGTTAAAACCGAAGGGTGTGAATATCGTGGATATAATTACGTCCACCGACAAGAGCACTTTCGACAATATCCTCAACTCGTTCGTGGGGATTGCCGCCATACAGATCGGTCTCACTGATATCCTACGGGAGCTCGGTTTTGTTCCTGACAATATTATTGGTAATTGTTTATTACTCTTACAAAGAGATCACACCGAGGTGGGGCAACGTAGGAATTTGTAAATTTTCAATAACAATTGAACAATTGAAAGTTCTCTGGTAGCGAAGTTTGCTTCAATAGAGTTCAATTGAAATGTAAATTAACAAATAATTAGTCCGACCATAAGGCAGTTTGCTGACGTCCATAGTACAATTAAACAATCGGTTAATTAATTGAATGTTTCGATTTGTAACTAATTTTATTTAATTTGGGGGAGAGGGAAGGATTGTTAATAATGGTGATACTAGTTGCCATAGTAGACGTAACAACATAATCTATCAGATCAACATGGAGTCAACATCCTTGGAAACCATCGTGATTAATACGTATTTCACTATGATGCGCTATTTGATCTAATTTCGTCCTCATCATTCCATCCTCCACTGGTGCCTCGCCGTTATATGTATTCCTGTTAACATAAGCCGATACATCACTTTATCTTTATCCATTAAAAAATCATTTAGAGAGCATTTCTGCAATAATTTCAATCAAACTTGATTATTATTTTCATTACGTTTTATTGAAACAAACTATGAAATGTTTATAATAATGGTGGGTCCTATACAGAAATATATAGCCACTTGCGGAGTAGATAAAAAGTTCTTGTAGCAAAATGAAAAAAAAATAAAATGTTACAATATATATATCTCCATAGGTCACAGTGTAGGAGAGTTGGGATGCGCGTACGCTGACGGTTGCTTCACTGCCGAGGAAATGATTTTGTCGGCATACAGCCGTGGTCTTGTCTCTGTACAGACTCCATTTATCCGAGGTTCCATGGCGGCTGTTGGCATTGGCTATGAACAGGTAAGTCGCTTCTAATAATAATCTTAATGTTACATTAATTAAAAGAGAAAAAGAAAGAGAGAGAGAGAGAGTAAAGGAAAGATGCTAATTACTTTTTTCTTTTAGGTCAAAGACATTTGTCCCCCAGAAATTCAAGTCGCGTGCCATAACGGCCCTGACTCGTGCACAATCTCAGGCCCCGCTGAGATCATGAAACAGTTCGTCGACCAGTTGACGGCGAAAAGCATCTTCGCCAAGGAGGTCCCGTGCTCTAACATCGCGTACCATTCGCGATACATCGCTGAAGCTGGTAAGTTTAGTCTAAAATATACAGATTTTTTACGATTATGAACGGAATTAGATGATGAACTGTTAACATAGGCTGAACATAGGCTTCCCCATTGGGGGTCAATCGCAGTTAGGCTTTTGGTGATGTTTAAAAAGGGATATTACTACCCATTTCTCGACCATTAGATTCTCTTAGTCACCTCTTATGACACCCTCGGGAAAGGAAGAGGTGGCCCATTCTATGCCCATTCTACACAGCAATTTCAAAAAGCGAAAAAGAAATTAACATGAGACTTTTATTGACTCCTTGATACTTACTGACATTTTCCCGGATCCTTTCATTTTGCTATTTCACCCCCAGACCACAGATTGTTTGATTATTTAATTTAGATTTTGCCGTTGTGTACACAGCTTCACAAGTTATGAATTCACATTTTTGTTCATTATCAGGACCCGGACTACTGAAGTATTTATCTGAAGTCATCACGTCGCCGAAACCCCGCAGCGAGCGTTGGGTGTCCACATCAGTGCCGCAGGACAAGTGGGGTGAACCTGCCGCGAAATATTCTTCAGCTGAATACCACACTAACAATTTGTTGGTACGTAATTATCTGCCTATATGTGCATGAACTAAATAACGGTTGGAGATTGATAACTAATATGGAAGATTTTCCATATTGATTATTTGGCAACCGCAGATAGACTTTTAGAGATGTTTTAAGAGGGTCGCTGCTGCCTATTCCTCTACCATTAGGTTCCCTTAGTCGCCTCTTACGACACCCACAGGAAAGGAAGGGATGGTCTATTTTATGCCAGGATCACACGGCAATTAGAAATGCGTTAGATATTAGATTGTTTCAAAAGTATCTAGTAACTAATTCTTGACATCAGCGTAAAATTGCTGTCATACTTATCATGTCATTTCTAACTACTGTTCAGAGCTACATTATTACAATGCATCAAGTCTACCTACCGACCTACCTATTCTATATCGGGACCACACGGCCATAGTGTTTATAATACTAACAATACTGATAACTGATAACTAAATTGTGTACCTACATATTTGTTTCTATAAAGTATATTATTACTATTATTTAAGCGTTCATAATAATGAAGAAAAGAAACATTTATCTATAGACTTATTTGAAATACATATATGTTTCAGAATCCAGTACTGTTTGAAGAGACAGCTCGCCTGATACCGTCGAACGCTGTGCTAGTGGAGGTCGCTCCACATGGACTGCTGCAGGCGATCCTCAAGCGTTCTCTGTCACCGTCGTGTATCAATATACCGCTCACCAAACGCGGACATGCTGATAACGCTCTCTTCTTACTTGAGGCGATTGGCAAGTTAGTATTTTTCGTATCAGTGTTGCCATATTGGATATTTGTTTTTTATTACAATTTTAGGTAAACATTTTTCTGTTTGTGAAATTTTGGAGAAATTTAATTCTTGGAACAATTTGAGTAATTTTTTAGGACAGTTTTGGTATTTGTAAAGTGTATAAATGTATAAAAATACAATAAAACATATGAAAGAAGATGGCAAAACAGGGAATGGGTTAATAGAAAGTGAGGGTAAGATGAACTAATAGTAGCAAGGGAAGGATAGTTTTTTTTCGTCATTCTCTTTGTAATACATGGTAAAACGAAGTGAAAAAATATATAAGTTTGTAATTGGATAAAAAAACTTGGAAATCATATCAGTTTGTAGGAAAAATATTTGATGTTGGGGTAAGAATAAAAAATCGCATCTAAAAAACTTGCATCGTAGGCTTAGTAAAATGTACTCACATAGTAAGAAACTAACAATGTAACCACAAAAAAACGAGACAAAAAAAAAATTACACTAGTGTACGTATAACGTAAATATGTGCACGTGACAATTTTTGAATTGACAAACTCCAAAAGAGATCTGGAATAAAGATAGAGTGAGAGGAGTTTAATAGACTCTATGTAATTACCAAATATTTGATATTCCAGACTCTTCATGGCAGGTTACTGTCCCAACGTGTCAGTTTTATATCCGAAGATTGAATTCCCCGTCTCCACTGAAACTCCATATCTGTCACATTTAGTGGAATGGGCTCACAATGAGACGTGGTAAGTATCATATTTCGAAATACTTGATCCTTTTGCTTTATTTATTATAAACGTGAAAAGATTGTCTATATTACTTCAGCCGTTAACTGTCCGACGCTATATATATAAGCCTTCGCCATAAGTTTCGCCAGTAGTTGCCATGCTTGGCAGGTGGTTTGGCAACTGGGATTAGGCTTTTAGAGATGTTTTAAGAGGGACACTGCAGCCTATGCCTCTACCATTTAGTTCCCTTAGTCGCTTATTACGATACTGCAATGAAATGGTGGCCTATTCTATGCCGGGACCATACGGCGAGCAATCTCTCTATATTTGTAACTAGCGGCACGTCCCGGCTTTACATGGGTAGACATTTTTACAACATTTTAAAAAGTGGTTATTGTGACATAACGATAATAGTTGGGCATATAGTATCGCGAAGTTTTTTATAGTTATTGATATTTTCTTCAATATTGTAGAACATACTTTTGTTCTATCACAAATAGTTTCCGCAGCGCACGGGACGAAAGATATTTTATAGCTTGTTTTACACCTCGACTTACGTTACTAAAGTTTTAGTAAGGATCCCTAATCATATCTAGCAATAAATATAGCTTATGTTATTCAGGGTGAATGTAGCTTTCTAATGGTGAAAGAATTTTTGAAATCGGCAAAATAGTTTTTGAGGATATTAATTACAAAACATACACACAAAAATACAAATCTTTCCTCTTTATAATATTAGTGTAGATAAATCAATGGATTAAATTTTGCTATACCCAGAGTTTATTTATTTGCTCTTTATAAGAATATTGTAACAATTATATATTATATATAAATGCATTAAAATAAATAAATAAAAATTAATTAGAGTTTTATGTTTACATAGGAGAATACCATACTTCATAACGGCAGACAAGAACGTTGCGGCCGCGTGCACCTTCTCCTACAGCACCCACGACGACGACAACAACTATCTTCAGGGAAATGTCGTCAGAGGTAACTGTTATAAGCTTATGCCTTTTCTCTTTGGGATAAGTAGAGACCGTAGTTTACTACATGCTCTTATATATTTGATATTAGCGATCCAGCATGGCTTAGCCATGGTTGATTTTTTAAAATAATATGTAGCTTATAGCGTTGATTTCAGACAGGCAGCCTGTCGTAAAACTATAAGCCAAATTCCTTAGTAATATGGATAAAACCAGATTACGCCGACCCCCAAATAATAATTGGGATAAGGGTAGGAAGATGATGATATAGCTTATGTTACTCACTGATAATGTAGCTTCTTATATGTGAAAGAATTTTTATAATTGATTGAGTAGTATATATATTCCATTAGTTGCTACTTGGGACAGATAAAAAAAACATTAGGTCGTCTCGGTGTCGTATGGAGATCAAGGATATGGCCTGGGATAGAGTTGGCTGGAAGAAGATGCAGGAATTAGTTGCACCGACAAGAGGAAACTCTTAAATGAAAAAAAAAATATATAATATATATATATATATATATATATATATATATATATATATATATATATATATATATATATATATATATATATATATATATATAATTTTAAAATTTATTCATTACAAATAAAACATGATCAAATCTTTCCTCTACATTCAACCTTAGTATCTATTCTTTAAGAATATCTACCTCTATTCCATTCATATTTTTTTTTGCAAGCAACGAGCAGTAAAGCAACAATAAAGCAGTGAGACTGGGTTTTTACGTACGTATGTTAGATTATTTTATAGGGAAGAACTGGTCCTATTTAAAAGTCGCATATATATTCACATATATTTGCAATATTTCGTTCGAATCCTGCGATGGGCACCAAACTATTCTGTCGTAGACACAAATGCAATCATCATTTCAGTCATTAATTGTCCAATGCTGAACATAGGCTCCCCGTTGGGGGGTTTTGCTAGTAGTCCCCACGTTTGGCAAGCAAGTTAGTAACCACAGTTTGGCTTTGGTAATGATTTAAGAGAGACGCTGTTGCCCAACCTTCAACTATTAAAACCTTTTAGTCATCTCAAACGACAACCACGGGAAAGGAAGAGGTGGCCCATTCTGTGCCGGAAGCATACTGCTAAAAATGAAATTCACAGAAGAAATATAAAACAAGTAAAACTTAAAATAACACATATAAGTGAATAAACTTCTATTCAAATAAACCAGGCCTTGTATTACAACCAATAGTTTCTTTAAAAATTTGCAGACAAAACATTGTTCCCATTCTCTGCGGCCCTCATAGCTGTGTGGGACACTCTCGCCATGTCCACTGGTGTGCCTAAAAAGGAGTTATCTGTACAATTCTCCAATCTAAACTTCTACGTGCAGCCAGTACTACACGACCGTAGAAATCTGAAGCTGTCTGTGGCAATGCATAGAGGCACTGGACATTTTGAGGTACATCTGTGGTATAGAAACTTTTAGCTGTATAAGTTTTTATTTTTTTTATACTTTTAGAGAATATAATTTTAATTTTTTTATACAAAGAAGCATACGGCCCACCTGATGGTAAGCGGTTGCCGTAGCCTATGAACGCCTGCAATACCAGAGGTATTTCGCGCGCGTTGCCGACCTTGAAGAAACCTCTTTACCCCCCTTTTGAAGAACCCCATGCTGTAGTCTCTTAGGAAAACCTCGGCAGGAAGCTCATTCCATAACCTGAGTGTTCGTGGGAGAAAACATCCCTGAAACCGCGTTGTACGCCACCATTTAGGCTGTAAGGCATGAGGGTGAACTCCCTGTCGATAGCGAGCCGTACGATGATAGATAAATATGAACATGTAAGTAAAATTATAGGTATAAAGATTTTTAATACATGATAATGGAATGGTAACCCTACCTACGCTATCTGTATACGCTGGCGAGATGCCACCGAGTAATAATAGGTGAGGAAGAAAGTAAATCAGTTTATTTATTGTTTTGGAATCGACGGGAACTGACTACGATGGTTTCCAGGGGCACCTGAATTTCGATTTAAATAACCAGTGATATGGACTTCCGCAAGATATCAGCCGTAAAGCAGTTGTGTTTACATGGTTGTGTTTCGGTTTGAAGGGTGAGATATGGCAGTGAATTTACGGGGTACAGAGGAATAACATCCGAGTCCTCAGGAATGGTAACGCATGGGGGGTATCATGGGCGAAACAGTATACTCTATTATGTCCATGGTACTGCTCATGTTTATAGACGACAGTTACCACTTTCCATCAGGTGGATGGTCAGCTTGTTTTTGATTCTAAGTTGTATAAAAAAATCACCTAGTTTAGTAAAGTAATTAAAATTATCAAGAATGCTCTTTTATACGTAATTGACAATATAATTTAAGAACTTCTATTATTATATATAGGTTTTGGATGATGAATCAAGAGTCGCCACAGGCGATGTAGCTGCACTTCAAACACCTGGTAATAAAAAGAATTTGCCAGAAATTGAATCAACGCCGGCTAAAGAAGCCGAAAAGTCAAAGGAAGTTTATCTGAAATCGGAGGACATCTACCAAATACTATATGAAAGGGACTATTTCTATAGGTCTGTATATTATTTTTACATGATTGCTCAAATAATTAAATTGTGTTTCACAAAAAACCCGGCTTCTATTTTGGCAAAACCAGTTATTTTGGTTTAAAAACTATACCATTGAAGCGATTTTGATAAAATTTTAATGCAATCTTTCTTTCATGTAAAAAAAAATATCTAAATCGGCTTAGTACAGACGCAGTTATGAGATAACAAACATAATAAAAATTTACAATCGAAATGAGAACCTCCTTTTTTAATTTGTTTGAAAAAGAGCATAATTTAGAGTCCATGTACATGAGATTTTTTGTTTCGCCATAACTTCTGATTGCATAAACATATTTGGACGTGTGGGATGTCGCTAGAATATTTATCTACATCATCCCCAGTAATATTGTTTTTTTAAATATTAATATATTATAAAACAGTCGTGTTTTTTTAAATATTATCCGGCTTCATAATAATTTTTTTTAGTATCTTTATGCTGAGTATTATCTTCAAAATTTCTCACTGATTTCAAACTAATTTTGTTACTACTGAATTAGATTTTATTTTGTGACGAAAATTCTATTGTTGATATTATTCAAGAAAGGATTTTAAAAAAAATTATATACTTTATATTTAATTAAAGCATTCAATACCACAAAAGGTAACATTTAACAAATTTTTAGGAACAAAATTTAAAACGAAAAAGTATCTAATGTACATTCTGTGCCTTTCAGAGATCAATTCCGTAGTATCCACAATGTTAACGAGACATTCACGGAAGGTCATATAATTTGGAATAATAATTGGGTGACATTTATAGAAGGATTGATACAAATGAGCACACTGAAGCACCCCTACGAAACCGTATCGCAACCTAAACAGATCCAAACACTGGTGATCAATGTTGATGAACACGCAGACAAAATGATTAAAGTAGATGATAAAAATGTGATGAAAGCAACTTTATCGGATCTATACGATTACGTAAGGTAAGGTGATATAAGTTACAACAAGAAAGAAGTTACAAAAAGTTCATTAGATTGACATCATATTTTTTTTATTTATTTCTTATTATGATAGTTTATTTGAAACAATCTCCTAACCTTTTTATGGAGTTGGGTATTAAAAATTTTTCTGCAATAGATATTAAAACTTTAAATTAACTTTATACTAATTATACAAATTGAAATACGTAAGAATTTTTGCGAACTAAGTATACTTTAATTAAATGAAAGTAACTATATGTCATTTTTTATTTTTAGTTGTGGTGGCGTTAAAATAAAGTCCCTCAGGTTCCACAATCTACCACCAGTTGTTCCAGATGATATAGCATTGAAATCTCTTCAGTTTGTGCCTAGATTCCAAACTGGAAATGTAGATGTAAGTATCTAAATGTAGTACTTGTTATTTAAACTAATGTTAACTTACTAATATAATAAAATTGTAATTAGATGGTGTCTGTACATGGGAGATATTTAAGAAAAAAAAATATTAGATATCGCGAATAGACGCCATAGATTCAATGAGCCAATAGAACAAAAATAAATTATAAAAGACGATGCATTGCAATGAATCAGAAATAATTAAATTGGAAGTATTACTGGATTACTACTTTAATGAGACTGCTTAGAATGTGTTTCTTAATCTGCTAATTTTGAGAAAGACACACATCTATTCTATTAAAACTTTGTCTTTTTTAAATATACTGTTATTTGTTAATAAATTCTTACATTATGAAGTTACAAGATTGTACTCGTATATGGTGTAAGAAATTCTTAGAGATAATAATTTTGTAGAATACAGTACAAACTACTAATTAAATAATAATTTATATATTAAATGTTCGCAGTTAATTTCTTCACTACAAGTTAACGTGCAAATAGTAGCAGAGAATGTGAATAAGAATACCATAAATGTAGTACAGATAAAATATGATAAAGAAGTACATGCTATCTATGATAAAATAAAAGAAATTCTTAGTGATGTGCCCGGTGTAACTATACAATTTAAACAAATAGAGCTTAAGCAGCTTTCAGAGGAACGTGAACTCTTGAACAATGTGGATCTTGTCGTAGTAAAAAACATATCAACAGATGAAAACGTAAGTAAATATTAAGTATTATGATAGATACACATCTTAAATAAAAATTAAACACTATTGAAGATAGTTGAGCTAATTTAGATTATAAATGTTCATAATAGTCTGATTAAAACTATCTATCAAGACGGTTTGTTTTCTGATAAAGAATGATTCTTTAACTACTTAAGCCTTAATCAAAGTTACACAATAGCAAATCTTGCTTGTGTCGATTACTATATTATAAAAATCTCTAAAATGATTGGTTTTATAAGATTTAATCATTATACATGTAACTTCAGAATGTTTATATTTTTATTGTCTATTTAATAACACGTTTCTGTTTTAGGTATGCCAATTGCTATATCAAATTCTACAACGCGACGTCTTTATTTTAAATTTAGAAGACCACTACAATACCTGTAAAGTGCGCCCATCAGCACTTTACAACGTCGTATCTGCACATAATTCAAAAGTTATGCGATTAGAATTAGCAAGATGGAGGCCAACAGATACGAAATCTCAAGTCACAGCGTTATCAGTTCGTACGCCTTCAGATATACCAATGCTAACTTCCACCAGATCATCGATTCCTCCAAATCACAAACTGTTAGTAATAACGACGTACCCTCTAATTCCTGGACTTAAAGATTTAATTTTATCATGGAGAAAGGATGTTGATCGCAATCAAGTATATTTAGTGACGATGAACAAGGAACAAGAAAGTCAGTGCTTAGACCAAATGCCTGAATTGGATCTGGCAATTAATATTTTTAATAGTGTAAGTGATTTTTGAAAATTCTATATCTTTATTATTTTTTGAGTGCTTATTGTGTTTATTTTCAGAAAATGCATCTAGATTTTTAATTTGTTGGATATAATAACCAAAGACTAGGTCCTTGGCTAGCCACACTGAGAATTTCTAATAGCTAGTTTTCTGCTGTGTGATATAGCTTACGAAGATCGTCGTAATTTCATTGAATCATAATGAAACACAATCCCAAAATTTTCTTCTAACACTTTTAACAATATTATACAGGGTGCGTGGGGTGGCGAGTACTATGTACCATGCATTGAAGAGCCTCGAGCAAATAGTGAAGTGAAGTTGGAGATCTCTCGTTTTGGAGATTTGAACTCGCTGCACTGGGTTGAGACGTCGGTACCTAAAAATACAGGAGTACCAGTAACGGTACGTAGTTGTTTATTTACTAAACGATATGACAGCTCTTATCAGCTTAAAAGAAGAGCTATTAGCCCTTTTGACATTGTAATAAAATTTACAGCACATTTCATGAAAAATTGTAACACATACACGAATTAATGAAACATTTATTGTAATAATCCACATTACAAATAACTAATGTGTATAGTAACCATGTTATCTGATTAGTATGGTTCTTTGAGAAGACGCAAAACCGAAAAGCTTTTTAGGTTTTGCGAGTAATTTCACTATTCCGACATTATATTGAGAGGTTCCGATTTCTAGCATTTCTTGGACATTGACGTCAAACAGCTTTGGTATTCTATATATATTTCTTGTCCTGTTAATGTTCCTATCATTATCTTTTTATTTTTACTATCCAACTACACTTTAATCTATATACTGGGTTGTATTGTCAATAGTTTCTATCAATAAATGAATTTTTAAATATAATTTAATATTCCGTACAGGTTCATTATGCTGGCATAAACAATTATGATCTGAGAAAAGCAACAGCAATTACTGATAAGGATGATGGCAAAACAAACACGAATTCATTCGGGATGGAGTTCAGCGGTGTTACTGATACGTATGTCTATTTAATTTAAATTGTGTTTATTGACAACTTTATCTGCATGATCAACATTATATTGATTTCCCAAGATAAAAAGATCTATGCCCTTCTCTATTCCAGATACAATATATATAGCAAATTCTATGACGGGTAGTTGAACTATACCGATATAAAAATCAGGCTAAAAATACACAGTAAAGAATTTAAATTTCTTTAACAAACTGTTATTAAAATTTTAGTGGTGAACGGGTAATGGGCTTATCACCCACTGGAGCTGTGATGACCAAAGTGCGTGCAGTGCCAGAATTATTGTGGCCAGTACCGGCTCACTGGACTCTCGAAGAAGCTGCTACCGTTCCTTTGGCTTATGCCATCGCCTTCTACTGTTTGGTGAGTAACTTTATATAACTTTAAAACATTATAACAAAATAACTTCTTGTTTTGAAAGAAATTATGAAATGTTCAAGTATTGAGTTTATGGATACAAGTAGAATTAATAAGTAATTAACAAACGATCTTGAAATACATATATATGCAAAATTAATTAATCGCATGTAATGTATGACGATGTAGTATTGCTAAGTTAACCACCATTTTATCTGATGATGATAGTGTACTCCATGATGATAATACCTGCCGCCAGTGGAGAACGAAATGATGAGGATAAACTCAAGTCCGTTGACTCATCATGTCGAGTACACCCTGTGTACGTGGTCTCCATGGAATTTCTTGTGATTAGTTCCTGAACTAATCACAATAAATTCCAGGGAGACCGGCGTCGATGTATATTGTATAAGAAATCTCAACGAGGACACTGCTAACTTGAAATGTTTCAATTGTCGTACAGGGTATCAAATGCAAGTTATTACCAGGAAAGTCCATCTTGGTGCACGGTGGTACTGGAGCCGTGGGTCAAGCGATTATATCGATCGCGTTAAACTTCGGCTGCGAAGTGTTCGCCACTGTTGGCGATGTCCGGAAGAAGCGCTACTTACGGAAACTGTTCCCTCAAATACCAGGTTTGTATGAGTATGCAGGAGATAAAAATTTTGATTTGCAGAAATGACAGACGTGTGGTATTGACGTCCTTGGTAGTGTGAGGTTTAACATTCTACCTCACCAACTGATGGTTGCGTATTTGATTCCCGCGCAAAATAAACATTTGGATTCATAAGTAAGAATACAAATGTCACTGTTTAAAATTTTCTTTTTTCATAATATATACGTATTAACAAATGGATTCAAGTATAGATATATGTAAGTTATCGAATATCACCTATTGTACAAGTTCTGCTTAATTTGAACAAGATGGTACTGTGTAAAATTGTTTGGGCAATTCATACTTAATTATTTATAATCCATATTTTACTATTCACAGTCAAATTGTACTACAAAAAACAACAAATAATTTAACTTCTAAATAGATATATAAAATTCGCATATAATTGTTACAGAACGCCACATCGGAAACTCCCGGGATCACACGTTTGGTGATATGATATTGACAACAACGAAAGATAGGGGTTGCGACATCGTTATTAGTTGTGTCAAAGATAAATTAAGAAATGTAAGATTTTATTAATATTAAATCATCATCATCAATACCATCATAAATTATTCTATATATATATATATATATATATATATATATATATATATATATATATATATATATATATATATATATATATATATATATATATATATATATATATATATATATATATATATATATATATATATATATATATATATATCAATCCTTACCGAGTTAATTTTTTCTTATTGTATCCTTTAAACATTGTGATAACTTAGTGAAAATAACACAAATTTACAGTATTCATCAAAATCGATTCATCATTAAGATTTGGGTTTTTTGCTTTTAATTTTGTTCTCGACCTAGCTATATCATATATCACTGTAACTGTTTTAGTTCCACCTCTTTCCCTATATCTATCCACTTTCTATAATCATTACTGTTTCAGTTATGTCGTCTTCATCTTTTTTGTGTCCATAAGCTAAACCACCATTCCTTCATCTTATCACTTAATGCTAATTTCTTTGTATTCATTCCTTTCAACATCTCGTTACTTTACATTCTCAAATACTCTAAATGAATTCTTATACTCTGATTTGCGCCAGCAACTATCTAAAGACCCTTTTTACACAACTTCTCAATAAAGGAGTGTAAAGTGTCAATGTATAAACGTGAATTTGTGGTGGAAGGTGGAATAAATCCACCATAACTTTAAATGCTTGAACAGATTTGCATGTATATAATATCGTTTGAATCCATACATATTTGCTACAAATTTATTGGAAGTAGTTTATAAATTTCTGAGGACAGTTGTGTATTTTAATATGTGGTCCAAAATCTACTTGATTAATTATTTCAATACTTTTATCCAGACTTCCCTCAACTGTTGCGCACCCTGCGGCATCACCATTGACTTATCCCTCATTCCAAATGAAGAGAAGTTCAGATTTGGCATGTCCAATTTGATAGACTGTAGACATTACATGCCTGTTGATTTCTCTTCTATATTCTACTACAACAAGCAGGACGAAATTAAGGTAATGTTTTAATTTTTCTACTTAAAATGGGTATTTTTTTATTTTAAGATGAATTTATGCTTGATCTTATCTCATAGTAAGTGGTGATAAAGATCTAAGATAATTTGGGCTATACTAGAAAATAGTAAATTCTTTTTGTTTGGAAAACAAACCGATAAAGGTGATAGTTTGTAGAATTACATTGTCTTGCAAATTTTTTAAATAATTGAAGTCTTGATAAATCATCCACGTGATGACACTTATTGTTTATTTTTCTCTTTAGAATGTCGTAAAAAGCTACTTAGCGAATAATGTATATTATATTAGCGCAAGAAAAAGGAAACGACAAATAAAATTTAAGATTAAAACCATCCCAATAATTGTAGATTAATATCCTTCTCATGTGATGAGGCTTGTAGATCTGTACTCTAAGTATCGCTCATCGCGAAATTCGAAGTTAAATCCACAATGACAGTAGTGTTACATAAGTTAGGTTGTTATGGGACTCCTAATAAATTATTACGATGTAGCCTATAAAAAATTTATTAGACTAGTCAAGCTCGTGCTCACATCACGACCGCTCCTTATTAAGGGTCCCGATGATTCCAAATATAATCGAGCATTCTCGACTAAAGTCAATCCGTCAATGATGATTTGATATTCCAGAGCATCCAATATATGATAAGCGAAGGTATAGAGCGTGGATACGTGCGCCCATTGTCCCGCATCACGTACGGAGCGCAGGAGGCCGCGCGAGCCTTCCGCCTGCTGGGCGCTAGTCGACACCGCGGACGCGTGCTGTTGCGGCTTTGCGACTCATTCCAAGCGCAGCCCAGGTATTTATCGTTGTTATGCTTATGTCTATATCAAAATAAAATAGTCTTATGATTTCCTAGTACACAATCATATGAACTAAGCATATTTTTATGCGATCTGAATGACAAACAAGCTGATGGCCTACCATATTCATCAAAACATTCAGGGCATGTTAACAAGTGTGTTGGATCATTGGTTGTTTCTTACTCTGTGCGTATAACCTCTTTCACACAATCCATCGACTTTTTTGAGTCCTTCTCTTAAGTTGCTTCAAACGAATCATTCTTTGTGAGACTTAATCCTCAATCCTTCTCATAACTTGTTCATACCAATTAGCATCCGTTTTCTCGTTAGTCATTTATATTATGAATTCTTTCCATTTCATGCAGGATAAAGTGTTCCCCGGAATATTCTCATCTAGTACTCTGCGACGATGACTTCTTTGGGCTACAGTGGGCCGAAAGACTGGTGAGCCGCGGGGCGACGAAACTACGTTTGCACTTCTCATCTGTTTCATCATACGTATTTTATAGAGTTCAGTAAGTAACATTTTGTCATGACCAGATACGTTTGTCTAAAAGAGGCAAATTCGTCAAAGAACTCAAGAGATCATTTATGAAAATAGTGAATTTTCAAAGACGATCAGTTTTTCTGCCTATCCCGTAATAAAATTTGGATCAAGATCCATATTATTATATCGTCATAGTCGTAGAATACTGACGGATCTATATATGTAATATTTGTCAGATCCGTCTGTATTCTACGACTATGACGATTTGGTTATAGTAAACTCGTAATTATTTTACATTGATTACTTTTGATGTGTTCGTAATATTTGAATGATTTTATATAAATCAAATCCTATATAAAATTTACTAAATCTGCATTCTTAATATTGTTGCAAACATAAAAGTGAGTTTGTTTATTATAATCAACAATTTCGAATTTAGCATTTGGGAATGATATAGACCATATCCCAGTCATGTAGAGGAAATCCCAGACGAAATTGAGTATTATATAAATCTGATATCTGATATGGGATCTAATACCTGATGCAATATTGGAATTAAAATATAATTTCATGAAAAGGCTATGGGTAAAGCTATTGTCAACCAACTTTTAAAAAGAAGAAGGAAATCGGTTCGATTATATTTTTTATGTTCGTTACCTTTTAATTCCATTATTTATATACCGATTTGGAAAATTCTTTTTTTTTATTTGAAATACTTTAAGATATTTTATTGAACATACTTTAAGATTCGTCCTATAGAAATGTTTTCAAAATCAATTTAATAGTTTAGTTTATGAATCAAAATAACTAATTTTGCTGCGATTGAAATTGGTGTTTTTTTTTTCGTAGAATAAAATTTTAAATTATTTAATGTCTCAAGGTCATGGCAAGCGAAAGGCATAGAAGTTCAAGTTTCCACTGAAGATGTGAGCTCTTCGACCGGTGTCCAGTCTTTACTGGAAAACAGCAACAAGATGGCGCGCGTAGAAGGCATATATGTGATGGCCACAACCGACAAAACGGACCAGAACAAATTGTCATATTTGGACACGGTTTCGAGGAAATTGTGCCCATCACTGAAGTATGTATCTTTCTATTTGTGTTTTTAAAGCTTCTCTCTAATTAGTGAAGAAAATCTGCCTTATCAATTTGCAATGCTCATCTACTCCTAGATTTTGCGGAATCAAAATTTTTTCTGTGACCAACTCATCTCTTGCCACCAAATTATATCTGTCATGTCTAAGTACATGACCAAGATACGAAGTTTTTTGCTATATAGGAGGGAATAAACCGGAAAGAGAATCTCAAAGTTTAATAACTCGACAGAGGTATAAATCTGAAATGAATATGAATTGGGGAGTGTTCTGAGGAATTGTTCGGATTAATATCTGCTGCTGTTAATTTTCACCACCATTCAACCTGGCATAAATTAAAGTTCCATCCCTACTAACTAGATTAGTGATGGTCTTCCACCGTGCATTTTCCAAGGCACTTTCTTCTACGCACAATTACTCTCTGGAATCAATTTCCAGCAGCAGTATTTCCGAAACGATACGACATCGTAAACTTTAAAAAAGGAATATATTCCTTTTTAAAAGACCGGCAGCGTATCTACAGTGCTTTTGGTGTTACGAGTGCTCTTGGGCGACAGTAGTCACATACCATAAGGTGAGCCATCGTTTGCTCCTTGTATTATAAAAAAATCTACTAATCTTTTGGTGTGCGCAGTACTGCGTACTGCGTGTAGGAGGTCATTGAAATCAGCACGTGATATGTAGTTACTTTTTACCCTCGTTAGTGAACATATTCCGGTCACGCAGATGAAGTCGCAGGCAAAGATTAGTGCTTAGTACAAAACAATGGATTATAGATATGTGATAATGCTACTGTTGACGACAGGTACTTCTGTGTGGTGAACACCAACGGTAGCGGACAGGAGACATGCTTGGTTCGCGCCGCCAACAATCTGCCTGCCACCAAACTAACTATACCACCTATCGCCAAAGTGAGTAATACACAAATTGATATAAACGTACATTTTAAAATGCGAAAGAGAGAGAGAGAGATAGGGAAGAGAGACGAAAGAGATATTTACGAGTAAGTGACAAATGAAAAAAGTTGAACGATAAGACGTAACCGACGGAGAGTTTATACAAATGTCATCTGCTTGGGTACCTCTATCCTATTTTCTTTTCTGGATAATAATGGAATGGTAACCCTGCCCGCGCTAACTTACTTAGTTTATATTCTGAAAGTTCGATTGGATATGTAACATTATTTTTTCATTTCATATACAGAAAGATGTCCCCAGCACTCCAGATACGATATCCTGGCGTAGCGGTGTAGATGTAACGGAGCGTGCATTGCGGACTGCACTCCCAGTTTTGAAGGCGTATGCCCGACCAGTACCGCCACCTTCACTACTGCAGCAGATTGTAGCTATCGCTGGTATGTTTACTTTATTTATATGGTGAATATAAATAAAAAAAAATATTTCAATCATGACAAAATATGAAACCAACACGGAAGCCTAACTAATGATAGTAAGTAAATATACGTAGGTACAAACTTTTGATAGACAAACTTTGGCATATGTTACAGTTTTATTAATAGTATTTGTATGATATTTGTATGATCTCATCATTATCATCATCATATCAGCCGTTAATCATTCACTGCTGAATATGGGCCTCCCCCATAAACTGTCTCGAGCCATCTGCATTTGTATGATGTGGATCATACAAATTACTATCAATAAAGCTGTGTCCAATTGTGTATTTTATAATAAACAAAGTAAATTAAAAATAATTATAAATCCTGAGTTTACTGCCGGTTCTTTTCGATAGAATACTAAAATTTAGAGAGAGAATTGTTTATCGATTAATGGTCTAAATAAGAAAAGGTGATTTCTAGTCTAATTTAATAAATTTTATTTTCAGATATTAATTTGCCACCCAATGTCGAGCCCACAACAACACTTCAGGACCTGAAGGTTCAAGATGAGAAGCTGACAGCAATTTCCTGCTACTTGAGTGACACGTATAACATTTCATACGACGAAGAGCGTATACCATCTTTAACAATACAGAAGTAATTGATGATTTATTATATACGTAACAAATGTATTTTAGAACAATAAAAATATGCGTATGCCTACAATATCTAATAGAGTAGTCAGAGGCAGTCAACGTTTAAGTTGTGGTAAACGTAATATTCGATATGCCCACATTTCGTCGAGTATAAAAATATCCAACATGGCAGAAAGCAAGCTAATTGCCATCAATTTGGTTTATTGTCGGTGTTTTCAATCACCAGAGAGTTGGTCAGAATTTTAAATTGACGCTAAATGTGACTGTCTGATTCGAATTCATGACCTTTGCGATATTTGACAAGGAATAAAGAAAGCTATAATATATCTTAAGCTAAAATGCTCTCGAGAACGATCTTTGAAACGTTATTATACTTTTAATAAATTAGAGAAAGGAGTGGGAGGGGAATAATCTATTATAGTAGTGTTAAAAAAATCCTTATATAAACGATAAAAAATGTCCAACAAAGTTTTGATTTATTTATCTATTTTTTTTTTGATGGGTGAAAATGGTATGGTAACCCCGCCTGCGCTAACGGAATACGCTGGCGGAGCACCAGTGAAGGGTGATAGATGAGAATGAAAACAGGCCAGTTAGCCCATCATGATGAATTCATCAGCAATTAACCATGATAGTTTCCAAGGGGAACCGCGAGGAGGTCGACCTGGTTGGGTATATTGCTAGCAGTGGGATTCTCAGTCTCTATTACTAACAATCCCTTTCCCCCCTATTTATTTATTTATGTAACCATCTAAAAACTATATTATACTTACCAGGATCGCAGAGCTACAAGAAGTTCTGTTTCCATCAGAATTAAAGAAGGTCAAGGGTCTGCATACGTTTTTCTCATACGTAGACTCGGATGAGCTTCTCGCTACCACCGAAATGGTGTCTATACCAACCCTCGCTAGCAGTACTATGGTGAGTTTCACATAGTCTTAAGTCTTTTTTGTCAGCAATATTTTATGCAAGTTTGAATGGCAGATAAACTGACGCACGCTAGTAATTGACATCTATAGATATGAACAGCGTCATGGATAAAACACAATACATTTTTTATGCTACAATTGGCAGACAAGTTAACAGTCTATTTTACTGAAAATGGTAACTGTCATCTATATATATGAACCACACCATAGGCATTACAGTTTTTTTTATACGACTTAGAATGGTAAATAAGCTGACGGCCCACCTGATGGAAAGTGGTAAGCGTCGCCTATAGACATGAGCAGTAGTATACACAACAGACTATACTGTTTCCGCCGATGATACCCCCCATGCGTTGCCATTCCTGAGGACTCAGGTGTTATTCCTCTGTACCCAGTAAATTCACGCCATATCCCATCCTTCAAACCGAAACACAGTCATGCAAACACAACTGCTTCACGGTAGAAACACGAATGGGACAGAGGTACCTAAGCGATCGACTTTTGTACAAAGTCTCCCTCTGGTGATGTGATGTGATGTGATGCCCATTATACCCCTCATGTGTTGCCATCATTCTTAAAGACTGTAATTTTTTTGCCATATCCCACCCACACTTTCCCGTTGGTGTCATAGAAGGCTACTAAGAAAATGTTTAAGGGATAGGCAGCAGCGTTCCTCTTTAAATATCACCAAAACCTAACTGCAGTTGTCGACCCGCCTGCCAAGCGTGGTAACTACTGGCAAAATACTTCTATAGGGAAAGGCCTATATTCACCAGTGGATGGTTAACGGTATAATGTGATGATGATGGTGATGAAGTAGCGGGCAAAATAATATTACTATAAGAACTAGTAAGAATGAGTGGAGCAAACGTCAAATGTCTCTGACAATGTTTTAGTCGGATTATACTTACCAGGACATAATAAATATCAGTATATTTTTTATCTATCTTTGTAGCGAGAAGATGAATTGGACACAACGCAAACCTACATGTGCTGCGTGCCAGGACTTGAAGGTCATCGCTATAAGCTGCACAAACTGTGCGATCGACTCAAGCTGCCGGCGTTAGTGCTCCAACAGGGATTGGATTGTATCGGCGAGACCGTTCCTGAAATGGCCGAAAGATATGCCAAGGTAGATATGAAATATTTAACGGACGATAGATTATTTATGTTATTTTAAATGGCGAATAAGCTAATAGCTACTTTCTTTCTATACCACAAAGATGGCAAACAACAAAGATGGTGATGATCACCTTTTTTGTTAAGTGGTAAGGTAATTGTCAATAAAAATTAAAAATAAATTAAACTTAGAAATATTTTTAGGGAATGATAGTCCATGACTTTCCTTATTATGTAGTTCTATTGCCTAATTTTATTTTCATGTCAACAATTCATGTTCCAGGTGTTACTAAAGAAAGCGGGCTTGAAAGACACCTTTTACTTAATGGGCTACGAAAGTGGAGTAATAATAGCTTTGGAGATAGCAAAGATTATTGAAAAACAAGGTAAGGAGAAATGGTAATTCGTCCATCTTATCTAACCATGTCTTTTAAATTTATTAAATATATTAACAATCACACAAATTATACTAGTAATGGTTCAAATAATTCAAATACATGCTATGGTACTAAATCTAGAATTTCTTTTGCAGCCTTTTAAAAACGTTAAAAATGTAAATAATAATCTTTAATCTAGATTCAAAACAATTTAATACTTTTATTTTAACTTTGAAATAAATCTTTCACGGCAGGTTTGACTGGCATGGTATTTTGCGTGGGCGCAAGTCCTGAGGATTTCCTGGAAATGCTCGAAGACGAGTTGAGCGAATATAAAACGGAGGAGGAACTACAAGATGCCATCACTCAGCACATGTTCACCCTCATGGGCGGCACTACCACCGCTGGAGTCCAAATGGACCTTCATCAGTACTCAACTTGGCGAGAGAAGAATGATGCTTGTGTTAGAACGTTATTGGGCCATGTACCTCATTCGGCACAGTACGCCCGTGCTAACATCGAAGAAGCATATACACGTATATCACTGTTAAGGCAATATAAACCCAAACCGTACGCATTGCAGTCGCAAATTGTGCTGCTGCAAGCATCTGCAAATCACTCTCTACGAAATACAATACAACAGTACTCCCAGAAGCCGGTCATAGTGTATAACCTTGATACACCCCTCGCGCATGTTTCTATAGATCTGCGATGCTCTAACCTTATCAATAGGCACCTGCCTGTGGAACTGCTCGAAGCTTTCAATAGAAAGAACATCTGTGAGACTTACATAACCAACGCTGACACGTTCATGATGGAAGGTTAAATGTTATAATGGGTGTTGGGGTGGACTGATTAGAACCAAGTTTTGTTATTGTTTTAAATTATGACTGAATATTATCTGGTAAATAATAGCTCATTGGTGTCTTGACATATTGTGGGGAAAATAAATATATTTCTATAGTATAAATTGTTTTATTTCAAAATATTCCTTAGTTGAGAATGAGATAACATCCTTATTTTAAATTAAAATCATAAAGCCACTTTCCAATGTTAAACATAGACTTCTTCCTATTAAGAGGCGGATTGGCAACAGCAGTTAGGGTTTGGAGATGGATTTAATGACAATAACACAAAGGACATTTAATTCCCATCCTCAAGATTTTTGGAAGAGGTGTATTGACACGTGGTAAAATTGTATTATTTAAAAAATAGATTTTTTTAATATGAAACAGAAATTTCAAAGGCCATGGAATTTTCTAATAAGTAAGACAAAAATATAAAGTTGTTTAATTTTAATTAAAAAAACATACAAAAACTAATTCTAAACATAAAAAAAAACTAAATATCACTAAATAAAGAGGTACTAATATCACAAAATATAAAAATTATTCAGCAAACGTCTTAGACAATTTATCCACGACTATTCTAGTTCTTTCTGAAATATATTGGTCGATCTCTCCGAGTACTTTAACTACGTGTAACATCTTTTGCACTCCCTTCCTGAATTTCTCCAATCTCTCCGCACTTGATTCTTCTTCGTAATCTTTTGGTCTAGTAAACAACATAGCTGACCCCACTTTGGGTGGCGACAATGGACCGTCGAGAGTTGTTCTCAAATTTGGCACTTTGAATTTTGGAATTCCCAGTTTTGGAACTTTGAATTTTGGTAATGGAATATCTGGAATAAAACCTTTGGGCGGAGGAAGAGATATAGGTACATGGGTATTTTCAAAGCTGTCCTGGTCTGACTCTGAATCTTCTAATACGATTTTCCCATCCCGGATTGCATCAGGAATGGCTCCGTGTATTAAGTCACAAAATGAGTCCACATCTAAACTGTCTCGCCTACTGTCTAAGTAGCCTTTGGTGTAAGATTTAGATTTTAAATTCAAACCAAGCAGTGATCCCTGTAATAGTAAAACAATATAAGATTACATTTATTTTCACTCTTTTCATGATAAAATAAATAGTTATATAATAGATTATATAGATAGAGCATCACGTCTCTAAAACGGGTCATCTTTTTGTCAGCTAATTATCGAATTAGCTGACTCGTTTTTTTATCAGTGTTCTGTATACTTACGCATACAATGTATCTTGATATATTATTTAATAAAAAAAAAAAGTGTTTACGCATTAAAAAGATGCGGAAGTTATAAGTGAATTATAATATATAAAATTGTAGTAAAGTTTTAAAACGTGTATGCCTGTTTAATAGTGGACAGGTAACGGCCGAAATGATGATGATTATGAAAGTTTTGAAATAAATTTAATAATGAAATTAGTGGTAATAATAATAGTTAGGATGCTATCCATTAAATAGAAAGAAAGACTTGTGATAATAGGATCCGAAAATAACTAACCTTTTCTTTGGAGCCACAATCAATAGTTAAACGAACTGGTGGTGGTGGTGGCGCCGTTACAGCATTTAGGTCCATCTGAAATAATTTACAGTGATTTTACAATCTGGCAGATTGCATTTAAATAAAATATAAGGTAACACTGGTACTGCTGATGTCTATAGCGACGGTTACCACTTTCTATCAGGTGGGCCGTCAGCTTGTTTACCATTTTAAGTTGTATAAAAAAAAAACACAGTACAATTTAAAAGCAATGCAATTTAGAATTGCAAATAAGATAATAGCCGATTTTGTACACAATAGTTATCATTGCCTGTAGTCTCATGGACATTACAGAATGAATAGACTGTTTACTTATTTATTTGCCAGAGGGAAACTTTGCACGAAAGTCGTTTACTTGGGTACCTCTGTCCCATTCGTGTTTCTACAGTGAAACAGTTGTGTTTACACGATTGTGTTTCGTTTTGAAGGGTGGGATATGGCAGTGAATTTACGGGGTACAGACGAATAACACCTGAGTCCTTAGGAATGGCAACACATGGAGGGTATCATGGGCGAAACAGTATACTCTGTTATGTCTATGGTAATGGTCATGTCTATAGGCGACTGTTACCACTTTCCATCAGGTGGGCCGTCAGCTTGATTACCATTCTAAGTTGCGTGAAAAAAAAAACCAACCAGTGTAGAAGTTATCCTAGAGTCCACACTTTGTCATGGAGTCTAGTCTCTTCTCAAGTAAGCTTTTTCAAAATAGATGTAACTGTGTAAAAATATTTAATATTAGTTTTTATATACAAATCTCTCTCTCTCTCTCTCTCTCACTGTGTGTGTGTGATGTGTGTGTGCGTGTGCGTGTGCGTGCGCGTGCATGTGTGCGTATCCGTGCGTGTGTGAGTATATGTGTGTGTGTGCGTGTCATTATCACCATTCCTTAACACTAAGGTCAATCACATACAGTAGTAATCCTTCCATACATTTGTAAATGAATACACTCTTATCAGGGTTTCGTTGTAAGGGTTTCCAAGAAATTTGGTTCGTTATTAATCAAGTGAGTAAGAGTTTTAATTTAGGTCAAACCGTCATTGTCTTTTTAGGGTTCCTTAATACAAAAAAAATATGTCGGTTGGTGAAGAGAGATGTCTTTTTTCGGCCGACTTCAAAAATAAAGATATTCCCAATTAGGTTGTATATTTTTTAAATTAATTAGCTGATAACTCCGTCAGTTCTAAACCGATTTGGAAAATTATTTTTTTATCTACTACGACATATTTACAGTTTAGTCACAGAGAAATTGTATTAAAAGGTTCAGTCCTTTAGTTTTTAAATGAAAATAACTAGTTTTGTCACAATTGAAGTCAGTTTTTGTTGTGGGAGTCAATTTTTATTGTGTATCCTTATACCTATATCTGTTATAACGCTAATGTATCAGGGGTGTTCTTCTCTAGAAATCTGGCCGATTCTAGAATAAGGGCATACGGGTATGCGACCCCGGCCTCCCGAGCCGCTGCAGTGTCCCAGTCCTTTCCGCAACTGCAGTATCCCCCTCCCCCTTTCCTTTCCCACATAAGTCCCTTATTTCTCTCATTTATAAATTTCCTTTACGCATTTCCAACGTTCCCTTCCTTTCTTTCTTAATCCTTTCCTCTATACCGTAGGCGATGGAAACCACTAACAAATGCATTCCCAAAGAGGAGGCCAAATCTTTTTCTATTATGGATAAAACCATATTACACCGACCTCAAATAATAATTGGGATTTTTTTTATACAACTTAGAATGGCAAACAAGCTGACGGCCTATAGGCATGAGCTGTACCATGGACATAACAGAGTATATTGTTTCGTCCATGATACCCCCCATGCGTTGCCATTCCTGAGGACTCAGGTGTTATTCCTCTGTACCCTGTAAATTCACGCCATATCCCACCCTTCAAACCGAAACACAGCCATGCCAACAGAACTGCTTTACGGTTGAAACACGAATGGGACAGAGGTACTCAAGCAAACGACTTTTGTACAAAGTCTCCCTCTGGGATAAGGGTAGGAAGATAATGATGATCTGTTATAACGCTAGATGTATGTTTAGAGAATAACATATAATTAAGTACTTGATTAATTAAGTAATTAGGTATTTGAAATTAAAATCTTCCCATTAGGATATTGTTTTCCATATTCATTATTATTATTCATTCATGAAAAGTATTTTTTAGGATTCCGTATTTCAAAAGGAAAAATGGATCACTCGCGTGTCTGTCTATCTGTCCGTCTATCATAGTCAATTTACTCGGGAACCACTGAACCTGAAGTTTTTAACTTTAGGCCCCCATTTACCTTGGTGGTATTTGGTGAAATGTGGAGAGACCAAATATCACCAATCCCGTTAAGAGAAATTTTGACAAAATGATGTTTTGCTTTTATTTTCCAGTGAAATGAGAGATTCGTGGGACTGAATTGAATTAAAATAAGTTCCGTAAAATATGTAGATACGTGCGTTGGGTCTATCTACTTGTTTGACTGTTAATAGGTTATGTAAGTTTTCATTTTTGTACTGATTTACCACTTCGATTTATTTCAACTGAAGTATGTTTTCTAAAAAATCGATATAATATTTTTGATTTATAGAGATATACGGAACACTATTTTGCGAGTCTAACTTTCTCTTAACCGATTTTATTTCATGTGACTTAAGACTTTTTTTGTAGAAGGAGAACAGATTGTTAGTAACTGCGATTAGTAACCCTAATGCTAGCAATACAGGGTGTAAGTAGGTCGACCTCCTCGCGATTCTCCCTGGAAACCGTCGTGCACAGTTCTAAGTGAATCCATCATGATGGGCTAACTGACCTGTCTTTTCATTTTCACCTATCATCCCTCAATAGTGCCCCGCTTGCGTATATCGTTAGCGCAGGCGGGGTTACCATTCAATTACCATTCATTTATAAAACACCTTGTTTATTATTTTATTATTGCTTAATACTTTTTTAAATAAATGTTTATCTATATTTGTTGTTTTTTTATATAATTTCCTTATATACACATAAGGTTACAACTAAGTAACAAATAAAATACTTTAAATATACTATCGGGATTTAATGTGTAATATATAGGTATAATGTAATATTTAGGTAAATGTAAGCATGTACTATTTACCTACAAAAAAATTACAACACGTTAAGTCCCAATAGTGTATTCAAAATATGTGTAAACGACGCGAAAATATAAAATTAACTAATAAATAAAATAGAAATTACACTATACAATGATATTACTTCAATCTTCATGAAATTAAATAATAAATAAAAGAATAGCAAATTATGACGCCTGTAGTTGTTCATGTCTATAGGCGACAGTTACTACGTCCCATCAGGTGGGCCGTCAGCTTGTTTGCAATTTTAACTTATATTTAAAAAAATTAAAGCGTATCTATAATCATAGAGATTTAGTTTATACCTATATCATCACTCCTTAGTTGCTGGACAGATTTGGATAAACTTTTGCATAGGAATACATATTTAGAGTCATTATTTGTGCATAACTTAAATATTTATTCAACAGTATATTTGTAAAGCCCATATTCTGGTCCCGGCATAGAATGGGCCACCCCTTCTTTTCCCGTGGGTGTCGTAAGAGGCAACTAAGGGAACTTAATGGTCGAGAGATGAGCAGCAGTCTCTTTTAAAACATCACAAGTGCCTAACTGCGACTGCCAATTCGTCTACCAAGCGTGACAACTATTGGCAAAAGCCAATATGGGGAGGCCTATGTTTAACAGCGAAGAGTTTATTGTTGAATTTTTTCATACCGCTCAAAATTGCACACTATGTATCTGATACTCTCTTCGTCCACTTTCATGCACATGTATTCCTCCTCTAGATGCTACATCACACATAGATAACACAAACACGTCCAATTACAACATCAAGATATTTCGCAATCGATTCATAATATTCGATACCAACCACCACCAACACCGCCACAGCCACGTATCGGTACATATCCGATTATTCACAACAATCGATGCATTTTATCGCGTCCGCCGCGATCCACGATCGATCACGTAATAATTGTTATTAGGATGAAACGGTTGTGTCAGCAATTTGACTGGCAATTAGTGATGCGCTCATTCGATAATAACTAGTCAGCTAATTGAATAACTATTTAGTAGCTATTAAAAATATTTTTCATAACTTAGAAAAATCTGTTTAAGTGAAATTAATTACTAATTTATTAATAAATTACATTTTAAACTTACTATATATTATAAACACAAAATTTTCTGTGAATGTATGGATGAATGTTTGTTAATTTTACTTTTACTAAATGGGTAGCTAAGTTATATGCTAACTTAACAGAAAAAGAACTGCGAGAAACAGCTAGTTAATAAATAAAAATTATTTATATATTCTATTTTCCTGTATTAATAATAATAACAATATTAAACTTAATAATTATTAGAATATATATTTAAAGTCATATAAGAATGTAATATATTATTTTATCATATTTCAACATTGTACGTGTATGTATTGTATTCATGAGGAAATCTTGTCTACTTGCATAAAATATATATGCATATTCCTATTACTGATGAAAATATATTTAAACTAGTGCACAATGGTACCATGGACGAAACAGTATACTTTGTTATGTCCATGGTACTGTTCACGTCTATAGGCGACGGTTACCATTTTCCATCAGGTAGACCGTCCGCTTGTTTGCCATTCTAAGTCGTGTAAAAGAAAACAACTTGAAATGTATATTTTTGAGAATTGAATTGTTATAAATTGACCTAGTTATTTATCCTATAATAAAGTTTAAAATTTTGCTTCTATATTTCCATGGGAATATCAATTAACAGGCGATTTGGTCCGGTTTTTCACAGGTAGAAAGAATTTTCTAAAATAATATATATATTTTACTCGATAATAATATAGCTTTTTATAGGCGAATTTAAGTTTATCCGTTATAAACAAACAAACAAATATTTCCTCTTTATGATATTGGTATAGATACTAGTATAGTATTATATTATCTGTGGTATAGATAAGAGATTTTTTATACAATATAATTGTCTCTGCGTACATTATGTAGTGGTCATTGACTATGTCCCGAGTTACCATTTCTTTTGATTATGAAACAATAAACTTATTGTTCCGATTATTGTTATTGTTTTAAAATTAGTTCAAATCGGACAGGTCAAAAGCATGATTCATCAGCACGGTTTCTATATTTATTTGTCATTATTCCTTTACCTGTTATATATTATAATTTCCAAATTTCTTTTATAAAATCATCTCATTCAACGATATTAGAAAAATAACACTGTTCTGTAAGTATTTAATTAATAATGTACATCCATGCATATTTGTTTTTTTTTTTCTAATTAGACAAATATTTTATCATAGTCGTAACTAGTCACTCGATCACATCACTAGTGTCAGTGCGTCTCTACATTTAAACATTGCTATGATTATTCAATAATCAATTATACACCATCTTATCTGTACAACGTGTGTATGTTGCAAGTCTTTCCGTAAAAGGGTGTTTTGGATCATGCAGTGGCTAGTCAACTGTTGCTATGCGAGCGGCCTAGTGTTTTATTTATTTGTGAAGTATTATTACGAGAATGAAGTTAAAATCGCTACTGGTAACCTTGCTTCTGTTTGCGGCTGTCATAAATGCAACTCAGGTTAGACTTTTTTTAATAAGAAAAAAAAAAATGGCAATTAAGTGAATTTTGAAAAATTATTTCACTAGAGGGAGACTTTGTACAAAAGTCGATTGCTTGGGTACCTCTGTCCCAATCGTGTTTCAACCGTGAAGCAGTTGTGTTTGCATGGCTGTGTTTCGGTTTGATGGGTGGGATATGGCGTGAATTTATTGAGTACAGAGGAATAACACCTGAGTCCTCAGGAATGGCAACGCATGGGGGGTATCATGGGCGAAACAGTATACTCTGTTATATCCATGGTACTGCTCATGTCTATAGGCGACGGTTACCACTTTTCATCAGGTGGACCGTCAGCTTGTTTGCCATTCTAAATAATATAAAAAAAAAAAACAATAAATTTATCGCTAAAATTACAATTTTAATTTGATAGTTTAGTGAAATTATTATATTATGGATGATTTACAATTAAATTTAAAGTATTTATGACGCAGTTCTGTTGAATATTTAATTTATACTAATAAGTATAATTATAACAGAATCGACATACAATAATTATACATAATTGCTATTAACGACATATATACATAATTACTATTGCAATCTTTTGGAGGAAACATTATGTAATTACGTATTACAATAATATTCTCATAAAATTGTATATTTTCGAAATTCTGAGATAAATTCATCACTTAATCACTTCAATTAGTATATAAATCTAAGATCAATAGTAATAATCAATTGCAATTGATCATTTTAAAATTCCGTTACGTACCTCTTTAATAACATAGTTTTATACTTATCTCTCTGTTTTTCTCTCTTTCCCTTTCTTTTCTAACAAATTCATTACTTGAGCAAAATAACGCAATAACTAACACGTGCATAAAAGAAACGTATTTATTGTAGATCGTTTTATGAATCACTATCAGTTTTATTTAATGCAAATTTAAATATATAAAAAAAGTGTCTTTACTGTATTGCACTTTATATGCAGTCATATTTATAGGAAAAAAGAAATATCTTTTAAGACGATCCGCAATTTTTAATCTGGGACTGGGACATGGACTGGGATAAGGAATGGGATAGAGGTACCCAAGCAATCGACTTTTATACAAAGTCTCTGGTGTATAGTCTCCCCTTAATAGTGAAAACTAAGTATTACCAAGATGAGTATCAATAAAATTATAAATATATAATGGCTAAAGGGCACGCTTCTAAACCAAAACCCAATAAAAAACACCATCATGTCTATTATGTGATTACCACTTAATATCAGGTGGACCGTCAACTCTCCTGCCATTCTAAGTCTTGTAAAAAAATGATTTAGTTAGATGCTTACGCCTAAACAATTTTCTTTCAGGGCAGCATCTTGTTGAAGCACTCATTGCTGCGCCCGCGCACCCCGGAGCCGTGTTTCACGTGTCGCGCGCAAGACCGGCCGTTCGCCTACCCGCTAATCAAGTTTTTCCGCAAAATCAAGGACATATTTGTTCGAGGGCTCAACGTAATCACGGCTGACACCAAAGATTTTAAAACGAACTAATTAAGTGAATTTAGACCATAGATCTACAAGAATATAGATGACGCATGCTTAGTTGATATGCAAATAACCGTGTCGTTATACCTACCTGCTCACCAAGTTTTTCCCCAAAATCAAGGACATGTTTGTATAAGGGCTCAACGTAATCACGGCTGACACCAAAGATTTTAAATCGGACTAATTGAGTGAATTTACAATATAGACCTACAAGGATATAGATGACGCACACTCAATCGATATGAAATTAAGAGTGTCATTACACAACTATTTGCCTCGACGGAAAATATTTCAGAATATACGTCATGCTTAATGATGTTAAAAACAGGTTGAGAGACCCGCTTTCTGATAACACTGCTTCCGTGAAATTTAAATCGTTAACTTTGCCATTAATATCATATTAGCTGTTAATTAACCATAGACTCCCTCATAGACTGCCACAGAGAGTAGTCCTGAGCCACCTGCGTCCACTAACTCTCTGCAATGCATTTAAGGTCATTGCTCCACATAGTGGGGGATCATCCTACGCTGTGTTTAGGCTTGCCACTTGAGATCCTTTTTTCCTCGTCTTTCGTTGGCAATTTTTTTTACAACACAGGGGCAAACGAGCATGCGGCTCACCTGATGGTAAGTGACTACCGTCGTCCATGATCACCCACAACACCAGCGGCATTGCAGGTGTGCTGCCGGCCTTTTAAAAAGGAATATACTCTTTTCTTGAAGATTATGTTGTCGTATCGATTCGGAAATACTGCTGCTGGTAGTTGATTCCAGTTGGCATTATGTAAAACTAAAACTAAGAATTTACCCATGCTAAACAATAAAAATGGTTTTAATTTTAAATAGGTAGTAAATAAGTCATAGAACATTGTATTAAACGAGAAGGTTTCGTAAGTTTTATGTTTTATTATAATACAATATAAAGTTCCTTACTATTTTATTTATATTATTTACTAGTGTTAATGTTATTGATCTCTGTAGATAGTTATTTATCGGAATACTTATTAAATGATTTTATTCACATATTTTATTATTTTTAATTGTTACCTTTTTTTTTATACAACTTAGAATGGCAAACAAGCTGACGGCCCACCTGATGGAAAGTGGTAACCGTCGCCTATAGATATGAGCAGTACCATGGACATAACAGAGTATACTGTTTCGCCCATGATACCCCCATGCGTTGCCATTCCTGAGGACTCAGGTGTTATTCCTCTGTGCCCTGTAAATTCATGCCATATCCCACCCTTCAAACCGAAACACAGTAATGCAAACACAACTGCTTCACGGTAGAAACACGAATGGGACAGAGGTACCCAAGCAATCGATTTTTGTACAAAGTCTCTCTCTGGTAACTGTCTTAGATTTTATTTTTTAACCGATTTTACAAAAGAAGGACTAATTCGGTTATATTTTTTTATGTTTGTTACCTCATAACTCTGTCATTTATAAGTCGGTTTGGAAATTTATTGTTTTATTAGAAAGGATAAAATTTTAACTAAATAAATATTTTATCAAAATCGCTTTAGTATTTTAATTCTAAAAACAATATAAATAATTTTTGCGTTCAAAATCAGTGTTTTTGTGGAACAAAATGTATTTGTTGAGAATAAAATGGAATAATGATCCCGCTTGCGCAATAGAGCAAACAGGATAAATAAATAGGTGTTTTTTATTAAAATGGTAACCTAGTCTGCGCCTGTAAGAATGAAAGGTCAGGTGTTTTTTAATGAGTGAAAATAGAATGGTAACTCCGCCCGCGCTATCGGTATACCGACAAGGCACCAATGGAAGATGATAAGTGAAAATGAATGCGGGTTAATTGGACCACCATGATGAATTCGACAAGAATTGACTATAATGGTTTCCAGGGGAACTGCATGGAGATCGACCTGATATGGTGTATTGGGGCTGGGCTATTAGACCTCATTACTTACAATCCCTTTCCCCTTTAAAAGGCAGGTTAGCTCATCGTGATGAATACATCTGGAATTCAGTACAATAGCATACTTATAAATTATGAGTACCAGTGACGTATGATAGTTCAGGATGACCTTAATTTACAGTATTTTTTTTAATGGATGATAATTAAATGGTATCCCCGCCAGCGCTAACGGTATACGCCGGCAGGGCACCAGTAAGGGATGATAGGTGAAGATGAAGCAGGTCAGTTAACCCATGGTGATTAATTCAACAATAAATTAGTCACGATAGTTTCCAGGTGGAATCGGGTGGAGGTCGACCCAATTGGATTTATTGCTAGCAATGGGGATGCTAATCCCCATTACTAACAAACCCTACTCCCCTCAAGTTACAGTATTATGACGAACCAGGAGGAAACGCTTAAAAGTCGATATGACAGGATAATTTGCGAGCAATTCCAGATAGCGTCCCATGTCAAACAATCTCTTAGCTTTAGGCTCTCGATCGAGGTAATTTAAGAAACAAACATTTCAAAACTGGCTCAAGTCTGGATGTACTGAGTTGTGCTGCTTGTTTTTCCTTTCTTAATATAACATATCCTAACTTGAAGATGAGGCGACTGTGTCATTGTTTGGTACTTTTAAATGGTCACGTATAGTGCGGTTTCAAAGAAGTTTTCTTTCGCCAACGCTCAGGCTGTGGAATGAGCTCCCTAGCGAAATTTTTCCTAAGGGGGTTCTTCAAAGAGAATACATTAAGGTTTCCTCAGGGTCGGCATCGTACACCTATTACAAGCGTCTATAGGCTAAAGCGAACGTTTACCATCAGGCGGGCTGTATACTTGTTTGCCACCTACGGTTTATAAAAAAAAACTGATTATCAACGCACAGCCAAAACTACTAAGTTTAATAAAGTAAATTTGAATTTGGTACATTATTTTATATTTATTTATTTTATTATTTATTTTATAACATAAGCATTCGCTTAGAGAGGAAATCTTCTCTTGTCTCTGTCTTGTCATAAATATGACAACTTCAACTTAAAGAGGAAACACGACACCATAAGTGCAAAGCCGCGGGCAATGCCTAGTTTATTAGAAAAGTGTACTTAAGCATTTTACACTGTACGGCAATATAAAAGAAACAAAATAACAAATTTAATTTCGTTTATTTACATCTACATATATTCAAAAATTAAATAGTTTATCGTAAGTACTTCTTAATTAGTTTAATGAATTAGTTGCACCGACAAGAGGAAACTCTTAAATGAAAATGAAATGAAGTACTTCTTACTTACTACTTATGTGTATTAATTAGTGGAAAAATTACAACTTAATTGATTCACATTTTTAATAAAAATATTTTATTTCATCTAATATGTTTGTTTTTATACTCAATTCCAATATTTAATATCATTCAACAAGAATGAATACGACATTACATTAGCTAGCTATAAGTTTGTAAGTAAAAATACTTTGTTTTTTATACAGTCTCTGATATTTTTGTTCTCTTTCCCTAGATTCTAAATAATACATTTTAATATTCTCCTAAATTCAGCACCAGTTATTGTACCTCTGTTTTTTAATTCAGTCAATTTGTCCACAATATTTTTACTTATTTTATCATCTTTTCTTTCAAGACTGGGGCACGGAACTGTAACAGTATTTATTTCAGAACCTAAAGCCTTCTGCAAACGTGTTTTGCCTAAAATGGGGAATTTAAGGGGCTTTAAAAGTTTCTTTAACTTTATAGAAGGAATGAGTGGGGGTATTCTGGGCAATACAGGAGGTACCAGTGGTAACGGGGGTAATATTGGAGGTAATATAGGTAATAGAGGTAGAAGAGGTAATTTTGGAATGACTGGAGGTACTATAATAGGAGGAATGATTGGAACTTGAAGCTTGGACGACGATAATAGTGAAGGTTTTGGAAACTTAAATGGAGGTTTCGATGGTAATTTTGGTAAAGGTAATGAAGGTAATGGATTTGATTTGCTATTAATGTTAATAAAAATAGGGGAGTGCCGATTGTATTTCTTGATCGATATTGGATTCGTGAGAGGCTTCAGATCACCAGCGATTAAGCCCAAGTTGACTGCATGTGACATTTGAACCTGGAAAAAGAAAAAAAAAATCTTTATTATAAATCGTAAAATGGCAATCAAGCTAATAGTCCATTGGATATAATGTAGTATGTACATATAAATAGTAACGTAAAAATTAAGAAAATTTACTTATGACCTTTATTTTTACCTTAACCTTTAATTACTGTAGTTTATTAATATATGGCTAGATTTGGGAATGCCATAAGTTGATCGGTACCTTTTCCGAATTACATAAAAGCAAAACAGTTGAACAATTTTTTTATACCACAAAAGTGGCAAACAAGCATACAGCCTGTCTGATGGTAAACGTTTACTGTAGCCTATGGACGCCTGCAACACTAGAAGTTCACGTCAGTTCACGTGCGCTTTATCGACCCTGAAGAAACCTTAATATACCCTTTTTGAAAACAAAAACTTATAGAAAATTCCTTTGAAACCGCACTGTACGTGACCATTTAAAAATGCCGTAATATTTTTCTTTATGACATTTATAATAGCAATCTAGCTAAGAGTGGTAAATGTCGTCTATGTATATGATCCGTGTGCTTCCGACATAGAATAGGCCATCCCTTTCATTCCAGTGAATGTAAGAGGCGACTAAGGGAGGGCGAGGGATGCGTAGCAGCGTCCCTCTCAAAACATCTCTAAAGCCTAACTGCGTTTGCCAATCCACCTACCAAGCGCGGCAACTACTGGCAAAACGCCCCTAGGGGGAAGCTTATGTTCAGCAGTGGACAGTTAAGAGCTGATATGATGCTGTATATGACCAGCACCGTAAACAATTGTACATCATACACAGCTTGCTGCGTTGCTATTTCTGAGGACTATGGTGTTATAGCTTTGTACTCTATAATTAAACTGCTGTACCTATATCTGAGAATTTGTCATAGTTGAGGTATTTCCTAAAGACTACACAGTATGGGATTCTTCAAAAGGGTATATTCAAGTTTCTTCAGAGTTGGCAATGTGCACTTGACACCCCTAGTATAGCAGGTGTCTGTATAAGCTACAGTGACTGTTTACCATCAGTCGGACTGTATGATTGTTTGCCACCCTTGTAGTATAAATAAAGTTGCATCACTATATCTACTCATTCATACTCTTTGTCTATACACCAAGATGATTAACGCCAAACTAAAACTTGGCATGAAAAAGGTCGTAGACAACTTTTATCTTAATTATACAAAAAAACTAATGTAGTTTGTATAAAAAAACTTATACTTACTGTCAAAAAAATTAGAACCGTTTTCGATATTTGTAAAAACAAACTATTACACACGACCATAATGTTTTGTTATTCAATTGTTTTAAACCCGTTTTTCTATATCCATTCTTTTTTATACCAAAGGTGTTATTGTACAGATAATGATCTTGTTATCGTCTCCTGGAAGAGATTAAACACGTTATATAATAAAATAAATTGAAACAAAAAGGATATTTTACACGTCATGGGTTTTTCGCGCGTGACTTTATTTGTTTTTGTTATTTTTTCTACTTTTTCTCAATGGCAGTCCGTCGCCTTTGTTACGACTATTTCTACTAGAGTTATGTATAAGAGGCTGGTACTGGAGAGGAAAATTATGTTTAATTATTACTGTTATCAACAAAACTCACACCGTCTCTCTTAAAGAGAGAAGATGACAAACTAACTCCCGGCAGAAGCACATTCAGTCGGGGTTTAGGGAGAGAAACCGGCGTACTATGCGGGCAGTATTTAAGTGTACCTCTTTTCTGCATCTTTCTCGGGAGTGAGCCGCCTTGAGATGTTTTATCTTTTTATCAGTTTCAGCTTACACGAGGTGATGCAATTATTATTATTATTATTATCTTCTTTACTTTTCATGCCTCGTTTCCAAAAAATTTTTCACTCGAAAATTATAATTTTCTACCTCACAGTCATTTGATTCAATTTATAAGGGAGCCATTTTTCTCTCTTTTCTTTTATTAATACTTTTGGTAAAAAGATGGGCAAAGGAAACAAAGTCTATACAGCCCAGACTGATTTGAAAGTTTCTTTATTCAGATCTAAATATGGTTGAATTACTTTTGTATGTTTGTAACCTCATTTCTCAACAACTCTGATATTTAACCAATTTAGGACTTTTTTGCCTTAAAGGATTTACTTTTAGGTTGATTCCATAGAAACTTTATTAAAATTCATTCAGTAATTTAATTTTTTAATTAAAATAACTAGTTTTACCACAGTTGTTGCCGGTGTTTGTTCTTTGTTCCTTCTCTATAAGTTTTATTAAAAATTTCAAATCGATTCCGTATATCTCAAGTATTCATTTACCAAAGAAAATCACTTAGTTTTTACATTATTTTCATCCTCGTCACCATATCAGCTATTATCCGTCCACTGCTGAACATACGCCTCCCCCATAGAATGCAATAAGCAACAATCTTGAGCCACCTGCACTATACTGACTCCTTGCAGTGCATATGAAGTCATCACTCCATCTAGTAGTAGTAGTGGTGGATTATCCTACATTACATTTACTCGTACAGGATCGCCACTCAAGAACATCTCTTCCCCATCGATGATTAATTTTTCGAGCTATGTGACCAGCCCATTGCCATTTCAGTTTGCTTTTACTTATACACTTATATAGAATTATATATCAGTATGTAAATAAGTTTGTTTCTCATGTATTTCTTGTAATTGTTTATATCTATACTAAGTTTACTATTGTAATCTTTTGGAGGAAACAGTAAAAAGTCTATCTATATATCGAAGTACAACTAATTGCAGAAAACAATTTTGATCCAATAATTTCACGATATATTCAAATGAAAAAGTAGATTACGCTCCGAAAAAAATCAGCATAGTTACTTTTTTTTAGTGATAAATTAGATATTTATCCCTCTATTTATGTATCTACATGTTTATCGCAGAAATTTATTCATTCATTTGTTTGAGATACTATTAACAATACTACTCATATACCAATAATTTAAATAATTTATATAAATCTAGAAGGCGGAAAAACATAGCTAAAATGAATAAGTAAATATCACTATTATATAGAGTAAGATGCAACTAAGGGAGGGTGAGGAATGGGCAGCAGCCTCTCTCTTAAAATATCTCCAAAGCTTAACTGCGGTTGCTAATCCGCATATATATTATATAAAAATTTATTTATTTGCTAGAAATGTGGTTATAATAATGGTCTTAAATATAATAGATCTACACATTTCGCCTTATCTAAAGGCATGCAAATTTAGTATTATAATTTAGTGGCTTACGTATATTAATAGCCTAGTAGGATCAATCCATAAATATTGGCAGCCGCACACATACTAACGGTAGCAGACTAAATAAATACAAATACAAACTAAACAAAAACAAATACATAACAAGTCAATAATACAACAAATGTCATACAATACAAATGAATTACACATTTACATACATTCATTTAATTTTTTAAAAAGTCATTTATTGAATAAAAATTGCATTCCAGTAACCATTTTTTTAACCGTAATTTAAAGTGACTTACTGGAAGTTCTCTTATTGACTTTGGTATTTTATTATATATTTTAATAGTCATTATATCACAGTTTTGTTGATACAGTGTGGTTCTGCAGATGGGCAGTTTCAACATTGTGGGATCTCTTGATGTGACTTTATTCATATTCGAAAGTTTTGTAAAAAATTGTGGGTTTTGTTTAAGCCAAGCGTGGCGAATACTGGTACCCCCCCCCCCTCCGCAAGAGGAAGGCTTATATTCAGCAGTGGACAGTTAAAGTCTGATATGATGATGATATTATTCAGCGTTATCCAGTAGTTCTAAACTAAGCAGCGTTTGTACGGTGAGTACTAGACATCTGATAGAAAAAATTAAATACTTTTTTTTTAGAAAAAAGGTATGTATCTTGAAAACGCTCAGACTAAAATAAACTGTCAGACTCATGAACACAAATGTTTGTATTGTACGGGAATTGAACTTACAACCATTTTTTTTTTTTTTTTGGTGGAAATAGTAATCCCGCCTGCGCTAATGGTATACGCTGGACTTACAACCATTGGAAGGTGAGCTGGCATATTAAACCTCTAGGCTACGAAGATCATCTATTAAAAAATACATCAAAGTCGTCTCCGTCACGTTCACGTGTAATGTAAATGAATAAATTGCGATAACTGCACAATTCATTGTTCGTATTGTTCCGTTGGTTTATATAATTTGGTTATTATATAAATATTAAAGGTAGTATTTATTATCCGTATTAATGTTATCAGAGAGATGGTCTGTATCTCCGTGAAATAAAGTGAATTTACAGGGTACAGAGGAATAATACCTAAGTCTTCAGGAATGGCAACGCATGGGGGGTATCATAGGCGAAACAGTATATTCTGCTATATCCACGGTACTGCTCATGTCTATAGGCGACGGTTACCATTTTCCATCAGGCGGACCGTCAGCTTGTTTGCCATTCTAAGTTGCATAAAAAAATCCTGAAAGAGGAATACCACAAAATTTTCCAAGATTTCGTGGTATTCCTCTAAGACGAAATTCACACAATATTTCTTTATTGTATTTAAAAATATTAGATGCGTGGTCCCGACATAGAATGGACCAACACTTCCTTTCCCGTGGGTATTGTAAGCGGCGACTAAGAGTACTTAATGATTGAGAGATGGGCAGCTACGTTCCTCTTAAAACATCACCGAAGCCTAACTGCCAACCCGCCTGCCAAGCGTGGCAACTACTAGCAAAACCCCCTAGGAGGCTATATTCAGCTATGGATAGTTAACGGCTGATATGATGAAGATGATGATTTCAAAATATTATAAGTCTTCCTAATGAAAATATTTACAATTGTTTTATGAAATAAGAAACCTAATGGAAAATGCTAACAGTCGTCTATAGATATATATATAATATCATAGATATCACAATATGACGGTAATGGTGTCCCTCATACATTCCTCCATTCCTTTGAATAAGACGTTATTCCTCTATACTTTCTAATTTCACTACACATTAAAAATTATCCTTTTTCACGTCAGAATAAACAATGTATGTATTGTATGTATTAAAATTTAAATACGAGTAAATAAATAGAAAATGTATATATTTATTGAACCCTTTATTGCACCAGAAACATAAAAATATGCAATGATATAAAAACAATTTAAGTGAAATACAGTAGCATAAAATACAGATTAAAATATGTACATAAAGGTACAAAAGGCAGTCTTATCGTTACAGACAATCTCTTACAGACATATATATATATATATATATATATATATATATATATATATATATATATATATATATATATATATATATATATATATATATATATATATATATATATATATATATATATATATATATATATATATATATATAAATTAAATAAATAAAGATATACAGTATATGGTATGAGCGGTTTTGGAGATTAGTCTAAACGAACGTGACAAAGTATTTTTTTACACAAAAATTATTTGTGTATAAGTTTTTTTATATATAATGAAATTTAAAATTAAATTATTTAATATAAATTTAAATAAATACAATTATTTTTCCTTCCAACTATATCAACACGTCCGATCTTATCATAGAGAAATATAAAAACATTACGAAAAGATTTCAATATAAAATGAAATCGATTGCACCATTAGATAAAAAACATATACGAAAATCACGTATTCTATATTGAATATGGATATTAACTCTTTAAATACGAAACAGATAGTTATTTTAAAGCAATAGCCCCGTGATTGTGCCTGGCGACAAGGGGAAATGGGGACCCAAAAGTTACTTTGGTCCTCATTTGGAATCTTGTTGCTTACATCAAGTTTCGTCACCGCTTGCGATGAGAAAGGACTGTGCTTGGTATGAACATTTTTCTTAAGTATTTTTAAATTTTTTTGTTTAAGTTGCCAATATTTGTTGTTTGTTTCGGTGAAATATTTTAAGCATTATAATTTAAAACAATTTCTTCTAATAGATTTTGTTAAAATTTTGGGCATAACTTTAATTTTGGTGATAATATGTAATACTCAATATTGTAACCTTAGATTATATAGATAAAATGTCTTCATAGAAATGCTTCGAGAACAACGGGTCAACTTTTTCATACAATTTTGCGTGATAAATAGTTATGAGTGATTTCTTTATAACTTCTATATTTATTTTGTTTTATAATTTCTGCATCTTTTTAATGCGTATGCACACATTTTATTTATTAAAAAATACGTGAAGATACATTTTATGCGTATGTATATAGGAACACAAGTATACAAGTATTTTTTTTGATGGGTGAAAATGGTATGGTAACCCCGCCTGCGCTAACGGGATACGCTGGCGGAACACCAGTGAAGGGTGATAGATGAGAATGAAAACAGGCCAGTTAGCCCATCATGATGAATTCATCAGGAATTAACCATGATAGTTTCTAGGGAGAACCGCGAGGAGGTCGACCTGGTTGTGTATATTGCTAGCAATGTGATTCTCAGTCTCCATTACTAACAATCCCTTTCCCCCCCAGTATACAAGTATTAGACTAATAACTATATATTTAGTAGGTATAATGCACTCACTTAATGAATATAAAAAGTAGTATATTTCATAGTTTCCAAAGTTTACAACATTTTCTTTTTTTTTCCAGCTGGAAGCCCTGAAGGAAATAAAAGAATGCAAAAAATCAGTACTGAGTTCGTACGTATAACTTAAATATACTACAATTGCTCCTATAATATATGAAAATGACACGCTATCCCATGTTATTTATGGTAATGCATATCGTATTTAAAATTACAGGTTACTGAAGCCGCTGCTTGCACCAAAATGTCTAGGTTGGTAACACGTCATTCTTAAATTTATAATTTTTTAACGACCCACTCCAGCTTGGCGTGTTTTTTTTTCTTAAAATAAACGCTATATTTTATATACTTATTATTTATATAATAAAACAGTTAAACAGTTACTAGCTAATAATGTAGCTTTTTATAGGTAAATTTTAAAACTGGGTGAAATAATTTTTTTAATCTATATATAACAAACAAAAAATATTTCGCCTTTATAGCAGCGTTATAGTTAAAGACAGTTTAGATTAAACTAACTAAATATCCAAAACGCTAAAGTTATAACTTAAAATTTAAATCCAAAGTTCTTTTAAATTTATACTAGATTCCTTATTATTTCTTACATTTTAAAATTATCACTTTATATTCGTAATGAACTTATCCTAAAATTAATCAGTATTCTCGAAACTGTGAGCTTTTTCCGAGAAGCCATGAATAGTTTCTTTTATTTCACGCACTTTACATGAATTCTTATCGAAAATTATCAATTTATCAAAATGACAATTTTACGACAAATATTAACTATTTTATTATTAATCGGCAAATAAATTAGTATTCTAGATTCTAACTACTATTTTTTTTTCTATCTCTATTATAAATGTTTACCACTCAGTCATGTCCAAATAGCTGAACGGGTTTATATAAATTTTGACACATAGATTATGTTATTATTCTAGAATAATGCATAGGATACTTTTTACAAGCGAGTAAAGCCACAGTCAAACATAGTTAAAATATAAATGAAATCTATTAAATATCTGAAATAGCCAGTTAGTTAGCCCTGGAATTAAAAACTTAAAATTGATATTCTTTCTTAGTACAATTAAAAGTGGCAATCAAGTTATTAACCCATCTAATGGGAAGTAACCAACCTTCAGAAGTGATACGATATCATGGCCATTAATAAACTAATTAATATTATACAGTGACGCCCATGGTATCACACTTGAGACTAGATAATTTCTTACCCGCTAAATGGAAACAACAATAAGAATAAGGCTAGTAGGAGTAAAAATGAAATTGAAATTATATAAAAACTTTTTTATCACTATTTTTATTATTTTCATTATTTTTTGTTCACAGGTAAAGAAAAAGAGCTCTTGCTGCCATGTGAGAAACTCTTACCGCCTTTACCACCTCTGCCGCCGCCAGCTCCTCCTACAATTGTACTGATGCCTGCAGGCGCTCCCCCTCTGCCTCCACCGCCGGCATTACCACCAGTAATGTACGCAGCACCACCACCAGCCCCTTACCTCTTACCACCACCACCAGCCCCTTGCCTCTTACCACCTCCACCCTCACCGTTGGTCCTCCCTGCGCCACCCCCGATACTTCTCCCTGCTCCGCCACCACCTACATGTCTACCCGCTCTGCCTCCTCCACTATTACCCCCTGCACCGGCTCCAGCTCCGGCCCCTATGGTCCTACCGGCACCCGCTTTTTGTCTCCCACCACCAGCACCAGCACCTATAGTCCTGCCTGCTCCTCCGCCACCACCTCTCATATTACCAGCACCCGCGCCTGCCCCTGTCTTCCTTCCCCCACCACCGCCACCCTTGGTGATGCCAGCGCCAGCTCCAGTATATCTACCCGCGCCACCACCTCCTGCACCAATAGTATTACCAGCACCTCCTCCAGCGCCTATCGTATTACCAGTTCCTCCACCGGCCCCTGTATGTTTACCTCCTCCACCTGCCCCTGTATGTCTGCCTCCTCCTCCCGTACCTTTACCTCCCCCCGTATATCTTCCTCCCCCACCTCCCGCACCTGTATACCTTCCTGCTCCCCCTCCACCACCGGCGCCATCTCCTATTGTAATATCTCTTGTACCTCCCGCACCTCCAGCACACCATTTACCTCCACCTTGTTCATGTGCACCCCCGCCCCCTCCCCCATGCCCTTATGCCCACCCGCCGCCACCACCACCAGCTGGTATTCCTATGACAGCGTATATGGTGCCGCCACCAGTACCATGCAGTCTAGAGCCGAAGCCTCTACTGGAGCCGAAACTTCTAGAACTACCTAAGCCATCGTGCGGATGTGCCGCCGCGCCCCCACCAGCATATCCCTATTATTACAAATAAATCACTTTTATTAATAAAACAATTATGTTAATTATAATTATAATGTTATTTATTATTTTAGTATGTACAGAAATCTTTTGTAGATAATTACGAATTTATTGTATTTTATAAAAATATACATTAAATTTTTCAAATTGTGTTTATATTTTAATAAAAACAATTTCAGTACAAATAATACCATGGATACGATTTTTAAGGAACTATCACTTAAATTTAACACAAATAAAACCAAAATACTCAAATCTTCTAAAGCTTTTTTTTTTTTATAGAACTTAGAATGGCAAACAAGCTGACGGCCCACCTGATGGAAAGTGGTAACCGTCGCCTATAGACATGTCTAAAGTCAAGTAAAGATAAATAACATATCTATTAGAAATATTAAGAACTTTTAGTACTTAGGAAAAATAATCACAGAGGACGCTAGGTGCACATTGGATATTAAATACAGAATAGCAATAGTAAAACAAGGTCCCCAGTAATAAAAAAAAAAACATATATTTATATCAAAATAATAAAAAACTAAAATTTTATTTTTTAATTTATATTTGGAGTCTAATAGCTGTGAAACATGGACAATGACGCAAAAGGAAAGAAAGATGCTTTAGACATTCGAAATGTGGACATGGAAGAGAATTGAAAGAATAAGCTGGAGAGAAAAAGTAACGAACGAGGAAGTCTTGAAAAGAGTGAATGAAAAAAGAACAAATAACAAAAACAATAAAGACGAAGAGACAAAATGCTGGACCACCTTATACGACATGGCGATTTTTAAAAGGCATAACTAGAAGAAAAATTTAGGATAAAAGAAGAAGGGATATAGTGAGAAATAACTACATGGGACAGATAAAGGAAACATTAGATGTCATGTTGTACAGGGAAGCCAAAGATATGACTTGGAATAAAGCTGGCTGGAAGAGAATGGATGAATTAATTGCCCCGGCAAGAGGAAACTCTTAAATAGAAAAAAAACAATAGATACATGTAGATCTTCACATCTTGATTCTACCTTTAATCTTATTGCTAAGCTAGACCATAATAATAGAGATCATAGAATTATTTATTCTTATATCTGAACTTAATATTTTTCTACAAAATTTACTGGGTACAGAGGAATAACACCTGAGTCCTCAGGAATGGCAACGCATGGGGGGTATCATAGGCGAAACAGTATACTCTGTTATGTCCACGGTACTGCTCATGTCTATAGGCGACGGTTACCACTTTCCATCAGGTGGAGCGTCAGGTTGTTTGCCATTCTAAGTAGTATAAAAAAACAAAGTTTTACGTAGTATGGTACTGCCAAGATAACTGATTGATATAATAATTAGTACATAAGTATTATCATTGCAAAGATTTTTTTTTTGTATTTTTTAAATTACTTTATTATATTATGATACATACATGCGATTTTTTTAAATGTATAAATAATAAATCTCATGTATTACAGCTATCGTTATTACAGTTTTATTGCAAAATTCTAAATTCTTTTAAAAGAATGATAAGTCTTTATAAACAATTGTGTTTACACAAATTGTTATTTAAACATTTAAATGTCATATAACTATGTATGTATACTTGTTTTCATGTGTACGTATTGTATTTGTATTTATTACGCCTAACAATTTTTGAGTTCTCCATTGAGGACCCCTGCCTGGCATGAAACATTGTAATACATACTATGTATTACCATAAACTGTTTCATGCCAGGCAGGGGTCCTGGTGACTTGTGATACGGGTTCTTCGGATACCCAGTTCAAGCACCAGTTCTCTACAACTTTGATGTATCTAGGGTATTGTTTTAAGTGTTTCTTTGTACTCAAAAAAGTTGTGAAATAAATATATAAATATTACTATTATTTACATTATTATTGACAATGTTGCTGTGGTTTTCAATAGTATTTGTTTGTTTATATTTGTTTAATTTTGTTTAATTTAATATTGTCTAATTTTGTGTTTCGTTTACTTGTATTTTATTTTGTGCAAATTCTAGTGGCTACCAAATTACTATTTAAGTATATAATTATGTATTATTTTAGCTGTTTGTTTGACTTAAATAAATAAATAAACAATACTGTATGTATATAACTGTATTAAAGTTGCCGTTTGGTTCTGTCATAGAATAGGCCAACTCCCTTGCCCGTGGGTATTGTAAGACGCGACTAAGGGAACTTAATGGTCGAAGGATAGGCAGTAGCGTTTCTCTCAAAAAATAACCAAAAGTTTACTATTGGCAAAAACCTTTTATAGGAAAGGCCTATGTTCAGCAGTGGACAGTTAACGGCTGATATGGTATTAAAATTTAATATTTATGTCTATGAATAAACTATGTGACAATTTTCTCGAGTTGAATCCACCCAAATGATTACACACTAATTTGTAACCATAGTTCGAAACTAAATAATAGTCTGTAACCCGTACATATGTGTACGGTTAGAATATTCACCATTAAAAATGTGATTTTTTATTATTTTAATTTATTATCAAGCAGTTGTTCTAGAAAGACGGTTTACGTTTGAAGGTTAGGGTACAGAGATGTAACACTACGTGAAAAACAACACACACTGTTTATTTATTTATTTAACACTTTATTACACCAATATTACATTAATTATTGAAGGATTTTCAATACTTATTGAAAGTATTAAAAAAAAATATTATACAAGAGATGGTCATATTGCTATGTCTTCCAGACAACCTTTGATTAGAAGGAATTAAAAAATGACAAATTTTTCACTTCTTTCGTAAATGTTTAATTATAGATATAAATAAGCGATTATCATTTTCCATTAGATCCAAACAATACGGTTTCTTTACCAAATAACAATTTGTATTTTCAAGAAAGCTATAGCCGATGTCAATCAAAATAATATAGAAGTTATGACAGTATAAAGAAACTCACATAAACTCACACATAAATCCTGCAAACAAACAAACAAACATGCTTATAAACACACATACACACACACATACATACACACACACTTATGCACACTCACACACACTCACGTACTCGCACGCGCACACGCACACGCCCACACAAACTATGCACCTACGTGTACCCAAACTCACATGAAACATTATATAATTACATAGATTAACCCTGTTCGCCGCACCATAACTGTAAAATTACTTGCTTTGACTTCCAGGAGACAGGCTTTGCCTATGTGGCCTATGTAGGGTCATATCTATATTGTACCATAGGCTAATTTTGTTAAAGGAAATAAATATATTCTTATTCTTATTTCATAATTTTTTTGGATATCGGTGTCTAAAAATTTACTATAGGAAATAATTTGTCTGCTATCTCTACTTTTTGACAAATTATAAATTCTGTTACAATGATTGCTTCCTATTGGCCAAACTGGTCAAACTAATTGATGACCAGGAATAGTAAAATGTCTAGCAGTAAAACACAGTTTGGGGAATCATTCAGTAGACAATACTGTTGACGATTATCAAAATGCTCGCAGCAGTTATAGCAGACTTCTTTAAGTATAAACTATTAAGAAGCATCATTGTGTTAGCGTGCTGGTCACAAATAGGTATTTTTTATTACATGTTTATTTATTTATTCATCATCATCATCATCATATCAGCCTTCAACTGTCTACTATTAAACACAGACCTCCATGAAGGAGGATTTTGTCAGTAATTGCCACACTTGGCAAGCTTGGGGTAAAAACCGCAGTTAGACTTTGGTGATGTCTTAAGAGGGACACTGCTGGTCATCCCTCGCCCTTCCTTAGTCACCTCTTAGGACACACACGGGAAAGGAAGGGATGGCCTATTCTATGCTGACACGGCGAGTACGAATATTATTGCAAAACGATTACATCAATTAATTAGAAGAAGCTAATTTATTGATGTAATCTTTTTCCAATTGAAATATATATTTTTTTATCAAACTTAAAATGGCCAACAAGCTGACGGTATTTCATTGTTTCTGCCTATCCTGATGGGGGACAGGCATAACAAATATGTGTATATATAAATTTATCAATTATTTTTTATTATTTATATAATTTACATGAAGTTCATCAAGGAATCTTTTCTATGATTCTGATTCTCTGATTCTGATCCTATGATTATTTCCTTTCCTTTCTTTTCTCCTTATGTCTACAGATCGTGTGAAATTTCTCCGTCAGTTGTCTAAACAAGGCTTAAGTGCGACGATCTCCTGCAACCCAGATATACTTGAAAGTATTCATCTACTTCAGGGCGTATTGTATTTTACAGAAGAAAATAATTTACTATTAGACAGAGTTAGTATACTTACTTATTGTGAATAGAAATTTGAGAGTCTAATTATGAAAAAGTTCTATGTTGTTGTCCGAAAATACGAGTAGTTTAACAACTATAATATCTTTATTAATCTTTCTAATTTTACCATTGTTTCTTATACACATATCTGTAATAGATGAAAATGGAATTGTAACCTTGCCTGCACTTTACGCTGGCAAGACACTAGTGGAAGATGGTGAGAGAAAGAAAGCAGAGCAAGCGAACTGTATCGTGACGAATTCAACTGCAACTAATTAACCACGATAGTTTCCAGGGTTGTTAATTCCTATTACTAACAATTCCGTTTCCCACAACCTTTTCCCACATCATCTTCATTATAACTTCTGGGAAGAAGAACGTAAATATCGGGTACTAGCAATCTCATGCTAGCATGTCCACCTTATCAGGTCAACCTCCACACGGTTTTTGGTTGGTTGGTGTTTTTTTTTTTCCTAAATACCATCATGGTTTAATACCAACTCTTTGCGAATTTATCACGAAGGACCAATGAAACAGATTTCATCCTCAGATGTCATCTCTGGATTTCCTTATCATATATTACAACATTAGGCCAATCCGACCAGTCCCTCCGTTTAGACCATAGTCGGGATTCCTCGAATTTAATACGTAGGTGAAGCCAAGAAATAATTACAATTTTGCTATATGAGTATTCTCGTCTAGTATCTGACAGTATTTTGGTATTATACAGTCCAGCTGTTCAGTTAAAGCTAACCATAATTAAATTTGATCGACGCTTTATTGCTGAGGGGCTTTCAGGGCCCCTTAAATAAGTATTCTTAATAAACGTTTAAAAACTTATTAACATGTAAACTATTAGTTTTAGCTGCATTCACCCTTTATTGAGCATCATTTAATTAAAACAATCGAATAAATTGTAGGTTAAACCGGAACACTTTTCCCATAACTATAAATGGATGGTGGTCGGTGATGAAATGCCAAATACACTGCACCATGTACGCTATGACGTTGATGTTGTACTGCTTAAAACACAGCCAATGACTCCAAAATATACTGGTAAGTATTTATTAAATTTATAATGTATTTACTAAATTATTCGCCTATAGAAACTGTCATTATCAGCATCCTGAGATATTCATCATTGGACAAATAATGGCTAACTGATATCTATCCACTGCTGAACATAGGCTTCCCCCATAGACTGCCATAAGGAACGGTCATGAGCCACCTGCATCCACTAGCTCCCTGCTGTGCATTTGAGGTCATTACTCCATCTAGTTGGTCGTCCTACACTGCATTTATTGATTTGTTCACTGCAGATTGTGATCAACACAATTTTTTTTTTATACAACTTAGAATGGCAAACAAGCTGACGGCCCACCTGATGGAAAGTGGTAACCATCGCCTATAGACATGAGTACCATGGACATAACAGAGTATACTGTTTCGTCCATGATAACCCCCCCCCCCATGCGTTGCCATTCCTGAGGACTCAGGTGTTATTCCTCTGTACCCAGTAAATTCACGCCATATCCCACCATTCAAACCGAAACACAGCCATGCAAACGCAACTGCTTCACGGTTGAAACACGAATGGGACAGAGGTACCCAAGCAATCGACTTTTGTACAAAGTCTCCCTCTGGTGAAATAAACAAATTGTTTGCATGTAACAAACAACAAACAAATAAACTATTAAAACTTGAAATTTTACATATATGTTTTTAGAAACAGGTTCATTATCTATATGAGTAAAAATTTACAAAAAAAAAAACCGAATTCCTTCTAGTGTCAAACAAATTATCATTTTCAGAAGACGATACTGACTACCCGACGTTTAACGAAACGTTATACATAGAAGACATTATGGTTCACCCCCGCGATGGAGCGTCTGAACACGCATGGGCGTACTGGACGAAATATTCAGGTCTGAAAGTGACCCATGACCGGGAAAGGACACTACGACGTCGAAATTTTAGAAACTATCCCGTTAGAATTGCGGCCCCTGTAAGTGGACATCTTTTCTTTCGTAATGCGTGCACAAATTCTACCATGAAGCAGTTGTGTTTGCATAGCTGTGTTTCGTTTTAAAGGGTGGAATATAGTTGTGAATTTACAGGATATAGAGGAATAATACCTGAGGAATAACAACGCATGGGAGGTATCTTGAGCGAAACAATATACATTGTTATATCCATGGTACTGTTCATGTTTATGGGTGACAGTTACCATTTTCCATCAGGTGGGCTGTCAGCTTGTTTGTCATTCTAAGTCGCATAAAAAAAGACAATTTCACAGAAATTAATGTTAAGATATTTAATTATCTAAAATATTTTCAAAAATATTCATATACAGATATGGTTCCATTAGTTTCATTATATTATATGCACTTTTGTAATATATTATCATATTAACCGTTATCTGTTTACTGTACACTGCGTTTACCCGTACGGGGTCGCCACTCAAGAAGATTTCCCCCATCGGTTGTCAGTTTTTCGAGCTATTTGATCAGCCCATTATCACTACAGCTTACTTATCCTTCGGGCTATGTCGGTCACTTTGGTTCTTTTGCAGATATCCTCACTTCGGATTCCGTCACCTAAAGAAAATCCGAGCATTCTTTTACCACTAAGACGGCAAACAAGCATACGGCCAATCTGATAGTAAACTATTAACGCCTGCAACATTGGGGGTATCACGTGCGCGCTACTGATCCTAAAGAAACCCTAATAAACCCTTTATGAAAAAGCCCACACTTTAATCCCTAGAGGAGCCTCGGCAATAAGCTCATCCTAAGCCTAAGCGTTTGGGGAAGAACACTCCTTTGAAACCGCACTGTACATTGAACATAACTCTCTATAACTCTATAGCCGTCTAGGACTATGTTTCGATTCCAAAAGTCATCACTGGCAACACGCACTGTAGAATATGCGCCTTTGATAATAAAATAGATTTAATTAATTCACTTTAATACAATTTTATTGCAGATTTCTAACTATTCTCCAAAGACATATAAAGGCAGCTTTATAGACTACATGGCGGATACTACGATGCACGATGCCGGAATCCGCTGTGGATATACCGCTTCTGAACTTATAATTGAAGCCCTAAACGCTACGTAATAACTGTTTTTCATGGGGAAATTCATCATAAAGACTCTCGTATCCTGGGCCAAAATCCTCCACTTGTCATGGTATCGAGGTCACATGTGGTCCCGTTTGTGATCGACCGTGGTCCTGGCATGTTACTTTTTTACATGGAGAAATGCATCATACAGATCCATCAGGGGAAGCGTATGGGTACAACCGGACTCCTACTAGCTAAAACTACCACGGTGTCTCTCCTTGCGCTATGTGCTGGGTGACACTGGCTCCCGTCCCGAACGCTACAGCAACATTCAGCGGATATTGCTCATATAACCCAACTTGGCAATATCCGCTAAATCAACCGTTATTAATATTTTAAATCTAAGTGACTTTGTCTGTTACCTTTTGGCGCTTTGACTTCCATCGTTACGAAATTCATCATACATATACTGTTTAGAGTTCCGTGTAGTCGCAGCATAGAATAGACCAGCCCTTCCTTTCCCGTGGGTGTCGTAAGAAGCGACTACGGAGGGTGAGGGATGGGCAGCAGTGTTCTTCTCAAAACATCTTCAAAGCCTAACTGTGGTAGTGTTAGTTGTTGCCAATCCGCATGCCAAGCATGGAAACTACTGGTAAAACCCCCTCCAGGGGGAGGCTTATATTCAGTAGTGGACAGTTAAGGGCTGATATGATGATGATACTGTTTGGGAAGGAGGGCATGGGTTACCTTTTGTTGCAGTCAATCTTTACAAATTCCGGTCACGCAGACAAAGTGGCACCTAAAAACTATTATTCGATAAGTTTTTCCAGACATTTTATATTTATTTATTTACTAGCTTTTACCCACGACTTCGTCTGCGTGAACGAGATATGTTCTCCAACTGCAAACAAATAATAAGTAACCTAGTCCTTTTCTATCATTTATAGTACGTATGTATCAAAATTCATAGTGATTGGTTAAGGTATTAAATGATAACAAACAAACTCAGTTTTACATTTATAATATTAGTAAGGTTTAGTCTCATATTAATTTTGTGTCAACTGAAGATGCTAGAGCTAGAACTAGATTTTGCTCCGTGAAAAAAAAGTATTCATCACGGAGCAAAATCTACTAAATCGTAATATTGTGATTGAAAAATTCAGAGAGAGTGGGAGGATATTTTTATCACTTCGTTCTTCATAAACATTTCAGTAAAGTGGTACAAGTAACAACCACGTGGCTTCAAAAAACCAACGTAAGTGAAGCCCACACTAGTATGTTCATGTTACTGTTAACGGCACAAACAGAGTTGGCCGCAGGTGCTCTGCGGCCTACATATGAAAGAATCTCTATTCTGGACTACATAACGCCGATATGGTTATTCAGGTATATGTAACTATTTTTTTATATAACATAATTAACAGTTATTATTATTAAACCGCTTAAAAATGCTTTCAACACTGAAGCACTATAACTGGTTTGCTTGGAGAGAGAAAGGGATTGTTAGTAATGGGGTCTAACTGACCCATTGCAAGCAATACTCTGTCAGGTCGCGTCTTCACGCAGTTGCCCCTGGAAACCATCGTGGTTAAGTTTAATAGAATTTGTCACAATGGGCTAACTGACCTACTTTCATCGTCATTTATCATCTGTCACTGGTACCTCGCCAGCGTATACCGAAAGTACAGGTGGGGTTACCATTCCATTATCACCCATTAAAAAAAATAACGAATTGCTTGCTATCTTACCTGATAGTTAGCCATAACCTGGAGCAAAAATTTCCTATTACCGATAAATAATATTAACCTTTGAAGTCATCAATTAAAGAGTTTAACACATTTTTTTTTTCAATCTAGCGTTGGATTTACGTACTTAGCAGAGCGAGACAGCAGTAGCAATATGTACATACAACCATTCGACAGCTCGGTGTGGTGGTCATGTCTAGTCATTGGATTCACCCTAGCATTGGCGCAAAGAATTACTGCCAGTAACAGTGAAGAAAAAGCAGAGGCATTCATGTCGGTATTGGCCACATGGTTGCAACAAGGTATTGTCTCCCTCACTGGTGCCCTGCCAGCGTATACCGTTAGCGCAGACGAGGTTACCATTCCATGATCATTCATTAAAAATATAAACAAGATATTTCAGTTTTGCGGAAAATGTTGATTTTAATTGCCTGATGGGGTCATAGTTTAACACACTGTTTCATCTTTTTTATTGGTGAAAATGGAAAGGTTTCCCCGTATCGGTATATTCCGGCAGGATGCACCGTCCAAAGTGGTAACCGTCTCCTATAGACACGAACAGTACAATGGACATAACCGAGTATACTGTTTCACATTATGGTATCTCCCTCATGCGTCGTCATTCCTAAGGTTTAATGTAGCCTTTAATATAGTTAGTAGTTAACCTTTAATATAGCCCGTAAATTCACTGCATATCCCACTCTTCCAACCGAAACACAGTCACGCAAACACAACTGCTTCCAAGGGAAAGGGCGTGGATGTCGACCTGTTAGGCTGATTTATTGAAGCATTTTTAGGAGGAGATCTCATTTATATATGTAGGTAATTAAAGAAAATATATAAATAGAAAATGAAAGAAAAAAAATAGAGGATAAATATATTTAAGAGGCGAGAATTAAATGTAAAAGTTAATTTATCTAATAACTTTCGATATACTTTTAACGACCATCTAATTTTCAATATAGTACATTTAAAAAATGTTAACAGAGATTTAAAAGAATAACTGCTGAGTTTCTCGCAGGCTCTTCAACAGTTAACAACTTTCCGAACCCTGCTTTTATCAAAAAATTACGAATTAGAAGTGTTTGTAAACAAGTCTGCTTGAAAAAAAAAGCCGGTCAAATGCGACTCGGACTCGCGCAACAAGGCATCCGTACAAAATCATCAATTTTTTATGAAATAACTACAAATTTACGGTTTTCAGATTTTTTTTTTTCTTTTACTTGTGTTACATGACATTGCTTCTTACCAAATTTCATGGTTCTAGGTCAACGGGAAGTACCTTATAAGTTTTGATTCCCTTTACGAATGTCAAAATACACGATATAAATGGAAGATAAATGGCCGTATCTTTTGATTGCATCGATTTAGAAGCTTGATTTTTTCACTGCTTTAAGAAATTGTAAATCTGAGTATTAATTTCTCTAAGAGATTATTCTCAACTTGATATCTCCACATGTTCCTAAGAAAAAAGGTCTCGACAGACGGACGGAAGGACAACGAAGTGATCCCATAGGGGTTCCGTTTTTTCCTTCGGAGGTACAGAATCCTAAAAATAATATAAATTTAAATTTGACATATCATTTTCAGATGCAAACGCAGTGCCCACTGGCATAGCGGGGCGGTGGACATTCAGTGTAATGTCCATTTGTTCTATGCTGGTGCACGCTTACTATACTTCGGCCATAGTGTCCGCTCTCATGAGCTCCGGCCGGGGAGGTCCCAATACATTGAAGGAACTCGGAGACTCCAATTACGAAATAAAGTCAGAATATCAAGATTTTATGAATAGTCATTTTTTCAATGTATGTGAGAATAATTATAAATAGCTTTTTTTATGTCTTTTTTAATTTAGTGTGTACTTTTAGGATTACAACAAACTCAGTAAATTTTACAGAACATTTTTTAATAATATTTTAGAATCATTCAGTTCTAATCGACTGTGCCCTTACCTTTTCAACCGATTTTAAAAAAAGAAGGCTATCAATTCATTTGAATTTTTTTTTATATTTGTTCTAAATCGATTTGGAAAAGCCTTTATCACATAAAAGGATATACTTACCGATTGATCCTATAGATATTTTATCAAAATCGGTTTAGTAATTTAGTTTTTGTACCAAGATTACTGGTTTTGACACAATTGAAGTTGGTTTATTTGTTTATTTACAATTAATAATAAAAATATTATTTTAATATATAAACAAAATTTTCATAGGAATTGTGTTAGAGTTGTTATATATTTAATTATCGACAGACCATACCATAATACTTTAACTAAACTATCAAATTAAAATAGCAATTTTGCAACTAAATATATTTAATAAGTCTATCGCCGATTTGTAGGTGACAACAAAATGGTACGATATGGAATATCTAAAGAAAAAGAAGTCTATAAAACCATCGAACGTGTACCTGGACATTGAGCACGGAGTGGAGAAGATAAAGCGAGGAACACTAGCGTATCACGCCGAGTACCATCAGCTCTATTCTCATTACAAAACATTCAGCGACGTAGAATTATGCAAGATAAAGAAAATTGACACCATTCCAGAGGTATATCTTAAATAATATAAAACAAAGTCGCCCTCCGCATTTGTCTGCTTTTCTTCTCACTTCTGAACTACATAGCGAATTGTGATACGAGCTTCATTGTCATGTGGATATTTTCACGAAAGAAAAAGAGTAGTATAAATAAATAATATATACCTATGTAAAGTCGGGGCAAGTTATTATTACCTTAAAAATTCATAGTAACAAAATAAAACGGAAGTTATGTCTAATTTTTATAGTTTGATATCAAACTATTAAATCGATTTGAGGGTAACTTCAGTGGCATATTCACATCACATCATCTTATCGGTCGTTTACTGTCCACTGCTGAAAACGAGCCCCCATAAGGGGGTTTTGCCAATAGTTGCCATGCTTGGCAAGCGGGTTAGCAATCCTAGTTGGGCTTTGGCGATATTTTAAAAGGAACGCTGTTGCCCATCCCTCGACCATTAAGTTTCTTAGTCCACTCTTACGACTCCCACGGGAAAGAAAGGGGCGGCCCGTTTTATATCGGGACCTATTATATCCTCAATCACAATTAAAAGCTTCAAAGTTGACAAAATTAATTTTTATTCAGATAAGTTGAACCAACAACTTGTGATATTTTTAAATGGTTGCATAGATTTATATTCTAGTTTGGTCAATATAAGGCAGTTCCGACTCTTTACGTAGCAATTACTTACTCTGTGCAGAAAATGTCCTGGGTCACTGCACCACATCGAGGCCAGTTCACCGACGTGATGCGCTCAACCGGCATGTGGATCCACGAAATAGGACTAGCGAGACGGCTTATCCTCCGAACCTCAGTGCAACCTCCCCGGTGTCGGGCGGCCATGTTGGCTGAACGAGTAACTTTCACAGATATAGTGCCGTTATTAGGTGTCAGCATTTCGGCGGGATTCTTGTCTATGATCTTGTTAGTTTTGGAGATTTTTTGTGCTAAATGGAAAAGGAGTAATAAAAAAAATAAAGGTTTGCGGTCTCATTCTTCTAGCCCCGTTCCTGAAGACAATATGGAAGAATTTCCCTCAATAACATACACTAATTAAAGTTACACTTAGACGCACTTAACACTTAGATTATACAATAATATTAGATCAATACAGCGAGTAACAACTAAATTGTGCGTTTCTTTAGACATGCTTCAATAATAGTTACATAGCTTTCTTGAAATGTTGACTTGACGTAGTTTTTCTATATTATAAAATTGTATTAATCTTAGAGCTGGAAATTTTATCATAAAAAATGTTTATTTTATTTATTTGTACTTATTATATTGTCTTTAATATAGTATTTTCCTTTATATTATATAACTTTAGATTTTCGTATAATATAAAAAAAAATTGCATCAATCAAAATTGATTGACCATTTTTGAAATGTTTTCTGATACTACATTCTTTCTATGTCACCTATGAATGTCTATGTATATGTATAAGTATTTGTGTGTCTGTTTTTAAGAGATATACATACAATAACAAATACACATGTAGGAGCATATACCTATAGACAAAATTCATGGAATTTTAGAATACTTTATGTACAAATACCTACTTGTAATTTAGGGGGGGGGAAGGGATTGTTAGCAATGGATTCGACATTACTAGCCCTATCAGGTCGACTTCCACGTGGTTCCCCCTGGACGCCATCATGAACAATTCTTGTTGAATTCGTCACGATGGGCTAACTGACCTGCTTCATTCTCATCTATCATCCCTCACTAGTACCCCGCCGGTGTATACCAATAGCGCGGGTGGGGTTACCATTCCATTATCACCCATTAAAAAAAACTCGTAGTTTAGGAATTCCTTCATTTATACTTGTATTACAATTTATTAATGTATGTTCTAACAATAAATATTGTGTAATATCATTTTTGTATTATTTTATTAATTTTTTTTTTAATTTACATCTAAATCGTTATCAGCACGCATAATTTACAGGCTTTATCACGTGCAGTGTTATCACTGCATCTTGTTATCTTAAAATATATTAATCTCGCAGTACTATCGAGATCACGTCCCGTATTAATCATTATTTATATACCAATGACAAATTCATAGTCTTACAATGATATATTAGACATAGAAGACTCCTGTTGAAATTGCTAGAGAATAATATAAGAAAAATGCTCAAGCTCGTAATCCGGCTCAGCGCGCTGAGCGTAGGACTGAGCGTTGCAACATCCACATGCCACCAGCTACAACAGTCACAGGTAAAATTAAATTTTTATTACATCGAATAATATCTGAATAAGTAGAAAGTGTCTCTGTCTACAGTTAGATGTGCATAAGATAGAATGAGACAGCAACATCCGACATTGTAATTCCTCATTTGTGTGTCAACGAAAACGTACCTATCGACTGATTCGTTTGTCGCTTGTTTAAGTGAGTATAACTTGTAGAATATCAACAAATTGTAAGTGTATTCAGTTTCAATAGAAATTAGTTAAAAGGTGTTCAAGTTTTGTTTAAATAATCACAGGAACAGGCCACTGTTATTATCAGATGAGAAGTACCCGCAGAAAACTCAAGAGTTACTCTTTTCAAATTATTATGTACAAGATAATTTTACATAGGTACTGTGACTATAAATATCATTAAGTTCTATTTATATTTATTATTAAATGAAAAATAAATACGCAAACATGAAAAGACCAGCCTCCACAAGCAGCATCCGTTCACGAGTATGACGGATAAGCCAGCCATCCTTGTGCTCAACTATATTTTATGGAAGTCCGTGACCCGGCCCCTGTTGCGTTTATAGAGATAAATATATAATATATAAATAATATAAATATATAATAATATATATATAAATATATAAGTTGTAAACGGCAACGCACTTTATGATGTAATCTTACCAAACATCAAAATGTGTTCTTATAAATGTAAACTTTTAGAATGTGATTTAATGACAAATATTCCAAATGTTTTTACAACTTTTCAATTATACAAATTAGCAGATAAAGAAATACGTATTACAATAAATAATTTCACAGTATTTTCAACCGATTTCAAAAAGAAGGAAGTTCGGAAATTGGTTTTATATTTTTATGTTTGTTACTTCATAACTTAGTCGATTATAAACCGATTTGGATATTTTTTATCTAAAAGGGTATACTTACATAGAAATTTTATCAAAATCGATTTAGTAATTCACTTTTTAAATCAAATTAACTCATTTTGATACAATTCAACTCGTTTTTTTTAATCACAATTTACAAATTAATTCAAGTGAATCCTCTGTTTTTAATTTTAATACTATTGTTAAGAAATTTCCGTCTCTGTTATAAATATTGTTAATTATGTAATAAGTATGAACATTTTTAATTTTATTTCGCAGATGGCATCATTGAACGAACGAATGAACCAAATGATAAACGCTTTGTACTCATATTCATCACGTAAGTGTTCGATTATAAATTACATTGATTATTTTTAACTTCGCATGCAGCATGTCAGCATTGCAATTGTTTTAGCTGAGCGTATTCAAACTAAATCATTTAATTGTTTTACTAAATCAAATTAGTATGAATGTTAACATAAATTCCCATAAGAATAAATATGGTTGACTCAAAATATGCTGATTCAAATATTTATTTACACTTTATTGCATCATTTATAAAATAATAAATACAGTAAATTTATTGAGAAGTGATACAAAAAGCGGCCTTATCACTAAGCAATATGTTACATAGGTTTTTAAAGTTTCTTTTTTATGTATAATAATTCCAAACTATTATTTCTGTGTAAATGCTACGTGATTTTTTACTCTTTTAAGTCTAAAGTTGTCAAGTTTCAAGTTACTATTATACTACAATTAGTATACATGAGAGGGAGACTTTGTACAAAAGTCGATTGCTTGGGTACCTCTGTCACACTCGTGTTTCAACCGTAAAGCAGTTGTGTTTGCATGGCTGTGTTTCGGTTTGTCGGGTGGGATTGACCTGAATTTACTGGATACAGAGGAATAACACCTGAGTCCTCAGGAATGGCAACGCAAGGGGGGTATCATGGGCGAAACAATATACTCTGTTATGTCCATGGTACTGCTCATGTCTATAGGCGACGGTTACCACTTTCCATCAAGTGAGCTGTCAGCTCGTTTGCCATTCTAAGTTGTATAAAAAAAAATTGTATATACATGGGTACTTCCAAAGAAAACTTCAATGAAATGACAAGATAATTATGTAGTAGGTAAATATGTGTGTGTTAGTATTTAATGTTATTGGTTAATTAATATTGGTATATAATATCGTAACGAGATTATACAGGCAAATGCGATTTACGTAAAACATGTCACGTACAAGTATTGATAAAGAAAAAGGTCACAGAATTACGTCAGAAGATACCAATATACCTACAATAAGTGTTGGTGTAAGAAATCATCGAGTTAATTAGGAAATAATATCCCAAATTTTTTAACCTATTTAAAAAAGATAGAATTTCTCAGATCGATTGTATTTTTTCTTTATGTTTGTTTCCTCATTACTCCGTCAGTTATATTGGTCCTTATAGAAAGGGGGGAAAGGGATTGTCAGTAATGGAGACTGAGAATCCCATTGCTAGCAATATACCCAACCAGGTCGAGCTCTTCGCGGTTCTCCCTGGAAACTGTCATCGTTAGTTCCTAATGAATTCATCATAATGGGCTAACTGGCCTGTTTTTATTCTCATCTATCACCCTTCACTGGTGCTCCGCAAGCGTATACCGTTAGCGCAGGCGGGATTACCATACCATTTTCACCCATAAAAAAAAAGGTCCTTATAGAAATTTTATCAAAATCGGTTTAGTAGTTTAGTTAAATCAAAAGAAATAGTTTTGTCACAATTGACATTGTTTTTTTTTGTGGAACACAATCTTTAATATTGGTCGTTTTCGACGCTTGTTTTTATCCAGAAGTCTTTTCCAGGGGGCGTACGATAATAATTTACGTCACAGCGTCTCACCTCGCTGTGACTATGTAACATAGATAGATAGATAGATACCCTTTATTGTTTCTTCCAAAAGATTACAATAGTATACATATTATAAATATAAATAATTACAAGAAATAATCACAATGAGAAAACAATGGGCGACCTTATCGCTAAGAGCGATCTATTCCAGGCAACCTTTGGAGAGGAGTAATTATAAACAATTTGGTGGGAGGCACGATGAAAAATTCTGTTAGTTCTAAATATGGAGATGTGATACATATAATAATATAAATATTATCCCTACTCATTATTATATACAATTATACATATATACCTATAGTCTTCGTTTAAAAATTAACATAAATTTTAAAAATAACCCACGCTTTTTTTGTCATATTAAAATTAATACAAATTCGAGATTGATTTTACATAATAACACTATTGATCTTTTTATTAATAAAAGGTTATAATCTTTCTTTTATTTTCAGCGCTCCTGAATAAATCTCAGTCCAGTTCCAACTCATCGCCAACTTCGTCAACGTCCAACGAATACCCAAGTAACTCCGCGGTTTCCTACGAAACAGCATATAGTTATCCGCCATCTAGTTATTCGACTGCATCGAGTTCTTCACCTCAAGTCATATACGTATCTTCAGCACCTGCCTCATCACCAACACAAGTAGCTATCGCGCCACCAACTCCTGGAAATCCTACTGTGACAATATCATCCACAACTGTCCCCACGTCATACGATACATACTACTCGCGCTCTTATGAAAGCCCTCCATCTGAATACTCGCAGCCAAGTACGCTGCCACCTCCCGCTTACTCGCAATCCTATAGCTACGAACATTACTCTTACTCACCACCATCTTATCCACCTCCCCCTCCACAAACCTATCCTCCTCCTTCCTCACTATCTTATCCGCCGTCTCCCCAATCATCTTACCCACCTCCTCCCCAATCATCTTACCCACCTCCTCCCCAATCATCTTATCCGCCTCCTCCCCAATCATCTTACCCACCTCCTCCCCAACCATCTTATCCACCTCCTCCCCAACCATCTTATCCACCTTCCTCCCCGTCCCCACCAACTCAATACTCTAGCACCAACCAACAATACTCTCCAGCGCCAGCAGCTCCATCCCAATACGCTCCTTACTCTCCACCCCCACCACCCTCTCCACTTCCGATCCCAAGACCTTGTGAATCTAGCTACCCTTATCCTGATTATCCACAGTCCCCTGTCCCACCATATCCACACACACATCAGTATCCCCCTCCTCATGTAACACCATGTCCTACGACGCCTGTGCCATACAATCCACCCCCTTATCCCCCAAAACCCTCATCACCTTATCCCACACCGAATACGATGGTACCAACGTACCCCTCAGTGCCTTATTCACATGATATTGTACCTCCACCGTATTATGCTTAAAATTATTTAAATTAATTACAAAATATTTATTTATTTTAAAATATTGTAAAAATAAACTTAAATTCAACATATGGATGTTTTATTCTCAAAATAATTAAGCATGGTATCTATGTAATCAATAAGTAAATTATTTCAATTAAAAATAAAGTTTAGAAGGGCAAAAGACCTGGCGGAAAGTGGTAAGCATCTTTTTTTATACCAATGGGATGGCAAACAAGCATATGGCCTACCTGATGGTAAGCGGTTACCGTAGCCTATGAACACCTGCAATAGTAGGGGTATTACGCGCGCAGAGTCGGCGTCCTGAAAAAACCTTTTTACCCCCCTTTTGAAGAACCCCATGCTGTAGTCTCTTGGGAAAGCCTCGGCAGGGTCACAAGATACAGCATTGCTCCTATATTATTCCTTATGCTCTACGTTTATTTTTTAATGACTAAGGCGTTAATTTTAAGTTTTATTATTTAACAAATTGTAATAATCTCGTATGATTCCGTCATAGAATAGACCACCCCATCTTTTGTCATGGATACGACACCCATGAGAAAGGCAACTAAGGAAGGGCAAGGGATGGGCAGCAGCGTCCCTCTTAAAACATCCCCAAAGCCTAACTGCAGTTACCAATCCGCATACCAATCGTGGCAACTACTGGCAAAACCCCTCAAGGGGAGGCTTATCTTCAATAGTGAAAAAAAACAAAAGTTGATATGATGATAATGACGAAAAGAATAATAATAATCGGTCCAGAATTAAGGAAAATATTGAATATTCTCCTTTTTGAAGTCGGTAAACAATAAGTCAAAGAATGAAAATATTTGAAACATTACTAAGTATACGCTTTTACCTAATACTAATTATCAATATAGCTAATTGAAAAATAAAACAAATACAAAGAGTATATTGGTAATTTTGTAATTGCTTCATCAAACTTTGTAATGCTCGTGACAATAATATTTTGTTACAAAATTATATGATAACGAGGTATATAAAAGATTTGAAGTAATGTCATAAAGGCCATATTATCTTGGCACCATGGCGCCTTTCTACGTATTTTTGGTGTTTTTAATTCAGGTAAATATATATAAATTATTATAATCCAAGCAACTTATAGGGATTAGTGTATAATTATTTAATCACTAGTTCATCATTCAATGCATCCATTATACAATGTTACATAGAGAAGTAATTATGCGAATTTGATTTTATTTATTTAAATTAACCATACTTAATAATTCAATAAATATATATGTATATGTTTTATGTAACTTAGAATGGCAAACAAGCTCAGGACCCATGTGATGGAAAATAGTAACCATCGATAATAGACATGAACAGTACCATGGACATAACAAGGTATACCCTGTCGCCTATGATACACCTCATGCCTTGGCATTCCTAAGGACTAAAGTGTTATGCTGCCTCTATACGCTGTAATTTCACTGCTGGCTATAAGGAATATGTCCTTCAAACCGAAACCCAGCCAATATGATTGGATAAATGGATAAACTTTTTTTTTTCATTTGATATTTTTTCATTTGAGGCTTTTTAAATAGGATATCTGATATTAAAAATTCAAAATCATTACTGTCTGTAATCATTCATATAAACAGATCTCGACTTTTAACTTGTAACTTTTAATAAAAAAATCTTATAATTACCCACAACTGAATTAATAGATGACTATCTTATTGAGTAATACATTTGACCAAAACAATAATTTCTGACAAATTCATCTGGTTATCTTGATAACAATAGGATAAGTATATTATTTTATTGCAAATAAATTAGAAATTTACATATCCCCATATAAAATAATTATTCCTTTCCTTTTTATAGGGTTCCCTTACACTAGCTAACAAAGAAGATGCTTCTGAACACGAAGAAACTACCCGTGACATCTTAAAAGAGACCCCAGATATAGATGCAGTTTCAGAAATCAAAGACATTAACAAAGAATGGTTAGATATATTTTTGTTACCTGAAGATAACAATCTATTCCCGACACCATCTGCAGCTATGATGTCACAATTAACAAAATCAGACAAACCAGCAGAAGAGCAAATAGAAGACATCAAAGAACTAGCTACTCAAATATCTTTAGCAATACAAAGTGAAATGGCAAATCTTCTTCGTTACGCTTTAAAAGACTGTGACAGTGAACTTGAAGAAAACAGTCTAAGAAAGAAAAGATCAGCAGAGTCCCCTATGGATAGCTCTCAACTAGTTATGAGATTATTAAGGCATATTAAATCAAACAATGAATACCAAAATATCGCTATAGATAAGATGATGACTGCTCAGGAAATAGCAGACAAATACGGTATAGAGTTCAACCCAGATCCGGAAATACTAAGTGATTTGGCTACTGCTGCAAATGATCAAGCGAAAGAAATGACATCTATCCTTAATGATGTTTTAAAAATTAAAAACATCACGCAAAGTACCGTTGAATTTAAGCCTGTAGAGCAAGAAAGTGTAAAAAATTCTACCAATGAAGATGCCTACTACGTGTACTCTGTACAAGTCCCTGAACACGAAATTATTGCTCAACTCAATGCAGTGCCGCATCATGAGTATCATCCTGAAATAATTCAATACGTGCCACAAGATATGAATCATTATCAATACGATCTTCGTGCTAAACAAAACCACTACTATTACCCCGAATCCCAGATCGTCCCCCCTCCAGTCCATCAACATTATAACCCAGTAAGCCCAATGCCAAATTTCTACGAACCAAATACCCTCTACCCCTCCCAAGAATTCTATCCAAAATACTGTCCTACAGAACCCGTTACTACAACAACTACGATCGTCTTACCAATCGAAGAGCTTATTGAACCTGAACCACAGCTAGTTGGGGAAGAATACGAAGAAACCGTTACTTCTAAGGTGTACGTTGACCACGGAGATGAACCCGGCGAGAGCACAGTCAACCATGTAATGACCTACACAATTTCAGAGAAATCCCATTTTAAAACTCCCAAAGTGGAGAAACTTCCCCAACAAATGCAGTATTATTTCTTTTTAATGTAATTATTATAAATAATGCATGTTATTATATTATAAATATGTGTATTTAATTAAATCTACTACAAAAAGTATTGTCCTTGCCAAAAATATTAAACATATTTGAACGAGTATTAAAAACGTGGCTTTATGTCATATTACACGAAAAGTAAACGTGTTACTACTGAGAAATATTAATGTTACGAAAATTATTTATTGATAACAGTTCGCGTTATACTTTTCTGACAATATATATCTGCATTAATAAATGTTAAATTAAAATAAAATATGACTGTATATATTTTACTTTTAATAGATAATAAAAGGTAAGTAAATTCTTCAAAATGGAAACATGAATAAAAGAAATAACCCTCTGCCTATATGATACTGCTGCCTGCTTTGTCTAAAAAATCATAATATACATTTTATCATACTGCATTAAAATATCTATTGAATACCAAATATTTTAAATGTACAAAATATGAAATAAAGTTTTTACTCTACTCACATCCTTTACCATTCAAGAACCTTTTTTTTTTTTAATATTGGAATAAAAAACAAACTGTCCTAATAGAAACCAGTATCGCCAATAGATATGACAGCAACATGGGTTTAATAAAATATTTTGTAAAGCTCACCGTGCTTTTGTATTCGTCGTGCATCATACTATTTTAGAGGATAAGAAGACTTAGGTAGCCACAGCCCTCTCTGTTTTAACTTGTTGACTCGATAAAAAAATATTTTTACTGACTGAAAATATAAGGAACTCCCCGTAAAATCTTAGTATTTATGCTACACGACATCTTCTCCAATTGTGTATCGAATTTGATAATTATTTTTGCAAACAATAGTTTACTCCAGTATTGGTCTCACAACAGTTTTGTTCCTATTGATATCAGTTTTTGAAGAATAAAATCTCACTGGACAAATATATCTGTCATATCAATTAACAAAATAAAAGACATTTTGTACTTAAGGCAAATTTAATAGATTTCAATAAATATACAAACATATTTACTAAATCATGTTTCTTTTTTGAGAACCTTTGGTTAGACTTTGGCAATAGGTTTAATATGACTGGTTTGCATACATCTACCTTCACATTTATAATGAAGACGAATACAACTGATTTATATTAATTTATATGGTAACATTACATTGAATATTGCAGTGTAACTGTTACAAAATCGTAAATTACAATTTTATATTATTTATCACATAAAAAGGCACTCGTTTCGATTAAATGATTATACAATAATTATGAAATAATTTCACAGACTTACACATAGATAAAGAACAGAATATATTATACCTCTATCTATGGGCTTACCTACAATTCAATGTGCAGCAGACAAACTTTCTTAACAATCTCTCATCTATACAACAAGGCATCAAGATTCGTTTCTTTTGGTAGAACGTTTAAAGGTAATGAAATAAGCATAATATTATTCTAACACAACAAAAATATCACTTACAGATTATAATATATGAATAGAAACAGATTCCAAACTAAACATAAGTATTAAGTTAAAATAAATTTATTGTGTGGTAAATTATTTATTTTCATTATATTACATTCGACTATTTATCATTATAAATATAGATTTTTAAACATTTCTGTTTTTTATGCAACTTAGAATGACAAACAAGATAAGCAGGCTCACCTGATGAAAAGTGATAACAATCGCCTATAGACATGAACAGTACCATGGGCATAATAAACTGTGTCGTCCATAATAATTTTCATACGTTGCCATTCCTAAGAATTAAAATCTTATACCTCTGTATAATTTGTATCTTTTAGTAATATTTCAATATGTACTTTTAATTTTCTTCAAATTTAAATTATAAAACCTTTAAATTGTATGTTTATTTAGCCTCTCAACTGTGTCGCATCCGCTGAGCGAACATATAAATAATAACGTCATATATACTGTTTTGTCTAAACTAGCTTGGTGATAAGCTTAAATTATTGTAAACAAACCACCTCTTGTCCCTAATACCAAGAATGTACGTAAAATACAGTGGACCCCCGATAATCCGGCCCCTGTCTAATCCGGCGCCCCCTGTAATCCGACATGACAGAATTATGTTTGACAATCTTTGCTAATATAGATCACGCAAGTTTGAACAGGTCACAACTCGTACGCGCCACCGCTATTGTGCTCGACGCATATGCATTGTTTTACTTAGTTTGAATTTGACTACTAGTGATAGCGATACGGCCTAGCGTACGTTCATTGTTTACTATTTATTCATTGTGTATTAGTATATGTAGTACCTAGTAATGTCGTCACAAACCCAGAAGCGAAAGCACAAAACGTTGACAATTAAAGAAAAATGTGATATTTTAGATCGCTTAAATCGCAATGAAACTTTCAGTAGTTTAGCAAGTGAATACGGCGTAAATTATCTACAATTTATGACATTAAAAAAAACCACGAGAAGATTAAGAAGTTCGTGTCAACTACTGACTGCGGGCCAGGCAAGAGACAGACACTCAAGAAAGCTGAACATTAGTGGAAGAAGCTTTGTACATGTGGTTTCTTCAGGAAAGAAACAGGCATGCACCAATTTCGGGACCCATGTTGGCGATGAAAGCTAAGTTTTTTTTTAACAAAAAAAGATGATTTTATGGCCAGCAAAGGATGGCTAGAACGTTTTAAAAGTCGTCATGGCATACGTTTAATGACTATTACAGGAGAGAAACTTTCTAACGATGCCACCTGCAAGCCCTTTAAATTAAGATTTTTGCAAAAGGTGAACGATTTTAATCTTGACCCGTCACAGGTGTATAATGCAGACGAATCAGGGCTTTTTTGGCGTGTGATGCCTAACAAAACTTTCGTTTCTTGTAACGAAAAAGACGTACCTGGACGAAAAGTGAGTAAAGAGCGTGTAACCATACTACCATGTGCTAATGTGCATACACACGCGCTTAAGATGGTGGTCATTGGGAAATCTAATAAACCAAGGGCATTCAAAAACATTGATTTACCTGTACACTATTACGGACAAAAAAGTGCATGGATGACAAAAACCTTTTCAAAAAGTGGTTTGATGAATGCTTCGTACCTGAAGTTAGAAAATGGTTAAAAGATCATAATTTTCCTCAAAAAGCGTTGTTGCTTCTTGATAACGCTCCCGGTCATCCGTCTGAAGAAGAACTGACAACTGAGGATAAATGCATCACTGCGATGTTTCTTCCGCCAAATTGCACTGCACTGATTCAACCAATGGACCAGAACATCATTCAGTTTGTTAAGCAAGACTATAAAAAAACCTACTTTTGAGAGCCGTATCAAAAGACCAACCATAGAAAAAACTTTAAAAGAATTTAATATAGTCGTAAGTGCGTTACCGTCATCAACTATTAAATCGTCTTGGAAAAAGTTATGGCCAGATATAATCACCACTTAGCAACGATCCACAAAAGTGTAACTTCGGAAGTTATAGAACAAGTCTCTACTGAAACACAGATAAGTCCGGAAGATTTGGAAGTCTGGTACCGTGGAATGGATAAAGAAGAAAATGTTTTTCTTGAAATGTCTGACAAAGATATTATAAAAGAGGTTTCTAATAATACAACAAACGATCAGGAAGATAACGACGACGTGATTGCAACATCCACAAGTCACAGATCAAGACGCAGTTAACGCTTTTGAGCTATATACATCCTACAACGAACTTTTACTTTTGAGAAGACTGAGGGACAAAGCTCTGATCTCGCGTTATAACAACCTTAAACAAAAAAAAATTGATGAATATGTATTTCAAAGCTTCATAATTTGATATAGTATTCACTACATGATTTTGATTAATAATTCTTGATTATTTTGGTAGATATGTATGTGCATTTATGCTTAATTTTATAATAAAACGTAAGCTCTCAATTGTTATTTAATTTACTAAATTCGACTTACATAAATTAAGTCTGATTTGTACTTCAAAGTACATACATATGTACGTATAATATAGTATAGACTCTCGTCATTAGATATGTAATTTGTCGGATTGTACTCTTTCGTAAAAAAATCCGGACTATAGGGGTCTTAGGCAGTGGTCTATAATCCGACAAATTCGATAGTCCGACACTGCCCTGCATAATGTTTGCCGGATTACCGGGGGTCCACTGTAATGAAATAGGAGGCCCACTTAAGTGTCAATGGAAGAGGGACTTTTTTTGGTCTATGATTATAAACAAGTGCTGTATAAAAAAATGTATTGGAACATAAGCCATTTTATTTTTATTTTATCAAGTATATAATATTGTACAAAAAATATATAATTTTACATCCAGCAAGGTCTTAGTTTTTTAATAATTGACAAATAAAAGGTAATAAGGTGACCCCATTTTATTTCTCATAGAACAGTTGCAATGCAATTCAAGTCGAGTGTAGTGTAAGAAATTACATAAGGAATATAGTTGGAATATAAATCTAATCTGAATTTTGTATAATTCTAATTATGGTAGATTTTGGAAAAATCAGGATTTTTAAACCTATACGCTAAAAATACCTAGTCTGTGTAAAGTCCGCTCACGGGACGCCACAGATGTGGATTTTCCACCATTTTGCATGACACAGTTGAAAGGTTAGTTTTTTTTTAATTAATTTATTTAGTTTATTTAAACACAGTACAGTTTAACTTAATTTAAGTACTTACAAGTATTTATACTTTAAACTTCATAAAATAATAAAATCTTCTGATTTTAAAATCATGCAAAGTACAGATCATTTACAACAATAAACAAATACTGGATTTCTACAAATTTTATAAAGAGTTTTAGTTAATACATATTTTCACATATAATTATATACTTACAATTAGATATAATAATAATATGGCACAATGTAATTTTCACTTCAATATTATAAAACAATAAAATACAAATTGGCTTATTACAAGTTTCGCCTATATTTCAACTTCTATTCTCTATCAGATAAAGTCAACTATCTTTCATCAGACAGGCTTTTACACAAAGATATTCCATTTAATTTTTTTATATGGCATACATTAATAAAATACCAGTATACCTAATCGAGAACCTGTATAAATATTAGCTATTAGCTATTTGTGACTTCGTACGCATGGATTTTGGAAGTTTTACCCGGTTAGGAAATAATAAAAAAAAATAATTATATCTCGATTTATGTATTTTAGAGAAAGTTGTTCAGTTTCATGTTTAGCCTTATAAATACAGTATTACACTGTCAGTATCAAACTGAAATAAACTACTAACTCTTATAAAACTAAACAACTTTTTTTTTATTATTCATTCTAAACCGTTCATGTGACAAATTATTGATTATTACTATGAAACTGAACAACTCATTCCAATCATTCATATTAAACTGATCACTTGACTGTGAAATTTATACAGTTACATTTATACTCCTTGAATAAAATTATTCAGTTTCATTAATTTGAGTTGGATTTTGACTTGTTATATTTATGATATTTACATAAAAAAACTATATAAAACGGAATTAAATATGTATACAAATAAATAAGTGGATAAATCTATAAAATACAAGAAGTATATGTAATAGTTCCTAAGATAATTATTTTAAGTACGATTTTGAAGTGCAAAAAAGAAACTTTTAGAAAAGAGAATCCAGTGCCTTGGCTTTTAAAATAACCAAACTCAGCAAGCAATAAAAGCAGAAAGAGTCTAGACGAATATTTGAGAAATAATCATAATATTAAATCATTTAAGAATTTATTTTTTAAAACATTATTGATTTCATTTGAAAAGTTAAATATTTAGGTGGCAATAATACTGCCTTTCTTTAACAGAATAGCATATTTCATTAATAACTACATTTCTATTCTCTCAAAACTTTCTTTTGAACTTAGTCAGAGTTCAAAAATATATTGTTTGACGAAAATTTGAAAACATCTCTCACTGATTCCTTTATTTTTGTTCCTATGAAAATAATAAAATAGACAGAAATAAATATTTTTGAAACATAGTATCATTTTTAACGATGTCTACTTACATGCACAACGGAAATTTTATGAATTGTCTTTTTCGACAATTCTTTCCACTTCATCTGGAAAACTTCTTAGTACGTAAGGCGCTTTGCGTCACAGCATCTCGCCTAGCGCTGCGGACTGCAGCTCGCAGAGACCGCGAAGATGTCGGTGTCGTATTGAAACGACAAACAGTAAGTTTATAATATTTCCGTTGTGCATGTATGTAGAAATGAATATTTCCCTAATACCTACATTAGTACATTCATCCAGATGTATTCTCAATCTCTGGAGCACTCCCGCCGGCTGTCTTTAGTCACTACACACTAATCATACGTCCGGGCGTTAGCTATCTGTGTGCGTAATACGCGCTGTATGCACTGTTGTGTCCCGTATGTGGTTGGTATCTGGAATTTAGAATTTTTTAAATTAACCACTATATTTTTGGAAGTTCGTGTAATTGAATTAATCGACTTCAAAATTGGAAGAGGTTCTATATTTGTCTGTATTTTTATGTATGTTCATCGATTTCTTCATAAATTAAATATTAATATAAATTAAATTTATTTTTGTAAATAAACTACTATTGAACTAATTTTATCAAAATCGACTCAGTAGTTTAGTTTTTACGTCAGAACTACTGGTTTTACCATAATTGAAGTCGAATATAATCTTATTATATTTTTATAACTTGTAACGGTGGTATAAAATAAAATGTAATAAAATAAGTCCTGACCGCACTGGGTGCGCGTGCGCGGCGTAGAGCGGGCCGCAGGCGCTGGGCTCGGCGCCGTACGGCTGCGCGAGCGCGCCCGCCTCCGCCGCCGCCTCGCGCCCGCCGCGCCGCGCCGCGCCGCGCGCCGCCGCCTGCTCCGGCGGGCTACGCGTGCCCGCACAATACACCGGGGGGAAACGGATTGTTAGTAATGGACACTGAGAATCCCATTGCTAGCAATATACCCAACCAGGTCGACCTCCTCGCTGTTCCCCCTGGATACTATCATGGTTAATTCCTGATGAATTCATCATGATAGGCTAACTGGCCCGTTTTCATTCTCATCTATCACCCTTCACTGGTGCTCCGCCAGCGTATCCCGTTAGCGCAGACGGGGTGACCATACCATTTTCACCCAACAAACAAAAAAAACACAATACACCAATTATAACTAGCTACTCTTTAATAGGGGGAAATAGACGCGGTCTGGAGGGAAAGATATTATTAGTAATGGGGATGAGCAATCCTTTTACTAGCAATATCCTACTGTTACTACTACCCGATCAGGTAGACCTCCTCGCGGTTCCCCCTGGAAACCATCTTGGTTAATTCTAAAGGAATTCGTCACGATGGGCTAACTGACCTGCTTTCATCCTCACCTATTGTGAATTTACTAGGTACAGAGGAATAACACCTGAGTCCTCAGGAATGGCAACGCATGGGGGGTATCATGGGCGAAACAGTATACTCTGTTATGTCCATGGTACTGCTCATGTCTATAGGCGACGGTTACCACTCTCCATCAGGTGGGCCGTCAGCTTGTTTGCCATTCTAAGTTGTATAAAACAAAAAAAAAACCTATCATCCCTTACTGATGATCCGCCAGCGTATACCGTTAACACAGGCGGGGCTATCATTCCAATATTATCCATTAAAAAAAAACTGTAACATACTCGGCCGACATAGTTAAGAGTTTTGTGTTGGAATCTCATTAGATCTAATTATCAGAAGATAGTGTTTTTCAAACTTTTCCTTAATTTAAGATTTTTATATATAATATATAAGTTATACATTTTAAGATATTTTTAAACCCTATACCCCTCCACTTCTGAACAAAAACCACCATTAATACCCACCATCAATAACCACCCATAAAAAGATCACGAATGAATGGATGAATGAAATGCTAATGTGTGCATATCATCAAAAAAAAAAATAAAAAAAATTCTTCATAATTGTTTCTACCTACTGCACTTATGTTATAGTAATTAATTTTTTATCACTATCACTACATAGTCTATCTGTCCCTATATACTCTTAGATCTTTAAAACTATGCAATGGATTTTGTTGCGGTTTCTTTTAATTGTTAAGAGTGATTTCAGAGGAAGGTTTATATGTATATAACATCCATAATATAGTACAAAAAAAATGATAATTTTAGAGGTTTCTAATGTGATGTCGTAAATAAACACATTTTTTAACATTTCACCCGTGCGAAGCCGGGGTGAGTCGCTAGTTATTATTATATTTAATATTGCTGCTTACAATACGATACGAACATAGTATACAAATTAGTACAGGGTTATATAAAACAAAATGTAACATGTGTTTTCGATTTTAATGTTTCTTTTTCGCGTATCATAATGATAGGAGCGCCCGCTGCCCGCCCTGTAGGCGGAGTCGTATTACGGTCTTCGCGTTAATACTTTATTTTGACAACCAACGACAAATGACACCCATACGTCACGCGTAACATTATTAATCGCCTGTACCGGGAAGTAGGAGCGAGAAAGAAAAATATGATAAACGTTTTTTGTCCCACTCAGGTCGTAAATGTTTGCACACATGGGGAATCGTTTAACTTGTCCCGATAATATAATTAATGACTCCGTTGTTTAGTTTAATACGCCGGCAAAACCATTTACGTATTCCTATTTATACTATCTTATACTTACCTTAATGTTTTTAAAGCATTCCATAATAATTTGTTTATAAATCAAACAAACATACAAGTGTACTCGTAGCGATGTATCTACGAACTAAGTTGAATATAAAGAAGGAACAGGGCATAGTAGTTGTTGTTTGAAGTTTGAAAGAATCAAACTGTAACTCGATTGATTTATCACAGTAAATTTAAATGTTATATAAAGTTCAGAATTTTAGAGATATGAGTATTAATAATGAGTATTACATTACATTATTGTAGATTTACTACACCAATCAATAGAAATCAATAACATATTTTTTTGAAATTTGTCTATTTATCTGTCTGTGTATTTGTATGTATGAAGGATAAGTAAACTGAAGCGGCAATGGACTGGACAACTTAGTGTAAGACAACTCCCCCCCCCCCCCATCAACCTTAAATGGAGTGACGACCTCGAATGCATTACAGGAAGTAAGTGGACGCAAGTAATTCAGGACCATTCTTTATAATATTCTATGGAGAAGTCCTATCTTTAGCAGTAGCCGAAAAATGGCTGATATGATAATGATTATGTTTGTTTCGGCATCACGCAAAAACTACTACACCAAATTAGATGCAGTTTTAACTGTTGTATTCTAGAAAGTCTAACTTAAAAACATATATACGATTTATCTTAATACACCATCTATAAGTGATCTGTTTTATTGGTTTTCCTATTAAAATAATTATATACATATATACTTATATATATTATAAGTATATCGTATTTTTTAATGGATGATAATGGAATGGTAGCCCCACCCGTGCTATCAGTATACACCGGCGGGGCACCAGTGAAGGATGATAGATGAGGATGAAGTAGGTCAGTTAGCCCATCGTGACGAATTCAACAAGAATTGTTCACGATGGTTTCCGGGGGGAACCATGTGGAGGTCGACCTAATAAGGCATATTACTAGCAATGGGGCTGTCAAACTCCATTGCTAACAATCCCATTCCCCCCAGTACATCGTATTATATAGGGATGAAACAAGTCGAGTCAAAATTAAACCAGCACATTGCCGAGGTCATGTCTACAATATATCTCATCTAGACAGGTCAGACTAATTAATTAGTCCGCAAAAAAAGCACTAACCGTTCTAGCGATAGGTATTGGAAAATGTACTCTTAAACGATTGGCTACTCTCGCGGAACGTAAATTAAACAGTTTGTATATAAAACAGAATGCAGTTTGCGGCAACGTACGCTGTGGAATAACAGCGGTCGAGATTTACAGCCGTGGGACGGCCAATGCAGTGGCCGCAACGGCAGTAAACTGTAATATAAACACTCGGTGCGCAAGCGCAAAGCGCTTGATTGTTTATTGTAAATGTACAGTTCTGGTGAAATTCATTTTTCTCACTTATATATATTATATTTAATTAACAGTAGCAATTAGTTATTTTTAAATAACTTTAAGAACGAAGGATAATCACGATTTGCCTGTATCATCGTGTGTGTTCATGTGTGCCGATTATAAATTAATGGCTGTTTATAATTAAAAAGGATAAAGAATCACATTTATAATTAGCATTTTTTAAAGCAGAATAATGCAGAACATCATTATTTTTTAAAGTCTATAATACAGTTTTTTAATGGCAATAATTTTTAACCCATTGTCGAAGAAAGGAGTTTTTCGAATGTATATTTTTATATAGATACCTATTATCTTATTTTGAAAGAAATTACTTGACGGATTTTATAAATGATTAAATTCTTCTTGAATGTAAGAGGTCTTTATAAAATTTTGATGATAGCTTTCTTAATACTATATTAATAGTATCTACCTATATCTAAAAGAAACTATGGCAACTAAAATTTATTTTAGGATAGTCGAGATTTTTATGATTTTGTCCTTTGTCTAATTCTGCACTGATAAATTGCGGAATAAAAAAAGTAAATTATTCAATATTCGAAATTCAAAACTTAAAAACATTAAAGCGTACTCGATGCATTTAAAAAATAAAGAATTGTTTTTTTTTATTTTACTATATAGTTTCTCCAACTTTTATTTCTTTAACTGTACCATTTACATAATGTGCAGTCTTTATGTAAACTATTAGTAAAGCAGCAATAGGTGAGTGAGTAGGTAAAAGATAAATCTTATGCCCCATACCGGCGCGCGATTGGATGGAAAACAGACGCGATTAGAATTATTCACTTCCAATAACTAAAGTATTATTAGGTATTACAATAAGGTACAAAATAATATAACAATAGGGTACAAAATAATAACGAATTTAAGTAATATAAACGAGGAAAAAAACATTAAATGTTCTCTGAAAAAAAGATTTTTTATTTTTCTTTTTGAAAAATTTGAAACCTATAAAACAATCGATGAATCGTCGCAAAAAATGCAGCGTTTATTGAAAATCTAACAGATGTTTTTTACACAAATTTCAATTTGGAATTTTCGCCGAAACCACACCGGATTTTTCAAGAAAGAGCTTTTTTTTTTACAACACAGGGGGCAAACGAGCATGCGGCTCACCTGATGGTAAGTGACTACCGCCGCCCATGATCACCAGGTTTCCTTGGAATCGGCAACCACGCGTAATGTCCCTGGTATTGCAGGTGTTCATAGACTATTTAATATGGTAACTATTTACCATCAGGTGGGCCGTATGCTTGTTAGCCACCTCAGTGGTTATAAAAAATTATATTTGTTATGACGGTGATTAATAATAAACCATATAAATTTTATTTAACAAATACACTACTAGTGCATTTGTACAAATAAAAATTAAATGCAAGGTATATATTTAATTTTGATTATTATCAGAATCGCTAAATCTAAAAAATATTACGTTTAAAAAGGAAATCTTTTAAAAGAAATCAATCATCGACACATCAAAGAAGCTATTAAAATTTATTACAGCTTATTATACAAACATTTTGGTTTAATTTAGCGGAAACTACACGTTCCAGAGATAATAAATTCAATACGTTCTTTTTTTACAACAGCGGGAAACGAGGCGTGTCCGCCATAACTGTCGCGTAACTCTTTACTCTATGGCCAAGTCGTAAAAGTAAATTGTCACCGGCTGTTGAAATGTATGCTCCATGGTTAACTTTGTAAATAAAACATTCATTTCCCTCTGGTTGATTCACGACCAGTATTGTGACATGGGGTGCTTAACGGAATGTGGTTTCGTTTACTGAAACATCAAATGTCATATATTTCAAGAGAATATCTCCGCTAAATTGTTGTATTTACCTACTTATTTTTATAACTCTTTATATTTTCTCAATAATTTCTCAATAACTTAGTTTTTGTATAATCTCATAATAAAAACAATACACTAACAATAATATATATTTTCCGAATGTATTCCTCGAATACAGATTGCTCAATAGCTTAGTTTTTGTATTATCCCATAACAAGTACAAAATACTAAGAATAATAGAGTTTTGCAAGTGTATGCCTCGAATACAGATTGTTCAATAACTTAGTTTCCGTACTTTGGAGGAATGGGATTTGTCAGCAGAAAAATCTGTAAGGCTAACACCTCCATGACCTGTTGTGCTCGTTCTTTTTTAAAATTCGCTGGTGATTTCTATCAATAGCAGTAATTTTATGATATTCTTAGCACCAATATTCTTTATCTCCTCAGGATATAAGATGTACTTTCCAAAGGATATAAAGCAAGTTTCATGTCTATGTGAGTGGGCTGCAAACATAAATTATGTATTGTGGCATTTCTTTCTCATTATGACAGTACATGTAAATGTTTGTTTGCCATACGCCTAATACTTAATTTTAATAACATCCTTATTAATAATATCTCCCAATGTACAAACTTACTAATAATATACATAAATGTGTAATTATTTGTGTTTGTTGCCTTATAGCACCTTAACGGTTAAACTAATTATTAATTAGACAGAATTGATCCTTTTTAACGATAAGGCCACCCATTGTTTTCTCATTGTGATTATTTCTCGTAATTATTTGTATCTATAATAAGTTTACTATTGTATTCTTTTGAAAGAAATAACAAAGAGTATCTATCTATCTATCTATCGAATTATCTATGGAATGTATTACAATAATTTATACTATCTGTGGTAATTGTCAAAATTAATATGTTGGCAACACTCTTTATGGATGTTGGCTGTATTGTTCCTTCTTTCCTCTGCCTTTTGTCGTATAAATAATACGTGTAATGTTGGGCTGCTTTTATAAAAATATATTTTGTCTTTTCTCACTGAATCTGCGTATTTTATTTATATATGCATTACTAATCACTATGAAATTTTGTATACAAATACTATATGGGATGGAAAAGGACATAGGTTACTATTTAGGTTATATCACAGTCACGCGAACGAAGTCGCGCGTAATAGCTAGTTATTAATATATTTAAAATGGTCAGCGTCTTAAAAGATTAATTTCCTTATTCATAGAAACGTGAAATATCTCACAAACCTATTTTAACTATTTTGTCTCTTAACTGTTTTGTCTCTTTCTTTTGCGCTAAATTCCTAATTGGTGGAAAGTGACAAAATACTGTTTTAGTTGTTATGAATAAGGACATAAATTTATTAGTATTAAGATTTTATTCTAGAGAGCAAAATACTTACCAATCATCGGGATCGCAGTCTCTGAACCCTTTTGCGAATGGATTGCTTGCTATTTTTAATTGTGTTATCTGTAATAATATAAAAATGTATTTTAGTAAATTATTCATTTATTTTTATTAGAGTTCGTTTTGTGAAGTTCTCAAAACAAACCATGGCCCTAGACAAAGATGAGATAATTATATCGCAGTTATAGAATCCATAGAAAATATTCCTCAAGTAAAAAAGTAGCCCGTTCTTCAATCTTTCGTTTTTCCCCTATATTTAGGTTATTTATAGACCAATTTGTACAATCTAGTTATTTTTTCATTTAACGGTTAGATTTCAAATCTATTGTCTTCGACAATTTATCAAGTCTGTGAGGGTTATATATAAAATACTTATCTTACGAATATGTTTATGTAAATCGTATTACTGCCTATTTTTATTTTTAAATAACAATTAAATTCACTTGAAAAGGTTTGCTGGAAGAAATCTCTTATTAGAAATAAGCTCGCCTTTTTACATTATGTTTAAAATTAATTGTTATTAACATTATGTTTGTATACAATAAAGAATAAAGAAAATAATCCTTACCACCATATTTATAAAGTTTGAAACTCATTAATTAGTAAAATTACGCTTTGGGGAGTATTTAGATTCTTTTATTTGTTCTTCTAATATAGTTAATTATTTGTTATAGTTATGTTTTATGTAATAATGTATATACAGTAGAATCTCAATTATCCAAACATCGATTGTCGGAATATTCGATTGCCCGGACTTATTCTTCACGGCTCTAATTACCGATTTAGATGTGTTATTATGTATTAACCCTTAAAAGCTTGATTTTTTAAATCAAATTAAAAAATATATAAGTGTATCCTTTATTGTGTTTAATAATGGGGAAAAATAGTAAAAAAATCAAAACGGTATTTTTATATATTTATTTTGAAAAAAACATTTGGTATCTTTTTTGATACTTTAGGCATAACGGTAATTAAAATATTTACATTTATTTAACAATGAAACAAATCAATCCCCGGTATCAAATTTGAAACTTCAGGCATTTAAGGGTTAATTGTGTAAAAAAGTAAATAAATAAAATAAATAAAGCTCTTCACATAATAAAAAAATTAAAACTCAATTATGTATTGTTTGATTTGAAATCGATTATCTGGATTTTCGATTTTATGGAATACCCCTGTAGGCCGACCATGAAATGATTTCCGAAATTTCGGGGACGAACGAAACAGAAATTTGATGTTAAAATTACATAATACATGCCGTTTAAAATGATTAAAAATGTTAAAATATCGTTCCTCTGGACTATTAGGATAGGATTTATGATGAACGAAATGTTAAGCTTCATTTACTGGCTCGATTTTAGTACGAACAAAAACACGAAATTGAGCCCGAAAATTCGGAATTTCATTTCATGGTAGACCACCTGGTTTTATTCGATTCAAATAATCGAGATTCTTCTATTATTCTTCTATTTTTTATACGTGTATATATTTATTTATTTTATATATTATGTATATGCTTATATTAGTCTAATTATATGTTTATAATATATGAATATATTAAGAATCATTATATATTTCCTAAATTTATGAATGCATCACCTACTTATTTATTTATTTATATCTCGGTTTGCCCAATGTTCGACTAGTAGAAAACACCGTCCGGTGTTAAATCTGCCAAATGTACACAGAATTTCACTGTTTATTGAAGTTTAAATTCCACCACCATTTCATATACCATAAATATGAAATGGTTGCAAAATTGCTCTTAGCTACAAGCGATTATGAGCTATTAAGTGTTGGAAAATGTCGTAAATCATGATACATCATAATGACCCCCTGTCTTGTTACATTAGTCATATTATTTGTACTAGATGTCGCTGTAGTCGTTTTACATTACGCTATAAAAATGTTTTCGCTCAGAATGACCTTCTCGGCTTCAGTAAATTAAATCATACTTACCTGGCTCAGAGGCAACCATGATCACTAAGGTGGTTCCTCCAGGGCGAGGCCCTGCCATTGCACTACGGATGGGCTGACCCTTGCGATTAACCCAAATGCGGTTAACTCGGGAGTACAATTTTTGGTAGTGGGGGACTGCGTTCGCGCCGTTCCCTTCATTAAATTACAAATACTAATTCCATTTATTATACCCCATAAGTATACAAGGGGGCCATTATGAGTCGTGAAGAATTTAAAGTACAGAAATACTAATCATCCAAGGCAAGATCAAGGATAAAAAAATGCCTAGAGCAGCCGCCACTCCTAACTAAAAAACTTGCAGTAGTTTTTGTATTACCTCGCTTTTAAAAGCGGCAACTTTTAAAACTAAGATTGCCTTTATGTTGTCCAACTTCCAATAGGAGTAGAACCCTAAGAAGAAACAGTGGCAGTGTTAATAGTAGCCACCGTTAAGTAATTGTGAGTAGTTTAATGAATATTATCTTTTAAATACACTATCGGGATTTAACGCGATGTGAAATTTTTGCATGTAAATAGTACCTACATATCTGCTTGTTATTGTTTCTGTATTGCCGACTTTATTTTAATTATATTAAATATTATCTCTATAAAATTTTGACATTTTCCGTTATTCCTTTTTCAAATATCCATAATAGGTGAAAATGGAATCGCAACCTCGCCTGCCCAATCGAGCTCAGGGCACCAGTGAGAGGTCTCGGACGACTTCAAGCGGGTTCCCCGCGGCTACGGCGATAGGTGGACGAGGAACACCGGGGGGTTTTAGCCGGTAAGAGTCCGGCAGTACCCACATATCTCCTCCGAGCTATGTAGGTCTGCGTGAAGCATTTCCCCTCGACAAAAAAAAGGGCACCAGTGAGAGATGGTGAGAATGAAAGCAGGCCAGTTGGCCCATCGTCACGCATTCCACATAAATTAATCAAAATATTTTCGAAAGGAAACCGCGCGGGTGTCGTCCTGACAGGGTCTTTTGCTAGCAGTGGGGTTTTTCCATTACTAACAGTCCCTTTTGCCCCGTAGTCCCCCAGTAATCCCGTGGGGTTACCAGTGCCAACTCACCCTATTAGGGGGTAAAAGAATTATTAGTAATAAGGTCTAACAGCTCCATTGCTAGCATTACACTCTCATGACAGGCTGACCTCCACGCAGTTCCCCCTGGAAACCAATGTAAATAATCCTTGTCGAATTCATCGCGATGAGCTCTGCTTTCATCCTCAGCAATCCTCCCTCACTAGTGTCTTACCAGCGCATACCGATAGCGCAAACGGTGTCACCATTCTATTTTCACTCATAAAAAAAAAACTCACCCTATGATTCTGGTAAGCAGTGACAGCCGTGAAGCCTGTCTCCGGGAACACGAAAGTCCTGTAAGGGACGGTGCCGGGCGCGGTGCTCTGCCCCTCAGCCGGCAGGTACACCACGTGTAACCGCGGCTGGTAGCGGTGCATCGAGTTTAGTATTATCTGTTTAGCAATAAACTTCAATCAGTTTACATTCTACTACCGACTCGACCCTGCTTTGTTCGTGTAGATAGGTAAAAGGTCTCTAGTTTTTGACAATCAAATACAGCCCAAATTACTTGTAGATACTTGTAGATATTGTAGGTATTGCAGGCGTTCATAGGCTACGGTAACCGCTTACCATCAGGTGGGCCGTATGCTTGTTTACCACGTCAGTGGTATATAAAAAAAAGATAATGTAGCTGTCTATAGATGAAGGAATTTCTGAAACCGGTTAAGTATTTTTTTTAGTTTATCTATTGTAATATATTACGATCATGTACTGGCCGATAATAATATTATAAGTACTGGCCGGTAACGAGCTATTCCATTTATTCTTTCAATTAATAATTCAGTGTTCAACCAACTTGATTGCGTATCTATAAAAATCAAATTTTCCTATAAAAGTCAAATTTTCCTCTTTAAAATGTAGTTTAAATTAGTTTTTACTTGCGACTTCGTCCACGTAATCAGAATTATATTGTAGGACAGGAAAAAAAACCGATGATTGGTTAAGACGAGTAACAAACAAACTCCTTTTCAACCAACTTTAAAAAAGGAGGGATTTTCAATTCAGTTGTATTTTTTATGTTTGTATTTTTTATGTTTCACATCCCATTAATATATCGATTGGGAAAATTCTTTTCTATCTGAAAGGATATACTTCCCCTATGATTGGTCCCATAGAATTTCATCAAAACTAATTCAGTAGTTCAGTTTTTAAATCAAAATCGTTTCATTATGCCACTATTGAAGTAGTTACCTTTTTTATAGAACAATATCATAAATTGTCACATTTGTGAAGTTTGGACTAGTCACCTACCCAGACTTTGCACGGATATCGCCCATATCAGTCGAATATCTATAGTCATTTCGATCGGATACTTCATTTCGATATTGTATATTGAATAACCGATATTAAATGCATTATTTACTATGTGATTTTTTTTTTATACAACTTAGAATGGCAAACAAGCTGACGGCCCACCTGATGGTAAGTGATAACCGTGATATATATATATATATATATATATATATATATATATATATATATATATATATATATATATATATATATATATATATATATATATATATATATATATATATATATTATAATTACAATATATAGATATTGATTTATATTACCCATCCCTAATAGGGAGACGCTAGGGGGGAAAGGGATTGTTAGTAATGCGGATTATCAGTCCCATTGCTAACAATACGAGTATACCCTTACAGGTTGACTTTCCCGTGCCCCCCCCCCCCCCTGGAAACTATCGTGCTGAATTCTAAGTGTATTTATCACGATGGGCTAACTGGCCTGTCTTTTCATCCTCACCTATCATCCCTCACTGGTGCCCCGCCAGCGTATACCGTTAGCGCAGGCAGGGTTACCATTGCATTATCATTCATAAAAAAAAATAGGGAGATTTCTAATCAAATAAGACTCACATGTCCATTGTCATCAAGTTGATTGTTGGTCAACTTGAGTTTGTCGAAGGAGACCAGCTGGCGCATCCAGTGCGAGCCCGGAGCGGGCGAGTCGGGGTGCACGTGTATCCTGGGAGGCGATACCGGGTCCGCTTTACCCGCCACCACCCAGCTTGAACTAAAGCATAGAACAAACAATATTGTGTTAATGTGTGAACAATAACAAAAAACTATTATATATGAAAATATATAGGTGCGGGGGGAAGGGATTGTTAGTACTGGGGAGGTTAGTCCCCATCGCTATCAATATACCTTATCAGGTCGACCTCCACATGGTCCCCCCTAGAAACTATAGTGCTGAATTCCAGGTGATTTTATTACGATGGGCTAACTGACCTGCCCTTTTATCCTTACTTATCACACCTCACTGGTGCCCCGGCAGCGTATACCGTTAGCGCATGCGGAGTTGCCATTCCATTATCATCCATTGAAAAAAAAACTATATAGGCGCTCTTACCATTCGTACAGTTTGTCATTATTTTCCGAAACCATTACTGATGAATGAAACAAGCATTTAAAATAAGCGAACAACACACACAAATGCATATTTTTATAATATTATAGAACTTTTTCGAAAAAGCAACAACTAAATTTCTAACCAATTCTTTCCAACTAAAATTATGTTCTAAAATGGCGGTAGAATCATAAAAATACTTTTAAAAAACGCTTAAATTTAAGTTTATTTCAATAAAAAAAAAAACTTTATTGTAATAATATGAAATTAAAACCTGATTATACTGATGTATACCAAAGTAACGTAACATCCTTATGGAAAAGAATATGTACCTAACATTTAATAGATGTAATGGTATGGTAACCCCCCCCCCTGCACTATTGATGTACATTGACGAGGCACCAGTGAGGGATGATAAACGAGAATGAAGCAGGTCAGTTGGCCAATCCTGAAGAATTCAACAATATTAGATTAACCACGATAGTTTTCATGGAAAACCCCGTGGAAGTCGACCTGATAAAATATTTTGCTAGCAATAAGGTTGCTAATCCCCATTACTAACAATCTCTCCTCCTTTAAGTCGACATGTTATACGCTCAAAAAATAATTGAAGTGTTTAACGTAGCAACAGCAGACAAGCATGCTATTACATTGTCAAATAATTTAAAAGAGATAAAGTATATACTTATTTTATGCATATACTCACCTGTGAAACGCGTATCGGTATCTCTTATCATCAAGCGGTACAAAATCGACGAGCAACAAATAGTCGGCGTTCGGCAACAGGCCGGCGAGCCTGGCTTGTAATGCGGGGAACATGCGCCGGCCGGCCTTCGTCACTATCATCTCAGTGCCGAGCTCGTGGAAGCTCCGCCAGAGGGCAGCCAACTCCAGCGATGCAGTGCACCTCGCCACCGCTGGGTGAAGGGTCACGTTTTGCGACGAAACCTGCGGCGAGAACTGTACTTGGAGTTTGGTACGTCTGTCTAGAACGCGATGAATGTAATCGCTTGAAAATAGTAGAAAAATTGGACTAAACACACATTTTCTAGAAAACATCAGTTCTAAAATCACAACTACTGTACCCATTTAAAATAATAATATTAATACTGTAACTTAACAAACTACAAGTATGTTTTTACAAAATAAATCTTAGTTTTATTAAAATTTGTCCATTATTTGGGTTGTATTGTAATACGACAGTTTGATACTTTTTTTTGATGAGTAAAAATGGTATGGTAACCCCGCCTACGCTAACGGGATACGCTGGCGGAACACCAGTGAAGGGTGATAGATGAGAATGAAAACAGGCCAGTTAGCCCATCATGATGAATTCATCAGGAATTAACCATGATAGTTTCCAGAGGGAACCGCGAGGTGGTCGACCTGGTTGGGTATATTGCTAGCAATGGGATTCTCAGTCTCCATTACTAACAATCCTTTTCCCTCCGACAGTTTGATACTGTGCTTGTATAACTGTTTCGATTAGTAGAGATTTCATTTAAATGAAAATTTAACTCTTTCACTGTTTACGATGTTATGAACAATATAAAATCTGGTAAATAGTATTGTATTTCTCTTTTAGAAGAATTCAAATTTGTGTTTATAGAAATAATGCATCCAATTGCCTTTTATGATTATCATAGATTAAGGAGATTACCTGATGGCTAGTAATGATCTGATAATATTAAGCTGAATAGACTGCGTTCCTTTTTCAAGAATTCAGAAATTATTTAATACAGATTAATTAATACGTAGTCTTTTTTTTTTGGAGAAAGAAAGTGGCCAGTTTCTAAGCAAGTGTAGTAAGTAAAAACCTTAAATTACATAGATGGAGTGTCTTCATACAAATGCTTCAAGAAAAGCAGGTCAACTTATTCATACAATTTTAAGTGATGAATAATTATGAGTGATCCCTTTATAACTTCTATATTTACTTTGTTTTATAATTACTGTGTCATTTTAATACGTAAACACTCATTTTTTTTATTAAATTATACGTCAAGATACATTTTATGCGTAAATATATAGAATATTGCAAAAAAAAACAAGATAGCTAATTTAACAATTAGCTTACAAAAAGATGACCCATTTTTGAGGCTCGATGCTTTATATATATAATCTAAGGTAAAAACATATGAAAGTAACCTGGACCCTTGGCGGTGGCTGCGGCGGAGGGGCTGACTGGGCCCCGTGGTCCCGGCACGTACTCTCACTGAGGGCCTGCAGCGGGGAGTATGTACTGCGTGCGCATAATGAATTCTGCTTGACAAAAGAAAAAACATAAAAAAATGCTCACGCCTTTAACCTCAGACTGAGTTTGTCGACTGTTGCCGTTGTGGTGAACATTACACTCAGAACCATGGCAATCCAGACTTGGCCATATACATTTGAATTCAACCAAGACAAGAAACGGACATACCACCATCTATCGAATTACAGAAGTGAAAGAAGAAAATTACAACAAAAGTGGTGCCATAGATTGTCGTTACCACTTTCCTCTAGTTGGACTAAGTGAAGCTACGGTTATACTACCCAAAATACAAATACTAAATTGAAAAATTAACCCTCCGTCAAGTCGCTGATAAATGTGCCCACTGATAGCACTCTTTCTGAGATGTAATTAGAATCGCATTCATAATTTAGCAGAGAGACACAGGTTCGAATCCCGTCGGATCCAGTTTTCAGAAGGAAATCTTTCAACCTAGTATACTGAACAGACTTAAAAAAGAAGGAGGGTTTTAATTCTGTTGTATTGTTTATGTTTGTTACCTCATATCTCCGTCAGTTGTAAACCGATTTCAACAATTCTTATGTCTGAAAGGATATACTTACAGAATAGTTCCATAAAAGTTTTATCAAAATCGGTTCAGTATTTTAGTTTTTAAATCAATATAACTGGTGTTGCCACAATTGAAATCTTTTGTTTTTTTGCGAAACGCAATCTTAATTGAAATCTTAAATGGACTTGGCTGGACACGCTGCCGCGTGTAACGTATAAGATGTCCAAATGCATTTAAGAAATATTCCCCAATACTTACATCCCTGATAGGGTGGTGTAGCGACTGTAACATCGGCTGTTCATGATCACGACCGATGCGTTCCGCCAACGAAGGCGATAGTGTAAAACCACCGCGCGGACACTGGCTAGTGGGCACGATGCCTGCCACAAAAAAAAAAGCTAACATTAATTCTCTTTAATTATGATTGGGCAACGATAAATAACTTCGATATTAACTCTTTTGTTTATCCGTCTCCTTTTTTGGGAGTTCGTATATTAAGAAACTTGTAATCCTTTTTATGGAGCAAACACCAATATAATATTATTAGTGTGTAATTTTAGATTAGCAAATCATAGATTAATAAACATATTAGATACATCACTAAACTATAATAAAATTAAACAACCTCGATTATCATTTTAGCAATATTCATATCACACTACTTTGGTCACGTCTGACGTCCTTCAAAACACATAACACGTGATGTATTTTATTACTGTAAAAATCACATAATGTCCCATAAACCGTACGTCCACCCAGTGGCGGACATCTCACTCAACTAATTGAAATAATGGCGGGAAACTCAAAATACGTCTAAAATGGCCGCTATAATTTCATCGGCAGATGTCAAGACGGCATTATAAATAAGACGGGTGATGAAAACTATACTTACGTAGGAAAGACAATGATCTTCATTTTATTTTGGTATTCCAGTGATTTTATTTTAAGATCAAGCCGCTACTTAGTTTTAATGATAGTTGAAATAACCACAGATTAAAAATTTTGTGGGATACTGTGAAAAAATATAGAGCACAACTTGACGTTTTGTTACGTCTATTTGCAATATTATAATTTCTGTTGTTTATGGTAATTAATGGGCTAGCGTGTTACATCCCTAGTGTTGCAGTTATAAGCATATCTAATTATTTACTATCAGATGGGCCATATGCTCATATTCCCGTTTTTGTTATATTTTTTTTAATGAGTGACAATGGAATGGTAACCCCGTTTGCGCTATCAGTATACGCAGGTGGGGCACCAGTGAGGGATAATAGGTGACGATGAAAGCAGGTCAGTTAACCCATCGTGGCCAATTCCACTAGAATCAACCACGATGGTTTCCAGGGGGTTACTGTTTGTTTTAAACAATAGTCATGAATAACTATACCAGCAAGCAATAATAAAAACTTAAAATAAAAAAAATTTAATGTTTAAGTGTTAATAATTATTATTTCATCGTATCGTTTCAAACTCAAGTCATTTTTATTCATATAAACTCGTTTACAAAATCTTTTAAATGGTCATTTGTTTAAATCTACGGCAAGGTTTGAAAAGTATCTATTGAGAAGAGTCCGCAAGAAACTCAACAGTTACTCTTTTAAATCAAATGTCCAAACATTTTGTCTCTTCTATTTTCTATAGATTTCAAAACCTAGCCTTATATCTACTTCTATCCTTCCAGTTGATTCAGTCCCTCTTTCTACAGTGACATATTTTAAAAATTTTAATTTTTACACTCTGAAAACGGAACTATAATTAATTAGATTAAAATGTCCATCATTAGAACCAAACATTTACTATAATAATATATCACTGTGAGAAATTCTTAATATCCCATCAAATATGAGTAGCGTAACAGTTGGATTTCGTCCGAACCAACGTGTTATGTCGCCGCGGTCGCATGTATAGGAAACAATAAATTTTTTTCGCGTTCCGTTGAGTAAGGCATAATTGTCAGCTTATGAGTTATTTGTGTGGTAACTTGGGAGCTAATGTGTCACACACGTCGCTAAATCAACATGAGATACGGCGTTATTTTCGAGTGGACCGATTAAATCGCAGTCAAAACTCGATTTAATACACATATAAAAATTCATTATAGAATATTATGTTTCTTAAAAAAAAAAAAAGAACGATCACATAATAGAAATTGTTGTAAAGAGTAAATTCAAATGGAATAATAATTACTAAGAAATTGATATGAATCTAACGTAACATTTAAAAAAGCTTCGTCAAATTTAGAAGCACATTTTTAAGTTGTTTAAAAATGATAAACTACGTTCCAATTAATAACTGTCTCTCGTTTCAAAAGTAACCATATAAATAAATTATTGAACTTATTACAAAGCACTAACTAATACCATACTTAGTAATGCTTATACTACAGAATTGATAATATTCTAATATGATTTTTCTAAATACATACAGATTGCACATAGAAAATAACTAAATATAGACCAATACAAATAGACATAATTATGAATACAATTTTTTTATACCACGCAAACAAACATACAGTCCGCCTGATGGTAAACGTTCACTGTAATTTATTATTAACAACTGCAACATTAAGGGTGACACGTACATATTGCTGACCTTGTAGAACCATTAATATACATACTTTTCATCATAATCTCACATATCGTCATAGTCGTAGAATACTGACGGATCTGACAAAGATTACATATAAAGATCCGTCAGTATTCTACGACTATGACGATATGAACCTGCAATTACTAGTAAGTCTGACGCAATCTGTTAAACTGCTACGCCACTAATATCGTCAAATAATTCGTTTAATTTTTTTTTATTACTATTCAAAAATGCTTATAATTAAGTTCAATTAAATAAAAACTATTTTTATTTTATTATTTATTTATTTGTGCTTTTGTATATACGTTTCTATCATGAACAGTTGTTTGCATGGCTGTGTTTCGGTTTGAAGGGTGGGATATGGCAGTGAATTTACAGGATACAGAGAAATAATACCTGAGTCCTCAGGAATGGCAACACATGCGGGGTATCTTGGGTGAAACAGTATACTCTGTTATGTCCATGGTACTGCTCATGTCTATAGGCGATGGTTACCAATTTCCATCAGGTGGGCCGTCAGCTTGTTTACCATTACACAGGCTAACTTATCTATATAAAGGGATTTATAAAGGTATATAGGATTTATATATATAAAGGGATTTTTTTCCAATCAACGTTGAAAACACGAAAGGAATAATAATATCGTTATTTATTTTAAACCGTGCATTAGTTTTTATACTTAGAAGCAAGAGTAGGTTTATTACGCATTGATCGCATTCACTGTACATCATTATTCTTGTTATGTCAATGTGTAATGGCCAATAAATTCAGTTCAGGAGCGCGAAGGTGGCGGGCCTGTTCTACCCCAGTTGTTTTCATGTGCGTACGCTGCCAAGATTTAGGTCCTTCTCAAGTAATTACATTTTATTATATTAGATAGATATATAAATAGATAAATAATTTATTTGCATTACTTACAGCACACAAACAATAATATAAATAAATGCACAGTGAAAAAAGATTTACAAAAATTGAAGTACTAAAAATAAAAAATAAAATAAAAACAAAATAATAATAACTTTATTGCATAACCATGATTGTAACAAACTCAGCACTGGAAATTACAGTAAAAGTAGATACGAATTCATTTGTACATTTGGATCAGTTTAAACATCTGCGTCTGAACTAGGTTATAAAACCTGTATCTCAGACAACAGAGCTCAACCCTCATTAGATAGTATAATATTAATTCAGCTAAATTTTTAGTGCTACATATAGAATGTTGATTTTATATAAAGTTAATTCATCTAATTAAAACTATTGGTAATAATGAAAATTGTGAAAAAATTGCTTATTACTATAGATATGTTGTAAATGAATATTAAAATTAATGTATTTAAAAAACGAACAGTTTCGTGCCTCCGGTCAAACTGTTTATAATTACTCTTCTCCGTCCAAAGATTGTTTGTATTTATAATAAGTTTACTATTGTAATCTTATGGAGGAAATAATAAAGAGTATCTATCTATCTATTATCACGTTTTTTTTATAACTTACTGTTCTTTGTGTTTTTGCCCACGTGAATAAATATATAATAGTATATAATAAAAACAAAAAGTCCTATATGTTAAGTTAGGCTTTAATGTACTCAAGTACCAGATTTACTTTATATCCGTTTAACAGTTTAGATATGATTGGGTAACAGACATACAAACAACTAAATATCTTTACAAAGTTTACATATATAATATTACATTATTGTATAAGTTTACATGTATGTATGTTCGACTACTCATTGCGCTAAATATCTGGATAAACAGACTTATAGAATTAAATACATACCTATGTTACACTTAAAAATATTTAAATATGCTTCTGTCTTTCACATTCATACATTGTTAAGATATGTAAGTATATATGTACATAATAGATTACAGCTTCCTTGAATAATATCAAATAAGTTAGTTTACCTTAACAACCCTCAACGAGTATCTTAATCATTTGTAATGCTGTGTTAGTCTAAAAATAGTTCAAACATCTTACTGTTTTTCAACCTTCTTAATGAGACTATACCCTCTAGTATGAAAAAATATTTCGCGACTCCCGACTTATTTTTTTCTTAATTTATATTAACATACACATGTTTCAATTATCATTATTTTTAATAAATCTTTACAACTTTTTTTTACTGAGGTAGTTTTCGGGACATCCTTATAGAGGCTTGATGGCCCCCCAGGGGGGGGGGGGTCGCGACCTACACGTTAAAAACACTGAAATATATGAACAACTTTAAACCACAGAATTACCTTAAAGTAAGACAAATCTGTACTCTAGGGGGAAATGGATTGTTAGTAATAAGGTATATCTGACCCATTGCTAGCAATACCCCCTATCAGGTCGACCTCCACGCGGTTCCCCTGGAAACCATCGTGGTTAATTCTAGTGAGATTCGTCACGATTGGCTAACTGACCTGCTTTCATCGTCCGTCACCTATCATCCCTCACTGGTGCCCTGCCCGCGTATATCGACAGCGCAGGCGGGGTTAACATTCCATTATCAACCATTTAAAAAAAAAAACTGTACACTATCCTGATAAATTTATCTATTACAAGCAATTATAATAGTTTGTCTATATTTGGACAGACATCACGGTAACAAAAGGATCGCTTCCTCAGCAATAAATCCGCATTGATTGAGCGCAATAAATCTAGGTGCGCGGGCGCCGCTCCGGTTGCATTGTAGGGCTGACAAGTTTTTGAATACAAAAAGTACAAAATAGTAATTATCATGCTATATATTAATTATGAAATTTCAATTCAAATTCATTCAAAATCCTTACTTATATTA